ACTAGTGTAGATATCAAAGGTATTTATAGTTATTTGACAGTGCCGCAGCAATAGGACCTTGATCTTGAATGCGGGATAATTGTATAAGCCTTGAACCAGTAACGAGGATGTGCTGCATCAGAACTCATGAACCACCAGTCAAGGATAAACAACAAAGATGATTCAGGATAGAATGTTCTTCCTAATAGCTTTGACGGAAGAACATTTGTCGGAATTGAAACCCACTTCCAGGGACGAAAGGCCATAGGCTACCACTCTCTAGGAACCAGGATATAGATTAGCCATTTGATGGCACCACTCATGTTCCTTCGTGCTGCTTGAATAAAGACCTCTCACTTCTACTATTATGCATCTCAGCTCATTCTCAGATCCTCTTATGTAATAAACGACGCCTAATACATTTGCCTCTCAGAGATGATCTATATCCTCAACACTATTTATACTAAGTTCTGAATGCCAAAGTAGCAATTTATCTTGTACAACGCTTATCACATCTGGTGAACAACCTCAGTAGTATTTAGATAGCTGAGATGCACTTCACTTATCATAGCTTGTCCATGTTGTTGCACAACACAAACATATCTACCCATCAAGAATACCTTAATCTTTATAGACAGTTGTAGCCCTTCTGGCACAACACATTGATTACCACTTTAAATCAAACATCAACAACATTTGCCAGATATCGCAATAGCAGCACCTATTGCTCTCTATCATCACTAATCCTACAAGCTAGATGCAAATGTATAAATACTCTTCTTTTTTTTATTCAATTCCAGGATCTTCAGTTCATTTTATACACAAATAAAATACAGTTGATTTCTATTGTATTTTACTATTGCTTTATTTTTTTTGTGAAATCTATTCGAACCTGATTTCACTGCATGCACCATTGTAATCCTGATAAAGAGCTGGTATAGAAACATGCTAGTTTCAAAGCTCTAGCGGGAATCTTAGAAAATCGATTGTCGATCGTCAAAAAGCTGAAAACCTCAGAATCAAAAAAATATTTGTACATCCAGGTCCTCTTGTGAGGAAAAATTAGAATACAGCCATGAAACTAAAATATGTTGTAGAACAATAATATATTTGGATCTACGTCTGAGGTAGGAACTGGTGTTGGAAATGCTTATTTCTTAAGCTCATCGACGTTGGAAATGCTATTTTTAAGCAGGGGAATATGCATACCTTAAATTGAAAGACTTACTATAATCGAACAAAGCAAGCTACAACTGTCTAATGTTAAAAGTAAAATTTTTCAACATGTCGAGTATCTATTGATAACTTGAAACCAGCAAGTTAATATGGCCCTTTTTGCACGCTCCGATTTTTAAAATGCTTGGTCAAATGCATGCTTGTGTAGTATACACATGCGGAAGGTCAACGGAGCTTCAATTCCTAATATTCTGAATGATGATCCGTAGGATTCCGAAATCTATCGACCTTCAAATTACGCGTTTCTTGATAGTAACCACCCCTTCAAGCTTATATACAACTTGTAGAGAATTTAAAGGAAAATACAGTGGTATCTATATCATGTGTTTGGTGTACATTGCTAAACTGATTTTTGATGTGATTGTTTTTTGGAGCTTTTTTGACTGTTTTCTAAAGATTAATCACTATCTGTTATTAAAACATTTTGTTAAGCACTACTAAACATTGTAGACCAAAAAATTTCCTATCGAATGAGCCATTGCTTGAAGCTCTGGCATTACTCTATCATGAAATATTGACAATCTTGTCTTGACTAAAAAATCACCACCCAAATTTTTCCCTTGCTACCACAGGCAGATGTTCAACAAAAATTCATGATTTTGCATGATATCCTTTTTTGGTTATATCGCGACAAATACTGGCCGGATTAGCACAAAACAAAAACCATTCGATAGCTCTATGTTGTATCCATCATATTGCGAGGGTTAATGTAATAAAATGTTTGATTTTTTCTGGCAGCTCGGTTTGATCTTGAGTAAGCAGCACTTTTTTTTGCCTGAGCCTTTTAATTTCGTCGAAAGCTGTTCCTAGCTCAACTCGACCGAGATAATAGTTATTCTTACACACGACATATCTGGCGACAGCAGAAACAATATGACGATTTTAGCTCGCAATTATTCTTAAATTCATCTAGCAAATCCTAATATTATTTGTCATTCGTCAAACTCACTATTGCTTACAAACACATTACATAGAAAAGAAATTTTGATGGCACGGTGAAGAAGTTTACTCATCAGGATTGTACATTGTGTATCAAAATACAACGGCAATCGAATCCGTTAAAGAATTATACTTTATTCAGAATGCATTCAAAAGATGCGCCTATATACTCTTATTACTCTAAGGCTTACAGCATATTGATGAACTAGCGCACTAAAGTGTCCTGCTATTCACCAATAAGTAGTTCCTAACTTAATATTATTCATCCAGGGCATCCTAAAGATAACTTAATTCTTGTAGTGGAATTCCTAATATGATAATTTGCTATAACACAACGGATAGTTGAAAGCTCTACTACGTATAAAGAGGAACAACGCTAGCAGAACCACAAGAAAGTTCCACTTACGAGCAGGCAAAACAATAAAAGAAATAAAAGCGCAACACAGTACTACAATACGCATAAAGCAGTATTAGATTGTGAAGCTCTGTTCTTAAACAAAGCAGCACGGTTTTTATTGCTCAATGATCTCTAACCGTCTGTTAGGAAAGAGTATTGAGGCGAGAAGTCGCAAGTTCAATGCACGAAGAGCATTCACCTCCCAAAAAAAAAAAAAAAAAACTGCAGTATGCACAGGGCAACACAAGGCAAACCATTGAATATAATTATCAGGCTTTTACTGCGATGAGTATTTTCCTCTGAATTGACAACTAAAAAGCGCGTGATGTGCTTTTTAAGTGAGATTTTATGGATGCAATGAGCAACGTTATTCAAAAAGCTTACAAGTAATGTTTACAAAAACAAGTGTACCTGATTTTTGTAAACAACACATGTTACATCTTCAATTTCGTATCAAGATCGCACACAAGCTTTTCCCTCATCGAATGCACCCTTTGTTGACCAAGGCGAAAGAAAAGGTTCCAAGAATAAGATGACAACAGTTGATCAAAACAACCCTTTATAGATGCTTCCGAACAATGAATAAAGACCTATTTTTGGGGAGTGATGCCATTATAGAATTCCTATCTTACTAAAATCAGTATCACGCGTTTGTTTTCTCTTTATTTCACTGTTTGACTATGGCATTGTAAGGAGAAGACTCGGCGGCATTATGCTTTTTTGCTATACACCATGAAGGGAGAATCACGGCGACGTCCAGCAAATGAATTTTCTCTTGTTCACACGTATAGAAAGCATATAATGCTAATAGCTATGCCTGAAATTAATATAATTCAAACATTTTTGTTGCATGATAAAGTAAACAAAAATGCTGAACAAATGTGCATGTGCTTTTTTCATTGTAAGCGTGAGGGCAATATCTTGAAATCGATCCAGTTTATGTGTTCTCAAAAGCCCTCAAGCCGATGATAGATTACAATTGCTTGCACGCTTTATAGCTACAAGCATCCGTTCTTTCATATTCAATCAGATACTTCATTATCTTTCACTGCCCCTGAGATTGATGTCTGAGCTTATTACTAGCTGATATTTGATTGCAAACTAGACGACACATGCTGCTTAAATGCTCTGCAATAGTTTGCAGACACGTCACACCAAAAATGATAGTTCCATCGCTACATGTACACTATTTTCAGAATTGCAAAGCACCATTTGGAAGCCTTGTGCAGATTCTGAGATGTTTTGATCTGGGTGATATATATATATATATATATATATGATGCGCTGATTAAAATTAGGTACAGGATGTCTGTACACATTTCTTCGGAAACAGCTCAATAGGATTCGAGTTACCAAACAAACAGTAAAACTAAAAGCTGCATATGCCCATCATGATTGACATTAGTAGCCTTGGTCATTTCCATTTCAACTTGATATCATCATGTAGGGCACAGCCTCTGCCGCACTGATGATTGATAGATTACCCATCATGGATATACTTTTCGGTCAATGTATTCTAGACAACTGAGGCTTTAAATAGATTGTGTTGCGTGATAGGCCAAAAACCACTCACAAGTAGCGATATAAAGCGATTGGTATTTCTGGAGCAAAAATTTCTTTCCCCAATTGACCCGTTCCATTCAATTGGGACTCAACTGAAATAAGCTATATGTTGCTTGTCTCGCATTGATCAATTGATCTGGGATGAAGATTTTGCTTGAACAGCCAAATTTGGATCACCATCCGGCCACGTTCTTTAAGACAATATCTGAATGATTCATGTGATTTTTAGGTTACAGGCCATAAGCATCATGGTGAGAGATGTTGAAATAAGATGCTATCAATGAATCAAATGCCATGACCCTGATCATCGGTCTTGGGTGTTTTATTGCAATTAAACGCAGCAAATAAGCTGCGGCATCTGTACATGTTGTTGACATTCGTATGCCTGTTGAGGATGAGGGTAATCTTATACATTGCAATTAAAGAGGGAATTTCCGAAGCATCCGTGTACTCGCCCGAAATCCCCTTTTTAACAAAATTACTGCTTCTTGTTGTTTCAAACAGGTGATGCTATTTAAGTTGCAATTGGTTTACCAGCGAGAGTTACACTACAGACCCCGTGCCATTTTTGACGAAAAAAAAAGTTTAATTTATTTAATGAAAAAGTTGTTGAGTGAGTCAACATTTTGGTCAAGAGGAGACAGCTTGGATCCTTTTGCTTGTTACACATTCACGCGGGTTAAGGGAGGGAAGGGAATAGGATAAACAAAACATTGTTATAATTTCACACATTAAAAAGGGGATGCATCTTGTTTATTTGTTTTGTTCAATGTTGGATACAGATAGAAGAATTTTTGTGGTATATTAACATCTAGAGTTTGCAGAGAGAAATAAAGAAATATCAGAAGGAAGAGTGGGTATCATTTCTTTATCTTGTGCTTGGCATTCATTCTGGTGTATAGGGTGGGATGGGTAAATGAAGATCAAGAATCCTTGAGAGTGTCTTTTTGAGATCACTGGCTGAAATTGGCTTTCCAATGCATCCATTCTATAACAAGAAAATGAGTCAAATGCTGTGCATCATTCATTGATTTGACTATTACCATGCCAATTTCCTTGTACGTTGCTTGCCATGTGCTAGAATCGTTTGTTGTCACAGCCACAATGGGCGCTTTGCGGTTTCTTGGCAGGATATCAAATTCAGTCGATGAGCGAATGTGCTTTGTGGTTTCAATACCGTTCAGGATTGGCATGTCAATGTCCATCAAGATAAGATCGAATGGTCGACATTTCAATATCTCAAGGGCTTTCACACCGCTCTTGACCAGCTCCATATGCTCAATTGCAGCCGACATGTGTAAATTCAGCATTCTCGACAGTATTTGAAGATTAATAGCATTGTCATCGACCAGCAAGACATGCAGTCTGGGCGAGTGGACAGTGTGCGGAGGATTGCTGAATCGTCGTCTGAATGATTTCGATGGGGATGGCAGGGATAATGACAGCGAAGGTAAGGCAGGTAACTGATGGTGCGGCGTGATAGGTGGCGAAGGCAGCGATGTCGATAATGCGCTGGGAGTATTTTCCTGAAAAAACGATGCTGAATAGCGGATGCATGTTGGCTTGGAGGGCGATTTGCCAGCGTCGTGTATAAAGATGGTTGGTGTTGGTGGCATGGAATTGGATGGTTCGCTCGATGCTGTATTTTCAATGAACTCCTTGATGTGCGCAACAGACTTTCGTTTGCTCTGGTAAGCGAAATAATCCATGTTTGTGTTGAAAGAGTAAAAGAAAGGTAAATCAAATGTGCAACCCTTTTTATCTGTTTCTTAAATAGCTTTTTTTTTTTTTTCATTTTTTGCAACACCACACAAATGGCATAAATTTGGGTCGACGGAAAGTCCCCAAATTAGAACATGGGGCCTCTCAATTGCTTGCCACAGAGAGCGACAACAAGTAGAGGAGAAGGGCAATGCGGTTATTCAATCACCCAAAAGAGGGCTTTCTTAATTTACCTTTTATGCTTGGAACCAATCCTGATACAGAGAGTAAACGCACAAACATTGCCATTGCCTTTTTCTTGACAGTGTTGGCTGAAGAGGCGGAAAGGGACAGAAAGAGGAGAAACTGTTTACCCTCCAACATGTTTATTCGAAAAAAGGGGGGGAACTTCCGCCACTTTCCATCAGGCTGATTAATCCAACATACGCAATCTCCGTATACGTATTCACTCTGCCAATTTATTGTGATTTACATTTTTTTTTTTCCTCTTCTTTTTCTCTATCAAATACAATGTACAATATGGAATCACCAACAAAAGATTATTCCAATATTCGATGGAGCTCTCATTTTACCGTAGAAAACGCACCAGTCGAATTAAATCATGGCGATAAAGTTATATTACCTCCCTCAGCTCTGGAACAACTGCTTCAGCAAGTAGGCCCTTCTGGCACATTGCCTTCACCACTGACGTTTGAGCTACGCCACCCTCATACAGCAGCCACGATTCACTGTGGTGTCAAAGAGTTCAGTTCTGAAGACAGCACTATTCAGCTGCCTGCTTGGATGAGAGAATCGCTTGGTCTCAGCAGAGAGGATCATGTCTTGATCAAGCTGTCATTGCTTCCAAAAGGAACCTTTGCTCGGTTGAAGCCGATATCGCACGATTACAGAGACATCACAGACTACAGAGCCGCTTTGGAAGCCCATTTACGAGGACATTACAACACGTTGAGCAATGGTCAAACGCTGTCTTGCAGATATGGTGGTCGTGTGTATGATTTTCAAGTTGTGGAACTGAAGCCTCAAGATGCAGTTTCTATCACGGACACAGACCTGGAAGTAGAAATGGATCCCATCACTAGTATATCGACAAAGTCCAGTGCATCAACCTCAATAGTTCAGCTGAATCAGCCTGTACTAGCAACGAGCATTGCAGCAAAACAGTATCACTATTGGAAATTAGAATTGAATCATGCGCAAAATGTCGTCTTGAATGTAAAGGTGGAGAGTGGGAATGCAGGTAGGGACCAAAAAAAAAGGGGGGGGCAAACAGAAAGAGTGTGGTTCAAGCGTTCTATAGACGTTGTGGTTAGTGGCACAGACAAAACACCAACTTTGGACAATCATGAATGGTCAGATCTATCCAACGACACTGAACGAAGCATTCAAATCAGCAACATCTCAACAGACGTATTGTTTGTGGGCATTCATGGATATACGGATACAGCGGTGTCATGGGAGGCGACTGGGAACACGGATATGGACATCAGCACCAAGAAAGAAGAGGATCAAGCAGAGGATACAACGGGAAAGGTGCAATGCAAGAACTGTCACGCATGGATCGCTGAAAGAACCCTCATGTTGCATGAAGGCTTCTGTTACAGAAACAACGTGGTTTGTGAATGGGGCTGCGGAAAAGTGTTTAAAAAGGATAGTCAAGAGTTACAAGAACATTGGCATTGCGATCAATGCGATGCTATCGGGAACGCGCAGGAGAACGGCGAGAGAGAGAAACACATTGCCTATTGTCACACACTTAAAACATGCGTCTGTACCACCTTTACCACACAGTCGTATGAGGCATTAGCGGAACACCGTCGCACAACCTGTGCTGAGAAGCTGATCACTTGCAGATATTGTCATGTAAGGCAGTATGAATGATTCGCGGAGACCGCATCTCGTTACTGATAGCCCGTTTTGAATTCTAGATTCTGACAGCCCAAGGGGTCGTATCACTTGATTCAAGAGACAGATTACTAGGATTGCACTCGCATGAAAGTTATTGCGGGTCTCGTACGATAACCTGCCAGAAATGCAACAAGCCTATACCCATCAAAGATATCACCGTACATGCCAAGATACATGATGTTAAACGCCAGCAGCAAATTTTACCGCCCGTATGTTGCAATCGGAATTGCATCCGCCCAAAGCAGAAGAACCGACTGTCGTTGTGCCAGTACTGCTTTGGTCCATTCTGGATCACTGAGGACGATCCAAAGAACGCCAAATTGATGCAACGAGTGGCTCGCAAACTTCATTCGCAGTTAACCGTAGGATGTGGTAATGCGTGGTGTAGAAACAAGGTAATTATTATGAGTGCAATTGGTGCTGTGAGCAAATGACTAACATCATGAGCCAGTATTGCGCAACGAGTACAAAAGACCCAAAAGACGCTACGACCGCTGCAAGTTTATTAATCCCAATGATTAAACATTTACCAAAGGAATTAGCCTCGTATAATCCAAATCCCGAGCTGTACTTTTGCGTAGATGAATCAGTGACAAGAAAAAAGGCGCTGGCGGAATCACTAGCCAGTCAATTTGGGGGCAAGTATGATTTGGGCTGGTGTGTGGTCGCCATTGAGAGCAGTCAGGAAGATCCGGACAAAGCTCGATTATGGTTAGATAGAAATGCACCTAGAAAAAATGTGAAATATTGAATAAATCGCCCATTTACTGCTGCTGTATCCATCTCCCATAGATGTACAGTATGGTAAATGTAAACAAACCATTAGATTCATGATCCGAAATTTCGAGCTACTCCTTTTTGCATTCATGATTTCGACATGTTTGTTAATTACAATTGCAAATTTATTTGTCAATTGGATGTGATGGGGGCCGTATTTGTGTATTAGGCTGCTGATACACCATAAGCAAAATGGTGTTAAAGGGCCTGCGTATTGTTTACCGCTGCCATAATTTGATTTGCCTAAATTCGACCATTCATCCCCGTTTGAGAAGAATCACATTACTGCTCTTAATCAATTCTTTCCAAAATGAATGCTAAATTATCTGCAATTAACAAATGTCTGCGCAACTGTGTGGTTTCCATGTATCTTTCCGTCCTTTTTCTCTGCATTGTATCAGAGCATATGCTATCATGGAGGATCTAAGGCAAATCGTCATTTGTTTTGATTTCCTCGAGTTGGGAAATCAATAACAAGGTTTCATATTCATAACCTGAGAAAGAGCGTTCCTGAAACGAGAGATAAATAGCTCATCAATGCATCCTGATTACCAGCAGGTTACACACCCATGGTTATTGACACTCTGAACTCCTCTTTCCTGCTGCTGACTCGCTCGGATCGCTTTCCTGTTCCCCTTCTTCCCTCACTAAAACCAACTCCACCCATCCTTCCTTCGTAATATAATGTGAAGAGTCGTCAATCATTTTTTTTTCGATTGCTAAATGTAACATAGCATTACGAAATAATTCACATCTCCTGGATCGATGCCCTTGATTTTTTTTTTATATAAAAGAGGCCAGTGTCAAAACACATTTCTTTTTTCATCAATTCATTTGTTATTCTATTAACAAACGGTCTTTCAATCGCTACTACCGCTACCACTACATCTTTGACCCTATTTACCACATGAAGTCCTCAACATTGGCATTTGTTTCCGCTCTCGCTTTAAGCGCCTGTCTCTCCATTGCTAATTCTCAGCCAATTCATAACACAGATCTGGTCAATGTGAACACATCTACTCAAGTTGTCAAGCCTGTGGCCAATCAAAAGCGATATGTCAAACATCATTCAAGCGGTAGGAAGAAGAGATCTACGACTACCAAGTATACAACAAAGTATACTACCAAGCGCACTACCAAGTATACCACCAAGCATACGTCCAAGAGCCATTTGACGAAGCGTACATCGAAGCACTCCAGCAGACACTCTAAAAGAAGATCTAGCAAGCACTCTTCCAAGAAGCATTCTAGCTCAAAGCATTCTAGCTCAAAGCATTCTACCAAAACGTCTTCCAAGAAGAGATCATCCACCAAGAAACCAGCCAAAAAGTCTTCTTCTAAAAATTCAGTCAAGACGAAATCAATCAGTAGCTGTTACAAAAAGGCAACATTCACGCAATACTGGATTCCCAAGGAAGGCGATAAAGACATGCTGAACGACGGCAAAATTGTGACATTGACAGGCCCAAAGAACAAGGCACTTAAATCAGACTCTGGATCAACTATTGCCAAGGTATCCAAGACAACATACGATGTAAGTATTCTTAATACTTGTCAAGAAAAAGCATGCATTGACCTGATTTTACATAGAAATTCCAAATGGAGGGTACTGGTCTACTCAAAAATGGTGTCATGGTCAATCTAGGCGACAGTGATAAAACATTCCAAAAGGTGGATCGTTCAGAAGCTCCCTATGGTCTCGGCAGCGATGATAACATTCATTTAAGTCCCTGGGTCAGTGTAGCATCAAATGATCTCAAAATCGGTACAAAGCTCTATGTCAAAGAATTGGATGGTGTCAAATTACCTGATGGCAAGACGCACAATGGCTGTGTTCGTGTGGACGATGAAGGCTGGAGCTTCCATGGATGTCAGCTCGATTTCTTTGTGCTTCAATTCACTGCTTATGAGAAATTAGAGAACATACTGCCTGAGAAAGTTACTGTATCAGCACAAGATTGCAAGATTTTGGATTATGTTACTGATTCCGTCAAGAATTGGGCTGTCATTAACAAATAACTCTCATACCACCCTTCTTCCCTCTTTCTTCAGTTCTGTACTATACACATTCCTTGTCTCTATCTTATATAACATACATACATACATACATACATACATACATATTATACATATTATACATATCTTTTCTCTCTTTTTGTTGTCAGTAATAAAAAAAAATCCTTATTAGAAATTAAATACATGTCAGTTGATCTTAATTGCAATTAAAACCTGAATTTGGGTTGGTGATCTCTATAGGAAGAACAATAGGAAATTCAATCCCGATAGCCAAACAAATACACAAATGAACATTTTTAAGTAGCCTTTTATACTTGGGAACTGATGATAAATAGACTCATTTCAATGTACCATCGTTTGTGTTTGTGTCTGATTCTCATGCAACACGTTTTCCATGTCATATCAGCAACATTTGGAGGAGTAATCCTCATCAAGAGCTTCAGCCTATCGGAAACAATGATTAATTAAGCTATTGTTTACGGAGCACACAATTTAAGGTACATGGAACCACGCAGTTGACATTAACTCAGTTTAAGGGGAACAAACTCGTTAGTTTACCAATTGATGGCTCGAAATATATATATATATATATATAGCTTTCATCTGTAGAAATTACATTCGCCTGCAGTGTAGCTTCGTATATTAGGCTTCACCAAACAAAGCGGTGATGATTGTACCCAAATTGCCTTGATTTGCGCATCATTGCTTGTTAAGACACTACCAACCTGTATTGAATATCATGAGGGCTTTTTTTTTTGCTCTTTGCTCCAGCGTGTGTTGCAACAGCAATTTACAGGCAGTGTTTTGATCAGTAGTCAGTTTTCTATTCAAAATGTGTTTAACTTGCATGCTTGATCTTCATGCTCTAACACTAATGAGTGGTTCAACCAGGCCTCCGTAGGACAAAGTTACACACAACAACTACTAGGTAACAACGGCCCGTGTCCGTTTGATAGCTCCATACTTTTAAGGATTAGTTTTGGATGAATGATCACATCATATAGCAAGGAACTGATGCCATCTAACCCTCTTTAATATACCAAGTGTGGTGTCGATTATGTAATTACCATACTTGCTCTAAAGATCAGACATGTGCCTGTAAAATTATCACGAACGTATAGCTTTTATTGTTAAAGAGCTTGCTTCATTGCATAATAAAAATCATAGAACATCATCATTATATATACTAGAACAGAACAGCATTGTCGTAGCAAATCAGAGATTAAAAGCTTCTCTCCCAAGAACACAACGCATCTAATTCAAGTTATTTCTTGCCTGCTATTTGGCTGTGAATTGAGTGATTTGTGGTTTTAAGGCAACATTTGGTAACACTGACCTTAAGAGGGTTTTACCGTAGCAAAGTAAACCTGCAAAACCATAGTATTCAAGCAGTAGATTTGGCTTTTCATTTCCATCATTAACAGGCTTATCAACAACATGACGCATCAAAATTTGCATGAATTAGCTTTACCAAAATCAATATCCCTTCTATTCGACTATATAAATTGTGATGATCAGCCTGTACTTCCTAATGCATTCTAAGAGTTCTTTTTAAGGCGCTTCCAATGATGCCAAGTAAAATAGGTGTTTTGACTGAGCTAATTGAGCTATTTTAAAAAATATAAAATGATGTTTTTGGCCGAAATGTCAAAATCCTGCATATGAAAGTCTCATAAAAGTAATTTCAGAAGTTGCTTTGGGTCGAGAGGAACATTTTGATTCAATATATACCATAGCAAAAGTCTTCGTTTTCAAGGTGAAAATCATGAGGGATACCTCATGGTTTTGAGTCGATTTTTGGCCATGTTTTTTTTTTTTTTTTTTTTTTTTTTTTTTTGGTCCAAAAAGTCGAGCAAAGGTATCAGGATGTTACTGCTACTCAAGTACAATTGTTTGGGGGGGGGTAATTCCGGTGGCTCAGAAAGGCCTACATGTCAAGATATGAAGGCCTGAAAGCTGTCAAATTTGATTGTATCTCATATCTGCTTGTAGTGCAGCGTCATCGAAACAAGTATTGAAACTTGATCTAATGTTGTTATCCAATACACACATCAAATATGTATGGGACATTTCACATAGGACTAGGAAATCCATAATATAAACGATTTTGCGCGCAATTTGTATTAGTACAAAGAATATAGAATGTACCACGTTCAAGGGTTTGTGTATCATGTGAGAATGCATTAGATATGGTAGCTGTTCGTAGCTGCCTGTCAAGCATTCCACATGATACAATCGTGAACAATGCATCATGCCGTGTAATCTTGCTTTTTCTTTATCCATTGCATATACAGCGCATTTGACGCATGCACGAGCAATCACCAGCGCCATATCATAAGCGTAAAACGCGTGCAGATATATTTGAAGGTGCGGATATACATGATCCAACAGAATGGACCATTGTTGTGTGAATATTCATCGGATATCCAACCTTATTACTCAACAAATTGCTGTCAAGGAAGAACACGCATGATTCCGTTAGATTTGACTATTTATTTCAACGATTCAAGATTGATCTGTTTTATACGGGCTGGCAAAGGAAAAAGGAATACTGTTAAAAGGGAATATTAGCAGAAAGAGAGGGAGAGGGAGAGGGAGAGAAAGAGACAGAGAGAGAGAGAGCGTATATGTACATGATTTTTGATAATAATGATAGAAAAAAGCAAGTGAACAGTGCCAAAGAGATATAAATTAGAGAGGAAAAAAAAAAAAAAAAAGTAGAGAGCCTCATTACTATAATATACAAATGACTCTCATGTACTAAACACAGATGAAAATAAAAAAGCAAGTGAGTAAAAGGAAACAATAGGAAATAAAGGGATTAGAATGAATCGTCATCATCATCGTCAGGAGCTTCAGATAGAGGTGATGGTGGTATATAATTTAAGTCTGCTGGATCATCTTGCATCTGATATACGGGCGTGGATGGTGCTTGTGTTGTGGCTGTTGTTGTTGCTGCTGCTGCTGGTATTTGTGCTGCTACAATCACGGGAGAAGATGACAGGGCAGATTTCTTGTGTACAGTGGGCTTCTTCTTTGTCTTTTTTCGTTTGATGCTTATACTACTACCACTACTGCTGTTATTGCCGGATGATTTTGATTTCTTGTCATCTTCATTTTCATCCTCAGATAATGGCTTCTTCTTTTTGATCTTTCGGTTTGGCCATTCTTGCTTGAAGATGAGACGGTGACGCTCACAACGTGGACATCTCTTGGGATTCCAATCAGTAAATATCGCACTAGGGCTCCATGTCCATGTTGCTAGCTCATTGGTGATTGACATATCCGCTCCTACTTGCTCCGAGATATCTTCCTTCTTCAAGGGACGAGAACAGGCGATGCAAGCTAGAGGAGCTTGTTGCTGACGATGGCCATGCGCAGACAGAGGCGATGCTGATTTTTTGGCTTTTCTGGCAGGGGCAACTGGCACCTCTTCCATCTCTGATTCCAATTCTGTGCTACCAACAGACGAAAGATCCGACACATCATCCAAAAAATCATCAAAATCATCATGGCTTTCAAAGAGACCGTCGTCCATTTCTCGTCTAAAGAAATGCTTGCAATCCTCCTCCTCATTCTTGATGCTGTTCAATTGGAGTCGAGGTGATAGACTGACAGCTGAATCCGCTTTTGATTCACTTGAGTCTAATGAAGATGACTGTGGCGAGTCCGGCTGTGTCGGCGATTCTTTGCTGTGTCTGGATATTTGTAGATTTGATTTTGATTGCTCTTGATGTGGATGCTGATATTGGAAATGCTGTTGTTGCTCCTGTTGTTGCTGCATGTAGACTCGATGAGCAGCATCACGATGGATCTCTGGATTCACTACCACTGTGATTTGACCCGACTGGTGATGATGGTGTGTTTGCTCTTCTGATTTCAAATAACCGGCATCCATCGCAGCATCTACCAACAAATCAAGCAATGGACAGTCCGATACTCTGCGATCTTTTGGTGCAGGCGACATTTCCTCATCACTCCCACACAAGAAATCAATGCTCATGACCTTCAATCGAGCCATTCTCTCTGTCGTTGCAGTGGTCGGTGACACAGGCATGGGTGGAGTCGCTTCCTTTTTGATGGTGATGTGTGAGTCCAATTCCATCATTTGCTGCTGCTGTTGCTGCTGCTCTCCAATCAATTCTTCCAATGAATTGGAAGGTTTTGGTGATGGCTCAATGGAAGCTCTCTTTGAGCGTCTTGTGCTTGGATTAGGAGATGCTGATGGTGAGTTTGATTGCGAGTAATCGACGTATTCTGTGTAGAAGGAAAAGATCAGTTGGCTATTAAGGTTTCTATTTTGTTTTGTTATACAAACCTTCGTGTAAAGCCGACTTTCGCTTCCGCGTACTACGCCTGGTACCACCTTGCTCCTCTTCTTTCATGTCGATTGGTGTGCTCTCTTTTGTTTCAAGTGATGCAAAATATCCCATACCCAAACTATATATATAAAAAAAAAAAAAAAAAAAAAAAAAAAAACCTCACATTGAGTCCTTTTGCCTTGCGCATTATAGCAGGCGGTAACTTACTTTTCACATGTAATGCATCTGCATTCGCAGTTGTTTTCGCCAAAATAATGCTTGCCATAGTACACAGTGATCTCTTCGCCGCATTTGATATTCTTCAGCACCTTGAAAGTGATTGAATTCTGACCCAAGGATATGAATTTGCAATTGCTATCACAATCGTGGTTGGCAAAGCGGGCAGGACCCAAAAACAAACAGCTGCAGTTCTTGCGGGTAGACCACATGACGCTGAAATCGCGATTGCCCCTCTTCAATTCGGCATCGTCCTTTGGATCCAAACATGCTATCATGCCGGTCAACAACCGCATTTCATCGCCAACCTGCCAATCCTTTGTAGCGACCAAACAGGCTTCCACTCTGCGTCCATTGCTGCCATAGCGTCTCGTATCTCCTACCTCATAGCCTGCATTGGGCATGTACCTAGCAGGATCACAAGGTTCAAATTTAATTACACCAAAAAATATATCCCATAATGAGTGTAACTTACATGTATAAATACCGTTTCATATGCTGGACGAATTCCTGAACTTGCTTTTGGTTTTTGGCCATGAGATAATGCTTGAAATAGCCCAGTCTATTTCAAAAAGTGTGAGCAATTCAGTGTATCCTCAACATGATGTATATACAACAGAAAAAATTTTTTTTTGAGTGTGTGAAACATGGGCATTTCAAAGATAGAAGAAATGGTATTACAGCACTAAATCGCAACACACATACCCACAATCACACACACCCAACGCATTGGACATACACTTACGCTAATAGTTCCGTTACAGCATCCATGGGCCTTGCCTTCTCCAGTATGTTTCTCTGAATGATATCCAGGATGGTTTGGTTGGAGACCCTTGGTTTACGATGGTCGTTGTTCATCTTGATCGTAGCAAACCACAAGAACATGTTGTCCAAGAATATATCTGTAAATAGATCGTCGTATCTAGACAGCACCTTGAAGTTCATCAGATTATCCTTGTTTTCTTTAGTGTTGTTATTTGTGTTTGATAGCATCGTCAATGTGTATATGTTATTTTTGGGGAATGAGTTATTTTTTTTTTTTGTGGTTTTTTGTTATATGAGACTATGAAATGTACAGTGGATTTAGCTGTTCATTGAAATGGAGGGTGTGGATAGAAAGATGAAGAGAAGGAAAAAAAAAGAAAAAGAAGAAAAAGGTATACAACAGAGAAAAAGAACGATGAAAAGGAATTTTATAAAGGAAAAAAAAAAAAAAAAAAAAAAAAATGGAAACAGAAAATGGAAAATCAAATGGGTTTGCAAACAATCGCCACCTAAACCCTCTTTGCCTTGCCCAATGACAGATGATGATTACGAAGCTAATACGAGTACGAATTGGATCAAAGTGATATCATTTGTGCAAGGTAAATGTACTACCACCATTTCGCTTCTTCACCTGATCAAGAACACACACCATATAAGATTTGCCCCCCCCCTCTTTGCTGGCTCCATCTCATCTCTCTCTCTCTCTCTCTTTCTCCCTCCCTCCATCTTTATTTACATTGAAAAAATGTCTCGCAATATAGACGGATCCATCTTCCAGGTTGATTCACCTGAACCCACCCTCATCAAAGTAGAAGTTCGAGATCCCGGGTAATTTTTGGTGAGATGTTCCCTTTTTAACAGTGTCTCTAACACTTCATACCACCTTTTTATGCAGACAACACTATCAAACTCAGTCTTGGAAGAATGGCCTAGGAAAGACATCTGAAATAAGCATCTATCCAAATGATAAGGACTACACAAAGGATTCGTTTTTTTGGAGATTAAGTGAACACGAAATTGACGCTGATTTCAATTTTCCCATCTTATTGGGCTATGAGCGCACAAATATCATCTTGCCAAATGAACACGGTACAAAGAGTACTATCCATTTAAATCATCGTGGTGAGGAAGCATCCACCACTGTTAAGCCATTGTTCCCTTATTCGTGGAATGCCGAGTGGGCTACAACTTGTAAAGTGACAAATGCACCTGTATCCAGCCTGCAATTCCTGATCAAAAGAGATCTGGGTACGGCTCAGTTTTCCATCGATAAAATCGGCCAACCTGTGTCAAATGAGAGTGGCGAGACTGGAAGAAAGTTGATTTTGGGTGCCTTCGCGTTGGTCTATGTGGTTGATGGCCATGTTCGCATCGGATTAGACGAAAATAGCCCTCAGGGTCACAGCAATGTCTTGTCTGCTGGACAAACCTTGTATGTTGAACGTGATGAAGACGCTTCTCCTACGAGTATGATCATTCAAGCATCAGATGCCAGTGGCAGTGTCGGTCGCCGTGACCAAGGTATGATACAGTGGAGTGTGTGCATTTTCCCTTTACTGAACACGTATATATCATACAGAAGACGCTACCGTTATCACTATCCAAATCACAGAGGTGAAACCAAAAGGGGCTCCATCAACAATCGGCACAACCATCTCTGATTACTTTGCCTTACAAACAAACAATTATTCAGCCTTGAATACGCCTGCTCTACCAGTATCTCCTGGTTCTACTTATCAAGCATCAGCCGGGGGATTGGTTTCAGCTGCCACACCCAACAGTAGTACGACAACAGGCCCTCCTCCTGCAACTGCAGCAGCAGACGATGATGTACCCAGCCGACGTCGAGAACCTCGTCGAAAGGGATCACTTGTTGTCTATGATGACCAACCCTATTGGAATCTTCCGCAAAACATGGCTCAGCGCATGGCAGCACAGGAAGCATCTGCCTCTGCCTCTGCTATCCCTAGCTCATTCGATGATGTAGGAGGTGAGCTGGCTTCCTCTATGAAGCAGCAGCAGCAGCAGCAGCAGCAAGAAACTCACAAGGAGAGAAGAAATAGTGTGTCGATGCTGAGAGGCAAGTTGGACGCCACGCAAATCTATGAGCCTCCCAACTTTTCCTTGAATCAAGATACAGACGTGCCACCTCCCGTTGTTCGAGATAGGTTAGTGGTAGAAGACTACCCAAAGCACACTATCAGCACAGCATGGATCAAAATGGTAAAACAGGGATTGAGCGAGTGGTTAAGAATGCCTGTGATTGTGTGCAGAGGCACAGAAGATGGACCTGTTGTAGGTATCACGGCAGCAGTGCATGGCAATGAATTGAACGGTGTGCCATGTATACATCGCGTCGTGTCAGAGATTGATGTCAATAAACTACGCGGCACCGTAGTTGCCGTTCCTTGTGTCAACGTATCTGGCTATCTCAAATTCCAGCGCGAATTTGCAGATGGCAGAGATTTGAATCGATTGTTTCCTGGGCGCGAGGATGGCTTTTCAAGTCAAGTCTATGCCTATCAATTGATGAACAAGGTGATTTCTCAATTCAACTACCTAATAGATCTGCACACGGCTAGCTTTGGACGAGTCAACTCTTACTACGTGCGTGCTGATATGAATGATTCTGTTTCTGCCATCATGGCCAGACTGCAGCAGCCTCAAATCGTACTGCATAATTCGGGTCAAGATGGCACACTTCGATCTGCCGCTTCTGCACGAGGCATACGTGCAATCACTGTGGAAATTGGAAATCCACAGTTATTTCAAAGCCAATATGTTCAGGCAAGTCAAAGGTTTCTGATCTGATCACTGATTGTGGTCATGGTCGTTTATTCATTTACCCTTTGTACTTACCCAAATGTCCTACCTTGAATGTACAATAGTGGTCTTATATTGGCGTGATGCGTATATTGGATCATTTGGAAATGTATACCCTGGATTACCAACCCATAACAGATGACCAGGTAGCATTAGGCCCCCCTAATACCATTTTGTGTTCAAAGGGATTTTGGGTAATGTGAAATAGGAATGATGAGAAAGTGGTTCGATGTTGTCAGCTCACCCACCATGATAAATATAGATTTACACTAAAACGGGTGGTGTTTTAGAGGTGTATCCTGGAGTAAATACCATCATTAAAAAGGGAGACTTGATTGCTCGTATAAAGAACATCTTTGGTAATGTGGTCGATGAATATTATGCACCATGTAGTGGCATAGTAAGTGATTATACAGCATGGAATAGTGACATACATCTTACTGTGCGTATCTGCAGGTTATTGGTCGTAGCTCAAATCCTGTGGCAATGTCAGGCGATCGTATCATCCACTTGGGTGTTATTAAAAAGAAGAGCGAGAGTCTGCCCAAGGAAGCCAAAGAGAATTATTGAAAGTGATAATGATAGAGATAGTTTATTGCTTGAAAATAAAAATACAGGCGGGGGGGGGGAGAGATGCGAATTAAGATTTGAATGCTTATATAATATGTATAAATGTTGTGCTTGAGTGTGTATATAAATATTCTTTAGATGGGAGTTCTGATGGAACTAAAAGCATGAGGCGAGTAAGCGTATGCGGTCATTTTTTGTTGACCACAATGGCCGCCCATATAAAGAGGAGAGCGAACATCAGCTAGAAAGGTAGGCTGATCATCGTGATGAAAGCTGGAGGATGTACTGCTAAGACCAGATGTGGTATCGTCAAGGGAAGGCATTGGAGAGCAAGACAGCTCGACGTGTTGCTTGCGAGTCTTGTTTCTTTCCTCGATTAGAATCTTGGCTTCAGCATCATAATCGCGAGTGGGATCGATTGGCTCGGGTTCTTCAGTAAAGCAACCAAGTTCTTCAAAGAAAAGGTGAACACCGTCGACATTTTGGATATGATTCTCGCTGTCAATCACGCATTCTTCAGGATTCAAGGACAGGATGGTAGCAAGGTTCTCTTGACATTCACAGTCATCGATCCAGTTGTATTCTTCTTGATCTTGTTCTTCGTCGTTGTACTGGTAATCATCTTCAGGCGTAAGACACATGAGTTGAAGACCAGGAATAAAGTCTTGTTGTTCTTGTTGATTCATCATTTTGTGCAGTTGTCAGTTTTCTTATTCTAATTCAGGGTATAGTTCAGTTGATTTAAATCGTTGATTCCATTAGAACAAATCAATAAAGTATAAAGTATGTTGAGTGATTTAGAGTTTTTTAATACAGAGTAAAGTCTTTAGTCAAAGTAGGCCACCCTTATATACTAAAAAATTTTACTACAAATATGGGTTTTTTTCGATCTATGTTTAATCTCAATATTCGGGCATTTCAGGGTGGTATACTTAGACCATAGCAGACCAACCAATCGTAATACATTTCGATATATTTGATAGACTTTCCGCCACTCCAAATCCTGTGGCGAATTAAGGTTGCATCAAAATGACCTTAAGATTCTTGAGATTCTTTCTTATAGTAGACGAGATACTAAGCAATGTAGCCGCAGTCAACGTGAGAATGCAACACATGGAGCCAAGCCTAGATGGCTAAAACAGCAAATGTTGAGCTATAGTATCCGCGGCCTCATACATGTCATGTTAATTGAGCGGGCGAAATCAAACCCCAATTTGTAACTACGTGCTGGTATACCTTCAAAAGGTAAATGAACCGAGCAGTGTTATAATTCCCAAGAAAGGTTACACTGTCGTGACATGACGAGCAGGAGAGACATACCATTTATTCGAATAAATATCGTGCTCATTATTTCTTTGAATCATCACACTGCTTTTTTCACCTCTCTGTTATCTTGTTTTTTTTGCTGTAGAAATCAAAACACTTTGGTTTATTCGGCTAATCTCGGAAACTTGTTCTCAAACCAGGTCAATAAACATCCTTGGCTTGCAAGTAAATTTTTTTTCTCACCCCGCATTCTTTGGTATGTTTTACTAGAGAATCCCAGAGTCTCCCGGATTGATTCGAAAGGAGGAAATCCGGCAATTAACCCCAAAACAGAACTACGTACATGGAAAAGAAATACAAACGGCTTTGTGATAATGATCTGGCCTTTCCTCTGAATGAATGGCACTAACCCTCACATATTACAGACATCTAGACTGATTCCATTCCACTAATTCCTCCTTTTCATTAGAATGAACTATATATTCGATTTCTAAAGCGCGAACCTATCTAATCTGCTAAAAAAAAAACCCCCCCTCCCCCCCCACACAATTATTCAACTGATAGAATACGTTTATCTTAAACTTTCTAATGTGCATAAATTGTTCTAATTTACATCATTATTGTATCTTTGTCAGCGTTTGCATCAAGTGTCAACAATGGACTGCATGAGCATACCAGCGATCATCTTCCATTGGTCGTTCTCATGTTAAACATTTTTGTAGAAAGAACTTCCTTTTGTTTCCTTGTATGACATGAATTAGGAGAAGGGTCTTTTTCGATTCTAAATGAGGAAATTAAGAATTACAAGATATGCTAGTCCTTCAGGTCCATTATTATGACGTTGGTGCCCAATTCAACTAATGCATTGAGAGATTGATTGATTGAATGTTCTTTTCATTCAAAAAAGGCTAAAATCATCAACGTGATCACAAGGCTTATCAGAAGATGGTATAATATGGTTGCTATTTTGACATCTGATGCCCCTATTCACGTTGTTTCTATAATAAGATCATTTCTCTGATTTAGTTTGGGCATGGAATGTTCTCTTTTATCAATGCATTGCCTTTGCTCGCTCGTTTGATGTCTGGCAGATAATGCTATTCTTCAAGAAAATTCGTTAATACATGGCTACAAAGAGTGCAAGCATTGTATTTGTTTAGTGAGTTCTGACTTTTTCGTATATACCTTAATATGAAGCAAAGTTGTGGATAAATTAGGAGGGTGACCATTTAGCATTTGATGTTGAAAAGGATTTATAATTAGAGCTTACATTTGGAAAATCAATCTGTACGATTACACTTGTAAAATATAAGAGTTTACAACAGGATTAAAAGGTGCTAAAATTAACCTGTAGTACGATAATAGCTTCACAAAACGTCGATTGTGTTCATTGGAAAAGCATTGGGAGGCCAGCCACCAAAATTGATCAATCTCCGCTCAGCCTTTTTTTTTGTTCCAGATTGGTCAAAATCTGATTAAAATCTACTTCATTGAACTATTTTGCCAAATTCGACTATGTAAACTGTGATGCCCACCCCATGCTTCCTTAAGCTTTCTGAATGTACTTTTCAAGGCGCTTCCAATGATGCCAAATGTAGTAGGTGATTTGAATGAAATTATAGAGTAATTCGATAAAATACGAAATGAGGATTTTAGCGAAAAAATCCTCATTTTGCATATGAAGGCCTCATATACGTGGTTTCAGAGGTCGCTTTGGATCGAGAGAAACATTTTGATTCAATACATACCATAGTAAAAGTTTTCATTTTCAAGATGAAAAATGCGATCGTTTGATTTTTGATGGAAACCATGAGGCACCCCTCATGGTTTTTGGACGATGTTTGGTCATGTTTTTTAGGTCTTCAAAAAGTTGAGCAAAGGTGTCAGGAAGTGAATGCTAGGCGAGAGCAATTATATAGTGCTATTCTGGTGGTCTAAATCGGCTTCTAGCACAAGAAAACACGTCTCGAATCAGTCCAGATTTCGCTGAAATTCACTTATTTTTGACTAGTAAAAGGCATCGCAAGTATGCTACCTGCCCGTATATAAATTGTTTTCATTGACACAAATGTAAAGTGTCTTATAGGAGTCAAATCCACAGTTCTAGGATGGTCTTCATGTGATGGTGGGAAGCCAAGAAGCAAAAATTGAATATATAAGCATGTCGACCAGCGCCCCACTCGTTTATTCATGTCAGTTCGTGGCAAAATCGGCTTCAATTGATTATTCTAGGTTTAAAAACTTTCATCAGCTGAACTATCCAGTCTTCAGGTCAAGGGCTTTATACAAAGCTGTTCCTTGAATGCATCAAGACGTTTGCTGCCATCAGATCCATGTGTCATAGTGCTACAGTCAATGCAGCTTAGCATGCCTGATAGCGAACAATGGTTTGCATAAGAGTAGTGTGTCGAATACGGCTCATACAAAAGCTTTTCGTCTTGTCTAAAGTTGGTGCTTCCCTTTTCTTTCTGGCATCTTCCCTATTTTTTTTGTGCCCTGCCTTATATTACTAGCTGGCAACTGCTTTTCTAGGCTTTCCTGTATATATATACAAATCAACACTGACCATGGAATAATCAAGCATCTGCTGCAAATCACAGCATCACGAATTTGCCATTATATTTTCGTTTTGTAGTTTACCAGCGTCAAAAAGCTAAATCTCTCTGCTCTCGGCTGCATAAATCATTTGAAAGAGTACATGTGGTACGAAAATGATAGACGAAAAATGATCTCATGGTGAAAATATGGAATGAGAAGATCATTAGATTAGTCCTGGAAGATTTTTTTTTTTTTTTTACATTACATTTGCGTTGATGACCTAATAGTGATTTAGTCATAATTTCCTTCTCATGTCGACGCCTAGAAAAGTATTAGCTTGTCAGATTGCGTGGGTTTTCTGTTTCTATTTCAGGCAAAAACGAAAACGGCTGGCTCCTAATTTCAGAAACACAAAATGGGACCACATTAACAAGTTCACGTTCATCTCTTGTTTCCCTGTTAAAAAATATCACTTAAATATGTCTGAAGAAAAATCAATGGGCCATGCCTATAGAAACACAGAAGAAGGTAGCTTTGGCGTGCTGAACTTTCGAGATTTAGGTGTCTCCTCTGCTGATAATGCCGAGAAAAAAAAGTAACTATATATATTTTTGAAGAAGCCGAAAGCTGGTATTCATTGACTTTTTGGTAGGTATGTCAAAGAAGGACTAGTTTTCAGATCTGCTACATTGGACAATATGAGCCAGGAGGATGTGGATGCTTTTATTAAAGCTCATAATATCAATACCATTCTTGACTTGCGTACAGGGTAAGAATTTGGATAGTCTGAAACTGGATGGTGATTGACAGTGAACATCCGCCTATAGTATGGAAGGAAGAGAGGGCCTGCCTATTGACAAGAGCTTTCCCACAAGCGCTCTGGATAGTGTAAAGTATCGTCATTGAGTATACACGCGAAGTTACATGGTATTAACTCTGAGTAGTTGGACGCCTCGACCTTGGTAGACGACGATGTCTCTATAAAGGCACAGACCTCTGAGAATTTCGATACAACAGGACATGGCACGCTGATTAGAAAAAAGTACAGAGTGGATTTTGCAGGAAAGAACTTTCAAAGATATTGCGTCTTTGCATCTTGTTCTTTCCATTTGAAACTGTAAGTGGAATGGGCATCGTTGCCGAGGCTTGTGTTGACAGACCGACTCAATTGGTTGCTAGATACATCATCTATCTGATGGCATTTTGTCAGCGCAAGAAAGCAGCATACATTATTGGGCAAAAGGTGTTGACACCCATGGGCGTGAATAAGATGTACAGAGAGTTTGCCACCTACTGTAAAGCAGAAATTCGAGAGGCTTTGATGGTGTTTGCCGATCCTCAAAACTATCCCATTGAAATTCACTGCACTCAAGGCAAAGACAGAACTGGTATGGTATCCGCATTGATCCTCTCTATTGCTGGAGTGCCTGAAGATATTATTGTCAACGACTATGCCAAGACACAAAAGGCTTTAGCACCTATCTATGACGAAATGCTTGAAGAAGTGCGAAGGTCTGGATTATCCGAAGACTTTGCTCAAGCACCGCCTCAAAATATGAGAGATTTATTAAGCTTTTTGAACAAGGAGTATGGATCCATTGAGAATTATTTGGATGCTATTGGTTTTGGTAAAGAGCTTCGCGACAGAGTTAGAAGTGTAATTTGTGTTTGAATGAATAAATAGATTTTTATTATTTACAATGAAGAGCAGTAATCGAAAAGCTTAGGTGCCAAGTTATTCAATTCGTCTGTTAACGCGCCACCACTGGATTCAATGTATTGAAGCGTGTCCTGCACGAGTTCAAGTAATGCTGATCTGGCTTTATGGTAATGATAATTGCTGCCATCTTCTGGTATGTCATCTTCTTCGTCAATCAATGAGAAATCTTCGTCTGAGGTGAACATGCCGGATGCTTCATCGTCATCGTTTTCTTGCTGATACAACAATGTCTCCTTGTAATGCAAAAGCTCAACAGCTGGTGTCTGAAGCAACGTCTTTTGATGATCTAGTGCCTCGTCATCCTCTTGAATTGTCGTATGTAGCTCCCTGATCCGTGGCTCAGGATTCAAGTAGAACTCGTTGCTATCCTCTTCAATAGCTGGACATTCTTTTGTTTGCTGTGACGAAACGTCTTCAAAATCGCAGATTTGGAGCTGTTGATGGTACACAGAGCTTGACGAGGGTACCAGTTGATGTACGGTAACAGGATGTTGTGGCACCAGGTTGCATTGCACCAAAAACGGGTTCATTGTATTTGGTGATAGCAGAAAATCCAAAGAGTCAATTTGGTTCACGGACAACGATACAGTTCCGCAATGATATGTAACACATACAACGGTGAATAGACACGGTACATTGGCGTACCGTATTTCCATATGCTCTTGTTGCTCATGAGGTATTTGAAAATGAACAGATACGGTGCTCTCATGCTTGCGATACGCAGGAACGACAGCATTTTCATGACTGACAACGGGTAAAAGGCCGGCTTCACTCGTTGTTGACGATGGCATGATGCATAGCGGTGCGCTTGATGAGGTACGACGGGGTCGATTTGGCCGCTGCTGGTGCAACCTATAGTGTTGGTTTTTCTCTGCGTTTCGTTTCAATTGTTCCATAGGATTACAAAGCCAATTTTCAACCAATTGAGATACATGGCCACATCGCATCAACACAGACAAAGAGCGAAATTTAGGAAGCTGAAGATAAATAGAGACATGCGATGGTGATTTAGGCAAGATGTAGATGGCTTGTTGTAATGCATTCTTTGCAGCTTGCCTGGCAACTGCAGTAGCTTGCTTCTTTTCATCCTCTTTGGCGGGTTGATGCGTGCTTGAGATGGGCTTCCAGAGAGGACTTTGGAGGAACTGCCGATGGTGCCCAAATGAATTGGATTCTCCTTTGTCAGACAGGAAAGATGTGTAGAAAGAAGCCGTTGAAAATGTCAATTTATTACTATTCATTACATAAGAGAGAAAGGATGCTTGAATGGAAGCATAGGGAATCTGTTGGCAATTTATAGTAGCCAAAAAAAAAAAAAAAAAAAAAAAAGATTTTCCTCGTATTTAGTGGCGCATCCAATCGATACGACACTTGAAATTAGTTTGGTCGTTCTGTATAGAGATGAGTCCTATAATTGTGAGAACACCCCGCAATTCCTCATTGCCATCTTGATAGAGTTCAACTCCAGTTTCCATCATCATCATGGAAATAAATCTCATGATGTTTTAGATGTTTCAGGGAAAAGACAGAGGAGCTTTTTTGACGCAATACAACAGTGCACAATCAATTGACTCTCATCTTATTCATTAGGCGTATATATTGCTTGTTTGTATGAGTCAATTGAAATGAGTGCTTAGTTGGCAGTGAACTCAAAGAGAAGACTAATAAAGGAGGCGCTGGATCGATTGGATCAGAGAGAACAATAAAAATCGTGTGGTCCGGGAACTTGAGGAACATCAAAGTGCTCAAAATAGGTATTTAAACGAATGGACGTTTCGCTGCAACAAGGTCAAAGCATGCTCCCATACCTAACATTTCGTACCCTTGCATAGGCTATATGATTTATGCATTGAGTGTATTGTGAGTTGTTGATAGAGTTCAAGCCTGGCGTCAATTCCATCTAGTATGAAATGCCACATGCCAGGCACATGTCTGCTTGATAGCTGCACATTTTAATGCCGGAAGCTAGAGCCATGGTCAGTGCGTTTATGAGACCATGTCACTGAAAACGAGGCACATTTCTTTAAAGTATATATTTATTTGCATAATTCATATTTTTACATGGGCATAGGATGATGACTATTTACAACAATTTAATGCATGGAATGATTGCTTTGGTTTGCACCAGCAACAACTACTTGGCCGTGGTGATTCAGTAGAACCGGTCTATTGGAAGTACTTGGCTTCAGATCTGGCATATGTTGACGGATCACGTCTGTGTGGTGTTGCTGAGCAGAAGCATAGACGCCCAAGCCGTACCTGCTGCTTGTCGTTTGAGGCTGTGGAGTGAGCATGGTTGCTGGTTGCTGTTGTGGTTCATTATTTTTGTTGGCTTGCTGGTCCCACAAAGAGTACAGTTCTGAGTCTGCCGTCATGTGTCCGTTTCCAACAGCTGTGTTGCTGCTATCAGCACCCGATACTGTCGTGTCGAAACTACTGGCTGCCTGCATTGTGTTGGCGGCAGCAGAAGACGACGAGGAAGGGGCCGGTTCAAAGTGCTGCTTTTCTTCTTTTTCCTGTCTGATTTGCTGTCTGGTGGAATTAATGAACGAGTTGTCTAAATGATCAGATGAAAACTGCTGTAATCCGTTTTCGAGCGATGTTCTTGACCAGATGTTTGAATACATCTCCATTTGCTGTTGTTCCTGGTTCGGTGTTGGCTGCGACGATGAATTCTTGCTGTGGTTGGGAGAGACAGCAGGCGATCGCCATGCGGTTGGTGTTGATGAAGTTGTTGCAGGTATTTGGAAGGTTGTGGGTCGAGAGTAGGGATCCATGAGAGGCGTTGCTGTCGTCATGGAAGTGGTGGACGAATGTGGTGCTGATAAATGACTGTAGACATGGTTCATTTGCGATAGTGAGGAGTGTGGACGTGCAATGTCTTCATCACGAGACACGGCAGACTTTTCCAGAGGAGCCGAGGCAGTGCTAGATGTAGGCGATACAAGTCCATAGGGTAAAATACCATTACTGTTGTTGTTAGCCCTCGCTGGCCAGCGCTCATCTACGCTGGAATAGTGGTCCATTGGCATGGGTACAATCGTATTGTGTGTGGATGCTGATGCAGTTGTTCGAGGAATGATGGGCGACAAGACATGGATCTTTGGGCTGCTATTTCGACTACTGCTGTTGCCGGTGTCAGCATCGACCAGTGCCTTTTCAATCGTGGTAGCAAAGTCTTGAATACGATCAAGCACCCGGTGATGAAGAATAATCCGCATGGAGCGCAAGGAGCGCTGAAACATGAATCGAGCATGGCGGGCAGTGCTGGTCTTTTCATCTGCGCAATTCATAATGTGCACACGGAGGGCAGCCATGATTGCTTCGGCCATGAAGGCGAAGGAGATGACAAAGGTGGGCTGCTCTGCCATGGCGCAGGTCAATTGAGTGAGATTGGTGGCCACTGAAGCACAGCGTTGCTGAATGATCAGCGATGCAGGTGAAGAACTGAGTGATGTGGATGCGATAGGCTGTAAAACGGAGATCTCCAAGAAGTTGAAGACGAGATGCAGATGAGCTACAAGAGCGTTCTGGGGGGGCTGTGTGGGTATCGTGTCATTGTTTGTGTTGAGAGGCGTCCACTGCAGTGATGGCGGCAGATTTCGCAGCCAATAAAGCAACTGTCCGTCGAGATCAAGCACCAGCTGTTCGTTTTCAGGCGACCGCAGCATGCCCGCTTGCCGATCTGGAATCTCGAGTTGAAGCACCCGCTCGCTGATTTGCATCAATTTGATGTGCTCTAGAAAACAGGTGTTGACATCAAATTCGCTGCTGTCGTCAGTACCAAGCACCACAGGGAAATCAATATCAATGTCCTTGGAAGACAGTAAATACGGTTTACCAGCAACCAAACTCTGCACCTTATCTAAGCAATAACAAACCCAATACGCCCGCTTACGAAGCTCAATGTCATCCGGAGTCGCACCAGTGTTATGAAAGCTGTATCGTTTGTGTAATTTGAGATCGTAACACATGCGGCAGGCCATGTCACGGTAGATGCAAGCCTTGCTTCTCCCAATAGGAGGACCTGTGCCATAGCGGTTGGATTCAAATGTAGACAAGAGGCAGAGCGAAATGACCAGACTGAGATTGGGGGTATCGATGTAGGTGTCTAGCAATGTCTGGGCAGTTTTAAAGTAGTTGTCTGCTTCCGTTGCATCTTCTTGCGAGTAATGAGCAGCATTGCAATACATGCTGTTTAGCAATAAGGGCGTAATTAATGCATCTCGATGCTCCAATAAGCGATAGAATATGGATTTGGGAAGAATCGGGAAGATGGTATGTCGGTGACGGAAGAAGAGGGCCAGCAGGTTATTGTTCAGGTTGAGAAAGGATGCTGAAGTAGGCTGCGCTGGTTCATTCATGGTTGTTTCCTCGGCACCATTGAATAACAGGTTGATATCAACTAACCATCGACCTTCTCTACCCTCACCTGGCCACATCATGCTGAGTCTCTCCAGCTGCTGAAACGTCTTGTTCAACTCGCCTTGCTCTTTGGATTTCTGCTGTTCCAAACTCACGTCGTTGGCATGCTGACATTCATCGTCCATGCATAAGAGTCTCTTTTTGGAGGCAGATGTGGTTGAAGAATGGTTTGTGTACTGATGAGGCTGCTTGGGCTGTCTGTCATCTTCCACACTGGAATTGTTGGCGGGATAAGCATCAGGCAATTGCTGAGTTTCGTCCACAGTGCCATCTTTGGAAAAGGAACAGGGCCTTCGTCTTGCTACAAGAACGAGCACAAGCGTTAGATGCATGCCATGCTTTGTATCAATAGCGTCAGCCTACCTTTACACTGTGACATGTCAAGCATGAACAAACCATCCCACATTTAGTAAACGAATCCTACAACCATCCACATCCAACAACTATTTACCTGCATACAAGGTTGAACTCCATCACACTGTGGAAATCGAAAGCAATTTGGTGAGCAAGTGGATGGCATGAGCTTTGCAAATGTGCGAGGTTTTTACCTTTATCTTCTTGACTCGACATGTAAAGCAGGCTCTTGACACTTTGAGCCGCTTTTCCCTCAGTGGATGTGCTTTTTGTTGGTGAACTTGAAGAGAATTCATGGCGAGAAGGGTATTTGTGATGAAAAAAAAAAGGGAAAAAAGGGAAAATGAAAGTTTTTTCCTTTACTGAAGACGAAATAAAAGCTTTTTCAATGAGAGAGAGACATTCTCGCATTTCTTTGGACGAAAAAAAAGGGTCCATGTGTCTCATAAAACACTACCTTTAGGTAAGCTCCGCTTATCCAATCCAGGCCTCAGATGCAGAAACACCCGAGGGAAAGGGCCCTTCCTTGGACCCTGTAAAACCAAGCTCTACCCTGAAGAAAAATAATGAGGTGACATTGTGCTCAGCTAAACATTCTCGTCGCACGTGCGGAAGAAGAGCCATCTTTTGCTGCTCATTGTAAAATGGAGCAACATGTACATCATCACTGGATCGTATCCAAGTGCGATTTGCCATTTGCTTTATAAAAAAAATATGAGATACCTGTATACTGGAATGCTTGAATACATGTGCTGAGAATATAATCATGCACGCAACAAATAGTCGATGAGCAGCAGAGCACAATGTACGCCGGGTTCTTCTCTGCTTCATTCAAGTAGTCGAGTATTCAAGTCTACTTCATCAGTCGTATTGATGGATGATTGGGCTGAATGCCTGTAAAAGGAACCTCGGTAAAATGTGTGCTTATCTAAACGAGTTCTGTGTTTCAAGAAGGGTGCACAAGTCAGGGCTGGCTGCTTGTGCGACGATTTGGTAATGAATTTCATTTCAATCACGGCATTTCATAGGTTGGGAGGAGTGTACCTTGGTAAATGTAGTAATTCATGTTGGTTTTCCCGTGGCACAAAGAAACGAAACGATGCAAGAACGAAGCTTGCAAGCATTGTTTGCATACAGCTGTAATTGATGTGCCAATCTAGAAATCCAATATAAACAAGGCCAAATAGTGTAGATCAATAAAGATGGTAGATATACCTCAAATGAGGGCTGTTTACGTAAATTTCAAGTAAATAAACATTTTGCACTGGCTTTCCAACATCAAATTCTCGTAGGGAACTCCATGTGTCAACACAGAATTAAGCCAGTGTGAACATCATTGATATTTGGTTGAAACCTAAATCAATTAATGATTACAGATTAGATCCATTCATATGCCAGATAGCTTGTATGCGGGTGGTCATGTCAAACAACAGCAGGCGGGATCAAGTAATAACCCAGCATGCCTATATATGCAGTGCTACGACAGTCTGAACTTATATAATACCACATTTCTCTATTTGACGCATCGATACGAGATGATCACAAATTCTGCTTTAATGACCGTAACAAGTAACAACAACAAATCAAGTTTTTTGTATTATGTAAGATTGGATTATCATATCAAGCCCTCTAAAACCGCAACAATTACTCAAAAGTGCTCATTTGTATTCAAGCAACCCTGATGCTTATGTACTCAGTTTCACTTGTACGATAATTGACCCTTCTATTATCTCGTTGTGCATGCAAACCAGTATATGGCAAGGTACCACACTATCGAGTGACATGGTTGTGGACCACTGAAACACAGGTACAGTCCATCTCATGCGAATGAAAGTCGCACCAATAAGCTCATCTAATGTTTCAAGACGTTATTCGTCATTTAATGCAACGTTGACAGTATAGCCTCAAGTGCTATCATTGCATTCTCTAGGCATGGCTTTTTTGTTGTACCCTCATTGAAGCTCAAAATGCTGGAGCTGCATTTGATGCCAGGCTCTGAACATTAGAGTCGCTTACAAATAGGCTATGCAGATTGCAAATCACCCCGCTGTTAACGACTAGCCCAATATACACGAATAGAATTTCAGCCGCTTTTTCACGAAGAGCATATCAAGCAAGAGCTAATCATGCGTATAAAAGACTGTGTTAGTCATCCGAACGCGTTAAAGACTAATGCATCCGTATTTATGGCTTTCAAAGCTTGATTTTTATTAATAAATGCTTGATGCTCAAACAACATGAAGCCTTCACTTCACGAAACTTCTGTTCTCAAACAAACAAGATTATCAGCATGAAACTAAACTTCATGATGTATCTGTTGTTTTGCACTCAAGACCTCAGAGGACGACGAGTGTATACAAAACAATCCATGCGAGGTAATCACAAGCCTACTTTTCATGATTTTGAAAGCAAAATAAATGGGGTGTTGCACGATTCAAAGGCTCCAGAATACGCCAAACGAATCCTCAGAGCTCGCTGTTACTTTCAGACGCATTTTTAGAGAAAAAATTGGGCCACGGAAAGTTGGCCATTTTGAGCCGTTTCTGATGAGGGTACACTTATCCTAACTTAATGGATATGCTATTATCCGAATTTTGACCTGCAAAAAAGCAATTTTTATATATGGTATGTATTAATACAAAATGTGCAGAAATACTCGTATTAACGCCTGCAACTACATTTTCAAGGAATTCTTAATGAAAAATTGCAATTTTGTTGTATGCTCTGATTTTTAAAATGCTTGGTCAAATGCACACTTGTGAGGTGTACACATGCGGAAGGTCAACGGAGCTTCAATTTCTAATATTCTGAATGATGATCCATGGGATTTCGAAATCTATCGACGACAAAATTACTTGATTCTTGATAGTCAACACGCCTTCAAACTTATATAAAATTTGTAGCGAATTCAAATTGAATACAACGGTACCCATATCAAGTGTCTGGTGTACATTGCTAAACTGATGTTTGATGAGATAAATCTTGCACTTCTCGCGTAGAAACACATTTTTCTATTAATAAAAATTGCTCAAAATTCATGGTGAAAAGCATGCACAAAAATAATATCATTAGATTTCAATTAAAGTATTCTACAGCAGTACTTAGACACAGAATGTATGTTTATTAGGCATAATGGTGAGGAGCTCCTCAAACTACGTCAAAATTCGGAAAAATTATGCAGCCAGGGCTCACTTGACGAAAATGAAAATCAATTGCGGCCTTTAGTTTTGGTGGTTGCTGCTGCTATCCATCATCACGCTAAGCATGATACTGATGCTTGTTGCCCTGCTGACGGAACATACACTTTTGAACGTAGCAAGCCAAGCAAACTGCAACTTTGGCTCTAAATCCAAAATCATGTGATATATTACTGTCATTCAATCATTCAATCATGCAACCATCAGGCAGACAGCAGAGACAGTCCCTGTGATTGATTGTTGTGTAAATGATGTGTATGATCAGCTATTTATTTGCTTTTTCTCTATCCTTTTTTTCGTTTATTTTATTCATACAGTTACAGTTACATACCATATGCGAAGTGCAAGGCTAATACATATTATATTCTTCGCAGCCTGTTTGAGCAGTACAAGAGAGAAGCAATCAGCATTTGCGTTTCAGACTGACAATCCGCAGGAGCAGCGTGTGTTTCACCAACAACAGCGACAGCAGCAACAAGCAAGCAGTAGCTCGATTCTATCACCGTTCTCGTACGAATGGATTCAGTTGCTAGAGCAGTTTCACAACACGCTAGGACACAGAAATACATCCAAAGACGACGACGCTTGTTTATTCCCGGTGCCAGCTTTTGATTGCGAGCCCTTCATCTGGCATGACGCTATATTGAATAGAGATGCTTATCATTTGCGGCCCAATGTATGCATATAGAGCAACTTTTCAGAAAGAAAAACGACGAATAACCCAAATTATATAGGACATCAAGGCTGTCATTGCCATTGGCGACAGCATCAGCGCAGGATTTGGCATGATCTCCGGCAAGTATACATTATCAGACTACATTTTCTCAGGCAAGTATAGTAATACGACACTTTTATATAGGGAGACCACCCTTCTCGACTATTCTTGAATACAGAGGAAAGGTATTCTCAGTTGGAGGAGACAAAGGAGAATACACAATCCCAAATTATTTGTCAGCATGGACAAATGCATCTAATAAAGGGCCACCAACAGGTTATACATTACCGCTTTCTCGGGGTAAACAGCTGGATAATGCAGTGAGTGGATCGAAAGCCCAGGAACTAGACGATCAAATTAGTCGACTTGTGCATTTGCTGAAGGCTGAAAAGTACAAGGACATTCGAGATGAGTGGAAGTTGATTACGCTGTTCATTGGAGCCAATAACGTGTGTGTTTTATGCGAGCCACCTATGAGCACATTGCCAGGATTAGCTGAAGCCGATGTATTCGAAGAGAATGTTCGACAAGCATTAATGAGAATCAAAGATCAAGTCCCCAAATCGTTTGTGAATCTCGTGGCTCTATTTAATGTAAGACAAGAAGGGTTGGAATACATTTCCCGATATTAAATGTGGTATTTTTAGGTCTCCAGTGTCTATGAAGCTTCTCGAGGCGATCCCTACTGTGAACTTGTATTGGATCCATCTCATATGGTCATATGTTCTTGTATCCAAGGCGATGAGAAGCAAAGGAGAGGTGGGTATATTGCATTTAATTTGCAAGCCAAATGTCATTCATTTATACTTGTCGCCTATAAATAGCTGCTGATCGTGTTGTCAATGAGTATAATCTAAGATTAGAGAAGCTGGAGCAAGAATTCAAGCAACAGGATACAATGCAATTTGGTCTTAGTTACCAACCTGGCTTCAAGGAATTCCCTATAGCCAAGTACAAGCAATCTTATTTTAGCGGTGTCGACTGGTATAAAAATGGATCACTTGCGAATACAGCACATTGTAGATTGACTTTTTTGAACATAGCTTCCACCCTAATAAGTGCGCCAACCAGCTGATGTCTATACTTTTGTGGAATGTAAGCTTCTTGCTGTATAGCGTCTGTCTTTATCCATTGCACATCTAATATCTATTTTACATAGAATATGTTTTCAAACAAACAAGACAAGAAGAAGGAGTATGATGTTGAGACACTAGCATTTGTATGTCCCAGCCCTGCCAACCCGTATATTCAATGAGCAAGCTGTTGCAAGAACAAGACCAAAGTAACCGTGTACCTTCTGCACTACGTTTCACCGACATGGTCTATCAAATTAGTTTTGTGAAGCACATTTTATATAATAAAAAAAAAAAAAACATATATAACATGCCTTGGTTTTGCCATCTCTCTCTTCTTGCTCATTTTTCTTTCTTTCCTTTACATTATCCTCATAATACATACTTTCATTCCATCACCTCTAATGTTTCGTTCTCGTAAATACTCTCAAAGCACCTCTTCTCCAGTCAAATCCACTTCGTCACTTTCCTCTGGAAATGCATCCATCAAAAGACCTGCCACCGTTACATCTGCTGAAGAGCAGCCATCATACCAATACAATGACGACGAGGAAATCAACCACGATGAGATCATCGACTTGCAGGCACCTCAACAGCAACAGCAGCCTGACTTGACCATCGAATCCATGTCGGCTGTACTTGCCGCTGCAGTTCAAATGTCTGCTGCTGGCGGTGCTCCGTCATCTCTTTCACTTGGAAGTGCTTCCATCTTACAGCCATTCGCTAAAGCCGAAGAGACCAGCGTGAAGCGTAGATTCTCTGCTCGTCTGTTCATGAATCCCTGGAAGAAATCATCAGTCGCAGCATCCACATCGCCCACGACACCCACGACGCCTGGCTTGGAGCCTTCTTCTCCCTTTGATTCATCCTTGGACGACGATAATTCCTCTCAAGGATCTCCCCGTAGCTCCTCCATCTCTGGCTCAAGGACATCAACCACGACCACGGTTGACGACGGTCGTGATGAGTTATTATACCGTGGTATTCAGATTAAAGAAATCAAGACCACATTAAAAACCTTGGTGGTTTCTGATGAACAACGTTACCCAATGCCTGAGGTTAGGCTCGAAAGACCTGGCTTTGCCCGTATCAACTACTAAGTTGACCATATCATACCCTTACTTACAAACACCTTCATCCTATATTCTGTATCATATTTGTCCAATAAAAACCTCCATTCTACCATTCAAAATGTAGACAATAGCATATGGTATTACAATTTTAATTGGAAAAAATCATGTTATGAGCGCATATCTGATTTGACAAAGAGTATCGCCCCAGTATATAGGCTTGTGTGTGTGTGTGTGTGTGTGAGGTGGTCGGATGTTCATCAAAGCACACGACAATAAACAGTCGACTGCTTTATTACTGAAACTTGCCATTATACACCTTTTATCGCCACTTTTTTTCTGCTATTTTCCACTTTATGGTGAGCTTACGAGATATTGTCAAATCGATCACACAATCTGTTCGAAATGCAACAGCAGAATCAGAGGGGCAGTCCTCTTTTGATACCATAGAAAAATACATTGACGAGCAAACCAGTGCCAACATTGGAGACACCTCTCTTTTGGCTTCAGTGGATTCAGCTTCTGTCGACAAACTATCGCAAGAGCTGGTTACGCTATACGAAACAACGATTGGCGCTAGCAAGAACACGAGTACTGCTCATCCAACATCACAGTCCTCAGTAGCAGCAGCAGCACCCACACCAGCAACACAAGCTACCGTCATCTCGTGCAGACCAGACATCGAGCGCACTCATGCACAGCACTATATCCTGCTTCGTTCGCTGAGGGCATTGCTGCCTATACTGCGACCCACCAGAATATTTGAGGACTGGTGGCATCTACTGAAACCCATCCTGACATCTGCTTGCTATACCACTCGCATCAAAAAGGAGACACGATTGATTATTACAGACTCGTTGATCATGGAGCAGGATCTAGTGCGAATCCATGAAATGACAGATTGCGTCTACTTTCATAAAATAGTCAACACTTACTTGGAGTGGGGAGAAAGCAGCTATCAGAGACAAGAGGAAAGAGACGAAACAAGCAGACAGCATCAAGCCTTGTTGGATTTGGATCAAGATGAGTGGTCCAAGAATCTCACCACTATTCTGTTATCGGTGGGTGCCTCAGAAACGAAGGTGAGTGCGTTATGTTGATGTTGCAGTCATTGCATTAAACAACTGGGTCTGCAGCAATTCTTTCATCTGCTGAATAGATACTTTTTGTCCAGCAAGCATCGATTGCAGATTGTATATTTGCTGAGTGAGTTTATGAGGAGACGAAGAACACACCTACACGAGATCCTAGATACCCCACTATTCGAATCCATGCTCAAGTCGTTGATGGTAAGACAGTGCACTTGGTCTATTTGAAAAACACTTACTCAATCGCTCTGCTTTTCACAGTACGATAATTCGACTACTTTGATCGCCATTTCAGTGACAAACCTCATCATGTTGCTGCCAAGAATGTGTACCTCGTTGCCCCAATTTTTGCCTCAATTATTCTATATCTTTGCAAGAGCTATCTGCTGGGATCAATTAAGAGATCTTCGAAAGAAACAAAGCTCAGACTCTTTTGCTTATCCCTCGCCCAACAGAAAAGTAGCAGATGGATGGGATTGTGTCGGTATGGCATTCTTGCTCTGATTTGCAGTAGTGGTTTGACTGACATGTTTTTATACAGATTATACCTTTTCAAAATTATCAGCCCCTCCTTCCAACCCGCAGACAGGCGCTTTCTTTACATCGCTCTACGGCCTGTATCCGTGCAATTTTCTCAAGTTTTTATACAAACCCTATGTCTATTTCAAGGAAAACGACTTTTCATTGCCTGAAGAGTTTGACGAAGAAACGTTCAAAGCTAGAACCATCGTAAGTTGGATGCCTGTGTCTGTTGAGAGCAGTTTGACTCAGTTGAAAACCATACATAGCCTCAAGTGACCAGACATATGTTACATCCCAGTCTAGTAGTAATGGACGCACAAACTGAATTGACCGACAAAACTCGTTGGATGAAAATGGAACCACCAGATGTGATTGCGCAGATCATGGGACTTGACCTGACCAACGCGGCTTCCAGAGTAGCTTTCACAGCAAGTGAAGAGGCAGAGGAGAACAAACAGCTGGATCTGTTGGATGAAACGCTCTGGTGTGAAGCAAAAGAGGAAAACAAAGAGTCTAAGCGATCGGAGGGACTCTCAGATGATAGCAGTGGATCCATAGAGGCACCACAGCAACCACCGCAGCAGCAACATAACAACACTGCTAATAGACCGTACATGATTTCAAACATTGTGACATTGCACAAAGCACTCAAAAGTGGAGCTGAAGTGTTGGTGGGCGATGATGTCTGGGATGCAGTTGCAGAGCCTACACCGACTACAACAACACCTTCTACGCCCATGGCCAACACCACGACGCCCTCCAGCACGGATCAGTCTATTGATATCAGCGGCATGTCATCAGAGACTAAATTACTTTTGGCAGCTTTGAAAAGAGAAGTGCTGTTGCTCAGAAACGAGCTGAATTTTGAACTGTTTTTAAAGCAACAACATCTTCAGCATATAGGACGCCTTCATCGTGAGCATGTGCTTGATACATCTGTGGAAGCAGAGAGACAACAACTGGTAAGAATCACACATGTCATTGCACCATTATTGATACTCATCTGTCGCACTCAGTACAACACCACTCGCATGTTGAAAGCACAACTGAATCAGACTACATCTGCTCTGGAAAAGCTGAAAGCCGAATCAGCATTAACCAAGCAAAAACACATTAAATGGGAAGATGAGCAATCAGGGAAGCTGCGCAATTACCGTGAAGCGCGCAAAGAGTGGCAAAACCAGATGGCTAGAGCAGCGCATCAAGTGAAGGACTACGAAAAGCAGCTCAACGAACAGCGCATTCAACTAGACAGTGCTCGGCAACGTGTGTTTGAGATGGAGAACGAGCTCAAGACATTAGAACCGACATTGAATCGAGTGACTGAAAACGAACATCGAGTGAAGCAGCTGACACAGCAGATGCTGTTATGGGAGGAGGATACTATTCATATGGAAGAACAAAAGAGATACATCAAGGGCCTTTTGTCGCAATGGTGGAGTATGGAGGAGTTGGTGGCTAGTTTGCAAGCTGAAAACAGACGCTTGCAAGAGGAACAAATGTAAGTAATATTTCATAGCCTTGATGCTGTGCTGATGCGAACATTTCAATTTAGTCATAAAGAGGAGCGCTTTGAGAAACTAAAAGTCGAACTGACGGACTCTCACACAAAGATGGAGAGTCTCAGCAAGACGTTCAACTGCACCAAAGACTCTGTAAAGACAGAAAAATTGCAGCAGACCATCAACCAGCTCAAATCGAGATTAGAACAACTAGAGGTATGGGTTTCGATCCTTCGCTTTCTTGTTTACTGATGCGTGTACATGTTTAGATTGAAAAGCTCGAGTGGAATGCTGAAATAGAAGCATTGCAGTCTAAATCAAACAGTCTTCGGGAACAAGTTGCATCATCTACTCCATCAGAAGAATAAAAATATAAACGTTTCAACATACCCATATTTTATACAAGGGGAGGGGGGGGGGGGGTTGCTTTTATTCGCGATGTTTGTATAGAGCTTTTTGGTACCACACGAGAGAAAACCTTTGACACAATTCAAACGCTGAAGTATCGAAAAGGTACAATTCTTTTCAAGCACAGAGTATATTCAGCTTGGAATTTCAAAGCCAAATCGGCTTGTACAGTCTCGGCTGTAACCACATTTGCTCCGTATCAATTCATTACTATAGAACAGTAAGCCCTTCCGTTGCATCAAAAAGCTATTATCAATCGCTGTTATTCAAACAGCAAAGAATGATTGGATCATGTTAAATGAATAACACGTTTCCCTTCCTCTTCTTGCCACTACCATTTCTTTTACTCTTACCTTCCTCACTTTAGTTACGTACAAACCAACTCAATCGAATCTTGGTAGTCCAGCAGAGGCCTTTCCAACGACGAGATGTCGTCTCACAGGGCCAAACAAGTACGCGTTTCAAAGTTAATATGGCCCTTTTCGTATGCTCCGATTTTTAAAATGCTTGGTCAAATGCATACTTGTTTGTCAAGAAATGGGACACTGCTTCAACTGACATTGTCATTTGATGGCATTGCATCTACCGCCTAGAAACAGGGTGACAGTCGACATTTGCTATCGCAATAGTGCGGGTTGGTGATCTTGTCGTAGACTGATCGGTAACTGCTCTCAAATGACGTATAAACCTTCTCAGAACAAATTTAATTAAACTCTATATACAGTTGATACTTCAGGTCCATGTTCAGAACCGCATCCTTCATACATGGAGCTTGCCGTGTCTCATAAAAAAGATCGACCTCAGGGTCGCTAGAATAACAGCATGGTTATTCCCTAAATCTTCAACCAACAACAATTGACAAAATGTCGATTGTTGTTGGTAGAGGAAGGACGAGTTTGTGCCAATCTAATATCCTCTTCTGCTCAAATATCCTTAACGAATTCCGGGGCACAAGATGAAAGGTTGTGGTAACACGCTCCAACATCGACAGCCAAAAGTCTGCAAATCCTGCTATTTGGCTTGATATATACATCCACACTCCTGTTCTTCTCTGCTGGATGAACGCCTCCTGTTTCTAGGTCAAGTCTTTCAATCATTTAGGTCCATTATTATCTATGCGCATTGGGCCCAACAGCACTTGGGTTCATCAGGTGCCTTGTGATAGAGGCGTTGGAACGGTTGTCCCAGGCCGGTAGACACCTGCTACGTTTCGGTCTGAAGTTTAGATGAGGCACTTTGTAGTTTATTTATACGTTCCTCGAGGATTCTTAATTAATGGAGCACCACGAATGCAAATAAAAATGACATATTCACTCTTTGACAGTGCAAGGAAAAATCAGCCGAAAGCAAATGGGGGGGGGGGGGGGTTTGCGGTTGCCCGTAAGATTACAAAGAGCCTACGGAAAAGTATACTTGACAATGGGAAAGGGTTCAAGATTCAATGCCAAAAATATTATCCTGGTCATATAAAAGGCTGATTAATTGTACGGAGCTCTTTGGATTTACAAGTAATTTATGCAAAATATATATAAAGAAGCTTCATTCTGTCCTTAATCGTATGGCACGGTCATCTAGAAGCTAGAACTGCTGTAGTTAGAATATCACTCAAATTAATATGTATATATAGTATCCGTAAACCTAGCCCTGACATTATTAAAAAAAGAGTTTCCACATCATTCCTTGGCAATATGGAATGGCTAGATCTGTTGAATGTAGAAGAATACTCAAATTACCAAATATGGTAACTACCAAATATGGTAACCAGTACGCCTAACCCCATTGTATTTGAGATTCTGATTCTCTATCTCTAGAATAACGAAAGAGATTCATATACGGGCAGATATAATACTTGCATTGTCTCTTGATGCCAAAATTATACCAAAAATAAACGAAATTGGGATACAATTTGGCGATAGACATACAATTTTAACGTACGGAACGTAAGAAGATTGCCAATCAAATCCTAAATGCATATGACACTTACAGTAACGCTGGTACGTTTTATGCTAAAAACCTTATGCTTCGCGTGCAAGGAAGACGTACTTTATTACATGAAGATGAAATGCAACGTATACATTTACAGTTTAAGTCCTTCGTGGTGAAGCTAATCAACGTGTTGCCATATCAGTAATTTAGAAAGAAAAAAAAGGATTTATACAAAATTTAAATCAATTAAATCTGAAGGGAATCATAATGAACAGGGCAACCTTTTCCTTTCTGTAACCACGATGCTAAGCATTTCTGATGATAAGAGCACAGACAAATCATTCTCGATATTTTATCACCTAAATGAGGTCCTTGTCATTAGTGAATGCATTTCACACACCTTGATTTGCTCCCTTACCTGCTTCAAACTCTTCGAAACAAATGGGGCATTCATCATCAATTTGTGTTGATTCTTGTGATAATTGATACACTAAAAGAAAGATAAATAACGCCATTTCTATTCTCCTTCCAACGATAAAACTTACCTATATAGCGTGGGGATTGCACGGGTGGACTGCCTACGTTCAGACATCTCTGTAAATGCTCCTCTTGTTCACCTTTTTGCATGCCCAAAAATGTACTTCCACATACGGGGCAATCAATCATTAAGCTTTGGCTACTGTCTGTGCGTCTCATTTGTGATCCAAAAGCCATGGGCCTACTGTTAGAGGATCGATGGCCCCTTCGTTGATGTGATTCAGATGAACGACGTATAGGTTCTCGATAGCAAGTGTCACAGACACGCTGAGATTGTGAAGCTAGTAATGGATACTGAGAGGGTGATACCATAGGATCTTCGATTAGTTCTTCTACAGGCAGTCGGATTCTATTTGAACTGCATTTGTCGCATACAATTTGTCCACAACGACTATTGAATTCATGCTATACGTTAGTAACACTTGATGCTTGTCATGGCTGTTTGCATATTTTACCGGCAATGGTGCCTTCTCACTAGGAAATTAAACCGTCTGTGGCAGCGTCGACATTCAGGCGCTTGTCTATCCATCTCCCATACTCTTTGCGACCGAGGCAAGAGATTGCCGTTCAAGGTACTAGGGCTTACACTACTAACACTTCGGCCTCTTGGGGAATAAGGTGTGCTGTTTGTATTTGGCACTGTGATGTTGTTATTACTGCTGCTCGATGTCGCTGTAGTAGCAGCAGGCCTTGATCCACTATTGACAGTGTCTGTGGGTGCTATCGAATGACTATCAGATGACTCTCGTTCTGGATCTGCATGCTCACGCTCAATGGTTGGTATATTCGAGTGTATCTCCTCTTGCCCATTCTCCGTGTGCTGCTCTCTATCATATGGTGTAGATGCCTCTATCTCTGCTACTGGTGTTCTTGCATGTTCACTTGTATCGGTGCTCAAATTGTCCATGTGGGTAACCAGATTACCAACATCGTAATGCTGTACGTTCTCCTCTGTCATGTCCTCCTCAGAATCGGATCCACCATTCTGATGCAATCTCTTGTGTGTATTTTGGGGCGGTAAGGGCGTGCTGTTTACATGAATGATATTGGCAGCAGCCTCTGTAATATCTCCCTCTTCAGGTATGCTGTCTACATCTCGTTCGCTTGTGGTAGATACCGGCTCTTCTGATATGACTTGGTTCTGTAAAGAGTGCTGTGTGATCTCTGTCATTGATAATACGTATTTTAACGGGGCAGAGAAAGAATAGGATGGAACGAGAGCAAATGAAAAAAGGAAAAGAAGAAGAAAAAGAAAAAGAGAAAAGGTACTCTCTTTGCTTACTTGAATTCCAGACAATTTTTATCATGACGCCAGATGCCTGTATCTCTTTTCTCACACAAACCAGATCAAATGCTTACAGCTTTAAAACATTGCTAAAACGAGCTTCCTATAACTTTTCGGCATGTTGCTTGGAAGCCTATCATCTTGACTTCGTTGCATCATCCAGCCTCAAACAATGCATCATTCAAACTTTGGTAATGATGATGCTACGGATTGACATCTATACCCAATCATGCAACAAGTACTCATCGCAACATTTTTAATTTAAAATGTACATTTTCCAGAGATTCGATCTGATAGTAGTAGCGCAGCCGAGACAACATGCTAAAGTTACTAAGCACTTTATATTCTTGCTGCTTACTCTTTGAGGCAGTTGAGATCCCCGTTTTTTTTTTCGAGCTCTTTGCTTTTTAAGATGACTCAAGTATGACATGACGATGGATTGATGAGATCCGCCACCTACCACTACTGTGCAATGCGGTATCACAAAAGCAGTGGCTTCATTCTTGTAAGATGTAGCTTTATGGCAAATAGTGTAAGATGGTATACCGATCAAAGGTTAAATGGGGTGTTTTCTTTGGCAAAATTCGAGATTGAGCATGCTTATTACAGTGTTGATAAGCATTTTCGTGGTCTTGTTACCCAATGATCACATTTTGCAATCTTTGTGTAATCGAGGGATGAAGTGATGCTCCAAGCTGTTCAATCCAAAACAATCGTTTCAAATGTTCGCTGGAAACTAAAGCATCTTCAGTGGAGTACAGAAGCAATGCGATTACAAGTCTGACCCCCCTTTCATGATACGTAAGCTATTTTAGCAAGTATATGATAGTCTTTGGCTTGTTGCATCAAAAGAGCCCACAATCGTTTGCTGATGTATACATAGTTCAGACAACGAGTTGATACAACATGGATCCAGTGCCACTGAAACTACATGGCTGCGCTTCAGTCACTAGAGAAGCAACATCTACATGGTGGTCTACGGTATACGATACTAGCCGAGCTATCTCACTACGTTCGATGTCGGCGTCGCCCTGTGGGCTCTCGCCAAATACATTTTAAATCAGATATAATAAAACTTTGGCATATCAAGTAGATTTTAAACAATCTATTATTAGTATAAAAAAAAAAAGAAAAAAGAAAGGTTATATTAGAGCCACCAGGAGGAGGAGAGGAGGTATCTCCCTCAGTATCCTTTTTGCTTGCACCGATATCAAACGAAGTCTATTACTGAGACGATATGAAAGAAAGTTCAAGTTTTATGCACCATTTGTACACCACAATCTCCATTTTCTGATAGTAGAATTGTCCCATCATTCGCTGCTGCTGATGCTCTTAATAAGATGGCGCATAAAACTGGTCATGCGCAAATACAGGACTTGTGTACGGTCTACAGCGACGTTTTTGAGATATAGTCATTGCAAAATACAGCTTTATGAGGAAAAGCTTCCCCTAAAAAAAGCATTCGAGCTAAGCAATTGTCCTTTCAATTCCATGATCCTCATTTAATCAACATCGCAATTATCATTGCCATCAACAGAAAGGCATTTAGGTCAACCAGCAGCAATGCCGCCGCTAAAATTAATTGAAACTCCGTGTATTTTTTTCTGTTCAAGATTGGACAGATTTCGTCTTTTTTTCAACTTCTTTAATCAATTTTGTAATATCCGACTATATAAACTGTAATGATCACCCTACGCTTCCTAATACATCTTTGAAGCACTTTTCAAGGCGCTTCCAATGGTGCTAATTGTAATAAGCGCTTTGACTGAAATTACTGAGTAATCCAGTAAAATATGAAATGAAGTTTTTAGCGTAAATAGCCATATTTTGCATATGAAAACCTCATAAAAGTGGTTTCATAGGTTGCTTTGGATCGACAGAAACATTTTGATTTGATATATACCATAGTAAAAGTCTTCATTTTCGAGGTGAAAAATGCAATCGTTTGATTTTCGATGAAAACCATGAGGTACCCCTCATGCTTTTTGGTCGATTTTGGGCCATGTTTTTTTTGGACCCAAAAAGTTGAGCAAAGGTGCCAGGAAGTTACTACTACTCAAGTACAATTATTTGGCGTCATTCTGGCGGCTCAAAAAAAGTCTACATATCAAGGTATGAAGGCCTGAAAACTGTTCAATTTGGGTGATTTTTTTGCTTTATGGCTTTTATTTATACGGCATGAACCACACCTCTAGTAGCTGTACTTTCTGGAAGGGCAGTTCTGCAGCTTGTGCAATTTCTAATTCGAATAAGAGGCATATTGATTTTGGTAAGACTAATTCATGCAATTTTTGATGCGTTATTATGTTGTTGGTAAACTTATTAATGATGGAAATGTATAACCGAATTTGCTGCTTGAATATTATGGTTTTTCTCCTTCGCTTCGCTATAGTAAAACCCTCTTAAGGTCAATGTTACCAAATGTTGCCCTAAAGCCACAAATCATTCAATACACAGCCAAATAGCAGGCAAGAAATCACTGTTTTATGTTCTTGGGAGAGGAGCTTCTAATCTCTGATTGGTTACGACGCTTTTGCGTTTAGGTTTACCAGTATAGATAATGATTATCTAGTATATATATATAATGATGAAGCCTGCGCTACACACTTGAATATCAAAAATCTCTTTAATGTTCAGATAACCTTCAGAATGGCATATCCAAGTATAGGGTCTGTTTACCAACACTCACATACAATACAATGGCTTTATAGGCATTCAAATCAGACCTGTCAAAAAGTTACATTTCATGCTGAGTGCTAAATTGAGGCGAGGGAGGAAGAAAAGCAGAATTGACTAGCTTGTTTCGACCCATGTTTTGATTGTTCCCTATACTTTGTACACTATTTTTCTCTTCCAATGTCTATATTGCACCGATTGGGACGACTCCCAGCACGAAATGTATATAAATGGATTCACACTTCAGCCTATCTGAGGACTGCAGCGACAGAATCACCCGCCAAACCTGCAATAGACTCAAAGACAACGACCAGCTTATTAAACTCAAAGCATCATGGCCGTCACCGTTCGTCCAAATTGAAACAAACCATGGCCAAGGCCACGTTACCAGGTAAATCTGATCTCAGTGCATTTTATGGTGCACCGATTGTCTGATACACATCTAAACAGAGTCCTTTTTGTCGACAAATTACACCAAGCATACAGCATTGAAATCACTGCCACCTAAATACGCACCATTTGTACCGGATTATGTGTGGAAAGAACTAGAGTATTCCGTCAGATCAGGGCTGGCACCCAAAGGCACATTGGCGGCGTATGATCATACAGACCATATCGGCCTGACCGTGCCCAACGCAGGAGCATGCTATTTGCAGGACCATATAGTACATCAGCTGGCAGCCAATGTCAATGCTAATGTGCTCACCTTGGATCCTCAGGACTTTATATTCTTGGCTCAACGTAGTTTCAGCAGGGACGGTAGGTGACCATAGAAGAATACACTCAAGTCAATGTCTAATCATTGATGATAGCTGCCGATTTGATGCCTCTCTTTTCATCCAGCGAGCAAGAGCGCAAAAAGCTGCTAGCACTCAGTCAGGAATATCAGGACGAAATGGATAACGCAGACACCATGGATTCAGATGGTGATGTCCGTGGCGCTTTTGGCCTTGTTAAACAACAGCCTCAGGACACAAACCAAGACAATGAGGAGGATGCAGAAGAATACGACGAGGATGACTACGATGAAGATGACGATGAAAGCGCTGACCAAGACGACGGCAAGGTGAAATTGCGAGTTGTGCCTTTTGGACAGCCCACTTCTGCCGGGAAGATCATTGAAGTGCACCGCAACAAGAGAGATAAAGAGGCAGAATCCGTGCTAAGGCACTTATCCAAAAAATACACTCACATGTTCAAACGGCATTTGGCAGATGGCGATAGCAGCAACGACAACAAGATTGTGTATCTGAGGGATTACGGAGGCATCCATGATCAGTTTTCCAAGATACTGTTGAACTCACTTGTGGATGCAGTGGCCGATCTGAAACAAAAGGGACATGCTTTGATCATGATTGCCTCTCACTGTCAGAGAACAAGAAAGCTGGACGAGGATTATCCTGACATATCAAATATGCGTCGTATCTCTGTGCTACCACCGCTGCAGGATGAAGCTCAAGTAGCAGAGTGGACGTCCATAATGAAACAAGACGAAGGTCGCAGAATCAAGGAAATCAACGCAAAGCAGCTGCTGGCCATGTACAACCACAAGAGCACGCTTGGTCTAACAGCAGACAACCAGGGCGATTTGCTCAGAGATCTACTCGCCATGGAAGACCTCACTCTCTCAAAAGCGATATGGACTCCTGATAATGTAGATCGTCGTGTTACGGCAGCGATAGGTCACGCATTGGAAAAGAACAAGACAAGCCTCGATGTGCAAGACTTTGAAGCCGCCAACCGCATTGTTGATCAGTACACAGAGATGCTGGAAAAGAGCACGTCCAAGTTAACAACTCTGCCCAAAGAGGCTCTGAAACTAGAGCCAGACGGAAGCGTGGATTTCGCTCATTTGAAAAAGACGTGCAATGATTTCGAACGCAAGTTGTTGAGCAGAGTGGTGGATGGCAGTAAGTTGAACCGTATGTTTAAGTTTGATGGATGAGTAACACGTGTCTGCTGTAGCTCAAGTCCAGGGATCCTTTCAAGATGTACGTGCACCGCCACTCACTATCAGTACACTCCAGTCGTTGATTTCTTTGCCTTTGATTCGTCCAGAACTATTTAGAAAAGGTATCCTAAAGAAGAACTTTATACCTGGTGTATTGCTCTTCGGTCCACCTGGTACAGGAAAGGTATTTGCTCTTTGTGCAACTGAACAAATGTGAGGAAAAACTCAGTTGTATCTCTTCAATAGACCATGTTGGCCAAGGCCGTTGCCAGAGACAGTGGTAGCCGCATGCTGGACATTCAAGCAAGCGATGTGTAAGTTGAAGATCTGAAGTCGGCAATGCTGTGTACTCTCTGACACCTTCATTCTAGCTATGAAATGTATGTTGGACAAGGCGAGAAAAATGTCAAGGTACACACAGACACAAGCAAATTAGACATGACATGGAAACTCATATACGGCTCTTGTTGTTGTTCCATCTCATATTAGGCAATTTTCTCTCTCGCAAGAAAGCTCTCTCCTTGTGTCATCTTTATAGATGAAGTGGATAGTCTGCTGAACCAGCGTGGATCTGACCATGCAGCGAGATCGCACCGGGAAATCATCAACCAGTTTATGGTGGAGTGGGATGGCCTCTCTAGCCATAATCAAGGCATCATTGTCATGGCAGCTACTAACCGACCCTTCGATTTGGATGATGCTGTTCTTAGACGTATGCCTCGTCGTATTCTCGGTAAAAGATCATGTAGAAAGCAGTGGCACAAATATTTGGTATTTATTGTTTGCTGTTTGTAGTTGATTTGCCTAATGAAGACGATCGTGCAGAGATATTAAAGATACTCTTGAAAGATGAGGATCACCACCAAGTGTTTATAGCAGAGATAGCCAAAGCTACGGAGCACTACTCTGGCTCTGATCTAAAGAATGTCTGTGTCACAGCTGCCCTGAAAGCTGTTCAGGAACAAGTGGCGACAAACCAACCTCAGGCACTGACCATGGAACATTTTAGAGAAGCCATCAAGATGGTGCCTGCTAGTTCCAGCGATGACATGGAGAGCTTGGTTGAACTGAAAAAGTGGGATAGCAAATTTGGTGATGGCAAAAAGAAAAAGAAGACTAGCATTGGGTTCTCTTGAACATATAAATCATGTGCAAAATCTTAATTTTTTTTCCCTTTTACTTCTTTCTCTCTCTTCCCTATACATATCCCCTCACTCGTGGTAAATAGAATATAGACCTGTATACATATAGACATTTAGTAATAAACAAACCCTTAGAAAAAAAAAATGGACTCCAAAAGACAACGCAGATACACCATTGCCAGACCTGAATCAGCCCTGAAAATGCTTACAGAAAACAACGATGCCTTGCAAGAAGAGGATCAGCAATTTGATAGAATATCAGACATTCTATCCAACTTGATTCAAGAGGCAAATCAAGCTGTCTCTATTCCCTTGACACCACCAAGACTAGCCAACACACTATTTATCTCCAGCAAGAAGAAATCATCCAAAAGACCCATTTCATATCCATCAAAAAGGTCACTGACTCCTGTGCCTTCCTTACCATCCACCGTCATGACCACAAAAAGGCACCATGTCACACAGAGAAACAACACAACACCTGTACTATTGGAATCATTCAAGCGGCTGGACTCTTCCATGGCTATCCTTGATTCTCTATCCAAAGACTTGATCGTGCCTGCTGCCAACAGCGTCAAAAAGCAAAGAAAGAAGCACCATCATTTGACATTTGATACTCGACTGTCCACTCTCATTTTGCTGCCACTATTTCACGTACCACATGTGCTTATTTCCATGGTATTTGATACCATCTCTAGCTACGACACCCTGATGCCTGCAGCCTCCTCTGCTACCAGTAGTCAGAGTAATAGCTTCAGTGGTATGCTTATCTGGGCGTTCATCTTTGCTGTCACCAATGTCATTATGGCGGAAAACGCACTTCCATCAGCACCGATGCCGACTTCAGCACACCAAGTTATACCCGGTGCTTACAATGTCAAAAGACGCCGACGAAGCAGTAGTAAACGAAGCGACAGCCCTAGCACACAGTTTTATTTACAACGACATGATCGTTCCATGTGCACATTGCATGGCTCCTCTCCTACAAATAGTGCCATACTGACAGGCAACAAATTCCGTCTATCCAGCACTGTTCATGCTAGACGAAACTCTTTTTGATAAATAAAATAAAGCTTGATTCTATCTCTGTATTTGTATTTACATACTCATTTACATACATTGTATGTACACCCGCACACACATATTCAGGGCATCCAGAAACATGTGAACATTTGAGTGTTGCACAAGGTATGATTATCAACATGTCCCCCATTCAATGTGTGTGCAAAGGAAAGCGGACCGAGATTGGGATCACAAATGTAACCTTGCTATAGACTTGCTGCATAAAAAGAGCTACCTGACAAACCTAAATAGAAAACACCATTATAGGGATATCGTTGTTCTTGTTGAACCTTTCTTGATTTCAAGCTTAGATAGACAAAATGCAGGGCGAAACAACACAATGTATATAAAACATGCAGGTCAATGTCCTTTTGCCTCCTATTTTCTGTTGCTCATAAGAACAATTGAGCCCTACAATGCAATCTCTCTTTTTGTTTTTCGCAACCACAAGTACAAGATGCCAACCGATAGAAACCATTTGTGTTGACTGTCCCATTAGTAGTGTAAGTGGAGAGAGCCACTGTCTAAATCCCCTTTTCAGCTCAACACACCCATTCAGCAAGATAGATATGCAGCTTTTGCCTCTCTTTTGCTTGTTCTATCTACTGAGCTCGTTATACAGGTAACATGCTGAAGTATACACTCAATCTCTGCAGTTTGCTAATAATAATAATAAAAAAAAAAAAAACTCATAGATCAAGCACAGAGTTCTCGAATATCAGCGGACTGGTAATAGATTTGAATATCAAAAATACTCAGGCACAATGGGCTGTTGCCATCTACTACTTTTGTGTCATTATTTTCAACCTTCCATCCAACATTATACTGAGACGCTGGCGTCCATCATGTTGGTTTGGGTTTCTGATGGGGTAAATAATAGTAATTTGAGCTTGTTAAACGTGAAAGGCTAATGAGTAATTTCTAACAGAGCTTGGGGGATCATATCAGTCTCGGTAGCAGCTTGTACTGATTTTAATGGGCTGGTCATTGCTCAATTGTTACCCAGCATTTTTGAAGCAGGTATGCGACATGACACATGCCAAGTCGTACCCGTCATTCACACAAATGACAGGCTTCTTTCCGGGCGCCATCTACTATCTATCGTATTGGTATACGAGAAGGGAGTTTGGCAAGAGAATGGGCATCTTTTGGTCATGTAGATGTCTGGCACGAGGTAGTGGAGGCTTATTTGCATATGGTGTCAGTTATATCAGCAACACACAGATTCATGTTTGGCAATGGTGACTAACTACTGTTGGAGTGTCTGTATGAAAGACTAAATCTGTTAATTTAGGACATACATCATACAAGGAGCTCCATGTGTCGCATTGGCTGTGATAGCTTCTTGGTATCTTCCTGATGGTCCGAGATTACGCCACCTTCCTCTTGATAGAAGAAGGTGCCATTATCAAAAAAAAAGTTGAGAGAAGGTATAAAACGCCATATAGACAAGCTGCTTCAGATTCGCGAGGACTGATCTATCATAACAGACTACTTGACATTAAATTACAATGATTGGTCTTGGGATCAAGTGGGATCCGTGTTTCTAGATTTGAAAACGTACGCTTACATTATACTGTACCTTCTGGGGTCTGCCTGCCTTCAAGGAGTTACCTTGTTTCTTCCTATTGTCATTATGAAATTAGACTCTAAACCGACGAGTTTGCAAAGCCAATTGCTGCTGCTTCCTCCTTATCTCCTAGCTACAATAACAACATTTACGTTGAGCTACAGCTCCGGTACATTTGTATGATTCCAATTTGGTTTGTAACTAATCATTTCCATAGACCGAACGTTTAATAGGTCGTATCATATTGTGATGGCTGATAGTGTTGCCATTATTTCAATCATTGTATTACTGGTATTACCATCCACTGCTTCGTTTCATATCGGACACTACATTGTCACAAGCATACTCGTAGCAGCCATTTATGCCCACATTGCGATTATAATAACATGGATGGTGAATAATTTGTAAGGATATTGCCATGATTGCTTTCGACTGCATGTCGTATGTCTGACTCATTCTCTAATGCAATAGTGTTGGATTTACTCGTCGAACCATTGCCATTGGAGCAACCATATCCATAGGATCAGTTGGTGGAGCAGCTGGAAGTCAGCTATTCAATGGCAAGTTGTCCCTTGAAATATTGGGTAATCTTTGCTCATTCTATGCATGTAGATACCAGCAACTACACATACGGTAAAACAGTCATCATAGTACTGCTGGCGATTGAAATTCTGTCTGTTCTGCTCATGAGACACTGCTTTGCCAAGGAAACAGCCAGGCGATCCAATTTGAATGCAGATGATCGACAATATCAAATCTATAAATTTGGCGGCATTGATCTAGCGCATGACAGACACCCAGACTTTGAATACACACTCTAGTACTGTAGAATGAATACAGACGGAATCAAGCAACTGAAAAACTTGAAAAATGTATGTGTTTATTGTTTTTGTTGGTTTTTAGCAGCAAGAAAATGTATAGACAATAAAAAAAAAGGGGGGGGGGGAAAACTCACAATGAAGAATTTGTTTGATAATAGAATATTAGAAGGTGCGTGATAATGAATATAAAGTAAAAAAGGAAAAAGTGAAAAGGAAGTATGAGCATCTATAATTACAGGTAAAATCAGTGAATGAAAGTATGAAACTATTCTTCAGTCTTCAAAACAGCAACATTTTCAGAGACAGTGGGCATAGCTTCAACTTGATTTTCGATTTTCTTCATCTCCTCCTTCTCCTCTGGATCCTCCTTCTTTTCCAAAGGTGCAACAACGGGTGCTTCTACTGCTGCTGTTACAAAGGCTTCAGCTGGCTGAAATTCAGTGGTGGGCTCCATTAGATTCTTGAGATCCATCTTGACATCTTCCTTCACAAGGTCATTGGCAGCAACATCAATGGGTCCATTGTTAATAAAAGTAGTAGTAGTAGTAGTAGTAGTAGTAGCCTCTTGAATAACGCCCTCCATGGGCTCATGCTCTTCTTGATATTGCACATCACCAGAAACACTGTCAGCAGCAATAGAAGATGGTGCATTTCCGTCATCTTCTTCATCAACATAATCATCTTCGTCATTCATTTCCTCTTCGCTCAAATCACTACGATTGGCTTGATCTTCACCTCCTTCTGTAATCTCATCTTTAGCCTTCTTCTTGCGTCCGCCTGAACCACGAGCACCAGCCATTTGCTTGCGTTTTCTAGATGCGCGCATACTAAGAGGCTTGGGGTTTGTCACCAATTCACAGAGAGAGTCGATACGACGGAAGATGACAAGGTCTCTGGGCCAAACAAACTTGAACAGGTTCAAATCGCCTTCTTCGCCTTCCACATCCTTGCCTCCTTCAGTGAGACTCTTCTTGACATGATAGAATGGTAGCTCGGGGTCTTCAATGATGGACTCTTGACGATTCATGCCGTGCTTACTGACACCTTCCAATAGAGCAATATCGTGTTTAGGCACCTCCCACCAACTAGAAAGACACTGTTAGCCAACATATTCGTTCATAAATCCTACTACAAACATACCTTGGTAGACCTGATGTCTTTTTAGCTCTGATCAAAATGGATTCTAATTCAGGATTCACTAGCACCTTTTCACGAATAATCTCCATCTGTGCAATACGTCTCAAAGAACGACGGGCTTTATCAAAAGGTACAGCATCACCATTGTCATTGGATTCTTCGGGTTCAAGACTAGCTTCACGACTCATGGTGTCTCCATTGTCCTTGGGAGAAGATACAGGCGTGTCCACATCAGCTCCTCCGGCAGCAGAAGAGGCAACACCATTCTCGAGAGCATGCTTTTTGACTGATTCCTCACAAGCAGCATAGACTTCCTTGTAATGGCTGGTAAGTGACTCATCTGTTTTCTTCTCCAGATTGGCAATTTCCTTGAATCGATCCCACCTGTAATCATCGTCTTCACGTTCCACACCAAACGACATGAGGGTCTTGATGAAATCACTCTTGTTCTTCTTGGTCCAACGGTTAGAGACTTCATTTTGTTTGGCTCTTTGTCTTTGCGCAGCACGTGTTTCCTTCTGACGTTGACGTGTTTGACGCTCACTTTCCTTCTTTTGCACCTTTTCCTCCAACTTGCGCTTGCGAGTGTTGTTGGCTCTTTCTCTCAAAAAGGCAGCAATAATGCGACGAAGACGCATGCCAATATCAGCCTTGGATGGCCAGACATAGATCTTGGGCTTGCCCGTGTAATCTTCATCGTCAGACGAGTCGTCAGCCTTCTTGTCGTCGTAATCACTATCGTCATCGTCCTTCTTCGTGTAGGTCTTTTTGGCAATCACATTGACAGGCGTCTTGACAGGCTCCAGAGAGGCTTGTCTGCTGCTGTCAGCATCATCGTTCTTGTCATTGTCCTTGGCATCATCGTCACCGAGGTCACCGGATTGGCTGTCGTCGTACTTTCTGCCATAGAAACAGAGCTCAGGGTCATTACGCATAGCAAGGTACTGCTGATAACCATGCTTGCAGATACCAAGCAAGAGACAACGGTCTTCATTCTCGCCCCACCATCTGGCAGGGGGCAAACCAGTAACCTTGGGCATCTCGAGTACCTTGGCTTCTTCCCAGTCAGTAGGCACAATCTTGTCACGAATCAAATGGAGCATTTGAATACGAAGCAAAAAGTTGCGTCCCTTTCTTTCAATATGATCCACATAGTCTTCAGGTGCTTGGAGCAAGAATGTCTTGAATTCGGCAATCTGCTTCTTGGTGGCGCCAATGTAAGGAATGCCTTCGCCCTTCTTGACTTCATCACGAGCATCGTTGGTCAGGATATTCTCAATATCTTCAATCAACTTGCGGTCTTCTTCGGTCGTCTTCTTGACATTCTTTAGGATGGGGAGCACCTTGCGCATCAATGCTCGAGTCACAGCCTTCAAATCCTTTTCAGAGCGACGAGGGAAGTATTGAGCCATCGAGTCCCACTTGCCATAGCCATAAATCATCAGTTTGCGCTCATACTTGGTCTTTTCAGAGAGGGTCCAGGGACGAACTTGATCACCACGGCCACCACGACGAGGCCTGGTCTCGAGTTCTTCTTCATAGGCAGCATCAGAGTCGGCAGCTTCGTCATTGGAGGAGTAGGAGCCATCCACACCACGAGAACCAAAACGTTGGACTTGACGACGTCTACGAGGCAGAGACACAATCAATTCATTTTCATCAGGCAGTTCAGAGGTATCAATGTGTGCTTTGGCAGCCCATTTCTCCCAGAAATCAGGATCGTCTAAATCAACACCGGCGTTATCATCGTCTGCAGCAGAGAAAGTGGCCTTGGAGAAAACAGAGCCCTTTTCATTGCCTTCATGACGAATCACAGTGGTACGACGCTCAAGAATTTGATCAATATCTTCCTCACAAAACTTGGCACTGGCCTCATCGTCGAGCATGGCACCATAAGCACCCTTCTTTAGCAGATCTTCAATTTCCTTTCTGTTCAGTTCAGCCGTCTTGTTGGCACTTCCATCATCGTGTGTACCCATCACAGCTTTATCGAGACCCAACTTCATACCAGCACGATCAAACATGTCCTTTTCATATGTATTGGCACAGATCAGACGGTAGATTTGAACAGGCTTGGTTTGACCAATACGATGACATCTGGCTTGGGCTTGAAGATCGTTCTGAGGATTCCAATCACTGTCAAAGATAATACAAGTATCAGCAGCCTATAAAGGGGGGATTAGCAGAAGGTCTGACAGCAGTGCGTCTCTAATACATACGGTTAAATTGATACCAACACCACCTGCTCTGGTACACAGCAAAAACACAAAGGATTCTTCGATAGGAAGAGTGGAGAATCTATCGATAGCAGCTTGACGTTGTTCACCTGGAACACTACCGTCAATACGTTCATAGGCATATTCTCTTCCACGAAGATAATCGGCAAGAATATCCAAACAACTAGACCAGTATGTGAGTTAAACAGCACCTACTTGCATTTTAAAAGAGTATTCTTACCTTGTGAATTGGGAAAAGATCAACACCTTGTGGTTACCTTGGATCAACTTTTTCAGCAATTTATCGATGAGCACAAGTTTACCAGAAGATTGGACGAGACAGTTGAACTGCTCTTGATGTCCAGAAGCATTGCACTCGTTGACAATGACATCTTCAGCGCCCTCCAAGAGGTAAGGATGGATACAGCACTTACGAAGTTGCATCATAATGTTGCGAAGATGAGGCATTTCCTTGTTGGACTTGGATCCCTTCTTGAGGAAACTAAAGTTCTTTTCCAGAATAGCACGATACCACTTCTTTTGAGGGTTGGTTAATTCAACTTCAATGACGGTTTCTTCCTTGACAGGAATGGTCTTTTCTACGTCTTCCTTGAAACGTCTCAACATGATGGGTTTCAACAAATACTGCAGTTTCTCTACTTCGTGGGCTGTTTTCAGGGCACCGTATTCTGCAAAGAATCGCTCCTCGTCGTTAAAGATGTCAGGCTGCATAAAGTGGAGCAAACTGTAGAGTTCACCCAAGTTGTTTTGCAAAGGAGTACCAGTCAGCAGTAATTTATGGTCCATGTAGAAGGTCTTGAGCACTTCCAGTACCTTAGAATTCTTGTTCTTAAGACGATGCGCTTCATCAAAGACACCGCAACGCCATGGAATATCCTTCAAAGTCATAGCGCCAGCAGAAGCCATTTCATAGGTGGTGATCAAGACATCAAACTTAAACTTGTTGGGAATTACGTTGCCTTCAGCGTCTTGATAATGGAACTCAGTTTCCACAATCAGATTACGAGCAGTGACACTACCACGGAAGTCAATGACATTCAGGTCAGTCCAGGCACCAAATGCACGGGTCCAATGAGGAATGGTCGACAGTGGCGCAATGATCAAGAAGGGACCACGGATACGAATAGCATTGTAGATATCATTCAACAGAGCGACAGACTGCACCGTTTTACCCAAACCCATTTCATCAGCCAAAATACACGATTTGAAAGTATAGTAACAGAATCGAAGCCAGTTGAGACCTTCCAGCTGATAAGGACGCAATGAATTGCCGTATTTGTATGGTGGAGAATCAGCGTATTCGATGAAACGACTGGAATCAGGTCGAGGAGGAGAGGGCGCCATCTTTTCCTCAGGGATTTGCTTTCTAGCAATAAATTCGTCGAGTAACACGCTGTTGGTTTTGCGAACATCCTCTTCAGTCTCCCAGGTTGATGAATCGTAAAACATGCCGTTCCACTTGACAAGATAATACACCTTACTTTCGCCAGTGTCAGGGTCTTCCAATTCACCGTCATCAATGACACGGTCCATCTAATGGAGACGTAAGTACGCTGCTTTTTCAGTACCGCTAAACAACGTTTTTTTTTTTTTTTACCTTTAAATACTCTTGGAAATCTTCGCCCTTCTCGCCATCTTGATGATACTTTTGCAAAAACTTCTTGACACGGTGCTTACCCAAATGCTCAGCTTCGATTTGCTCAATAGGCACCCATTCGACGTGGAGGAAACTGGTGTGCTTGTATTTGATCAACAGCTCTTCCTTTCCATTGCTCAGCTTTCTGTAGTCCAAAATACGCTCAAACACATGAGTGCCCATAGGAATCATGACAGGCTCATCATCAGCAGCTGCTTGTTGTTTCTTTCTGGATGCGGTCTCTCCATCGCTGTCTTCAAAATCGCTGACAGGAGGTTCAGACTCTTCAGATTCCAGATCAAATTCATCCTCCTCATCAGACGAAGCTTCGTAACCACGTTTCTTTTTAGCTGCATTTCTAGTAGGTCGCTTTGGACGTTCAGCTAACTGGCGTTGCTGCTGTTGTTGCTGCAAATGGTGCTGTTGTTGGAACTGAATTTGGTGTTGATGCATTTGCATCAAAAATTGCTGCTGTTGGTGAGGTTGCAATTGATGGAAACGAGGATCAAAGCCTTGTTGCATCATCATTTGCTGCTGACGTTGCATCTGTTGATGGCGTTGCAACTGCTGCTGGTAAGCTTGGAATTGCTGAGGATTGAGTTGCTGTAATTGCTGAGGAGGCAATTGCATAAAAAATCCGTTGGGAAGAGGAGGACGCTGCTGGTTTTGTTGTTGGGGATGCTGAAGGTGTTGCTGCATTTGTTGCATTTGCTGCATTTGCTGTTGCTGAGGATGATGTGGTGGATGAGGAGCTTGAGGATGTTGCTGAGGAGAGGGCTGGTTGTTATTAAACATGTTTACAAACTGAGCATTGGGACGTTGTTGCTGCTGAAGACGTTGTGCTTCTGCCAATTGCTTTTGTATGGCTGGATTGCTCATCATTGGACTAGCATACACCGGTTTGCTGCTGGCACCAGGTTGCTGTTGGGGATTGGGCATAGCAGCTCTGTTCATGTTGGGCGAAGCAGAGTTCATCAGCATGGGAGACACATTTTGCGCAGATGGAGGAGCTCTTTGTGGTTGTTGCTGATAGTTATTGAACCCGCCCACGTTGTTAAAATTTACTTGCTGCTGCTGTTGTTGTTGTTGTCTCAAATAGTTGATCTGTTGCTGCTGGATCATTTGAGGAGAGGGTTGATTAGGTGATGGTTGCTGTGGTTGAAAATTCTGTGGTGATTGCGATGGCATTTGATTTTGCTGTTGATAGTAAAAATTAGGGTCATTCTGTTGCTGTGGTGGTTGACCAAAATTTGGATTGGCTTGTCTATTAAGTTGAGGTTGTTGCTGCTGTTGAGGCGATGGCACTTGCTGCTGCTGCTGCTGCTGCTGTTGTTGATTTGGGCTATTCATGGAAAAGCCTGGATTAGCCAAGAAATTCTGATAAGTGTCTCGTTGTTGAGCCATAGTGTAAAAATGTCGTGACTAAATGGTCTCCGGTTAATTCGAGATTTTCCCCTTTTTTAAGCTTTCTAATTTCTTTTTTTGAACAATTTCCTCTTCGTTTTACTATAACAAAGCTGCGTAAAATAGGAAAAAAAAAAAAGAAAGTGGAAAGGAAATCTCCTAAAAAATGATTACAGAAAAGAAAAAGAGTCAGCTAAATTATTTCAAAAAAAAGTTTTTTATGAATGTCCAGATTCCCTATTCTCTTCAGTTGGTTGTTTTAAACCAGCGTCTTTAGTAATTGGTTCGTGTTCACCATCGCGTTCTGGAAAGAAGTTGACGTGTGGCCCAAACAATTGCATCCAGCGACACTGGTCTTGCCAATGGTGAGTCACCATGGTAACAGCCATCCTATCCTCTAATGAGGCAGGCCCGCCTCCTCACCAATCCACCCGCATTCCTCATGGTCCAATGTAGACTCACCTAATTTGATATTTTCTATATGCGATAAGCTTTTCCTCTCTTTTCAAACAAAGCAAAAGTGATGGGCAAAGGTCCTTTCTCTGATGAAATAGCGAAAGAAAGGAAGATGAAAAAGAAAAACAAAAAGACTAAAATTCTAAAGAATGAGCAATTTTATTATTTAATCGTATTTTTTTATTGTTGTTATTCGCTCTGGAGGCAAATCAACCCCAGTTATTTGAACGACACACTAGCAAATGGCCGCTACATGATATGCCCTTTGTCCATCATCAAAGACGCTATTAACTTACCCCTTTTTTTTTGCCCTTTTTGAAGATGGCCAAAACCATGATCAGGTTACTCAATTTCATTTAAACAACGATGACAAACTCATAGAGCATGGCTCCTTTTCAATATACATGAACCCATACCTGATCATTCCATCGATTTGAAAAAAAAATTTTCCTGGGTTTACCGTGAGATTTCAGATTTGAAAAACATCTCATTTCATGTTTTTATAGGCTCCTACACTTTCGTAGTCTTAAAAAGTACCTAGATGAAAACAAAAATATATATTTGTTTGCTTGTGTGCACATCAGGTTATACGTAGCCTTGTTCTTTTGCATTTTCATTGACTATCAATGCCACCTTGGCTATTGTTTATAAGCTAAGGCGTCAATGAAATCCTTGTTTTGGATGGACAAAAGTCATGAGAGCACATGAAATTTCACTGTTCGATCTTGATCTCTTGTTTAAGCCATTGCTATCTGATGAGGCCCTTCGTACCCTTATTTTTAAAAACATGGAGCATAACCCTGTCAATCTATTAAATAACTGTATTGAATTCATTGTGCAAAATTTGCCTTTGATCCATTAATAAATAATGCACATTAAAGTTATTGCAAATGTGGATGAGGAAGCTGAGCTTGCTTTTAGTATTAAAGCCAGATTGAATAACGCTATCAGATTTAAGTTTTCAGGGCGAATTCAAGAAAAAAGGTGTCAAGACTAATTTATAGTACCTTTACTATGTTATCGTCTTCCCATGAAGCTTCAGAAACATCGATTGCTTTTATGCTGAAGGAATCCATTAGTTTCCCCTGCCAGACCATATTGAAGCCCCGTCAATATTTCGCCTGAAATAGATCAATTTTCAACTTCTTTAACTTATCTTGCGCATCTCTTTCGCATGTCAGACACTAGTCAAGTACATCAACGTTTCTCGCAAGCTGACACTGCGGCTCCACTGTTGTGGACTCATGTGGTTAACTCACGCCGCAAAGGGAACAACAGACAACAACAATCCGTCGTCTCTTTCAATCCCACTATTGTCAAACGACCTGTAACTGAAGCAGAAGCCTCGCAACAGGCCATCAATGGGGATACTTCGCCACCTCCTCAGGCGGTTATCCGTCCATTCCTCAAAGGCGTGGAACAGGATTCCGTCTTCATCGATCTGACACCTATCAAGAATCGCAATCTCTTGAACAAGGCTCTTCTTCAATTCAACGAATCCTCCAATGCTGAAGACATGTATGAAGAATTCCTTGGATACAGGAAACAACCTCGACACCACCTCAGCCATGCCTTCTTAGAAACCATGTGGCTGCCCAACAGCGAAGGTCGTAAGACTCTCATTGAAGAAGGTATCTCTCTAGAGGATGGCACTTTTGTGAAAGGGTTTGCCTCGTACCATGCTGATGCTACGATTGTGAAACTGACTCTGGAGAATCTCCCTTTCTTGCCTGCCCTTCAGTTGAAGGAGGAAATGGCTGCCCGTTTTCCTGCGTTCGGGGATGTTTTGGATCACGGCATCTCGAGAACTAATGGGATCTATCAAGGAGAAGGTTATGCTACTCTTAATCTAACGGCTCCTTCCTGCCCTGGTTATGAATGTCAAGAGTTACATCCTGTTGGGAAATCTTGCCCTGGTCATCGCCATTTGGAGAAACTCAGCCGTGTCATTGTCTGGGATTTGACAGCTTCGGATCAACGAAAAGTTTTACTCCAATGGGATCAATTGCCGGCTTTCTGTCGTAAGTGTCAGAGCTCTGAACACTGTCGGGCTGATTGTCCTGACTACAAGAAGTGGGTTCGCTGCCACCATTGCAATGAAACTGGACATGTGGTGAAGAACTGCAGTCGCAATGACAGCCCAAACAAGGTCCGTGCGGTGGAAAACACTCCTGCCAAACCCCGAAAGGGCTCTCAGGTGGCCAAAGAGGGTAAAAAGGGTACTCAAGGTGGCTCCAAAGTAACTCCTGGTGGTGTTTCAGTTGGAAACAAAGGTGGTGCCCAAAGAAAAGGCCAAGATGGTGCATCTGGTGGACCCCAAGGTGGTTCTGATAATCGAACTGCTGCTACCCAGCAAGGTAGCTCTCAAGGTGACGCTGATAGTCAAACAGGTGCTAGAAAGCAGGTAGTTGATAGAGATGTTCAAATGGATGATCTTCCAGAACTCCAAGTTAAAGAAGTCGATGGGAAAGGAGCTTCTGATGATATTGTCATGTACAACTCTTCTACCCATTCTGCTAATGAAGGAGAGGAGCGCCCTGAACGCCCTGCGAAGAAGATCGGTAAATTTAATGGCGCGGATGATGTTAGCTCTGCCAAACAACAAGCTGCATCTAGTGAAGTAGAGACTGGACACCAACTCGGCTTGACATGCTCTCTTTCACCTCCCCAACATTAATATGATTAATCAGCAAAATACAGTGAAAATAGCCACCCTCAATTGCCGTGGGCCTAAAAAAAAACAGATAACACCAAAAAAAGTCAACAATTTATTAGATATCTTTGAACATTAGGATATGACATCTTAGTACTTCAAAAAACACATGCAACAGACAACACATTTATAGACATACTCAACACTCAATTTACTTGCAAGTCGAGTCTTTGGACTCAACATTGCGGCATCATTTCCCTCAACACTTATTACACACTCAAACACATCTCAGAAGGCATTGATGGGGGTCGATTTATCTTGGCTTCCCTTCACCTTACTCGAGACTTGGAAACTTCACCCAATTCACCACCAATAGCAACAATACTTAATATTTACGGTCGTGCGTCCGCTCACACCGGCCGATCAGCATTCTATTCAGAACTCATTGACACATAAATTGTCAAAGATACTATTACTAATACAACAAGCACCACCTTTATCATGGGAGACTTCAACTAACAGTACAAGAATCGTCGAGTCGATGGCACCCTCACCAGTGCACCAGAGGAATGGACCGATCTACTCGATGACTACTTTATTGACGTTTTTGGGAATGATAAACATAACACTTGGCATAGTGGAAGCAATGCAGGGATTCTGGATTACATCTTTTGTAGTTGAAACGTTCATCATTTAGTCACTAGTACCAACCAGCAGTATCTATCTCCTGCCTGGACCGACCATGAACTCTTGGGATTCTCTTTTCGATTTCAAGATGCGAATGGCCGTGGTCCTGGTAACTGGAAGGCAAATCCGCTCTTGGCTCGCAACAAGGCATTTAGAAAGGCATTGGCAGAATTCCTCATTGATAGTGAGGCACGTCTGGCAGAGATCAAGCGTTTCTCCACTCCACAACAACAATGGGATTGGATCAAAGCCGAAGTAAAGATGTTTATCAAACAATATCAAATGGAGGACTTGAACTGGCGGAAACAACAGCTACACCGACTGCTATCAAAGAGAAACAAGATGATGCGGCATAAGAAGACAAGAGGCTTGATTTTTCAAGGCTTGGACATAGTTAATCAACAGATTCAATCTCTCCAGCACTCTCTTGCAGAAATAGAGATCTTGAAGGCAGGAAAATTTTGGCGGGAACATGGTGAGAAATCTCCAGGCTTCCTGAAGCACTCTGTGGTGTCTCGAGAAAATCGTCGTTCAATTGTGGGACTCAGGAACCCTACAACTGGCGATCTATGTCAAGATCAACCTAGCATCTCCAACATTGCTACCAACTTTTACACCTCATTGTTCACACCGGAGGCTCTGGATTCAACCTCCCTCAGTGTTATAATTCGCAACATCCCAGGTCATTTGAAGCTCAACAGCGAGCAGCAGGAATCATTGATGATGCCGATTGATGTGGAGGAACTCTTGACCGATAGCAAGCAGACTCGTCGTTTGAGTAGTCCTGGACCTGATGGATTACCTTATGAAATCCTGTACTTGGTAATGAAATTTCCACCGTTCCATGATCTCATCCAATTAGTCTACAATGAAGCTTTGAAGAAGGGTAAGTTCCCGCCATCTTGGAACGAATCCGTAATGTGTCTGCTTTACAAGAAAGACGATCCAGCTGACATGAAGAACTACCGCCCTCTGTCTTTGGCTAATTCGGATTACAAGCTCTTCACTCGCAATGTTAACCGTCGAATCATGGAAGTCTCTTCCAACTTGATCAGCCGACAACAGCTTGGTTTTATTCTTCCTGGTCGATTCATTGCTGAAAAAGGAATGATCTGCCAGCTGCTAATGGAAGATGCTCAACGGAAATGGTCCATCGCTGAACAACAGGAAAATGATCCTACCTTTAGAACCTTGGATTATGACATTGGTCTTCTTCTGGACCAAGAAAAGGCATACGATCGGGTGAACCTGGATTATTTGATGAAGGTATTGGGGAAATTTGGGTTTCCTCGTCCTCTTATCAAGTGTATCTCCAAATTGATGGGTGGCAACCTCATACGTATCAACATCAATGGTTATTTGTCAACTGAAGTGGCGAAACTTCGTGGATTAAAGCAGGGGGATCCTCTCTCTCCTGTACTGTACAACTTGGCATTTGAACTTTTTCTGCTTGCAATCCTGCATGATCGTCAATTTCAAGGCTACTTGATGGGTACCGAACGAACAAAACTCCTGTGCTGTGCTGACGACGCTTTGGTGTTTATCCATGACTCCAATGATTTGACTCGGTTACAGCTCCATATGGCTCGTTACTGTGCTGCCTCCAACGCCAAGTTCAATAATGCCAAGGTGGAAGCCTTTTCAGTGTCTGGTCGGGATACGAGGGATACGAGGGATATGTGGGATATGTGGGATATGTGGGAGGGTCCATTATCTCAAATGGGCATCACACATCTCCATTCTGTTGAGGACGATGAACCGTTGACCTATCTGGGATTTCCCCTCGTCCAAATTAGGATACAACGTGTTCATTTTATGGGTGCTTTGGTAACCAAGATCAAAACTGCCATCCAGATTCATTCAGATCGCTCCTTGTCGGTCGTTGGAAAGGCTACAGTGCTGAACTCTCTTTTGCTGTCCAAGCTATGGTACATCCTGCGTGTGGCGCCTTTGACTCAAGCTGATTTCAAGCAGCTGCGCTCTCTGGCTATTCATTTCTTGAGAAGAAACATCTTCCCCGTCATACCTTGGAAGGTGTGGGCTCTACCAAAGGAAAAAGGTGGTCTCGGTGTTGTAGACATCCAAATACAAGCTTCGGCTTTGTATTTTCGTTGGCTCCTCCCACTACTGGTTCAAGATCAAGATATCATTGATTTCCATCCTGTGTCGTACCTCTTAAGCTACCACATCCGCAATGTCAATGGTTATCCCTACCATCAAATCCCGCTGCTATTTCCCTCTGCTCGGCGCACCAAGGGGTTGAAAAAGCAACGCACGGGAACTGTCGATATGTTATATTGTGCAGTTGACTACCTTCCCAAGTCGTTTGATGCGGCTCCGATCAATACTGCAACTGCCATGGCTCTTCCATTGCAGGCGGCTTTCTATATTCCTCCAACCTCCTCACTGGTTGTTCCTCTTTAAGTCAAAGCGATGATGGTTTCTGATGTCTTTCAATACGATGCTCGGCTTAACTTTGTACACTGGAAAGATACTCGTGACCCTTCCCTCCTCAGTTGGAAGCGAGCTCCCTCAACAGTGTTTAGAGGCCTCGCATCTGACACTCTTAAATTCCAGCCCTACTTCCTCCCAGTGTGTAGCCCAGCCCCTCTTGTAGATCCTGGAGTCTCTATTGTGCCGCTGGTGGATCAATTTAGTCTGCACGATGGCCAATCTCTTGGATACGCTCAGGCTTCGGTCAAAACATTTCGTCTGTCTGTACTGTCGTCGGTGGAACAACCCTTGGTCTTGCAGAATGTCTCTGCTGCTAATTGGAAATTCTTTTGGTCCCTATCTCTTACCTACATTCAACGTAATGTGATATACCGGTTCATCGCAGGCTGTATCCCTTCTAGAAGCAGATTACACTACATGATGCCTGCAGCCTTCGAGTCTCACAGTTGTCCTGTCTGCTTGTCTCCCAATGAAACCGCCAGCCACCTGCTCTTTGACTGTCCATCCAAAGTAAAGGTATGGCAAGGCGTCATTTTCGAATTCCTTTGGCCCACCACGACTATCACTGACATCAAAGAGGCTCTTCTGTCCCTGGACTTTTCGGATATCTGGTACTCCCAAGTCAAAGACATCCATCTATACAGAATCCTACTCATCACCCTGTCTCAAATATGGCTAGCCCATATGCGATTTGTGTTTGACAACATCATCCTTGTCCCTGAGGCGATTCTGGAGAATATTCGCTCCACTGTTCGCCAGACAGTGGAAGAGGACCAAATCCATTCCCTCTTGCAGTTTGATAGTTTAGATAGTTCTTTAGATTAGATTAGTTAGTATTTTATGTTCTTATAGTATTTCTTCTCAATTGCATCCGCCTCTTCACTTCGACCCATTACTCTTAGTGTACGCGGCTCAACCAATAAACAAAAAAAAAAATAAAAAAAATACTTATCTTGCAGGATTCGACTATATAAACTTTAAACATCGTCCCATACTCCCTTAAGCTTCCTTGTAGCGCTTTTCAAGGCGCATCTAATGGTGCTACTTTTGATACATGTTTTGAAAAAAATTAGTGAGTAATATTCAAAAATATAAAATGAGGTTTTTGGCGAAAGTGTCGAGATTTTGCATATGAAGTTCTCAGAAACAAAGTTTCAGGGGTTGCTTTAAATCTAGGGGAATGTTTTGATTAAAAAAATGCCATAATAAAGGTTTTCATTTTTAAGGCAAAAAACGCGATCGTTTGAATTTTGATGGAAACCATGAGGTACCCCTCATGCTTTTTGGTCGATTTTTGACGATATTTGGTGGGTCTCCAAAAAGTTAAGCAAAGATGTCAGGAGGTTAGTACTAGTTGAAAGCAATTGTTTGGCGCTATTCTGGCGGTCCAAGAAAGTTTTTAACGCGAGAAATCATGACTAAAAGGCACCAGGAGTTTGCTGCGTTTTGTATGATTTCAAAGGTTAAGATGTTATACAGCTATGATGCATGTCCGCATACCAGCTGTTTTCATTGAAGCAAACGCGGAGCATCGTAGAAGAGTCATATATAAAGCTCCAAGACAATTTCCATGTGGAAGTGGAAAGTTAAGAGGTCTGCATTATTAGGCTGTTCCAAACGGTTCTTTGTAGCTTAATGAGAAAAACAAAGCTCAACCACCGACACGTTGGTAAGCTCTCATTTAAGCATACCTGGATCAGATTGTGTGGTTGACGAAAATATGTCCATTCCCGAAAGAACAATTGATTGTAACAATCGTGTGTGCATATTTGCCGAGTATATGTAAGACATGGTGTGCATTTCAGATTTGCATATTTAATACTTGATAACGCATGATACAGTGCATACATAGAGCATTAGTACTTCATGCATTCAAATGTCGTACATGGATTTAAATATAGATCATTTATGAAAAATGGCGTTTGCGGTTTATTTGTTTATAATAAATATTACAAGACTCGGGTATAGAGGCTCTGGAACATGTTACATATACTAGATATGTATTGCATTGTTATTTTTTCGGTCCAAAATGTGAATTGGTTTCAAATTGATAGTGTTGGTTGCAGGCTTACTTTTTGTTTTCACGCCAAATGTGCGTATAATGATGGTGATGAAGCTTTGGTACATCAACCAAGCAGTAAAAGATACTATCGACATACAGAACTGTACAACCTGCTTATTTTTACTCGTTTTGGCCACAGTTGTGCTCTGTTGCTGTTGTTTTTGGTAGTACCCGCCAAAGAGAGATGAAAACAAGGCAGATTTGATGTAAGAGCCAACCTGTAAAACAGCTTTCCACAGTTCATCATCTGCCTCCTGATCGTCTTCTTCTTCTCCATCTGAATCCAAGCTGAAATAGCATGTTTTGAAAGACTCTTTCACAGGAGTTTCTGATAGGAAGTTCACTTCGGTGATATCTGGATTAAATCGCACGCTCTGTTTGCCTGATTCCGAAGCGCATTTTGACCAATGTCGATCATTTATCCTCCAATAGTCTTTTTGTAGTAGAATAGATGAAGTTGATGTGTTTTTCTTTAGCACTGGTCTAAGCGAAGCGAGGGTTTTATTCGGCGAGTAGAAGCTCGTATTGAACGATAGTGAAGGATGCGTGTTTGTCTCTTTGTCAGATGATGTTGCTGGCTCATCAGGTGGCATGTACAATGGTCCATATAACCCTGAATACAGGCGAAAAATAAAATAAAATTAATTTCATCTACAAGAATGATCCATAAATTTCCAGGGTACTCACATGTAACATCAGATTCTTTTTGCCTAAAGAAATGCGTATCAGTACATGGTCTCAGAATAATCTACAGTGAAGTATATACCAATTCACAGTGGATGGATGTATCATTTGGTTTGAATGACTCAGTTTTTTTGTGCAAGATCGAGCCATTTGCCTCCAAATTGCATTTTGATATCGAATCTGCTTGTTGCGTTCAATGGATAGCTTTTTTAACTCCTTTGCAGTGCCTTTATGTTGCTTTGTGATGATGTTGAATTGGGTTTTAGATTTCTGTCGTTGAAGTTCTCTGTGAGCTTGAATGAGATCCGTCGAGGACCATTCATGCGACAAGTAGTCGACACAGACACAAGCCTTCATTTTTGAATTTTGGTAAAGGTGTAGTAAGGAAAGAAAAGAAATTAGATGTTTCCCCTTTCATCTCTTTATATTCCCACCAAAAAGAAAGTCGAAACACTTTATTATAGTTTCATTTTAGCCAAAAATAAAATCTTCCGACGCGATTTCTATTGTACATATAATGGGCGTTTTATCTAACATTTAAAATCTCATACACACACACGGACCCAGTTACACACATGGCTACTCTCTCTTTCCTCTGAATGCTCGATGTAATATCTTGTAGATCATTTAGATGCATCGATAATTTCCCGCCTAAATCGTAATTGATGCAGTTTAAAATAACTTGATAGAAGGAGGTTTTTTTTTTTTTTTTTTTTTTTTTTTTTTTTGATAGGAGGAATGTATTGCATGATGATTAATGAATACAGACGACAGCGACATTTCAAAGCCCAAGAGTTTGGTTATGTTTTGTCAAATTGAACAAACAGATTTGGATGCATAAGCTGCCACTAGGCCTCATACGGAATGAGACAAACATGGTAAAAGTTCTTGGGCTTGATGAAACACAACAACACCATCATGTAACAATGTACTATCATGTCTTTTCAAGTAATCGATCTGCTATCCAGCTTTACTTATACTTTATCACCATAGCAACGGAATATCAAGTGACATATTTGAGCTCGTTGCCATGGAAACTGTTCCTGAAACCATCTTCCTGACAAACTGACCAAAGTTTAGAGTGAAGATACGCGTTCATTCATAGATTTCTGAGTTCACCCATTGTTCATAGACCCTCTAAAGGCCACTTCGACGTCATACAGTGCAATTTGTATCCGAGCAGAAAGGGCTGCAACCTAAATTTCGTGATTAATAAATTTATTCTTATCATCTTTTTCTTATTTATTCAAAATGGCCCAACCTACTGATGGAATTAAGGTTGTTGACGCAGAGCCTCAGCCTACAGCTGCCCCTACTCAAAATGCCAGCATGAATGCAAACGCCCTTTTGAACAACACTTTGGATGGATTTGCCAATTTGAGTTCTCGCTTTAACCCATTTGCTCAAAAACTCAACAAAGGTTTAGGTCAAGTCAGACAGGTCAGTTCTACATGGATACTCGCTAATGTGAGATGAGGAAATTTACTCTATGGCTACAGTATGCTCAAGAAAAGCTGGGAACTGCTGAAAATGTCACCGAATTACCTCAAGAATACAAGGATTTGGAAAAGGTAAAATATATGGAACAATGCCCAAAGATGTACATCAACTAATGATAAATCAAAAAAGCGTATCGATGCTCTTCGCACTGTTCAGACCAACTTGCTCAAAGTGTCTCGCACCTACAACAACTCTTCTTATGACTATCCTGTTCAAATCCAAGAATCGCTGCTTGGCATGACCAACACTGTCACGAGAGAGATCCAACATTTAGCCTTATCGTCCACTTCATCAGCTGCTGATCGTGCTGTAGACAGTACTCCTGCTCCTGTAGAAGAACCAAAGACCCTGTTGCATGGCCTCGCTCGTGTTGCTTCTCAAGGATCTGAAGCTATTGGCGTTGAAGAGCCTTTGGGCACTGCACTCTTCAAATATGCCACAATTACCGAAAAAGTAGCTGATGCTCGTGTCAAGATGGATCACACTATCGTCGAAAAATTCAATAAGCCAGTTCAAACGACTCTCAACTCATCCATTGAACAAGCTCTGAAAGCCAGACGCAATGTTCAATCTATTCGTTTATCGCTTGACGCATGTAAGGCTAGATATCGTTCAGCACGCCCTGAGAGATCAGAGGCAGCTCGTCTGGAAGTTGAACAAGCCGAAGATCAGTTTGTTGCAGCAGTTGAAGAAGCCACTAATTTGATGAAGGCAGCACTGGAGAATCCTGAGCCTTTCCGCAATTTGGCAGACTTGGTAGCAGCACAATTGCAGTATTTCAAGGAAGCCCAAGATCTTTTAAGCGATCTTGCACCTGAATTGGATGAAATTCAAGTAACCCAAGAGTCTTTGTACAGAAATAGTCGTGTTTAAATTCTTGTATTAAACAAATTTTGAATGTGTTTTATATGTGTGTTTGTTTGTATCACCATCTGTACAATCTGCTTTGAAATCACATGAAATTATCTACCTTTTTATTCATTCGATAAACGCAAACCCTAAACCCCAACTTGGCTTTTCTCTCTTAATCTTTTGACTCCCTTTTTCTTTATCAAAATGGCCAACAACAAAAGAAATCAATCTCCACCTCCATCAACTGATAAGCAGGACAAGAAGCAGGTAGTTCAGCAGCCAGATGTGAATATCAGCCATTCTTCTTGGTTGTATAAACTGGCATCTGCACCGAGTTTGAGTGCAACAAGGTTGGAGAGCAGCGAGGAAACAGAGCCTCCATCAGAAAAACAGAGCAAGCAAGAAGAACAGGTCAACAACAGCACTACAGAAAATACTCCTAGTCAGCCCAAACAAGACAATAGTGTGCCTCTGCATGCCAATGGAAGCACTGGAGGTAGCATATGGTCATGGTTAGGTTATTCAGGCACTCAATCAGTTACATCAGTGCCTGAGTCTCATCCAGTATCAGAGTCAGCATCAACACCCGTGCCTTTGGAAGAAGTGAATGAGACGAAACAAGAGCAAACAACAAACGACCAGAAGGGTAACAATAGTGTTACACCACAAGAGCATCATCATGGCCATCATCATCAATCCAAACCGTCTTACTGGAAATCGTTCTTCACCTCCAACAACAACCAAGAAGAGAGTCAACAAGATTCTGTGATTATATCTGATAAAGACGATGCATCTGAGCAAGAGATACCAGCACCCACGCCCGAAGCAGAACAGCAGACAGCACCTGAAGAACCACAGCAACGAAAACCAGCAGTTGCACCATCTCGGCATAACGTTGTCTTGCCAACATTCGAATCACAATTCAACAAAGCAACTGTGTCATATCATGATTCGAATACCTCTCTATTCTCAAAAGCAATCAATGCTATCAATTCGATCATATTTACACAAAAACCAGTTATTGACGATAATTGGCAAGACATCAACCGATTGTCAACTATACTCGACTCGCTCAAGGCAGATATATCTAGCAAAAGCATTGTGATTATAGGCGTGCATGGTTGGTTTCCTATGAAGGTAAGCCTTGGTATAGAATTGGCCTTGATTCATGCATACTGACCATCCATGAAGCTTGTAAGAAGTATGGTGGGCGAACCCACAGGCACCTCAATCAAGTTTTGTGAGCAAATGACAGCAGCAGTAAAGAAATACTTTGAGGGCACACACAACATCACTATACCAGACGAATCCATTGTGAATATTCCACTTCAATGGGAGGGAAAAGTGCTTGAAAGAGTAGAAAAATTATACAGTCTTATTGAATTAGACTACATGAAAATGATTCAAGACGCTGATATCATTTTGTGGGCAACACATTCTCAGGGAACGCCTGTTTCTGCTATTCTGCTGCGCAAACTGATCGAGGAGGGCATTATTCAGGTGAATAAGCAACCCATTTGCATGCTTGCTATGGCCGGAATTTCACATGGTCCGTTCCCATCACTAAAGGGAAATCTTCTTGTAAAGGTAATTGGACTAGCAGCCTGTGGAATCTACGTAATAGACTAAGAAGAATCAAACTAGTATTTCGAAGCAGATGCAGCTAGAGAGTTATTTGATTTCATGGACTCCAATTCAGACATATCTGTGCAATACAGAGAGGCCATGGCATATATACTGCAGAACGAGGTGAAGACTGTGCTTGTAGGATCAATGCAGGATCAAGTGGTTCCGCTGTATTCCGCCATTATGTCTGGTATCAGCCATCCCAACATTTTGCGTGCAGTGTACATTGATGGGCATATCTATACCAAAGACGACTTTCTGATTCGACTGATTACATTTGCATTGCGATTACTCAATGTGGGTCTCTCCGATCATGGATTTCTCATACACATCAGCGAGGTACTGGCAGGAAATTTGTATGCTTGGGAAGGGGGCCACTCGACAGTGTACGAAGAGCTGGATGTATTCATGCTGCCGCTGCAATATTTATTTGAAACAAGACCCATTGGCCAATTTGAGATACTGAAGCCTGCATCTATGCTATCGCAAAAGGTCAGCGATGCCAGAGATAGAGCAAAGGAAAAGGTGCTGGATAAAGTGAAAGCGAGGTTGGATCCATTCCAGGCAAAGTTGAGACTGAACCCTTTTCACTTGCCATGGGCAATGCGAGGCATCTGGGATGACCCTAGAATTCTGGAAGATAACACTCTGAGCAGCGAATTAGATACATTGCAGAATCTGTTTGATAAGTGGAATCCTACTAGTGCTCGTTTAAAGGAAATCAAGTTTAGGTTAGAGCCATTGAAAGCAAGATTGTAGCAATAAAGTGTTGTAAATAGCATTGCAAATTTGGTATGTATATTGCACGTCGCTCAAGTTGCACATTCTCATTACATTGTATTGCGTTGCTTCGATTTGAACTGTTCATTTTGCCAATGTATTTCGCGATGATAAATGCCGTACATCCTTGTGTAAAGGTCCCAAACTGTCCTCGAATGGAGTGATCCAGCCAGTGAGAATCTGTCAATCATCCATCCAAACATCTAGGCTATGGCCCTTTTTTCAACCTCGTGTACTGTTTGACTCTTTGAAATGAAATTCAAAAATGCCGATTGGCTTTTATGCTGTGCAGCATGACACTAATGTCAATTTACAATGGCTTTATTTCAGGTATCATTGGACTTGTACATGGCCTCCATCATGATAAATTGGTTCTCCATGCGAGTTTTTATATACACCTGTTCTTCAAATATCGACAGTACTCAACCAAACAGCAGTTCTGCATGTCTATATCCTCAGGCCCAGCGTACACGATTAACCGAGCATCAGTTGCACAAGAGGTTATTAATCAAAGATGCTCTGCATATATCCCATTGATATTTAATGAATGCAGATGTTCACGTATCCGCGGTGAGGGTCTGTGATACCTTGAGTTCAGGGAGATTAGGGCATTTTGCCCAATTTTAGGCTATTAAATTATGCCCTTCTTTCAATGTTGCAATTTCAATAACTTGCTGATTTAATCAAATCAGATTTGATTAAGGTACAATACCGAGGCATCTGTCAATTTTAGATATAAAAGGACAGGACAAATACATCAATCGTTTTTCATCAACAACCGCTCAACCAACACACCATGGTCTACATTCCCTCCATTGCCTCTTCTCTTGCTCTCCTTACTCTCGCTGCCTCTTTTGCCCAAGCAGCTACTACTTGTACCGTTGCCAAAGATGCTTCTGATGATGCTACCACTATTACTGCTGCCTTCAATGCTTGTAAGAACGGTGGTACCGTTGTCTTTACTAAAGGTCAAACCTACAATATGAAATCCTTGGTCAGTGTCAGCGGTCTGAAGAACGTCAATGTTCAATTCTACGGTACTGTCAATCTTCCTGCCTACAATACCAAATTTGATGGCGGAAGCTCCTACTTCTTCATCAAGGGTGACAATATCCATTGGGATGGAAAGAACCTTGGTAATTTTGTCGGTGGTGGACAAGATTGGTGGAATGCTCAAGATAAGAAAGCTCCCAGTGTCTTCAGAATCACTGCCACTGCCTCCAGCTTTGTTAGCTTCAAAATCTCTCAATCTCCCAGAGCTCACTTGGGTGTTACCAGCTCTGATGATGTCCTTCTTCAAGATATCACGCTTCATTCTGTCTCTGGCAACAGCAACTTGCCCAAGAACACGCAAGTATATGCGATTGTGTTTAAAAGACACATGTAACTAACGCTCTCCCCTTGTTTCTTAGTGATGCTTTGGATATTTCCAACAGTAAGAACATTGTTGTTCAACACTCGGACTTTACTGTAGGCGATGATTGTCTCGCCATCAACGGAAGTAAGTGAGGCACACATCCTTAGCCGATCATACTTGTGATACTGACATACCATTGAACAGATGTCTCTAATGTTACTCTTACTGATGTCACTTGCACCAATGGTCATGGTTTCAGTGTTGGTTCTCTTGGTAAAGGCGGTGAAACTGATGTCGTCAAGGACATTACTGTACAGAACAGTGCCTGTATCAACTGTCAAAACGGCGTTCGTATCAAGACCTGGCCCGGTGGAAAGGGCTCTGTCAGCAATGTCAAGTTCAAGAATGTTAATTTGCCTAGCGTCGAGAATGCTGTCCTGATTACTACACATTACTGTGACAATAATCAAATGAGCTACTGTAACGGCAAAGACGATGCCTCCTTGACTATCAGCGATGTTAACATTAGCGGTTTGACCGGGTAAGTGATGATTTTTGAGTCAAAATGAGTATAACTAACTCTGCTTTGTATATATAGTTCCATGTCTGGCTCGAACCCTATCGTCAACATCAACTGCTCCAAAAACACTCCTTGCTCTGGCTTCACACTCTCCGGTGTTACCATTAGCAAGAACTCCAAGACCAAGGCTAATGTTTGCACCAATCTCAGTGGTTCCAGCAGTATCAGCTATTGTAAATAGACTGTGATATCCGAAATAAACAATCAATGCTTGCTCTAAAGCCCTTGAACCACTCTAAATGTCTCTTTTTTTTTTCTGAATGCGTATTTGACATGTTTATTGATTGGGTGTGTATATATAAATGAACCGATTCTAATCCTAATTTTTCTCCTTCTTCTTGTCTTTTTGCTTGTTCAGGAAGTACTCGCCACTCTCCAATTGTAAATCGATCTTTGACTTTGTCTGTACAGGAGGGAATGGTGTGTATTCCTTCTTTGGCTTCTCGACCACCTTCTTCTTTGATTTGACATTTCTCTTCTTGAAGTGAGGCAAAAATCTATCCCATGATTCTGTGGCTAATTTGGGATCCTTTGCCAATTCACGCTTAATCATCAGTTCCTAAAAGTACATGTTAGGCACATGCCAATCTCTTAATTAGCTCAAAAATTCTTACCTTGATGTGATAAATAGGGTGGATGTTCTTCATACAGTCAAGCACAATACGACGAAGATCCTTGAGACCCTTGTATGGGCCCATTGCAGACACTGTATTACCTTGAACCATCATATAGCATTTTGTCAATAATTCGATAGCTTTTAATGTCGAACCATTGGGACCGATCAATCTTTGTCTACGCTTCACAAATCTCTCCTTGTTACGAGTGATGTTGCCAATCTTGATAATATCACAAGCAATGCCATCCTCCATCACTTTCACTGCCTAAGCAAGATGCGCTCAATATCAAATCATACATCCTAACCGACAGTGCAACTTACTTGAGGGAAAGGCACACTTCTTGCCAACAATTTGATAAGATCTCTTGCTTTCAGAATTGAATAGGGATCGTATGACTTTCTAGTAGTTTTGACGGTCATACTACCTTCGACTAAATCCAATACACAAGCGATACCCTGACAAGTACACATTAGGTATTACTCTACAAATATAGCTATAATCCACATGCTTACATATTTCTCAAGTGCTGCAGTAACCAGAGGCCATGTCTCCTTCAAGTAGGCTTCTCTGTATTTGGGGAAAAGGGTTGCAAAAGAAGATTCTTCGGTGAATGGTTGTTCAAGATGCTCAGGCTTGAATTCCTCAATCTTCCAGTGATCAATATCGTCGGTATCCCAAGCTAAAATACATCAAAGCATGAGCAAATCTACTCGCAAAAAATGAGTTAAGCAGACGTACGTTTATCTTTTCTGAATCGCTTGTTGTTCTTTGGTTGAGTCTCTTCGGCCATGTTTCTTTTAAGTGAAAGGGATCGGAAAAAGCACAGTTATTTTTTTCGAGAAAAGTCTCTTCCTGTTAATTCTGTAGTTGTGGCTTAATTTGGAGTCACAGGCACTGCTCTGATGGATGGATCATGCAAACGATAAACAAACAGCATTGCATAAATGAAGCAATTTAGCTTTTTGGTGCCATACGAGCAACCTTCAAGAAGCTTCTCTCATTAGACAAACTAAGCATTGGGTGCTTGCATTGTCGGCTTTGGCACTCTTGATATCTTCATTGAGTTCCAATGCACAAGTTCTCATCAGAAGGGTGGGCATCGCAGGCACTACTACAGCCAAAACTGAGTATCTGCTTGTATATTGAAATTGAGATACTTTATTCCTCTAAATCAACTATCACTGGAGCATCGTCTTCATCCTCTTCCTCGTCCTCATGATCTGCTACTTTCCAATCAAACTTGTTTACAATGAAATATCGAAGCTTTGAATAACGTGACACTAATCTCTCTTCTGATCCAGGGATATTTCTTTGCAATGTCTATTATACCTTGCATTAGTCGTATTCAGCAACTGAGAATAAGCACAAATATACCTTCAACATGATGCTTGTGAAATTGCCTTCAGACAGAATATCGCGATAGAAATCTTCAGGGCACTCATCCAGCTGAAACTGTAGCACATCTAGGACACTCAGTGTTATTATCAAGAGCTCCCCTTATACGAAACCTATCGTCTTACCCATAAACTCAATAAACAAGTCCGATTTCTCTGTCATCAATTCATTGCATGAGCACAGCAAATGAACCATCTTTTTCCATTGATTGAATCCTGAAAAATTCTGTGCCATCAACAAACAGACAAACGAGAGTTGCAGCTCGCCCAGCATGATCTTGTAATCTATAACAGTGTTAATCTCTGGCATGAATTGCATGATTATTGCAGTCGTTACCATCATGATACACATCCCGAAGTAAGTGTCCAGCCAGCCATGACTTGTCCAAGCTCCATTTTGTCACTTCATCCCCAGAAGCTCCAGTTGGAAACGATTTTCGAAGATCAAATGCTGTAAAATCCATGCCTTCCTCTTTTTCAATTGCTTTGCCCAACCTTTTATCATTGACTGTATTGGTATCTTGATCTAGCATATCAACTGATTTATCTGGCAAATGACTCACTTTGCCGTTGTTTGGCAAAACACGTCTAACAAGCCCTGGTGTAATATAATTTGTCAACTTTTTCCATCGTTGATAGTAAATGGGTGGATCAAGCGGGTAAGGGCCCATATTACGGTCAAAGCTTTTGATATCTACGAGTGGTGATGAGTCACGAGGCACTCAAGATGTAGCACTGCGTCTTACTATAGCGAATGCGTTCTACTTGAAGAGGGTCCAAGTCGGATTCATCTCGAAGATCTTCAATCTGTGGATTCCATTCTCTGACTAGAATCTAATGGAATATGGATGAGGCATATGTCAATCGAGTAGTGTGCGCGCAACCATACCTCTTGCGATTCAAAGAAATGGAAAAAGCCAGTTCTGATGCCTTGAGTGCCTTCTTTGCTTGTTGTTCTATCAAATCAAGTGTGAGTCATCTATGGTATTGGATGGTCTATTACTGTATTTACGAAAAGTATATGAAATGAAGACCAGGCGGTATTAACTTGACACCTTTGAATAAGGGTCCAATTGTCCAAGCATTGTAATCGATGCCAAACTCTAGGTTAGGAGGCGCATCCATAAAGAGCATGAAAGCTCCAACGTCAAAGAGCTTGTTTGCAGTCTCTTGATCCATTCCGTTTGAAATGTATTTGTAGACAGAAGAAAGGGTTTCTAATTGAAAAAAAAAAAGCTTGTTTGAATTTGAAAAAGAGTTCGAAATGTAGTGCAGATAAACTTTATTATGCAAATAGTAGTGATCGAAGTATTTAATTTAATGATAATTTTGGTTTCTTATATACAGGTTTTTTTTTTTATAATTCTTGATGCTTCAAGTTAGATGGTACATGGTGATAATGTTGGAGATCCTCATTGTATTCGAGTTTGCCCTTTTCTGTAAGATTGTTGATATGGAATGATGGCTTATCGCTGCAGGACAAGCTGATTAGTAAACGACCCATAGTCTACACCACGGTTCAACTTACAGATTAAGACGTGTGGTTACTTCGGTCAAATTCAAATCAAGTATCTTGGTAATGAATTCGCCAACTTGTGTGTTCTCGTGGCTTCCAATCAGGTACTCAGAACCGCTGCCATAAGCATACAAATTGACATCAACACCACTATGGCCATGCGTTGCCCACTTGAAACCATATTAGTACACTTATGAACAAGAAAAAAAAAAGTAACAGTTCACTTACGCCTAGCTGTGCTCGGATGGATACCATATCTGCTAAATATTTATCCAAATTGCTCTTCTTCATTAGCTGTTTAATCTCTTTTTCCGTAGCATCTGTAATGCCAAGATGATCTTTCAGCACTGTATCCACAATGAACTCCCTTGTCAAGGCGGGCTGTTGATTGATCAAGCCTTCGAGTTTAATGGTCGAACTCCTCACTTTAGTCAATACATCTGGATACCATAAATACTCGGGGTATGTCTTGGCTACTTGTCTTGCTAGTGATAGACCGCCAGTTTCGTGATCGCTGGTGGAAATCATGATTGTGTCTGGGTGTTCATCTACATATTTCTTGACGAGTTCGATTGTGTTCTGATACTCCAAGATCTCGTGCACATGCGTTGCAGCATCATTCCTATGGATTCTCTTATTTAATAAGGATATTCTCAGCTAGAACTCGATGCGCAACTTACGAGTGGGCCGCCATATCAATTCTACTGCCTTCAATCATCAAAAAGAAGCCTTTCTCCTTTTTTTCAGTTGCTTTGTACAGAACATCTAAGGCCTTTTTTGACATTTCTGTCAAACTGGGTTGAGTTTGAGAATCTCTGTCAATTTCATATTCCATGTGCTATAAATAAAAAAGCTTGAGCATCTAACCACAATACGTAATCTAGACATAATCTTACATCGGATGAGAATAGGCTGATGGCAGGCAATATGCTTTCATCAGATGGCAAGGCCTCGAATGCCTTTTTACTATTGTACATGACCGTAGTCCAGTTATATTTGCTTGTTGCTTCATCCAATAGATGTCGGGAATCAGACCTGCATCCGCCCTTCTCTGATTTTGGTAGGAAGTGACAATATCCACCGCCAAACATCAAATCGACGCTCCTTCCTAGTGGGTTATCGCCTATTTGTTGTTTTGCAATCGCATTTTCGTTATCTCTGTCTTGCACATGAGCCGAGAAAGAAGCGGGTGTAGCATGAGTAATACGAGATGTTGCAACCAATCCGGTCAACATTCCTTGTGCATGCTTGGCAGATTCAAGTATAGTTCCACAAGGATTCTTTTTGGGGCCCACTATTTCATAGTGAGTACAAAAAAATATACACACATGTGTGATATACAGTTACCTCCAACTGCACCGTTGTAAGTCTTCATATTACAGCTGAATGCTGTAGCACCGGCAGCACTATCAGTAACGAGGGTAGATGAGCTTCTGGTTCTGGACTGTCCAACATGGATTTTATCCAGAGGCATCTCGTAGTCATAGGGCTGATTTTGTGTGTATTGATAATAAGTTCGGGCAAATGAGACTGAAGCTGGTCCGAGTCCATCGCTAATCATCATGATTACATTCTTTGGTTTTTGTGAAGATGATGAGCTAAAGAATCTTGTTGGCTGTTGGTCTGTTCGGCAATAAGAGTCAATTTGATATGTAAGGGATAAATTAACATATGCTACTTACTGTAGACCCATGATCGAGAGGAATCTTTATTAGTTCCCTCCTCGATCGCATCCTCGGTGGAATTTCCATTAAAACTCATTGAAATGGCTATACCAATGACTGATAATACAGTCGCAGTGCAGCCAGTAATAATCCATTTGCGATATCGACGCTAAATCCAGACGTTAGTAGGCAACATACTTACTCATCCGTCTTCAATGATGATTACCATGCAAGAGGGTCTTTTTTCATTAGGAACCCAGCTGTTATCTAAAGATATATCCTCGCTATAATCCTGCTCTTCTTCGGCAGAAGATCGAGCTGTTTGGTTCGAATTCAAAAGTGGCTCACTCATGTCAACGACAGTAACTTCAATATTTTGATGAAAGAGAAGGAAAGAAAATGAGGAAAATGCATGTGTCCAACAATACGACTTATATATGCGGAGATCTAGCGGAACGCAATCAATCCCTAGTCGGTTGCCGATCTTTTCTTTTGATTTAATGCTTTACCTCTTTTGGAGAGATGGTTCATTTGCCCGTGATTAGGATTTGAGTAAAATTTCAGATCTACCTCTAGCCATTGTTCAATCCAGATGTCATTGATCAATACTGGCAGTTTGTTATAATGTATTTTTCTTAACAAATAGTTTGCAACCAATATTTCATTAATTAATTCTGCCCTTCCATAAATCTCAAAGAGCGATCTTGTACTACCAAAACAAGCTTTAATTGTATGTGCTCCAATGAAGCAAACAGCGTCATACACAATAAACATTCAACAAATAAAGCAAGCTGTACCTTACAAGGTGTAGTAAGGCTGCATATCGTTAGTAGCATTTCTCTTTCTATAGCAGAAATACGTAGACGAACAATTTGGTCCTTAAACAGACAGTTAAAGACCTTTATTCCATATATGACAAGATGAAATATAAGATTGGGGAGCCTGATAACATAAAAGGGCTTCCAGCTCGTAGTTTCTTTCGGAAAAGACGCTCAAATGAAAAAAATCACTTACAAGAGCTGTAGTGCACTGCTCGAAGAGCATATTCAGCGCTGCATATCCTGTTAATTCGTGTTTAAACTAAGATACATCGCATACCTTTAGGTATATAAGATGCACAACGTCCATTCAATGAGGACAGAATACTTTAATTAGATATCATATCCATTCCATCACACAAACGCCACTGAAGGATCAAAATACTGTGAAGTTTGATGATTTTGAACGCGCTATATCTCCCTCTCCTAGCCGCTTTAAATCGCCAGAACAGCACCAAATGATTACTCTTGACCTGTACTTACTTGCTGTAGCAATATCTCAATTTTTTCGTCTTGAATATTATTGACCAGAATTCTCACATTTTCCATGAGGGATACCTCATGGATTTTCTCAAAAATCAGTTAATCGCTTTTTATGCCCTTAAAACAACGCTTTTTACTATGACATGTATTAGTGAAAACAAAAGCCAAGAGTTCCCTACACCACGTAAAATTACTATTTTGAACAATTGTTAGTACGAAATTTGACTTTTCGACCAAATGAGCGTTTTATAATTTTGGTAATTTAAGAAAGATTTTGGGTACACGAAAAAAAAGTTATTGGTACCATTTGATAGAGAATCTAAAGAAGTACTTATTATTTTTAATATGCTAGTTGCAGCCTATATGATTATTTTGGAGCAATCCTGGTTCGAAAGAAATTTTTTGTCAAAATGACCTCAAATTCAGTCCTGAGGTCTCAAAACTTGTTTCTGTTATCCCAATTCTGATTGGCTGTTATTTCTGAACGCGCATTCGAGGCGTGGCAGCCTGGGCACTTATCTGATTGGTTGATTGAATACTATCTTCAGGTGCCGACTGATTCAGCTCACTTTAGCCAATATACGAATAAATAGCTGAAAAAAAATATGGGTAATTCTAAATTTTTGAACGCTGGAATGGGTGAAATACTATTTTTTTGGCTAGTTATAATAGCTCAAAGTATTACTTATCCAATCGTGTTAGTTTCGAAAAAATCATATTATAGAATTCCTTTTGATTTGTAGCGAAAACTTTATATTTTTCCTGAGGGTTGAGGTATAAAAATGGGGCTCAAAACTAAATTGTATCTAATTCTGTGAAAAATGACTCTTTTCTCAAACTTCAAACTAGCAGATAGTAGAAGTATCAATTTGCATTCTTGTCTGAAGCTTAAAAGTGCTTTGGCTCTATCGCCATCAATCGAAAATTTCAAATTTTACACGAGCGCTATATCATCAACAGCAGACTTGAACTCGTAACTGTTGCACATGATGCCAGTAGTAAGACCAAAAAAAAAAGAAAAAAGAAAAAAGAAAAAAACGAGTAAGTGAAATTGATGATTAATGGTATAAATATCGTATGCATATACTGCATCAGATCAAATATCACGTAGCAGTAGCTTTATGTTCTGATTCAAAGATCAATATATGCAAGGTTCATATGTCTGAATTGCATGTGAAATCAGGTCCTTGAGGCGTCTCATGCCGAAGCCCTACCGTAAACGCAAAGGCCCTGTAAACCAAACATAGATCGGCGTAAATGGCATCATTTTTCTTTGCTAGCTTATTGCTACGAATCTTCTACTTGATGGATCTAAGGTGAGGGCAGCAAGACAAATCTAGGACTTTAGTGAGGAATCATCTCTTTTGGCGTATGTTTTATTTATATATTAACGAGAATTTTAAGCTATTTTTCTATACAAGTTATTTTCCCGCACCATGTAGGATAAGTTTCTTTCAAGAGATTGGATATGGGAATTTTGATTTCTTTTGGGATGTTGATGTGAATGAATGATACAGTATTTACCAACCACGCTTGGCAAACTTCTCGTTCTCAGACAAATCTTCCAAGTTGATACCGACCATAGCCTCACCGAGGTTCTCAGAGACCTCAGCCAAAACCTTAGCATCGTTAAAGTGAGTGACAGCTTGGACAATAGCCTTAGCACGCTTGGCTGGGTCACCAGACTTGAAGATACCAGAACCAACAAAGACACCATCACAACCCAATTGCTATGTTACAAAAAAGAGATCAGTAAATCGGCCATCTAATCAACCTTTGGCTGCGCGGTTACACGCAACCTTGAAAAAAAAAAAAGAAAGAAAAAAAAAAAAAAAAGTAAATGTCTTACCATCATGAGAGCGGCATCAGCAGGGGTGGCAACACCACCAGCAGCGAAGTTAACAACAGGGAGACGACCGAGCTTGGCGGTTTCCTTGAGCAAGTTGAAAGGAGCTTGGATATCCTTGGCATAAGCATAGAGTTCTTCATCAGACATGACAGAGGCACGACGGATTTCAGTGGTGACAGTGCGAATATGACGGACAGCTTCAACAACGTTACCAGTACCAGCCTCACCCTTGGTACGGATCATGGCAGCTCCTTCGTTGATACGACGGAGAGCTTCACCAAGGTTCTTGGCACCACAGACGTAAGGGATCTTGAAGTTGTGCTTGTTGATGTGGTTGGCTTCATCAGCAGGGGTCAAAACTTCAGATTCATCAATGTAATCAACACCAATGGACTCAATGATTTGAGCTTCAACAAAGTGACCAATACGGACCTTGGCCATGACAGGAATAGTGACAGCCTCAATAATCTCCTTGATCATTTGGGGATCAGACATACGGGCAACACCACCTGAGATTTTCGAGGAATGAGCTAATATGACTCAACGCGATCAATGAAAATGACTTACCGTTCTTACGGATATCAGCGGGGACACGCTCCAAGGCCATGACAGCACAGGCACCAGCCTCTTCAGCAATTCTAGCTTGTTCAGCGTTGATGACATCCATGATAACACCACCCTGTTTGTCATTGCATTTAGTACCGAGAAATCTAATCTGCTCACATGTAAATATAAACAAACCTTCAACATTTGAGCCAAACCAGCCTTGATGCTGTAGGATTGACCTTCAGAGCCGTTTTCCTCGGTCTTGGTGGAGTGGAGGTTAGCAGGAACAGCGAAAGAAGCAGACATTTTATTGAATTTCAAAAAAGAGATAAGAAAGAAAAGAAGGATTTGTAATATAGGCTTGCAGGTTTTCGATTATATACCCTACTGATAATTTTTTTTTTCAAATGGTTTGAAGCTCAAAGCACATCGAGAGTTGTCATTGAGTAATCAATGCTCAGTAATTGGCTCTACTGCACGTGATTGTGTGAAACATCTCTTACCTCTGAGTCATTTTAACTCGACAGGATTAAGCTGAAGGTGAAGGCAAGGCATCGAGATCTCTCGATTGATGTCGATGTCTTATTACTCACTGATTTCAGTCATTTGACATGCAAGCATATTTGGCTATTTCCTGTTGGCCTTGGCCTCTCTATGATCGTATTGTACTCCCATGAAGCAAAGATGCATTTCAAGAGATCTAATGTCACAGATGGCGGTCACCTAATAGATGTGCGATTTCCATTGTCTCGGGATCCTATAAAATGGATGCAATATGTTTGATCTGATGTTTGTATGGGCCATTTTCTACCAGTTTGCATTTAGAAAAGCTTAAATTTTTATTCTCACGTATCTTATATACCAACATATTACCTAAAATGTCACATATTAAAGGACCAACATGGAGGATGGGAGTGGTAGCACCGAACATTTAAGACAAAATCCATCCAAAGTAAACGGAAGTTTAAACCAATGCTATCGTATAAAATGACTCGTAAGATAGAGTAATCGTCGATAAGCGGCATTCATTCTCATACGACAGCTTTATGACATTTTTACTTGATATAGGTTGTGTTAAATATATAACGGTATTGTATTGAGAGTATTGGGACCATATTCAGTGCATTGCATGGAAAGTTCCTTCTTTTTATGGATGAGACTTGTCATCATACCAGCTGTTTCACTGTCTGCGATGCTAGTTTTGCTTGAAATGACAGATGCCATTTTAAAAGAGCATGGAAATCCTCCCCTGACAATGGATTATCATAGCACGAGATGTCAAATAGACAACCCCTGAATTATGGTGAGCTAATGAATAGCATGCTTACATGTTGGATTGACAGGGTCATACTGATTAAGCTTTTTCCATTGAACTTTCTGTAATGGAAAATATACCTTTCTCATTTTAACCGCCTGCTAAATTGCGGATTCTTACCCATCATTATGCTAAGCATTCACTCTATGGGAGATCTCAAAAGGATGGTTCTGATACCCACCTTGTCCTTTTTGATTTTAAATAACCTATCTCTTTGAAAAAAAAGCATCTACTATTTGGGCATCCAAGCCAAGCTGAAGCCTATTCTTTCAATTATAAAGCTTTCCGTATATATAGCAACAGCTTCATATGTTAAAATCACAATATTTCATTCAATTTGACTTTGAATTCTGCAACTCTTGCTGCTCACATTGGTGCTTTAAGAATGCTGAATAGAGATAAGGTTTCTACTTGGACGCACAAGCTACACTTGCTTGTATTATTGCCGTTCATCTACCATCATTAGCTATAGTTTGGAAACTTGTAGTATAAGGTGTCTCGGAGCAAAGCTTATATCACTTGAAAATCAAACCAAAGCAAGATGAGATGTAATTTTAGATGATCTGACCACTACGGTGCATTGGGTACGCCAAACACGCAAATCGCGGAGATCAGTATAGCTTAAATGTAGCACAATCATCAATTCGTCAGGTAAATGTGGGGAGCATCAACTCGGTAGCAGAAGGTACGCAATTTGGATAATCATTTACTCGCGTTAGTTCGCTCACGAGCGACCTATAATCACTCCAATGTAGTGTTTCTGTTTTTCTTTTGTTTCTACGTCATTGAAACACAAAAACCTCAACAATTAAATATACAACGATCTTGCGCACGAGGAAAACTTGGCTTTTCTTTCACTTTTGTACTTTTATATATCATTATCAATGACTCGGATAGAGCGAAACTTGCCCGATGTATATAACGAACCTCATTTATTTGACCCGCCGAGCAATGCATACGACAATAATCAAGACGACGAAGCAAGAGCACCAATGCTGCCTTCAGTAGCAGCTAACACACTTGCAAACTCTGACAATAACGAATCTTACATCCGTGGACCTACTAATACTCTCAAAATTATATTCTTGACGCTCTGTTTGGCAGGGTAAGATGATTTTGTCATAAACTAATGCAATAATGCTGATATATCTTGCTTCTCGTCAATCACAGGCTTCAGTTTACATGTAAGAATAATGAAATAAGCTGTTATATACATTGGATTCTAAACATTTATTTTCAAAAATAGGGACAGTAGAGATGGCTTATGGTAAATTGCAGACTAGTTGAAGTAGTGTAGCATGAATCTGATTTGAAAGCGCTTAGGTACACCATACTTGCTCTCGCTGGGCTTATCGAAATCATATATGTCACTGGTGTGGATTGCTGGACCATTATCAGGTAATTTATATCGTTTTCTAGATTCCTATACGATTATACTCAATTCTGGCATATGTAGGTCTCATCATGCAACCCATAGTCGGGGTTATCTCTGATGGCTGTAGATCAAAATGGGGACGACGAAGGCCATTCTTGGTTGGAGGCAGCATCATTGTGGTGTTGAGTTTGTTGGCAATCGGATGGACTCGAGAGCTTACACGGCTTTTGACTAATTCAGAGGAGGGAGACACGGTAGGATGTTTATATGTTTACATGCGAAGGGACAAATGTTGATCTATGGATCTAGTTCAAGACGGTGTCGATTATCATTGCCATTGCGTCAATCTACGCTTTGGATTTCAGTGTGAATTGTGGTATGAAAATGTGGATAGTTTTTGCAGAACGAGTGTATTAAAACTAGGTCTAGTTCAAGCATCTTGTAGAGCATTAATTGTCGATTCGTTACCATCGTCGCAACAAGAGGATGGCACTGCGTGGGCAGGAAGAATGGTTGGGTTAGGGAACGTAGCTGGCTATTTTATGGGATATGCCGACCTGGTTCGAGTGTTTCCTTTCTTTGGAAATACCCAGTTGAAAGTGCTCTGCGTCTTTGCTACCATTGTACTTTTGGGCTGTGATTTCATCACATGTTATGCAGTGAAAGAGAAAGTGTTCAATGTTGATTATACCAACGGGTGGGTTCCGGATCAGTACATGGTTTATATTATCACTAACATTTGCAACAGATCTAGAAAGAAGAGATCTCCTTTTGCACTATTTTCAGACATTTTTCGAAACATTTGGCATCTCCCCAAGCCAATTCAGCGCATTTGTAACGTGCAATTCTTTGCTTGGATAGGGTGGTTTCCATTTCTTTTCTATTCCACCACCTGGGTCGCAGAAATCTACAACAACTCGTCATTAGGCGACGACACTGTACAGGATAAAGTGGGTCAAGCCACACGAGCTGGGTCGTTTGCATTCCTAGTGTACTCTTTGGTGTCCTTGTCCTCTTCATTTGTGATACCATTGTTTGTATCGCCATCCTCAACGAAATACGAACAGGAGAATAGTATTTACACCTTTCGGCTGTTCGGGAAAAGAGAGTTCAAGTTGTCTTGTCTCTCTTACCTGAAACTCTCGTTCTTGACACTTCCGCGTGCATGGACATTGAGCCATTTCATATTCTGCATATGTATGTTGTCCACCATTTTCGTCTCTGATGTTACAGCAGCGGCAATCGTCATTGGATTTTGTGGCCTCAGTTGGGCTATTTCCATGTGGGCACCCTTCTCCTTGCTTGGAGAATACATCTCGGAACAAGAAGCGAATTTGGGTAGCAATGGAGAGCAGCCCAATGGCTTTCATTATCACCCGGAGATGATGGCGTCGAGAACTAGTATAGGCGGCGTTGGCATCATTGGCACAGAACCAGCTATATACCACCCCGTGTCTACTGAGGAGGAAGATATTGAGATGCTGGGTATCAAGCAGCCAGATCAACAAGAACATGCTCAGACAAATGGAGAGACAAGCGAAGCTCCAAGTATACCAAGCCAGTCTGACAACAACCCACCTGCTGCTGGTGTGCTCTTGGGGATTCACAACATGTACATTGTTCTCCCTCAGTTTCTGGTGACATTTCTTAGTAGTATTGTATTTCGCATTCTAGAAAGTAGTGAAGGGTCCACTGATACCATTGGCATTATATTACGAGTTGGTGCTGTGATGGCTGGTGTAGCTGGTTTCATCAGTTTGAAGATTGGAAACGAGTGCTAGACTGAATAAATTACAACTTTTGCTTGTCAAATGAACCCTCCATTTCTTACATTTAATTACGTGAATTACAGGATCAGAGCATAATCAACGTGTTTATTTGCAAGATTTTTTTTTTTCGCGTATATATATATATTTACATTACAAACAGATTGCTTGCTTTAACTGTATTTTACATTTCATGGTGAATAAATAAACAGAAGAAATTAGTGTCTGTGCTTTTCATAACCCTTAACGATATCTTCTAAAGATCTGCCTTTCGTTTCAGGCAAGAAGATCAAGGTAAACGTAAAGGCGATGGCAGCAATGACAGCAAAAATGGCAAAAGAATAACCAGCGATACGAGCGAATATGACGGGAAAACATTGACCGATGACAAAGTTCATTGTCCAGTTAATGCAAGTAGCAATGGCACCGACAGCCGAAGAAGCGTAGGTGGGAGTCAATTCAGAAGTAAGCAACCAAGGAATGGGTCCAATACCGATGGCAAATGAAGCGACGTACAAGAACACAGAGACAACCAAGAGAGCGGGAATCTGGTACACGTAACCAATGACCAACAAAACGGAAAACAGACAAGCGCCAAAATTAGCAATCAATAGCAATGGACGACGACCCATACGGTCGATCAATGCAACAGCTACAGCCGTCATGACAAAGTTGACAACGGTGGTGACAATGGCCATGTACTTTGACATATTGGCATCAAATGCCAAGTTGAAAATGGTAGTCGAGTAGTACATGACAGCATTGATACCCACCAATTGCTGGAAAGCGTGCAAAAGAATGACAGTGATGGCAATGCGACGAATGACAGGATCAGTAAAGATTTGGACAACTCCCATCGTATCATGTTGAGTTATGGGGGCAACGACTTCACCAGATGAGTTGTCAAAGTCATCATCAGCATGTGATACAGGTTGAGACGTTGTCAAATGATCTGTGTCTTTGACAGCATCTGGATGATCAGTGGGCACGGTAGCAGCAGCAGGACGAGGGGGAGAAGTGGGGACAGCAACACCTTCAGTTTCTTCAATGTGCTTCTTGTCTTCTTCTGGAGCAGGGCCTTGGTAGTGGGTCATTGATTGAGCAGCAGCAGTACCATAGTAGCCTTCGACCATGCCATAGAATTCTCTGTCGACATTAAGATCGCCTCTTAACTTTTGCAAAGAATGTTTGGCATCTTCTATTCTGTTTACAGAAATGAGGTAGCGTGGGGTTTCAACGCATGTGGACATCAAGAAGAACTGAGCAATTGCAGGAATGGCGACAATAGCATAATTCACACGCCAGAGAGGAACATCTGCTAAGGGTAGGCCTATAACAGAGGATAGCAGGATACCAATAACGATAAAAAACTGATTGCAAGTGCCCATAGCACCTCGAGCTTTGATAGAGGACACTTCTCCAATGTAGGTTGGAATAGACAAAGAGCCCATACCACAGCCTAAACCACAAAGGATACGACCAATGATGAACATGGCTTCATGCACTGAACATCCAATCAAGATACCACCAGTAATGTAGCCTAAATTGTTGAGAACAATAGCCTTTCTTCGGCCCACTTTGGTCTGGAGAGGACCAGCAGAGAGACCACCAATAAGACCACCAACGCAGAACGAGGCAACAGCAAAACCCCTATATCAAATGTCAGCCAGAGCCTCCTATATAAATGCACCACATACCATAGTGCGTTGTCCATTGGCAGACAATCTGGAAACGACTTGTTGTAGACATGCGCATTGCCATTAGGACAATTGTGTGTGATTTCACCGGGAACATTGGGCGAACCAATGACCCAGCCATTACTGAAGGAGCCCAAGCATGCTACGAACACACAGTAGAGCATGTATTTGGGAAATTTTGCACTATACGAATCCATTTTTTTCTGAAGAAAGCAAAACGAACAAAAAGGATAATGGCATCTGTAGAGTGGATCAGATCAAGATATGGCCTATCCGGTGAAACCCTGGAAAATTTAGTTTTGGTTTCAATTACAATTTGCAAACGAGATCAACAAATCATTCTTTAGTCACTCACAAGGAATATTATGCAAAAAAAAAAAAAAAAAGAGGGAATGTTTTGATTAAAAATAATACAAAAAGGGTGAGAAATGCTAAGAATATATATATGAAATAATAATAGAAATATCGAATAAATTATAAAAGTAAGTAAAAAGTTAGAAGGCTAAGATAGTTGTGGATCAAAATTGCTGGTTGTAATGCTGTCTTTTCTATTGTGAAAGGCGCTCATGAGAGGGAAGCTATTGTGTGTGGTGGGGGTTGCCGTGCTGGTGGTGGTGATGGTAGCCGAGGTGGTCGCAACGGGGGTATTTTGACGCACGCCCTAAACCAATAAACATTAAATTCTTGCCTGTAAACAAAAACTACACATCACTTACCAATGGGTTCTTGCTAAATGACAAACGAATACCGCCCTTGACTGAATTGCTGAGAGGGTTGCCATGGAGATCTTGCAGTGCCTGTGCAGCATAAATAGCATCATCGAATTCAACAAAACACATGGGCCCGTTCGATTTGTTGCGGAAGGACAATCGCTTGTAACCTGGACATTTGGAGAACATGCTTCTCAACTCATCTTCGTTGGTATTGGGGGGCAAGTTGCCCACATACAACGTGTTGCAAGGTGGATTCTGATCTGCTGGATTTGAGCTGCCGACCAACATGCCACCTAAGCTTCTATAGCTTGTGGTAGGTGACAAAATGCCTGGTGGAGGCGGAGGAGATGAAGATTTGGGTGGTGTAGACAGTGAGTTGAGAGGATGGAATCGTGTGATGATAGGTTCATGATGGTGATGATGCAATTGTTGTTGTTGATAAAAATTGTTATTTTCCTCCATGACTCTGGCCAAACCTGTTGATGTAGAGCTGGATGGTGGAGATGCAATGCTAGTATTGGAAATTGGTGTAGTACTGTTTATTGTGGATGTTGTATTTGTTGCTGTATTAATCGTGTTGCTGGGTGTATTGTGATTTGCGGAAAAGAAGGAATTCATTGCTTGAAATGTACGGTCTGCGGTAGGTGTAGATTTTGAAAGATAATCAACATCATAGTTATTGGTAGGTGTAAATCTGCCATTACTCGGGTTGAATCGACTGGTAGAAAGGGAAGGCTTCACAAATAGATCCACTGATCTGGCATCTACCGATTGTGATCTTGCAATGAAAGATGCATCAAGTGGAGGCGACATGAGATCAGAGTAAAAGTCGGGATAGCCATCATTAGACATGAATTCATTGGGAACTGAATGAGGAACTGAATAAAAGGCTTCATAAGCTGCAGAAGATGAGTTGGGAAAGCGAGCAGTCGAAGGGGATTGTGCTTGTGCTTGTGCTTGTGCTTGTTGTTGCTGCTGTTGCTGTTGCTGTTGCTGTTGCTGTTGTTGCTGCTGCAAAATTTGGAACTGTTGAAGCTGCTGTGTTTGTTGTTGCAATTGTTGTTCGTTTAGTAGACCTCTTTTAGTGTGTAGATTCTTTTTAGCCATCTCTGCCTTAAGCATACAGCCCTTTTCAGCATCTACTTTACGACCGTTCAAGATATCCCGAGCATCCATGGCCTCTTTTCGTGTACGAAATTTAGCGAATCCAATCTAGATTGTGGAGACAAATGTTAGATCTCAGTTTTCTACTCCACAGTGGCACTATCCACATCCCGGTTCTTCATCATCCCACTCTCTCCCCCCCACTTCCCAGTGTATTAAACTCACTATTTGCTTTCTGCCAGTGCTGTTGTTCATCATATAATCATCTTCTCCATCCTTGGAGGGCACCTTCAGAGTGGCTGCTTCGAAACCAGGGGAAAACATAAACATATTCTGGAATTCACGCTCTTGCATGTCCTCTGGAAATCCAACGACAAATATAGTCGAAATCTCCTCTTTCGTGGGTGAAATAAGACCATCTAATTGCTGCTGCTGCTGTTGGAGCAAAATGCTATTGCTGTTATTGTTATTCATTAGTACATTGAAAAATGATGTATTCAAAGGAGTGGGTGATAGAGGTGTTGTAGGTGTTTGACTCATACTATCCCTAGAAAAAATAATATAGAAAAAAACGTGGGGAAAAAGGGAACTCTGATAAAAATATTAGTAATAGCCTAGAAAAAACGAAATGTGTGCTTACCAAAAGAAAAAGAAGATCAAAATCACTCTTTTTTTTTTCTTTTTTTTTAAAAAAAAAAACGATAAAGATGGATTTGCCTTTTCTTTATCAGTTGTTGTGTGATTTGGTACCTTTACTCTTATGAGAAATAAAAAATAAAAGTGGGAAAATAAGGAAAAGAGGGCCAGATATATCAGTTGTATAACAAAACTATACAATCTCACTTTCAAATAATACAAAACACGAGGCAAATGGCAAGACTTGTCCTGATTGAAGCACACGTGACACTATTTGCGTGTACATGGCCAGATCAAAGTCGTGCTGTCGACATGCATTCTCGATCTGCCATGTATCTTTGGTAATCTGTCACCATGGAAGCCCAATTCCTGCTTTGGTAGACTCATGGAGCCCAATGTGACACATTCAAGTCAAATCAAGAGGAATATATGGCTTTAATTACACATATCCCAATGCCCTTGAATTCAATTATGGCTCATATGAATGTGTGTAATGTGAGATGATATATTGTGCATGATTTAAAGTTGGTGCAAAACTTTATATGTTTATGAAATGCACAATAATTACATCTACTACCACAAAAGAATGTAATAATATTAAAAAAGGGTCAAATATGTAAAATGAAATTCGCAGGGGCACAGAAACAAGGATACATGATAGAATAAGAGATGCTTATTTACTTTTTTTTTTTTTCATCTCTTTCTCTTTCGACTCAACATTCATCCCAAAAATGATGTATACTTCTCAGCCTAGACCCATCGCAGTATTCAATGTACTTGTATTTCTTTGATTGCATCGTTCCAGCTCGATATTAACATGTGCAGCAGGATTCATGCTTTGTCGATGTTGATTTATCCGAAGATGTCAAAATTCGAAACAATGAAGGTATTTTCTCATCAAGGCAGTCAGAGCGAATAAATGAATCTAATCCTCGGAAACAATATGATAGTGATTCAAAGGCCATGCCAGCAAATTGTTACAATGGAATCAGAGCCCACTATGTCTATTTGGAAAGCGGCTGAAATGGGTAATATGGCCGCATTGACATATTTTATTTACAACCATTCATCACAGCAGCAACAAAAACAACAACTGGATGATTCAGCAGAGCCCAGCATAACTCAGCTTTTGAATTCTCGAGATCCAAATACAGAATGCACATTGATCTATCTGATAGTAGCAAACAATCCGAACCCTGTTGAGCCACTTCGATTACTACTGGAGCAAGGAGCTGATGCAACCGCCCGCAATATCTACAATGTACAAGCGATCCATGCTCTTTTTCTTCGATGTCCTGAGCCATTAGAACCATTACAGCTCTTATTAGATTATGACGCCGACCCAAATGCTCGAGATGGTGATGGTTGGACACCTATTCATTATGCTGCACGATTTTGCAAATCGCCAAAACCCATCTTGGAGCTACTAATCAAAGCCGGTGCAGATGTCAATGCAGAGGATGCTAGCCATAAAACGCCATTATTTTGTCTATTAGCGAATGGCGACCATAGTCTAACGCTGGACTGGCTGATTCATACAGCCAAAGCAAACATCAAGATCAAGGGCGATTTTCTGGATGGACAGACTCGACGCACAAAGCAGGGATCACTCATACTACAAGCCGCTAAATACGGTCGTTTATCATCATTGCGTATTCTAATCAGTTCAGCTTCAGCGATGGAAAGCCTTGAAACAATTTTGACAAAAGACGAATTGGTTTTAGCCATTGACGTGGTGCGAGAACAGCTGGTTAAAGTTACAGAACGGGATACTATCGAAAAACTAGGGCTGATGATTATGATATTGGAAAACTTGATACAGAAATTTTACAACCAGAAACAGGTTGAGAAGGATTCGCCACAGCTAGAGGAAGGTCAAGAGCAAGAAGCGAATGGGTTAAAACGGAAGCCAAGTCTGCTAAAGAGAATAGGAAGCCTATCTTGGAGACAAAAGTAAGCATCTCCTCTTTAAAGATGTGCCAATAAACCTCTTTTACATCACTATTGCGGGCATGAATTGATGAAACAGGCTTAAATTTTTCAGTGAATATATAAAGAGAATCTACTAGAAATTTGCTTTCTCTCCTTGTAACTCTATTCAGAATGACAGACCCTATAAACATGCAACCATCCACATCTAATCATTTTAGCGCAGATAGAGGTAGACGAAGCAGCTGCTGCTCTCACTGTGAGCACTCTCCAAGCAATTTCGCATCAATAGTAAATGAATTTGAGCCCCAAACATTATCATTAACACCACCTCTTGAAAATGTGTATTTTAAAGAGCAAAACCAGCCTTTCTCCTGCATATATTTGCTGAATTTGTTTTTGGCTCCTGACATGACTCGATACCTTGCGGAAACAAGCATTTCAGATGATGTCTACTCCTTACCTGTTCATTTACAAACGCTCATCTGTGAAGCAAGAATGGAGGTATTGGTATCCAAGCAAAACAATCACCCTTTAGAGGGAAACGCTATAAAACGATTGGAAAAGGTGCGAGAGTACATCAAAAGCGTCGCTAATTATGACACAGCTGCCATTATCAACACCTTGAGCGAACTCATCCGCGATGAAGATGAAATGTCCATCATCTTGGAGCAGTAATACCTTGATTCTATTCTATTGCACTCTTGTAAATTATTCATAATAGTACATATCCAATATATTCCAAATCAATAAAAACCTTATATTGCTTTTCATTGATGTAATTTGCTACTTTTGCAATCATGACATAAGTGATCCAAAACTACGGTAAGCAAATGCAATTTCGTCAAATCAGATCACTTTAGGTTTCGAGACAAATGATTTCATGGTGAACGATATGTCGACACACATTACAAGATAATGATACTGTATGGGGCTCAAACTCGTTGAGAATACAGCATCAGACCCTTTTAGTGCACGAGCGAACATTACCAGTTACATTAATACTTATTTCGCATCAAATTCGTATTTGGCTGAGCAATAATAATAAATATTTGCTGATATAAAAATTAAAACAAAAGCGTAGCAGATAAAGTAGACTATGCCATAGCATTTTTTTAATTCGCAACCTCCTCCTGGATGATAGATTCAAAAAGCAGCGATTTGTCTTTATGGCAAGGGAGGCAATCAGTCTGTCAGCAAGCGGCCGCCGCAGAAATCGGTTTACGCTCCACTCCATTTCTCGCTCGAAGTAGAAATATTCAATTGATTTTCGACTTCTTTAAACTATTTTGCTAGATTCGACTATATAGACTGTGTTGATTATCCCATACTCCTTTAAGCTTCCTTGAAGTACTTTTCAAGGCGCATCCAATGGTGCTTATTATGAGAGGTGTTTTGAACAAGCTTATCGAGTAATGCTGAGAAATATGAAATGAGGCTTTCGCCTAAAATGTAGAGATTTTATATAGGAAAGCTTCACAACAGTGATTTCAGGGGTTGCGTTGGATCGATAGAAGTATTTTGATTTAACACATACCATAGTAAAAGTCTTCATTATCAAGGTCGAAAACGCGATCGTTTGATTTTCGATGAAAAGCATGAGGGGTACCTCATGCTTTTTGGTCGAATTTTGGCCATATTTTCTTGGTCCCCAAAAAGTTGAGTAACAGTATCTGCCAGATAAGAGCAATTGTTTGGTGCCATTTTGACAATCTAAAACGGCGTTGAATGCGAGAAAATACAGCCCACATGCGCACAGATTTTGCTGTATCAGGGACACCAAGGGTTGAAAAGTGTTGATATCTGTATGCTATTTGCCCATAAATGAAGTCTTTACGTGTATATGGATGTAGAGCATCACATAAGAGTCAGGCCCACAGATAACATGAAGCGTTTTCATGTATAAATGGAGGATCAAAATGAAAGTAGCAGTATCCTGATAAAATACGCAAGTGCATTTCAAACTCAAAGTGCAATGCTATAATCGCCATTGAAAGATGTCCTGTTTAGACATCTATTGGTGTATGCGAGTACATATCTTTATGAGCAATTACTTTTTATTTGGATACTATATGATACATGGCTCTATTGTTCGTCTTCCTCCTCCTCCTCTTCTTCTTCATCTTCTTGATCTAATTTTCTCTTATTACGTCTCTCCTCCATGAATTTATCCACAACAAGTGTATACATTTCGTTGTGTAATGATTTCGACTTTAAATGATGTTCATTCAAACGCATCAGTTCTGCTTGAAGTGCATTGACTTGATTCTGTAAACCAGCACTCGAATCATCGGTCTATATCAATGTACAAATCAGCCACTCGGTAGTCTTTCTAATAATACACCACTCACCTTCATGTCTCTAATGGCATTGGACGCTTTTTGAATAGGCTTCAACTCTGTTGTAAGAGAAGAGTAAGCAGGACCAGATTCCACCAGGTGCTGATGAGCATTCAAGTCAATGCTTGTGTTTTGAATCGTCTGTTGACTGGCATCACGATGCTCCTCCTCTGTTGTAGGCATAGCACGCTTCAATTGTTTCCAGGGCATTGGAATGATGTTTTGAGTGGGGGCATCTGGATGTAATTCAATAGGTCGCAAAAAGCAAGCGACATGGCTGACAGGGCCCTTGTGTGATTCAAATTTGCGTAAAGGCTGTCTACTCAACACATCCCACACAATGCAATTGCCGTCCTCTGCACCAGAGATCAAGATGGTGCCATCGAATGATAAAGTAAGTGAGTTGATTTCGCCTGTATGTCCGATAAACACAGATCCCAACATGGCAGATTTTCCTTGATCGCCTGTCATGTTAGGTGTGGTTGACTTGATACCAATAGATTCGACTCGACTCATGCCGCCCAAACTCTCTACAGTGTTGATCTTGTAAGATTGATCCTGACGACGTTTGTATAAATCCACAGAATAAATTTTGTCTTCACAGGCAGCAAAAATAGTGGTTTCTGAAGGATCCATAATGACACTCGACACAGCTTTGGGGAATAAAAAGGTAGTTAAAAGCTGGCCTGTAGCAAGATCCCAGAGTTTGACAGTATGATCCAAGCTTGCTGTACACACACGAGCACCTGATAGATTACCGTTGCCGATATAGATATCAGATACAGGTAAGGTATGGTCAGACCAAGAGTATAATGGGGCGGGACGAGCTGTAATATCCTCATATCCATCGGCACTGACAGGCGAAAGAAGATGTGCCAATAGCCAAACATTGACAGCGGCATCTTCACTAGCAGTTAGTAATGTGGAATCGTCATTACTGAATGCAAGGCGAGTGATGCGACGGTAGTGAGCTTCGAATACACGCATTAAATGTCCAGTAGGCACATGCCATAAATACACTTTTCCACTGACAGTGGCAGCAGCCAAGTATTGACCTTGGTGCGAAGATGCAACGCTGACCATCTTTTCAGCAGTATTCATTTTATGGAGTACTTGATCGCGCTGCCATTGATAGACGTTGAGAATAGCACGATCAGTTTGAGCAGTGACAATGGAACCGATCTGAAAGCTGGCGCCAGGTTTTGACACTAGTGCGAGGCCGCCCTTCTGCGACATGCTTTGCTTGAATGAAAACAAGCTGGATCCAGATCGAATGTCCCAGACATAGATGGTGTTGTCTGTGTTAGATGCTGATAATGCGACTTCAGTTGCCATGGTGAAGATGATGATTGACAGAAAAAATAAATTTGCATTGGGGATGGTTTATTGCAAAATGTCAATCAGCCAGCCACTTGAGTATGAAAAGCAGTCTGTGAGACAACTACAATGTCGTCCCCTCTGGCATGCCATCATTGCCATGATGGAAAGAGGCATTACTCCCTAGGTAAACGTTAGGTTATGAAAGCCCTTCCGTTTTGTTCAGCCAAACCAAAACTTGTTGTACACAAGTGGGCCAAATTATTGAAAAAGAGTGTAGATTGTGGATTCAGACAATGGTAAATCCAATGTGACAAGGGGACAGGCCCTTTGTCTTTTTTTTGCTCTCTAGAGTACAGCGGAGAGAAAGCCAAAGAGCTTGAAAACTTGAAGATTTTGGATATCTGCTATACTGAAGACTCAAAAAACCAATGTTGATGTCAGTAGTAAGGGTGCAAGCTTCTCCTTCAGAATATCACAAATAAACAATATGACAAGCACTACAGATATATGATTCTCCTTGAATATAGGAAACAAATTCCATTGAATCAGCATGTTGTATTCTCATTGTTGTACTAGCTTATAGTATTGATAAAACCAAGCCGCAATAGATTGTTTTTATCACCACTTGAAAGTATGAAGATTGCATCCATGAAGTGCCTTGTTGACAATTATGATTTTACTGGCATTGATTGTGTTTGAATGCTGATCTCGCCTCAAAAGAAGCCATTAAAGGGCCAACAAGAAGCTCCTAAAGAGTAGGAAACCTTACGCTCAAGCCTTTAATGAAACTCTTGCTATTGATAAATTTAGTAAGATATGATAGAAACCTATTAGAGAAAGGGAGCTACATATCAATCCTCCCACTTTTATTGATGCTGTAATAAGTTACTGTTCGATTCACTATTACTTACGAGCGTTGTATAATATAGAACAATAAGGATGATACATCCTAAAGTACGATTTCTATACAGTATATGTTTTGTAGTAGTAGTTGGATATTTATAGTCATTGTTTGCAAACATACAATCTCATAGGATAGGATAGATCCTGTTTATTACATGTATTTAAATTTAGAGGCTTTGGAAATTGAGAGTGGCTATATATGTGGGTTACAATGCATTGAACGATACAGCTGTCAGATAGAAAACTGTCATTGTATGTCGTTCTGATATCAATCACATTTTGTTGTTTGGATCCTCTTTACTAAAAGGCTTTACTGGGTACTTTTTTAAGATTCAGGCCAGTTGAAAAGGCTGGAATATTCGTTTGGTCATCTTGTGCCACTAACAAATCTGTTTTACAGCATCAAAGGCGATGACTAATATACCGTTTTGACCATGTCCTATAACTCAGGCGATCGACCAAATATTGCACGAAACTGACCAGGCTAAATCTATTCAAAATTTATAAGAAAATTCAGTGTTTTAGCGAAACTTTAGATTGAACACGCCAGTGAACATCAATCCAACTTCGACTTGGGCGGTAGCAGAAATTTTCATCATCGTAGTCAGTGAACAATATAGCACTCCCAAACTTGAATTGCTCTCAACAATGTAAAGGGGTCCATTGCAAAATATCATACTTTCTAGTGCACATATTATCTAAGATTGACTGGTGAGCAGTCATTTCTTGAAATATCATATAGATGTAAATAATCCCTTCCATTTTCACTAGCTTGTTGCAACTTGCACCAACCACAGGTATTGCAAAACATTCAGACGCACACCGAGAAAATGTCAAGTTACAAGGCACTTGAGAGCCGCATCCGTGTGGATTATCGTATCAAGCAAGTAGAAAATAGGTTCATTATAAGAAGTTACATTGCTTTTTTGGATTAGCTGTACCGTATACGAAACTCTAATGACAGTGCATGCACCTCATTTAGTTCATCTAAATTGTCTATGAAGACACATTTAATATTTTTTTTTTGCTACTATAATAGTTGCATTAGAAATTATACTAATATAAACAAGTTCCTGCATTACCTTCGGATATCTATTAAATCAGCAGTATTGGAGATCAACCTCAAAATCAAAAAACATTTTGTACATCCAGGTCCTCAGGTGAAAAAAATTAGAATCATATAAAACTAAAATATGTTGTAGAATAATGATATTGGAGCAATTTCTAAGTGGAAACATTATATTGGAAATGCATACTTCATGAGATAATCAACCTTGGAGATGCTACTTTTAAACAGGGGAATGTACGTACTTTAAATCGAAAGGCTTATTATTCTTGAATAAAGCAGGCCACAGTTGTCTAGTCTTAACAACAAGATTTTTCAACATGTCAAGTATCTATTGATAGCTTGAAACCAGCAAGTTAATATGGCCCTTTTCGTTCGCTCCAATTTTTAAAACGCTTGGTCAAATATACACTTATGTGATTTACACCAGTGGAAGGTCAACGGAGCTTCAATTTTTAATTTTCTGAACGAGGATCCATAGGATTCCGAAATATATCGACCTTAAAAGTACGCGTTTCTTGATAGTAAGCACCCATTCAAACTTATATGAAACTTGTAGAGAATTCAAAGGAGAATACAATGGTATTTATATCAAGTGTCTGGTGTACATTGTTCACCAGATATTTGGTACGATTGTTTTTGTAATTTTTGACTGTTTTCTAAAGATTAATCAATATCTCTCATCAAAACATTTTGTTAAGCATTACCAAACATTATAGATCAAAAAATTTCCTATCGAATGAGCTATTGTTTGAAGCTCTAGCATAAATCTATCATGAGATACTGACGATCTTGTCCTGACTAAAAAAAAAGGTCACCAGATTTTTTGCTTGCTATCACAGGCAGATTTTGAACAAATATCCATGATTTTGCACGATACTCTTTTTTGACCATATCTCGACAAATACTGACTGGATTTGCACAAAACAGAGATCATTCAATAGCTCTACATAATATCCATTATAATGTGCTAGTTTTAGATGCCAGAGGTACCCTCCCTTTATGAATTCGTTTAAAATCTTATATTTGACTACAAGCAAAGACTTTTCAAAACTCAAAAAATATATCTATAAAAAGCATACTATCGTATAGAGAATTGAAAGGGAAACAAAGGATACTAAGCTTCAAGCTCAGGTAGACTTGATAAATTCAGCAGTACAGTTCCTTAAAAGTTGATTATTATTTTTTCTCATTACTCATCGACGTCGTTCACAGTAACCTCAAGTCAAACAGGTCTCAGCCAAGTAAGATACCGTCTAGACTTGCTACTGAATTCCCACCTAACACTTCATCTCTTCAAGGAAACTAACCACAAAAAACTCGGATGCCACAGCATTGGAAATAATAATCTAATCAATACTGACATGTTCCACAAACTGTTGCATAGCTCTTGAAATTTAATGATTTTACAAAGACGTAAAACTAGTAGATTACTGTCAATAGAAATCAACGAGTCTTAATTGTACGTAAAGCGAAAAATTCTTCTATTTCAGTACAAAAAGAAGAGTCTTTACACGTTTGAATTTAGCTTACAGCGTTAGTGATGATAGAGTGCAATAGGTGCTGCTGCTATTGCGATGTCCGGCAAATGTTGTTGACGTTTGATTAGAGAGGTAATAAATTCAAAAGCACCGGCTATAATAAGAACCAGTCTAAGTAACCCTGACAAGGCTTGGATAAGCTATTATAGCAATCAAAGCAGTTGTAATGCAACATTATTGAAAATAGAAGGCGAGGTGTGATATTAGCTACAGTTAGTTGTTTATCCTGGTCTAGAGCGCTGTGCAATTGTAATATCTAGGTATTGTTCACGAACTCAAATGTTTTCTACTGAACTGTTTTCATTGAGACATGAACAGTGTTCATTCTGAAGAACATCACAAATATTGTTGTAAATGTATGATAAGTACGTGAGAATGGGTATAGATTTTTATTCGGTAAGAATCAGATAAAAGAAGAGGAAAAGGAAGAGTGAATATCCACTGCTGTTTATAATTATTTATGAATTGCTTACGCATCCGTCTAGAATGGTGTACTCATACTAAGTTTTACTGTCAATTCTTCACTTACGCTGAATGGTAATTATTTCAGATGTAGATGGTCAGTCTAAATGTCTTTAGTTGCTTTTTGCAACGTTAACTACTTACATTTTTTATCTGATATCTTTTGATATATAAAGAATGACTTACTGAAACTCAGCTTATGTTGATACATGATGAATTTGTAATAATAAGTCGATGAAAATAATCAGTTGTCAACTGTATTTAAAACGAAAAGCAAAAAGTTTCTTTATTACAAGGCATCTAACAAGCTTAAATATGATATATCCCTGGTCAATGACTACTATGTTGAGATGGTATATAAATAGCAGGCCACCACTGGGATCTTATGGATTGTTGGTATAGCTTGTTGAGAGGCCACCTAAGTTGATATGTTTCATGTAATGCAAGTGGATCTCGACATCTTGACATTAAGGAGATTGAATCTATTGTAGTTCCTGAGGCACCCTTGCACACACAATTGACTGGACTTGTAAACATAGATGTGATGTGATACGATGATAAACATCATCTATGTTGCTACACTGTAGAAAGTGGCTTGAGGAGAAAGTGAATGTACCGTAAGTTGCATGCTTGTATGCAACAATACAGTTAATTTACATATGCTCCATATGTGCATAGGTTATTACTGAATTCAGTCTACGATATTGTGATTTAGAAACAGTTATATGAGTGAATACAACAAGTATGATTATGCACTTTTATTTCCATTTTATTAAACTTTTATTATTACAATAGACAATATCTTATTAAATAGCAAACCAGCAGAAAATTAACTAGTTGTAGACCTTCGTTGTTTCAACCTCTTAGCCAATCAGATTGCTTGAAAACTCCGCTGACCTAAAAAAAATTTTGCGAGGGTTTCCCCCTGTTTTGATGTGAGGCAAAATTTTAAGCTCAGCTATATAGCAGTATAGCAGATGCTATCATCAAATTTCCCTCAGGTGCTAGAGCATGCCTTACTTACACCACCTAGCTTTTAAATTCTGGCATTGAGACTCTCAATCATCACTAAAGTAAGTAGCGATAACCAAGTGGAGGCGGCCTATCTACCTCCTAGCCTCGGATAAAGTCTTGTTGAGCTTCAGGGATAGGCACATCCACACAACGTAAAAAAAGATATGCTTCAAAAGAAACATAAAAAAAAAGAAGAAAAGAACATATTACTATAGGAGTATAGTAGTATGTAGGCAAAAAAAAGGACACTCACGCGAAGTGGGTTAAAGAAAAGTATAACAAATACAACATCAGAGATGTTTAAAAGAGCTCATTGTTGTTGCAACAAAAATGCATACATGAGCATCGTGCATGGCAGTAATAGTCGGATGTAAAGCAACACAAACACGCACAACAGCTGCAAAAGCAACAGTGGTATTATAAGTTTGCGATACAACATAATGACTAATGTTGTTTCATGTAAAGCTACAGAGGAAACATTACCAACAAAAGAAAAAGAAGAAAAAGAAAAAGAAAAAGTGCAACAACGCAAACATCATGAATGCATTATTACGAGAAAGGAAGCAATAATATAAACGTTCAAAGAAGGTTTACATCATTGCGACCAGAAGAAAGAACATACTTACCACTTACCACAGCCATAAATACACCAGAATAGTATGGGCAATTACCGGAGACAGACTAGAGAACAAGCATGCACCAAGTATAGTAGACCAGAAAAGACCAGATGAGCAGCAGCAACACTAGTACCATAGACAAACTAAAGAACGAACGCCATCAGCAGAGAGCAGACAAAGACCAAAGAAGTTACTTACCACTTATCACCGCCACAGATAGACCAGAGAACGAGCATGCACCAAGTATAGTAGACCGGGAAAGACCAAATGGGTAGCAGCAACACCAGCACCATAGAAAAACTAAAGAACGAATACCATCAGAAGAGAGCACACAAACACCAAAGAACTTACCACTTATCGCCACCACAGATAGAGATATTACGCAATTACCGGGTATGGACCAGAGAACGAGCATGCGCCAAATACAGTAGACCAGGAAAGACCGGATTAGCAGCAGCAGCAATACCAGCGCCATAGAAACACCGAAGAATGAACGACATCAGAGACCAGACGAAGACCAAAGAAGCAACCACCAGATATGATAAGCCAAAGAAGCAAACAGTAGAGATAGCAGAGACGTAATGGCAGCACCACCCACGTCAACCAGACAAAAAGAATCATCAAAGCCTAATAAATAAATTCAATTAGTGTTAATTCTAAGTCTTCCAGTGCTCGTTATCGAATGGTACTTAATATATTCCACTTCAAAGAAGCAGTATTAAGTTCTTTCAACGGTACATGACAGTGTTATCAGAAGCTAGAGTGTTATTATCAATCAAACGGTTTTCAAAACCACCATGGTTTGATACTGAACGCGTTTTGCAAAAAAGGAAAAAAAACGGGGGTATGGGAGTATGAGAGGGCGCCCTACCCGACGTCACAACCAGTAAATCTAATCTCAGTCTTTTGCAGCGGCAGCCATAGTTGCGGTAATTTAATATGAATTTGTGCTGTGGATATTTTCGTGTTCAAACTTGTCTTGATCTGACATCTTTTAAACGTTTTTGCTAAACTTGACTATGAAAACTGTCGATATCACACCCAGCTTTCTAATATACTTTTAAAGGAATAGAGAAGCCGCATCGAATGGTGTTGATTACATTTAGCTTTCAGACCGAAAATAATGAGCAATTTGCAAAAGTATGAAAACATGTTTTTTGGCAAAATGTCGAAGTCTTATATAGGAAAATCTCACAGAAAGTGTTTCCAGTGTTGCATCTCATTTTTACAATCAACTTGATTTCATATGTATCTTAGGAAAAGTCTCCATTTTTGGGATGAAAAACGCGATCGTTTGATTTTCAAGAATATTCCCTTGCTAATACTCATGAAAAAACAATGATTTTCATGAATTTGCAATGACCAAAAAAAAATTGAGATAAAGCATCAGTAAGTAAAGCGCAACCAAGGGGAGTCGTTTAGCTCTATTCCAAGCGTCCAAAATGCTTTTTGGCATAACTTATTCGAGTTGAAAAATGACTACATTTGGACAGAATTCGACCTAAAAATATGGTATAGCGGGCTGTGTTGCCGAACAAGTAGATAAACTACAGTGCTTTATAGTTACTAGGATTTTCTGCGTTGCAAAAACCCAGATTTGTATCTTGAAATGTGAGATTACAGTGATTTAAAGGCTCGAGCATCAATGACATTATACAGACTTGAATCTAGTACTACACAGCAGTATACTAGGCACAGGATTCTCCCAGCATCAAATGTCCCGCCAAACATGCAATGTAAATCATTGATTTCCATCATATATGTTTCAATGTTTTCATCATAGTTTGATATCTTCTACCTAACATCCAAGACTCCGGAGATGCAAAGGTATTTTCGGTTTTGAGGTTTGGGCCATCCGAAATTTGGTTTTGCAATTCCGTTAATGCTAGAGCTCTGACAACAGCATGTTCCTATAGCAAAATCTTGCAAGGAAAGCAATAGTATAGTTGGATCTTAGATCGGATGGTGCTGCAGTGAAATCAGGTTTGAATAGATTTCACAAAAAAAAATAAAGCAATAGTAAAATACAATAGAAATCAACTGTATTTTATTTGTGTATAAAATGAACTGAAGATCTTGGAATTGAGTAAAAAAAATAAGAGTATTTATACATTTGCAACTAGCTTGTAGGATTAGTGATGATAGAGAGCAATAGGTTCTGCTATTGCGATATATGGCAAATGTTGTTGATGTTTGATTTAAAGTGGTAATCAATGCAAGAGCACTGGCCATAAGGGTCGATTTGAGTAACCTTGATGGGCTTGGGTGAGCTATCGTCATAGCATGAATTAATGTAATCTTGATGGTTTAAAGTGTGATGTTTGTTATTGAAGTATGGAATCCTTTATCTGGGATATTGTGCAACTATGGCGGCAGGGCATAGTTGTCATATTTGAATATGCTTGTTATTGATTTGATTTTATTTGGATAAAGATACCATCACTTATTACGACCATCATGGGTGTGATTGAATACACTGTGCTCAGGAGTGATTCATTCACACGATGTGCGATATAAGCATGCATCTTTACTTCAGTATTTTTAAATGGTTCTTTGATGTACATTTGAGCGCTTTCATTAATAGATCCAAATAGCATGAATTTGAATGAGTGCTATTTGATGAACTTTGGTTTTCAATTAAGTTGCGTTTGGGTGGCTATTTCATTACAGGTGCGTTGCTGATCAAATACAAATGATTCCAAACGTAAACGGTTATGAACAACGATATACGTATAAAAGCTACTGTTGAAAGCTGTTGTAATTGCAAACGATTAAAAGTAAAAGATCCATGAATTAGGTGTTGCGTTGTAGTGAAAAATTGGTTATATCTTGGTGAAGATTTCCTAAAAAGTCAAAAGTGTGTTACGTATCGTAACAGCTTTTGAGTAATAAACTTCTTATAAATACTTCTTGATTACGAGCGACTAGAAGTAAGAGATCAATGGAATTGATACTGGAGAATGCTGTGCAAAACTACTTTGTGAAAGCTTGCTTTGTTGTGTTGTCGTGGCAGAGATTCGAATCTAAACTGCTCATTTTACGAAAAAGGAGAAAGAGCTATTCCAATCTCTATACTGACGCCAAAGCTTTTATATCAGGGTCATTTTGTGTTTACATTGAAGGGTTGCTATACATCTAGAGTGAATTCCAGTTACTACGTTCGTTGTCGAACAATTAAGTGAGGAAAATGTAGTAAATGAACCATTATTGTGGAATTTGAGACTTTATAGACTAAAATTCACGGAAAAAAAAGAATAAAAAAACGGTAATGTCAACTTGATAAAGGTATGTTTTATTATCACACTGACAGGTGTAAAGTAAACTGAAGTATCTCTACTGGCCAGGTAGATGATCCTTCTTATATACTATAACAATGGATAAAAGTTCTATTAATTAGATTAACAAATAAGTCAACTCAGATCAACTAATGTCTAATCATGCTAAAAGACAACTCCAGCAAGCTAATCATGATTTAGCTCTGTCTGGATGAATAATTAGACTCTCATCCGAAGTACCCTGATCTATCCTTTCTATAAGGATAATTAATATCGATCTAGTAGCATGTATTTGATAGGTACAGTCTTCTTAGTCTACATTAATAGTACATATCTGAGTGTATATCGCTAAGCATACATCTTTAGCATGTATCTGGATATATGACATGTCTATAGCATATCGTATGCATGTCTATAGCATGATGTCTCATATATATAGTACAAGTCTGTAGTACATAAAGTATCTGTAGCTAGTATCACAGATATAAGCATGTGTCTTATAGCGTGTATCATAAAGTGCACATCTGAAGCAACAAGCTCATATTGCATTAATCTTGATGTCTATCCAGATATGGCAAACATCCGTAGTCAATGTCGGAATACAAGTATAAGTCTGTAGCGCCATCCATGTCCGTGGTGCCATCTATAGCCTATATCTTATATAGTATGAATCTTATAGTACTAGCGTATCTGAAGTCCATATCTTCTTATAGTATAAATCGATATCGTACATCTAATCCAGTGTACATACAGTTTATATCATCTAAATCTGGTAACTGGATGAACTGTCGGAATGCAGATCGTAGTGGATGTATTCCACAGGTGGCATCGCCCGGGTAGGATAAAAAACCCCTCAAATAGGTACCGTCTTCCAGGGTAATGCCGTCGTTGATGAGTGTGGTGCGTCCTACACACTCAGGCAGCCACATTGTCTCGAGGAAAGTATGGCCAAAATAATGTTTTGGTTTGCTACGGCAACCAAGAAAGTCTTCATAAAGTTCAGAGTTGGTTGTAGCTTCATTGAACTTGAGAACGGCCTTGTTCAATAGATTACGATCTTTGACAGGTTCCAGATCGATGAAAACCGAATCCTCCTCGATCCCCTTGAGGAATGGACGTATGGCGGCCGTAGGTCCTGAAGAGGCCTCTCCATTGATGGCCTGCTGAGATGCCTCTGTCTCCGTAACTGGTCGTTGGATGTGCGTAGGGTTGAAAGAAACAATGGATTGCTGTTGCTTGTTGTTGCCTTTGCGTTTTGAGCCGACTACATGAGTCCACAGCAGTGGGATCTCAGCGTCGGGTTGCGAGGGAGAACGATGTTTATGGCTAGTGTCAAACATATTTACAGGATTCGCAAAAGACGCAAAAACGTTTAAAAGATGTCAGATCAGGCCAAGTTTGAACACGAAAATACCCACTGCACAAATTCAAATTAGATTGCCACAGGTACTGCGGCTGCCACGGCAGAAGGCTAAGACCAAATCTACTGGCCGTGACGTCGGATAGGGCGCATTCTAATTTTCCCATACCACCGTTTTTTTTTTCTCTTTTTGCAAGACGTGTTTAGCATCAACCCATAGTCGTTTTGGAAATCATTTGATTGACAATAACATTCTAGCTTCCGATAACCCTGTCTTGCACTGTTGGAAAAACTTGATTCTGCTTCTTTGAAGTGGAATATGCTAGGTACCATTCGGTAACGAGCACTGGAAGGCGTATAATTAACACTAATTGAGTTTGTTTTTTATTAGGTATTAGTATTTTTTTGCTTGTATGAGTGAGTGCTGCTGCTATTACTTCTCTGCAATCTCTGCTGCCTGCTTCTTTGGTTTATCATGTCTGGTTGTTGCTTCTTGTTTGGTCTTTGTCTGGTCTTTGCTGGTGGCGTTCGTTCTTTGGTTTTTGTCTCGTCTCTGGTGTCGTTGCTGCTGCTGCTACTAATATGGTCTTTCCTGGTCTACTGTCTTTGATGCATGATTTTCTTCTGGTTTATCTCTGGTGATTGCCTATTCTTTGGTCTATCTGTGGCTATGGTAAGTGGTAAGTATCATTTTTTCTTCTGGTCGCAATGATAAAAGGCTTCTTTGAACGTTGGTATTATTGTTTCCTCTCCCATGATATTGCATGCATGTTTTTTTGTTGCGCTTTGTTGCGTTTTTTTTTTCTTTTGCTGGTTGTGTTTCCTTTGTGGCTTCACATGAGACAACATTAGTCATTATGTTGTATTGCAAACTTATAATACCACTGTTGCTTTTGCAGCTGTTGTGCGTGTTTGTGTTGCTTTACATCCGACTATTACTGCCATGCACGATGCTCATGTATGCATTTTTGTTGCAACAACAATGAGCTCTTTTAAACATCTCTGATGTTGTATTTGTTATACTTTTCTTTAACCCACTTCGCGTGAGTGTCCTTTTTTTTGCCTACATACTACTATACTCCTATAGTAATATGTTCTTTTCTTCTTTTTTTTTATGTTTCTTTTGAAGCATATCTTTTTTTACGTTGTGTGGATGTGCCTATCCCTGAAGCTCAACAAGACTTTATCCGAGGCTAGGAGGTAGATAGGCCGCCTCCACTTGGTTATCGCTACTTACTTTAGTGATGATTGAGAGTCTCAATGCCAGAATTTAAAAGCTAGGTGGTGTAAGTAAGGCATGCTCTAGCACCTGAGGGAAATTTGATGATAGCATCTGCTATACTGCTATATAGCTGAGCTTAAAATTTTGCCTCACATCAAAACAGGGGGAAACCCTCGCAAAATTTTTTTTAGGTCAGCGGAGTTTTCAAGCAATCTGATTGGCTAAGAGGTTGAAACAACGAAGGTCTACAACTAGTTAATTTTCTGCTGGTTTGCTATTTAATAAGATATTGTCTATTGTAATAATAAAAGTTTAATAAAATGGAAATAAAAGTGCATAATCATACTTGTTGTATTCACTCATATAACTGTTTCTAAATCACAATATCGTAGACTGAATTCAGTAATAACCTATGCACATATGGAGCATATGTAAATTAACTGTATTGTTGCATACAAGCATGCAACTTACGGTACATTCACTTTCTCCTCAAGCCACTTTCTACAGTGTAGCAACATAGATGATGTTTATCATCGTATCACATCACATCTATGTTTACAAGTCCAGTCAATTGTGTGTGCAAGGGTGCCTCAGGAACTACAATAGATTCAATCTCCTTAATGTCAAGATGTCGAGATCCACTTGCATTACATGAAACATATCGACTTAGGTGGCCTCTCAACAAGCTATACCAACAATCCATAAGATCCCAGTGGTGGCCTGCTATTTATATACCATCTCAACATAGTAGTCATTGACCAGGGATATATCATATTTAAGCTTGTTAGATGCCTTGTAATAAAGAAACTTTTTGCTTTTCGTTTTAAATACAGTTGACAACTGATTATTTTCATCGACTTATTATTACGAATTCATCACCAAGGTGTAAACTTGCTTCACCCATCACAAGATCATCGACACGCTCAAGTCGCCTTCATCTCCGGATCATAGGGTTGACCCCTACTCTCGTCGGCAATAAAGCTTGTGATCATCCCGTAGCATGACCAATGGATTTGTCCCGCAGTCTACTCATGATTATGAGGCGGTGATCCTACTCAGTCCCTACAAAGTAGGTTTTCGGCACTATGTAATCAATAGGTTAGTCAACATGGCTCATACGTCCAACAAGATAATGACTTACTCGCACAGTTCACCAAAGTCTGCATGTATCAAAGATAGTGTGGCCTTTTTCTAGCATGGACCAAGAGACGTAGAGAGGACCATGGATTTGTAAGGCATTGTATGTAGCAGTAGTAGAGGCCAATAGACAGCAGAGTGTTTGATTTATGTGACCATATGTAGAGAGTGAGAGCCCGAACATCTTGTAGAGCGTTTGTTTGTATGGAGTATTTTGCTTTTTGTAAAGAGAAGGAAACGCTGTTGAAACAAACCTCTATTTATATCCTTCTCATCGGCTTTCATGTGAGTCTAGTATCCTTGCCACACTCAAATTTGTTTCCTTTTACTTTTCTCCACAATATGCTTATTTAGGAACGCGAGAGTAGTACCATTTTGACGTTTGACACTTGCTCTATTTGATCGGCTTCGTCCGACGCTTCCAACTATTTTCTGTCGAGTTATATCCATTTTGCTATTTCAAAAAGCCCTTTTTCCACTTTCACAAGAAACGAGTTCCCCCATCTCTTCCTAGATGTAATCAACAGACAGCTTTTCATGGGCTCATTCTCATCAAAAAGTAAACAAAAAATGTCATTTGACTCTGAAAAAAATGCTCGATTAAGTAATCTTTCTCTACTTTCTTAATTTCTTTCCGTAAAATCATACGGTTCTCGGTCCATCTCTCTTATTACTTGTATTCGCCATAAACTGTCCATCTAATTGGGCAATACAGGATGATAAGGTTGGCTTACTTGTCGTTTTACATCACCTCGGAACCAGTGTAATTGATTCTGTCCCAAGAGACAAGTGTACACCTCGGAAAACAAGAGTATTATCATATGAATATTACTGCGGCAGTCTCCATGGAATGGAACATAATTGATTGTTTTCGAACCAGTGCAAGTCATCTTGTTTCAACTACCATGGTTGCTGTCAATGATATCAATCAAGTGTTCGCACTACTAGATATCATCAATATGCCCACATTTACATAGTGAGTTGGTCATTCCCATGTATCATTCCTGCAACCAGTTGTAGTTCTTGTATCAAGAGTATTCATCTCATAAAGAGTCAACACATTTCATGTCATTCTTTTAGGAACTGTCTTCTTTTAGAAGGTACTAGGATCATGTAAAATCAAAATAATTCATTTGCTAGGCAAAGTTAAGCTTTAAAAAAATCACATGTAAACAAGTAAACAAAAAGGACATGAATTGAAGAGAGATAAGCAAGTAAATGGTCAATTTGTGGTCAAAGAGAGGATATTTTATTAGAAAGTATGTACACCATTAGAAAGCAAGTCGCTTGAGGAATCCAGTGGTACTATTTTCAGGGTTCAAGGTAAAGTACACATCGCGAAATTCTTCAAACAAGACCGTGGGATTTCCAAAAGAGGGAGGTTTCTGAATTGAACTCCACCTCTCTTCTCCTGCAAAATCCCTTTGTCTGTATGCTATTCTGTTGTTTTGGATCATGTCACGCTCATCCTATGTCACCATCCTGTCGTTTTCGGGTCTCACGTTGAGTGCGCTATCCATTTGGGAAGGAGTCTCGCTTTCTCGTAGAATCGTTCCGGTGGGTATCATCACCGTTATATGATAGGGCTTTGAGCAATCAAGGAGAGTCTTCTTTTAGCCAGCCAAAAAGGATTACAATCCCGCTCGACATTCTATCACAGTTCGTTGATTTTTGATCCTTTTGCGACTTGATCGACTCATTTTACCAAATTCGACTATGAAAGTTGTAGTGATCATCCTTTACAGCCTTAAGCTATCTAGAAGAACTTTTCAAGGAGCATTCAATGGTGTTAGGTAAAACATATGCTTTGATTGAACTTGTTGAACAATTTATCAAATTATGAATTGTCGTTTTTGGCGAAAATGCCGAGATTTTATGTATGAAGGTCTCACAAACATAGTTTCAGTGGTTGCTTTGAACTGAAAGAAACATTTTGAACTAATATATACCATAGTAAAAGTCTTCGTTTTCGTAATAAAAAATGCGATCGTTTAATTTTTGATGAAACCCATGAGGTACCCCTCATGCTTTCTGGCGATGTTTTCGAAATCCCAAAAAAATGCTCAAAGGTGTCCGTAAGTAACCGCTAGGTGAGAGCAACTGTTTGGTGCTATTTTGATGGTCTAAAACAGCTTCAAACACGAGAAAATGCGATTCAAATGCACGCAGTTTTTGCTGTGCTTTGTATAGTTTTGGGTAATAAAAGACAATACAAGTATGCTGTTTGCCGGAATATGAAGTACTTGTGTGTATTCGGATGTAAAACATTGGATAAGAGTTAGATCCACAGGTAATATGAAGGATTCTCATGCGTAAGTGGAGGGTTAAGATAAAAGTAGCAGTATTTTGATGAGATAAGCAAGAACGGTTGGCAGCGTGAGCTGCCGCTGCGCAGGTTGATTCTCACCGAAGCGAAGCAAAGGTAGAGAGCCATCCGAAGCATAATCACTCGTATATTATAATGCAAAATGCTGCTCTATCATTCCAGATGATCATTGAAAAGTATGGTAATGTGATAATGATACGGTTAAGGTCGTGCTTTTTGGCATCCTATATAGCGTGATATTCAGTCATTCTACCAATATATGTTAGTGTTTCACTTTATAGATTTCAATAATTGCAAGTGAGTCATTTATGTACGATCTGCAACTGTGCATCTGGCGTTTCAACAATGTCCCACGCTTATATCAATGGAAAGAACTAATATGCGTACAGTCAGCATACTTGTATTGTCTTTTATTACCCAAAACTATTATGCAAAACACAGCAAAAACTGCGTGCATTTGAATCGCATTTTCTCGTGTTTGAAGCTGTTTTAGACCATCAAAATAGCACCAAGCAATAGCTTTCATCTAGCACTAACTTACTGACACCTTTGCTCAACTTTTTTGGGATCTCGAAAATATGGACAAAATTTGGCCAAAAAGCATGAGGTACCTCTCATGGTTTTCATCGAAAATCAAACGGTCGCGTTTTTGACCTTGATAATGGAGACTTTTACTATGGTACATATTGAATCAAAATGCTTCTCTCGATACAAAGCAACCCCTAAAACCACTTTTATGAGGATGTCATATACAAAATATGGATATTGTTGCTAAAAACTTCATTTCAAATTCTATCAAATTACTCAATAGCTTCATTCAAAACACCTGTTACAATCGGTACCTTGGAAGCGCCTTGAAAAGTACTCCAAGAATGTATTAAGAAGCTTAGGGTGATCATCAAAATTATATAGTCGAATCTCACAAAATAGTTCAATCAAGTCGACAAAAGACAAAAGTTGGCCAATCTTGAGCAGAAAAATACAACTGAGATCGAATAAATTTTGGCGGGCGGCGGCAGGCGACGATGCTGCTGACTGGCTCAAATGCCTTTCTGATGATGATGATGATGATGATGATGATGATGATGATGATGATGATGATGATGATGATGATGATGATTGTGATGCTGATTGCGATGCTGATTGTGATGCTGATTAAATGAGTACAATGGGGTTTAAAGGACAGTTGATTAGCCTGAATACTTTTTTGAGGAGTTTTCCCTAATAAACGTGTCTTTTACAATGACAGTATCTCAAAAAAGTCGCTGTAGATCTTACACAAGTCCTCTATTTGCGCATGACCAACTCTATGTCGCCATTATAAGAGCATCAGCAGCAGCGAATGATATGGCAATTCTACTATCAGAAAATGGAGATTGAGGTGTACAAATGGTGCATAAAACTTGAATTTTCTTTCACATTGTCTCAATAGTAGGCTTCGTTTGGTATCAGTATAAACAAAAAGATTGCTGAGGGAGACACCTCCTCTCCTCCTGGCTCTGATATTACCTTTCATTTACTAATAAATGATTGTTTAAAATCTACTTGATATACCAAAATTTAATCATGTCTGATTTAAAATGTCTTCAACGAGAGCCAGCAGAGCGACGTCGACATCGAGCGTAGCAAGATATATCAGCTAGTGCCTTTATACCATACAATATGTTGTAATCCTATTGATACAAATGTTACTGTTGCAGTAATAAAAGCTCTAAACCGGTTTAATAAAGTCATTTTAAAGCACATTCACCTTCTCTACAGAAATACTAAAGAAGGATGTCGGGATGTATCCCTAAGAAGAGAATGTATGCCCAGTTGGCCTTATCAGGTTATTGACTGGCAGCGTAAAAAGCCTTTTGGCATGCCGTATTTACTGTGACAGAGCTAAACATGTTCAAGTGAGGAGATATGAGAGATTTATTAAAGGTTGAGTCCAGCCTGAAATGGGACGGTATTGTTTTTGTACTGACGCGCTGCTGTGTACTTTAGAGGGTCATTGTAGGAGAACTTTAATGTGTTTATCACTGCAGTAATCTCGAACCAGCTCGACTCTCTGGCAGATAGGCCACGGACTCACAATAATGAGAAGCTTTCAGTGGGCATTTCAAGGTATCATCACCATGTAATTGCGCCTCCATGAATACATAACGTCACTTTATTTTATATACTCTTGCCGTTGAATATACAGAAGCATACATTGTTTATAGTATTAAGCATGCAGTGATATACAAGCATCACTGCGGGGCGTGTCATTGCTCAATTACACTACATCCTAACGATGCAGATCACACTACTGCTAAATTTGGGCATTTTCCTATGAAAACACAGAAGGAAAAGATACTACTCATAAGCCATTGGTAGGTTACAAATGTTTGAGTAGCGTACTCATCCCTTCATACAATATGCTAAAAAAAAAAGGTCTCTGATGATACAGTGATGAAAGAATTGACCAGATCAATGATAAAAACGTCAAGGGTGAGACATTTGCGAATGTTCAACTCAGCTGGAATGCTAGCCGCTTTGTAACTTTCATGTGGTTCGATGATCTCAAAGGATTCCGTTCTCAGAGCAAAGCAAAACCGAGATTCTTCCGAGCAAATGCTCCATTTAGTCAAACAGTTGGCAAATCATGAAAAAAAAAAAAAAAACGAGAATAACCCAAGTAAAAAACGCGCATTCCGAGGTTCCTGAATGTGTAAGATCTTGTTACTTCTCTACATCGAAGCGTCGGGAAAGTGCAGAATGACCCGAGAAAGAGATTTTATATAGTCACTTTAACCCAATCATAGCGGACGAATGGATTTGTTAAACAACATGCTGAAAACTTTTTCATTCTTGTGCCAACAAAAGCCATCCAAAATTTGGTGCTAGAAAGTTTTTTTTTTCCCTCTTCTTCTTCTTTCTCTTCACTGTTTTTTTCTTTTTGTAGTTTTTTTCAACAAAAATACTTTTACAAGAAAGAATACTGGTCGTTTTTGATTGAACGTCGCAGTGAATAGCCCAACATCTCTCTAGAAGCCGTTGATACAAGTTTTCCTCTCTCGCCTTTTGTACTCGAAGCAGTACAGATAATACCTTTTCGACCTCCGTAATACACAATCCATACTCTTTATCCAATTTATGGTCAATTTATCCAGCAACGCAACTACTACTACGACTCCTACTGCTGGTGAGAATTACTCTGCACAAGAGGGTGCTTTTGAAGGTCCTGAAAAGCTCTTGGAAATCTGGTTTTCGCCTTCGCCGGATAGATTAAAGGATCACCAAAATTTGTCCTCTGACGAATCGGAAGACGATGTCAACTGCGTTCGCAATCAGAGAAGAAGAAGCCATGCTCCTGTAGAAGGAAAGACCGGTCTGCGTGTCATTCCAAGACCCGTGCTCGATAAAATGCTGGCGTTGGTGAAATGTACTGTTCTGAATGTGATTTCCAACAAGGATGTGGATGCTTATTTATTGAGGTAAGAGATCAAGAGAGGGAAAGAAGGGAGATCAAAGAATTACTGTTTATTTATACTGTCTTGTTTTAGTGAATCATCCATGTTTGTGTACCCTCACAAAATGATCTTGAAAACATGTGGTACTACCACTCTGCTTTTGGCAGTATCTAGACTCTTGGAAATCGCCAAGAATTACTGTGGTTTCGAAAAGGTGTGGAGAGTGTTCTATTCTAGAAAGGCTTTCATGTTTCCTGAACGTCAAATTGGTCCCCATCGCTCATGGGATGACGAAGTCAAGTTTTTGGATAAATACTTTGGTGAGTGCTTTGTAGTTTGTGTATAGTGGTAGATTACTAACCCGTATAAACAGACGCCGGGTCTTCTTATATTGTTGGCAAGGAGCGTCAAGATCAATGGCATCTCTACATGACCAAACCTTCTGATGATGTCTTGCACCACCCCTCATCTCGTCCTATTCTACCTCATTTGCGCGGTGTAATGCAGGAACATGAGATTGCAAGCGGCGCTTCCACTCCCGTCACTTCAGACAGTGAAGATCCTTCTCCTTTTGGTAACGCAGGTCATTTTCATCCAGACCAAACGATTGAGATCCACATGACAGGACTCAATCAGGAAAAGATGAAAAAGTTCTACCATGATGTCTCTCAGACAGAAAGCGGTATACCCGGGGGTAAGTGGGTCGATCAGCAAACCGGTATCGATAAACTGTATCCAATGGCCACGCTGGACAGTTACTTGTTTGAGCCTTGCGGTTACTCTAGCAACGCTATCTGGGATGATATGTACTTTAATTTCCATGTCACTCCCGAGGAGGAATGCTCGTACGCTTCATTTGAGACGAATATACCTGTCGAGAAGTCTCATGCCAACTCGGGTGAGCAGAGTCCAGTGGAAGCATTGATTACGCAGGTGTTGGATGTGTTTGATCCCTCTCAGTTCACTGTAACCTACTTTACATCTCACCACAAGGAGCATCATAGCCACAGTCATATGGTCCGATCCATGAGCGCACTGCATGGCTACAAGCGCACGAACCGCATCTTGTATGAATTCGAGGGCTACGATTTGGTCTATGGCCATTATGCGAAATAAAGTCATTATGATGAGTATCATCTGTAAATAATAATCCAATTTATTCTGTTTGTTGTACAAGATTACGTTCAATTTAACTAGTCTTTCTTTTTTTCATTGCGAACCTGATTTATAGGATTGTGCGACAACAGTGTCTCATTTTCATCATGAGAAGGGGGGCAAAAGTCCGTGTCTATAAATTTCTGATTTGTGCTAATTCCTCCCTTTCTTTTTTTTTTTTTTTTTTTTTTTTTTTGTATTCTACATTTGACAATAGCATTTTCTCCTTTCCTTAAATAGACTCAAGATGCGCTTGGAATCCAAAGTCAAGGTCTCTCGACTGGCGAAATATGCCATCCTGGTATACGTGATGATCTCGATATGCTACACTACCAGCCATTACTTTTCATCCCACTATGTAAATAACAACATGAACAGACACAACAGCATGGAGGCATTGGCTGTGGATCAGCAGCAAGATGTCTTGATGCAGTCAGATGCATCCTCCTCCTCTTCTTCTTCTTCTTCTTTTTCCTCCTCTTCATCGACTGCCTATACCAAGCCAAAATTGCAACATCCAGGCAGCCACGAAGACGCAGAAGATGTTGAATATACCAATCAAGTGACATGGCCTGGTTCAAAAGGTAAAAAAAAAAAAAAAAAAAATACGGTTTATTTTATAATGGGGAGGGCAAATGATGTTGACGTTTAGACTATCACAGGCAGCGACATCAACCATAAATTGTCAGAGGAAATCATGAAATCCAAAATCTTCTCTAGCAGCATGGGGTTAGACAATGTTACACCTTATTATTTCAAAGCCTCGCACATTATCAACACACAAGACATCACATTGGCCACACTGGTCACTCGCAACAGATTCCATGTCCTCTCTCGATTAGCAACAAATTACAAAGGTCAGTTGGCAACAAATGTTGCGGGAAATCTTTTTTGATATACTAATAATCAAGACAATATGCAGGTCCAATCTCAGCTGCTATCCATGTTCTAGACGACGGCGACAAACTAGCTACCATCAAGGAGCTGGGCAAAATCTACAGCTCCAATCCTGACATGCAAAAGTATGTCGACATCCACTTGATCATTGACAAGTTCGACAGACAGTTTAACATGTGGAGAAACACAGCCAAATTGTTCACGCGCACTGACTATTTGATGATGCTCGATGTGGATTTCCATCTCTGTACTGATTTCCGAAAGACCATCTTTGGTAACCCCACAATTAGCAATATGCTCGCTGCAGGCAAAACCGCGATTGTTGTACCTGCATTTGAGTACCTGAACCAAAAAGACGGCATGGACTACAAGACATTCCCTACCAAAAAGGCCCAAGTCATCCAGCAAGTGCAAGACATGAAGCTCGATAGTTTCCACAGCTCATGGGTGAGTGGGCATGGTGCAACCAACTATTCTCATTGGTACACTGCTACAGAGATGTATCCTGTCACTGAGTACGAATTCAGTTATGAACCTTACGTTATTTACAAGAAGGAGGGCACTCCTTGGTGTGACGAACGCTTCATTGGATACGGTGCCAATAAGGCTGCCTGTCTCTTTGAGATCTTTATCTCTGGCGTGGATTACTATGTCTTGCCCAACGACTTTTTGATTCATCAATCGCACAAGTATGCTAACCATGACCGTACGAGAGAGGTAAGAATGCTCTCTATATACCAACATGGCATACATACTCACCCACCTGTAGAGAACACACAATCGAGTCTTGTACGAGAATTTCAGAACCGAAATCTGTCTCCGTTATTCCCGCAAATATGTCATTGAAGAGACTTGGTACACGCCTGCTGCCAAGAACATGAAGCAAGTGTGCACAGATATTCCCAAATGGAAGTATTTATCAGGCATCTCCAAGGAGCAGAGACTCAAAGATCTGGAAGAAGAAGCCGCCTTGAAAGCTCAGCAAGAGCAAGGCAACAATACTCAACAACAAGCCTCATTAGACGTTGAAACTGTACAATTACCTGAAGAAGACGAGCAAGAAGACGAAGAGATCATTGCCACTATATAATCGCATTCGGAAAATAAAAATCAATGTGTATAGCTCATAAAGATTGTTTTTGACGACAAGCAAACGACGATGATGCCAGTGATTTGCACGTGAATGCCATTTAGCTGTTCAAGCAGATAAAGCTATTTTTTTTTATTTTATTTTTTTTTTTTTTCATTATTCTCTTTTCTCTCTTTCTTCTTTCCTCTCATCTTTTGCTTGAACTCAGTTATACATGAACAAACTGAAGGAAACACCCACTCGATTATGGCCAAATGTAGGTTGACCATCACACAAACATGCAGGCATTTGCGCTGATGAATAATCTCATCTATAATGCAGATTTATGATCGCATTGTGTCCACTAGCAACAACAACAACAACAGCAGCCATTCCAAATCATACTATGAACATCTCCTCAAGACAGCAACCAACTACGACGCATGGTGTGAAGCAGCAACCAAGTTGGACGAAATTGATGGTTTGGATCATTGGAAAAGAGAAATGGCATCTCCTGACTATGATCATGAACTTATAAAAACTAGGCTGGATCAATTGAGACAGATCAGAAAAACCAACAAGGGCCAGTCAGCCATGATCTTTGCTCTGAGAACAAGCCTAGCGAGAAATTTAGGTGATATGGGCAATCCAAAGGTACACAACTCAATGTTTGTTTATCGTAAACATGGAAAGATTTTCTTATATTCTTTGTTTGGTAAACAACACATAGCTCTACTCATATTCACGTGTAGGCACAAAAGACTTGACCTGTGAATACATTGATGAAGTCGTCAAACAGCTCAATTGGATATGTGATGAGCCTGCAGATCCTGACGATGATCCCCATCTGGACTTGAAAGCCAAGCATGATTTCTTTATGAACATACGACAGAGCTTTGGACGCACTGCGCTGCTATTGAGTGGTGGAGGCACATTAGGTACCTATTTCGTTGTTTCATGTGTGAATGTCATGACATAACAATCATATGAAATTGTGTGTATAGGGTTAAATCATATAGGCGTTATCAAGTGTCTACATGAGGCTCAATTACTACCTCGCATCATCTCCGGGGCCTCCAGTGGAAGTATTATGGCATCGCTGGTGTGTACAAAGACAAGCGATGAACTGCCTTCCATGTTTGATCCTTCTTTGGTTCGTCTGGTAAGTTTTTTGCATGTCTGCGTGCATTGTTATCTATATACCAACACCCAAACTCCAGGATGTGTTTGCCAGAGACGGTGTTCCTGACACTCCCTACGCCCGTCTCCAACGTTTGATGATACAAAACCAGCTGTTTGACGTTGAGATCCTCAAAGAAGCCATGCGAGCCAATATAGGTGACATGACATTTCAGGAGGCATTCAACAGAACTCGTTTTATTTTGAACATTACCGTCAGCTCATCCACCTTGTACGACATGCCTCGACTTTTGAACTACATTACGGCACCAGACGTGGTATGTAATCAGAGTAATGCGACGAACCTGCCTACTAATTGCCCTGTTTAGCTTATTTGGTCTGCAGTGTAAGTTTGAATCGCAATAGCTTTAGATCAGCTTGTTTTGACGCTGTATACAGTGCCGCTTCATGTGCTGTGCCTGTATTCTATGGATCAACACCCTTGTTCGCCAAAGATAAGAATGGGAATGTCGTGCCTTGGAACCCAAATGGTGAGTGAGGATAAGACAGCTGACTATCTGCAAATATTAACACATGATGTATACTAGATCAACTGTATATTGATGGCTCTGTGGAAAAGTAAGCGTGCCAAATATCACATGAAATACACACAACCACTAAATGCTCTTTCACATGTTATAGTGATTTGCCAATGAACAAGCTCTCAGAGCTTTTTAATGTAAATCATTTTATCGTCTGTCAAGTCAACCCACATGTCATTCCCTTTCTACAAAAGGCAAATACCCCTTCTAAATTGAGACAAGCTGCTAATTTTTGCATGCACATGGCCAAGACAGAAGCACAGCATCGTTGCACACAGGTACAGTGGATCTAGATGCCAGCTGTTGCAGTACTAACACGCTGTTGATAGCTGACAGAACTCGGAATATTGCCCTCCTTCTTTTACAAAATTCAATCCATCATGTCCCAGAAATACTCTGGCGATATCACCATTGTGCCTGATATTGGCTATTCAGATTTTCTCAAGGTACTCTCCAATCCAACACCTGAATACGCTTTGGATTGTCTCTACCGTGGCGAACGAGCCACATGGCCCAGTAAGTTGTTATGGTATGCACCTTGATACACCATGGTTTAACAGATTTGAAACTAGAGCTATCCGTGATCAAAAACCACTTGCAAATAGAGCTCTCAATTGACCAAATCTTGTATCGTTTGCGTCTTTTGAGACTGAATGAGCTACCAAACAAGAAGCTCTTGATTGCCAACAACAATCTGCTTACAAAACATTACCACAACAGACCCACGTTGGAAACACGCTCCACATCGCAGTTTAATGTGCGCAATACCTGCATGTCTCCTATTGATGAAAACGATGAGATGACACCTCGCAAACGCACAGAAATGATAGATTCCATAACAGACACGCTTCTCAATATACCAGAAACACTCACTGTTCAATCCTCTCAAAGCACACCTATGATTGTTGCCTTGTCTGATCAAATACAGCTTGTACATGGCACCAAGAAGCCTAGCAACGCCAAACATGACGCCAGTAAGAAGCAGCAAGAAAAAGAGTTGCTCAAAGAGCGACACCAAACAAGACGAGGCCTTTTAATGACCAAACCCGAGTAAGCCTTACAGCCCTTGTATACTCTCGTTTTATCACTTGCTATGAGACACACCCTATATATATGCCATGTATATTATACATCTACACTGTATGCCCTGATTTATTTATTTGTACTCTACAGTAAACGTTATGATTTCAAAGTGGGTTGCATGTTTATTGTTCACAAGTTATTACAGTCAGCGAATGGGTATAGAAATAGCAGCAGCAGAAGAAGTATTTGGGTATAGTGCATGGTCATTCGTTAATGGTTTCTGCTGTTGCTGTTGGTTCTGTTGCACATTCTTAACACTATCGCAATAATCGCAGCATTCGGGCAGCTCCAGATCATCATTCATAGGATCCTCAAAACCAAAAAGAGACTCTGATGAGGATATTGAGGAAGATGTGTAGATGGATTTGGATAACTGGGGCAGAGTACTGCTGGATTCTTGCTTTTTTTTGCGCAACAATGATTTTGGCTTGAGGAACGACAAGAATTTGGTTGGATTTATTTGACTTTTTGTATCCACCAAGAAGCAATTGACTGAGCAATACAATGAATCCTATAGGTGTAGTGGTTAGTTGGGCATGCTTTATTAGAAACGCACAGACATACAGATTCGCATGAGATGGCTTTTTCGCAAACAGGACACCAGTTCAAATCACACATTGCAAACGTAGAGAGATGGAGGAGAGAGAGAGAGAGAGAGAGAGAAACGAGTGTATTAGGTTGAATTTATATAAATTTTTATTAGCTTTTTTGGGTTTCATTGATATTCTTTCCTCTCATTTCATACAGCATCATGTAAATCTTTTAAAATTTCTGGCATAAATTTCCATGCAAAAATTTTGTGACCTGCTGCTTGAATTGATTTTATTGCAATAATTCACCGACTAAGCGGGTGTCCTCACATTGCCAGTCTGGCGTGCAAAGACATGTGAATAAATGGGGGATAAGACGTACCTATAAAAAAAAAAGTAAGAGGTCAAAAAATCTGCTGATAGATCCCAGTGAAAAGGCCAACTTACTTATCAGGATTTTGAGCTCGACTGAAAGGAGGCAACACCTTGTTGTCAAGTGAGACCAGTGCCGAAAAACCAATGAGGGCAATGTTACTCGCTCCTTGCTCATCACGATTCATGGTAGTTTGTTTTAGCCAGCCTTTTTGGACACTCAGGGTTAAAGCATGTAACGGCACCGAGGTTCCTCTTCATTCTATTCTCCTCACCACGCACCAGTTGTTTCTGTGTCGCCTTGAAACATGAGCAGCAAATTCTTGTAGAATTGTATTCGTCCACCAATCTGACTGTGCTTCTTGTGGACAGCGTTGACATGTACGGCTTCATACTTCGAGTGCTGTGGCCACGGAGGTACTGAGTATTGCGATGCCAGTTTCGTATGAAGGAAACCATCTTTGGCTTGTTGAAGGTGGACATGGTTGCAGCAGATCTGGCTTCACTGGCTACCAAATGTTGGTGAAGTTTCTTCAAGCGGATTCGTCCAGTTGCCCTTCCTTTCTGTAGCTTCTTGACTGATGACTTCTTTCTCTTCTTTCGCCTATTGGAAAAGACAGCATTGTCGACTTTGTTGGCTGTCATTTCATACTTGACGAATGTTTCTTCGTTTCCAAGAGAGGTTGCAGTGTCAGAATACTCTTGCAGCATTTGAAACCGATTGATCGACTCAAAAAGAGTGAGAGAAGCCACTAGAAACGAATAATTCCTGAACACTGGCACTGATGTCGTCAATAATTGCAATGGGCTTGACACTCTTACTCAAACCACAATCAAATAAATCAACAGCTTTGATGTCAAAGAAAGACATCTTTTTCTGTGTCGCATGTTGGATGAGGATAACATTACCATCTCTGAGATTGGACATATAGCGAAATACTGTATAGGCAATGTATTGTGTATATCATTCTACCACAGCTCAGATTTCGTATGATACCTTGTTACAGACTATGTTACTTGATTCCATAAGCACAGTACTTGATGATGGCTATTAGATATTGACAAGGCCCATGTATTTTGCTTGCCTGAACATTTACACGAGGTACATTTCATGATTATTGAATAGTGCATGCCTCTTTTTTTTTTAACTTCAAGAGATCTCGCAGCTTTTTTCAGGCACCAAATCAACATTATTGAACATAGTAGGGTAGGCCTTAACAAAAATCACCATTTATAGCTCTAAGAAACCACTGCTTGAAGAATAATCGCCTTTTATGTTAATGTTTGAATGAAAGCTTGTTCTGTTCTTTAATTGGTCACACATACAAGTTTACAATAGAATGCAATTGTGTCTCGCAACATTTTATTGCCACCAAAAAGCGACAAGTTGAGTTAGGTTGAGCCTTAATAATCCGAGGACACAAATTGTGTCCCAACAGTGTCCTTCGCCCCATACAAATTAATCTTGCATCTGAACATCTCCATCGCTGTTCAAGTTCTCGGCATTGGAGTCTTGTTGCGTGGTACTAGTTGCATCATTGGATTCTACTGTCACTGAAGAAGCCTCCTTTTCATCTACTGCACTCGAGCTGGCTTGCTCATCACCAGCAGTAGCAGTAGATGTAGGGATGGCTGTTGCTGTGCTTTCATTCAAGGTGGATCCAGGTGTAGTAGGTGCCGTATTTGCTGCGACACTGGATGATTGGCTTTCATCTTCGTTTCTAGATTTACCATCCAACAGTTCATCAGTAACCGGTTGTGCTGTGTGTTCGTCGTGATGATGATGGGGTTGAGGGTTATAAATGTTGCTTGCCATCTGCCATACTTGAACAATATTATCATCAGCTGTGCTTGATAATACCCAAGGATCTGCAGGATTCCAACTGAAATCAGAGATTTTGTTTGTATGACCACCGTGCATGAACTAGTGAGGATAATCATCAGACACTGTGCTGATACAACGTCTGTATTTCTTACCAAAAGCTCGGGTGGTCCATCTTCTGCTTCTTCGGGAAGTTGAGGGGTATCGATCTTAGAGAGATCCCACACAAGAATTCTTCTATCGCTACTAGCTGTGGCCAAAACAGCATCATGGTGTGGTGACCATGCCAATTGAAGGATCTCGGATTGATGAGCTCTTAGGCTGTGAATCGATTGTTTTAGGTTACGCAAATCCCATAAAGCAGCAGTCTACAAACGCCCATGGTGAGTATACACATGATTCGTCTTGCGAATTTTTTTAGTTACCTTATCTCCAGAGCCTGTGGCGAGCACCCATTCACTTCCAGGGGCAAATGCAACACAGTTGATTTCAGCATCATGCGCTTGAATGTTGTGAATTGGCTTGTTGGAGTCGTTTCTGGCGTCCCAGCTAATCAAATATCAACAGTTAATATCCTTCATTTGCTGTTTAGAGCTATACCTACATCATGAGTCGAGCATCGTCGCCGACAGAGGCGAATATAGATTCGAATTTAGTGTGCCATGCGACATCCTACAGTTTTATTTTTGTATCAATGGCTGTTGGTGCAAACAGTGTCATGATTCCTTACTTCTACACCTGTTGTATGAGCTGTATATGTACGCACAGGCTCCAATTCACGATTTTCCCTTGACGTTCCTGCAACATCCCATTGACAAATCTTCGAATCAAAGCCAGCACTTAGTAAATGAGTCGAGTTTCCTTTATGAGGGCTCCAGGCTAAACCATAGCTATTCAAAGTCATGTTAATACCAGTGTCTGATATACAATGCAACCCAACTTACCCCTCCTTGTCGTGTCCAGTCAATCTGAGAGTAGGATTGAATTTTTCGCCTTCTTTGGGCATTGGGTCAAAGGTAGTGCGATCAAAAACATACACATCGCCAGTTCTGGATTTTGTAGCAATGATGTCTGGATTTTCGATTTGATAACGAGCACGGTTCACCTCTCCGTCATGAAGGATCTTTTGCGTGATTTTGATGAACGTCTCATTGTCTTTTTCGACTATGCAAAAAGAAAATCCAGCATTGGTGTACTAGTCAAATCTCTCTTTCTATCAACAGCCGACTTACCCTCGCTAGCATCCTCCATGGCTGTATCTTCAGATTTTTTGACTTCGTTAGGGAGTCTTACAGATGCAATCTGCAGATAATTCGGTTCATTATCATTGGTGTGAGTTCCCAATAACAGGTTCTGGATCTTGTAATTCTTGTCAGGCATTCTACAAGGCATATTAGCTATTGGTCTACCATCCAAGCATCTCAACATACTCTTCTACAGTAGGGAACCATTGACAAGTCAGACTAGGCCACTCAAGCGCGTGTGTGACAACAAGGTCATATAGAAAAGGCGAGTTCTTTTTCCACATTTTGTACTCCTCGTTGATGAGCTTTTCATTCTCTTCTTCTGTCTTGTTCTCAAGTTCTTTGTAGGTGCAGTTAGTAAGTCTCTGTTATCAAGCGTGTTTTGCGGCCATGTGCTTACCGTAATCCATGATATAAACTCTGTTGGTAAAAAGAGAAAGAAAAGCCAACAACAAAGTTGGTGTCTGCAAGGTCATTGCTCATCTATTCAACAGTCCCGAAGTCACAATTACCTGCAATACGCTTGCCATGAAGGATGGATGAGACACTTTACACTGTAGCAAGCATGACCAAACGTCCACCATCATCTCGGGATTCGCAAGAGCCAGAACCCAAGATCCAGCGCATAGACAACATTTTTAGTAACATGAGGCTAAGAAGAATCGTCAAAGAGAATCATGGACATGACATTTCTCAATTGTCCTTTTTCAATGACCATTTGAGCAAGAAATCAGCAAAGCAAATCGATACCAGTAATGTACTTGCTTCAGTGGGAGGATGCCAGGTAAAAGCATGCAACAAAGCCCATTTTATGGTATTGGTGATTGACATACAGACAAGTTGAGCGTGTACGATAATGAGCATTGTGGAGACCATCTAGACATCATGTCAAACTTTGATATCACACCATCGCATGAAAAGCAGGAAGCCAGACACAGGCTAAAGACGGTATGCTGGTTTTATAGAGAGAGCGGCGATGCATTGATGGCGACAGCAGGTGCTGATGCCATGATACATGTATTGAGCTTAGCCAACTCGGAGGAGATCATCCTTTTAACAGGGCATACAAGTATGAGCAACCAATGTGAATGTGTACCTTGGATCTAACAAGGATTCTACAGGCACAGTAAGTGATCTTCAATCACATCCATTGAACGACCATTATATGCTATCCACATCCAAGGACGGCACTGCGAGATTATGGGATCTTCGCCAAGAGAGATGTCTCGTTGTATTCGAGGCAAATGCTGCCCTGTCTATCTCTGTGAGTTTGCCTATATGTTTGCTTGTGGCAGTCAATCTTAATAATGCTAGTGTTTTCATCCTTCAGGTACCACATTTATCACTGGAAGCGAGCATGGTGACATCTATGAATGGACTATCCCGTCGCTCGACAACTCCATTAGCAATGATTCACCAGTAAGAGTATCTAAACAGGAGGCACGCATTTTCAACAAACTACATGGCAGCAAGTATATGGACTGCATCCGCTATGCGAATGGCAATCTCCTTACAAAATCAGTGGACAATCAGTTGCATTACTGGCGACCGGATACACAGGAGATTATTCACTCTTTTTCCATCGCATCCCAAGAGAACAACCATTCAAGATTTGATGTGAGCAGAGACGGACACTACTTGTGTGTGGGGTCACATCATGGCTATGTGTATGTGTTCGATATACATACAGGTGATCTGCTGGCAGAGCTATGTCATAAGAAGGCAACCAAAGCAGTGCGATGTAGTGTCTTTACTCGAGACTGCAGGTAAGGTAGTTGTGGGGCTATGTATCCATTAGATGTTGACTCTATATAAAGGCAAATTGTAGTCGCTGGTGAAGATGCATTCATCATGAGATACGATTACATTGATAGAAAGACTTTGGATGAATGGGCCAAGTGGAGGAAGTCTAAGTGATAGTCATAATGTAATATACAAACAGGATAGAATAAACAATGGCATTTAAGCGACACGCTTTTATGTACAAATGTTTGAATGAAATGCTATATTTTTATCATGAAGTCTTGATCATCAGAATCGTCATCACTAGGGCAATTCATATTACGAGCAGGTGCAGACACGATAGACTCAACTTTCTTCATCGCAGCAACGATACTCTTCAATCCAGAAAAGCCATAGCAGCTTCTCGGCATGTAGAAAACATCAACCAAGACCAGTTTGTATAGACAATCTTGTAGGAGTCTTCTGCTGTGGGCAGCTAATACTATAGTAAAAGATATAATGCCTATAACATATCCCATTGAGACTAGAATGAGTGAATACCCTATCTTACAACCCTCTTTTTATTTACTTCAAAAACATCAAATGCCTTCATAATTAGCATGACAGTTATCACCAGCCGCCGCCAAAACATGTTTAATGTCCGATTAGTATTCAGTTCTGATTTGTGGTCTTTAATTAGTTTTCGACTTGCAAAAGACTATTTTGCTAGATTCGACTATGAAAAATGCAATGATCGTCCTATGCTCCTCTGAGCTGCCGTGGTGGTAGGGTGAAGTGGTTAAGCATCCAACATGCCATCTGGATGATCCCGGTTTAAATCTCAGTGAGTGCATTTTTGGTGATTATTTTGACGTAGTACTGATGTCCTCGTTTGGTGTTTTGTGCTCTTATCCAGTATCCATATTTTGACGATTCGCATGATTGTATTGGCTCTAGGTGTCGCACCTGATTAGTAGTAGATTTCTTTCCCAAATTAGTATATTATATATCTTATTCCCCATCATTGCAGACATTGGGTCCACCAACAGTCTTTTCTTTCCCTCAGTATGGCATTTTAAGGACTTTAAATAAAACCTGGAGCTTGACTCCCCTACAAAAAAAAATGCTCCTTTAAGCTTCCTTGAAGTGCGTTTCAAGGCGCATCCACTGGTGCTAATAATAGTCTATGTTATTAACAAGCTTATTGAGTAATGAGTGAAAAAGTAAAATGAGGTTTTTGACCAAAACGTTGAAATAGTACATACGAAGGCCTTACAAAAGTGATTTCAGGGGATGCTTTGGATAGAGAGACTCATTTTGATCTAATATATGTCATAGTAAAAGTGTTCATTTTTGTGGTCAAAAGAACGATCGTTTGATTTTTGATTAAAATCATGAGGTACTCATGGTTTGAAGTCGATTTTTGGTGGTTTTTTTTTTTTTTTTTTTGTCCCTAAAAAGTTGAGCAAAACTGTCAGGAAACAATTGCTGGAAGAAGGCAATCGTTTGGTGTTATTCAGGCGTTCTAAACCGCTTTTTGACACGGTAAATTATTGCTCAAATGTGTCCAAGTTTTACTGTATTTTGGATAGTGTGCAGTAATAAGAAGCAATACAAATATGCTGCCTGCTCTTGCATGAGTTGCATTCATTAATACACAAGTGGCAAAACATCGTAAAGGACCCAAATCGACAGTTGCAGGCCGTTTATAAAGGGCTTTATGCAATAATGAAAAGCGAATATATGTATTTGTAAAATACCGCTTGCATATAAAGCTGGTACACGGAGGCAGTGATATATACTAGTCAAGTAACGCATCTTATCCTATCAAACGTCATTTGCCTTTGCTAAAGTATTCTTCAAGAACCTTTGTAGTACTTGCTTCATGCGAGGAGGTGTCATTTTGGGCGCGTATTTGCGAATACGATAATCTAAACACCTTGCAACAACGTCGCTTGTTGGTGAAGATACAGTGGACGTGGCCGTGGTAATGAAGGGAGCCGGCAGCCTTTCTTCAACTTGATGATCCTCCTTTGAGCTCTTCTTTGGTAGCATGACAGATGTGGCAGGTCGACTGTAGTAAAAAGAAGGCGACATCCAATTGACATGCGAATTCTTCTGTGTTGAGGCAGAGTACCATGTGGGTGACATGGTCATACTTGGTAGAATTGTGTTGGAATAGCTTGGTTGGTAGAGGGAAGGTGGCGGCAATGGAACAGCAGCGGCAGCAGTGATAGAGCTTAGCGACGGCAGCTTGATCAAACGAGGATTTTGCTCTTCAAATTGGATATGGGAAACGAGATTCAAGTGTGGGCTGCTCTGCTGTTGTGTAGGTTGTTGTCCAAAAGAGCGATAGCCACTACGCATGGCAAATTCAGGTGGTATGATATCCAGTGTTACATGTTTGGAGCTGTGTAAATACTGAAAGGTTTCCAATATCTCTGTGTCTAGATGGTTCCTGGAAATTAGCTGCTGCGTTGATAACTTCAAAATGCTCATTACCGTAGACATATTCCAGAAAGACCCTGTTTCTAAACATCTTCTTTTCTCGCATACGACTGACAATCTTGTGCCAGAAATTGGTCCTCGTGCTCCAGTAATTCCAGCCAAATTGCATCAAGACAATAATTTGGCCTGCTTTTTCGTCCCAGCGTAAAGCAGAATCAATAGAAGCCATGCTATTGTCTGTTTGTGATGATCTGTTGTTGCTGTTGTTCAAGCTTACATTCAAATGTTTGATGCATCGAACCACAAGGCCTTGTTGAGTGACCCGCATCAATCCGAATTCATGCTCTTGAAAAATAGCTGTGATTGTTCTACAATCAGCTTCATCTGCCAGAAAATCGCTGTCGTCTAAATTACTGGGTACAGGGAATACGGAGAGTATGATGGCTATTTCAAGTGTCGATTGCTATGGTATACATGCGAAATGAGACGAGCATCTAGGAGTGCACAGTATGGACCTACCGGTATACTGCCGACTAGCAAGTAGATAACGCTGATATTGTACAAGACTCGAAAGGCAAACATGAATGGAACCTCAAGCTCTGGTGGTGTCTCGCTCTCATTCTTGTATCTTTGGCGTTGTGCTTCTATTCTATCACAGATGGATTGAGACAGCTTTAAGGCTTTGGCCATGTTTCCTGATGTTGAAGGCTATATATATGAGGTATATGAGTGCGTTATTCATGATGAAACTTGTGGACGGCGTACCGATGACAAGGCCAGATCACTTCGAACAAGCAGCACAGCATTGGTCAGATCAAACGGCAATTGATATAACTCAATCACACGAAGAAACTCTAGAATAGAATTAGTTCAAATACGTACTGATTTTAACAGCTACACAACTACCTTTCTCCCAACTACCGTACAGCTGATCCAGACTCTTATTCTCTGGTAATGCTACTTTCAAAGCCCAATCCCATAACCCTACAGCGTGTCTCATACAATCTGCTGCTTGACTAAGTATCTGCAATGCGTTATCAACACCACCCATACAATAAGAATCGAGACCTTCGCCGCCACGATATGGGTATGCCATCAATTTTCTGCGCTTTTCCGTAGAGGATGACGAGGGAGATCGAGAGCGTTTGTTGTTCTCATTGATGGTATCACTATTGACGCGCTCATCTTGCTCATTGCTATCGGCAGTCGCACGAGATGGAGCCTGATAATATTCAGGCTGTATTGCTGTGTTGACATCTTGATGACCACGATCTGTTATTGATTTCATGGAGCAAATAGGGATCAAGCAAGACTTTTCATGAGAACTACTATCATCCAACATGCAGACAGCACGATAATACTCGTTTGACAAGCGAATGAAATCAGCAGTAACAGCTTTGAATTCAAGCATGAATACAATAGAGATGTGCAATAGCTGAGGCATCTGGTGGTGCGTATCTATATGCAGATAGTGCCGCTTTTGGTGTAGATGCTGAAATCTGCTACTGTTGGCGTTGTCTATAGGTGCTAGTGATGATTTGCTGTATCCACAACAATCCAGCATCATGTGGGTAAATATGGATAGATGATGCCATTCTCTGAGCTCAATGTAATACTGTTGACCCAGCAACAGATATTGTTCAAATAGATTATAGGGTATAGATATGTACTGCTTTCCATCTGTTGACTTCACTGCGGGATGTATGTCTGAATCTGTCAACACAATACGTTGTTTGCATAGCCTGGGAAACAGTTCTGTCACTAGTGTTCGGATATACTTTTTGCTTTCTGTCTGGCTCAATGCTTGCGCCCCTAAAACGAGCAGCTTGATGGCTCTGATCTGTTTCGAATGTTAGATGCTACTGCGTATTCATGCAACGAAACTAGAATACCAAATATTTGTACGCATGTCTCGAGTAATTATGTATGTAATCAAACAGTGCCTGATAGGCTCGAATGGCATCCTTCTTTTCGAGCGAGGCTGTTGAGAAATTGGTAAGTATGCAGTATCGGCTGTTGACCCAAGCACATTACCTGCGATTGCCTCAATGATAGTAGATTGGATCAAGGCTGGTAAGGAAGCAAAAAACACTATAAACAAAAAGTACTCAGTACATGACATAAGCACATTAATTTGGAATGTGTATTACAACTAATATCTGTGTTCCTTGCAGGATCAATGTGATCCGAGAATTTAATTATATAAGCTTTGAATATTTTGTTTTCAGCAGCATTGGCTTGGCTACCATAATTACCATGTTAACCATAGATTCAGAGCGTATTTAAGCAACTTACAGTAAAATAAATGTGTGTAAAGCCTCTTCCATATCATTAATGCGTATGGCTCGTTTGTGCTTCTCAAACTAGAATCAAACATTAGTGTGTGTGTATGCCGAAAGACATGTTTTGTAGTCGCAATTACTTCAACTTCAAACGAAAAGACAGCCTGTCTCTGTTGTCTTTGTGGAGGCTGCTGCGATGATGGTGATAGCGATGATTGACTCTGATTGCTTAGGGTGCTGCCATGGGATCTATTGTACATTGAGAGAATGTGCGAAAAGAAGAGTGAGAAAACGAAAGAAAAAAGAAGGGATCTCTTTGAGAAGAGAAACAGGGAACCACCTTTTTTTTTTTAGGGCTGTTAGTAGCACAATGAGCCATAATCAAATAAGCTCGTATGGCTATGTTTGGAACCCAGTGCTACTTGGTTAGGTAATCAATGCGCACATTGGTCATCGCAAGTAGCTGACCCTGATAGCCTTTAGCTGTAATTTGTAATCAGGCATGCAGATCAGTCTATGAACATTGAGACAACAGGGTTGCCGCCCTGACGCTATGTCTGATGCCAACCCCAATCCTATACTATACACTCTGCTCAGAAGAATAGCCGTGCATCTTCTGCCAAGTCAAGAATTTCCCGAAGACCTCATCTCACTCACATGCTGTCATAATGAGGCAGACACAAGGGGATCATTTCAATTTGAACCTTTTTTCCTTGTCATTTCATGAATCAGTACAAAATTTACCGAGAAAACAATATACATAGATGTCTTTTTCATTTTAGATACTTCATTTTTCTTCTCTCGTACTTATTTTAAATAGTATACACTTGGATTTTAAAGATGAAGGACATTCTTTCGCCAACAACACAACATGCATATCTTGATTTCGATTTCTCAGAATTTATTGACAACAATTTCGACATGTCAAATGACATACTTCCGAACACAAAACCGCTGCTGTCTCCTTCCGTTGTGTCCTCTTCTTCCGTAGCAAGCAACACGCACCTAGATGACTTGTTCTCAGACACGGCTTCCAACAGCAACTATACGCTGGAGCACAGTCCATCTTCCGTCTACCTCAACAATCCCTTGTGGTCCAGCATTGAGGAACTGGCCTACAACACCAGCAAAAAGGAGCAGATCACATCACTGTCTTGCATTGACACGTTTATCAATGACCCCAACAGCGATCTCGTCAAGCTCGTCCAGCAATCGCAGGCAGAGCACGACTTCTTTCAACACTTAATTATTGAAAGCTTGATAAACCAGCCACCACAATACGACTATTACCAACAACAGCGCGTCAATTACGAGGCACAGCAGAGGTATTACCAGGGACAACATGGTGTGGGCTTGACCAGGGCCAATACCTACACCACGCCCCCTCCTCCTCCTCTTTCTGCTCCTACACTTGCCAATCTACCCAAGAAACGAAAGCAAAACCCCACCACCAAGCGAAACTCGGCAAAATCAAGTGCTGCATCACAGTATTCCTCTGCCAACAACACACAGTATACGCACAGCGATCAAGTCAATGCGCAATTACTCAAAGAGCTTATCCGTCAAGCAGGAAGAAACGCAAAGCATCCGATGAACAGCAGCTTGGGCTTTGACATGGCAGCAGCAGCTTCTCTCAACAAAAGCTTGAATATATCTCCTCCCCTTTTTGCTGGTCCTACTGTTCCCTCGACTTCTATGGATCTTCAGCAGTACACATCGCCCAGGATGAACGGAAATTATCCTGCAAATCACAATACGAAAACAGCATATCAAAGCAGTTCCTCGAATAATAGTAGCAGGTACTCGCATCATCTACCTTACAAGATCCAAACCAACGCCACCAGCAAGAAGACCAAACAGCAAAAGACACATTTATATCATCCATACCAGCGATCCTCGTCTTTTGCTAACAGCAGCAGCAGCAGCAGCAACATCATTATGGGAAAACCTTCCATGTATTCATCCGACATGTCTCAAGCGCAATTGTTGGAAATACAGGCAATCTCTCGAGCACAGCAAGACTTTATTCGCGCTCGTGAGCAACAAGAAGCAGAAAAGGGATTGTTGATGAAACATCATCACCATCATCCGCATTCAAAGAAACCAGCTCAATAAGCTCCTGTCACTGTACCAAACTCTATACATATCATCTCACCTACTTACATGTTATATATTTAATTGCTAAAATAAAAAATCTCACCCCCATTATCAATTTCATGCATTCATTCAATTCGCAGGATTTCATCCAATGGATAGTAATGTGGCTTAGTAACTGTAACTTGTCAACATTGAAAAATATTCCAGCTAGACAAAATTAGGCTTTCTCTCCATCCTTTTGATTCAGAATGAAATTAGATGCAAAAGCACTTCGTTACATGTCCTCCGAGGACTTTCGAGTTTTGACAGCTGTAAGAGAGAATCACAAAACACATTATCGACAGACATTTGTATTGACACAGGCATCACATTTAGGTCGAAATGGGCTCCAAAAACCATGAAGTCGTTCCCAGCTCACTTATTGCTCAAATTGCCCAACTGCGCCATGGTGGTGCTCACAAACTTGTAGGCGATTTGGCCAAGAGAAAGCTCATTGCCCGTGTGCAAAACATGAGCTGTAAGTTGTCAACTTTGCTTATAGCTGGGATCTGTTGGACTCATCTTTCTACACATTAGATGACGGCTACCGTTTGACCTATGGTGGTTACGATTACCTTGCATTGAAGACATTTGCCAAGAGAGGCACCGTTTACTCTGTTGGCAATCAGATTGGTGTAGGTAAAGAATCCGATATCTACTTGGTTGCCGATGAAGATGATAATCAGCATGTATTGAAGCTTCAAAGGTAAAGAAGCGGCTGCTGGATGTGTGCTTGGATGCTGTCGTATTTATCGCTCTTCTTTAGACTTGGCCGTATGTCTTTCCGTACCATCAAGTCCAAGCGTGATTACCTGCAAAAGAGAAAATCAGCTTCCTGGATGTACATGTCTCGATTGGCTGCTATGAAAGAATACGCTTTCATGAAAGTGCTGTATGAAAACGGCTTTCCTGTGCCTGAACCCATTGATCAAAGCAGACATTGTGTTGTGATGGGCCTGATTGATGCTTTCCCATTGCGTCAAATTGAGGAGATTGGCAACCCAGGCAAGCTCTACTCTGATTTGATGAGCATGATTGTCAAATTAGCACAATATGGTCTGATTCATGGTGATTTCAACGAATTCAATATTTTGATCAAGAGTGATGGGTCTCCTGTTTTGATTGATTTCCCTCAAATGGTGTCCACCTCTCATATCAATGCTGAGTACTACTTTAACCGTGATGTCGAGTGTATCCGTGTGTTCTTCCGTCGTCGATTTGGCTATGAAAGTGCATTGTATCCTAGATTCACACATGATGTCAACCGTGAATTCAGTTTGGATGTTCAAGTGGCTGCCAGTGGTTTTAGCAAAAAAATGCAAAAGGAGCTGGAAGACTATCAAGAAGAAATCAAGGACATGTCGTCCGATGAAGACGAAGATGATGATGATGATGATAGCGATGAAGAGGAAGAGGAGGAAGAGCAACAGCTTACCAGAGATGATATACCAGAAATGACTGAAGAGGAAAAGATGGAAGAAAAGTTGAGAAATATTCGTCTTGGCAACACCGAGCCCACAACAGAGGAGGAGGGAGAGTCTGAAGACGAAGCTGAAGCATCTCAAGAGGATTCTGACGAGGAGGAACAAGTGGACGAAGAGACAGAATTGGCCAGACGAAGCGAGAAGATTGAAAAGTTGAATAATCGTGATTATAAAGCCCATCGTGATGTGAAGCCCAAGAAAAACACCAAAAAATCAGGCACAGCAGCAGCATCAGCAGCAGCCAAAGAGGAAGCTGTCAAAAACAAAGTTGCGCGTGCGCTCAAGAGTCAGACCAACAAACAAAACATCAAAAACACTCGTGGTAACAACCTCAAAAACAAAGGCAAGAGAAGAGACAAGGCTGACTGTAAAGGTGGTGGCATCTTTGATTAATCCTTCATTCAATTTCATGTATCATATAAATAAAATCATAGAATCTTTATATTACACTTGTGTCTGTTTAGGATCCACTTCGAGTCGTTCTAGCCACTCTTTGAAGTTCTTGGAATCGATTTCATATTCTTTGCCAACCTGGTTTATCAAGGATCTACATGCACGGCAACAGTGTCAGTTCAAGTCGATCTATAAAGACAGTGGGTGCACTCGTATATATACCTTTCTTGCAAATACACGTGTGCCGTTTTCATTTCTTCTTCAATGCGTTCTGCCATGTCCATATTCGCCTTGAGCTTTACTTTTTGTTCCTCAATATACTGCAGTTCCGTGTGCTCAAGGTGATCTAAAGGACGCTTATGAGAAAACGGCCACGCCCAAAAACCACGCTCATCTTACCTCGTAAGGCATCCACGGACTGTATAACATTGTCAATGCCATCATGCACCTCGGGTATGTTTTGTGGTATTGGAATATGTTGTCTGTGCAATGACGATTCCCACTTCTTGACTAGTTTGTCCAATGTCTCTCTGATATCTGTACACACACTTTCCACTGACTCTTTTGACAGGTAGTCTATTGATTCTATTAAATTTACAATTTGAGATAATGCCTCTCCCAGGGACTATAGATATGTGTGAATTTGTCATGTTGATAGCATTAGGACCAGATTACCTACTATGGATGCATGTGGGCTCAGCGTGTTTTTGATGATAGTTGCCTCCTCCAAAGCATGATCTTTGGAAGGGCTCGTGGTGGCCCTGTTGCTTGGCTTGAAGGGTTGCAATCGCTCTAATTGTAGTCTTACTTTCTCCTTTTTGATGCTGTCCATTAACTGTTCGATCTTTTCTCTATTCTCGTCTTTCGCTTGCACTCTACTCTCTCGAATGGCGGTATTTCCAGTCTCGTTGGCATGTATCAAACTATGGAGAGACTGCACAGCTTTTATCTGCATTCTTCGACTTAGTCTGATTCCAAGACAGTAGTTTTTGCTTTTCAATACTTACTATTTTCGTTTCGTAATCCTTCATGATTGATTCTTTATTTGCAGGTGCTTGGAATTCTTTGGATGATGTGATTTCTTCTACAAGAGAGTCAGCTTGATTCATCAGGGACTGTAGCTCGACATTCACTTGCTGAGCGGTCGCTTTGATTCGTATGTTCTTTCTAAAGCAAGAGTGTCAATGACGGCAAAATACGAGAATGCATGCAATACAGACGAACACATACGCTACAGCAGATTGAACCACGGGGTCGACATGAACTTCTCGAATGCGCTGGATCAGGGTGCTCTCTGATTCTCTAATCTTCAGTTCCAATTCATCTTTTCGTTTAGTCAACTGCTCGATCTCCTGTTTCTGTTTGGATGCAGATGCCTGAATGTCCTTGTACTCTTTTGTCTCCAGTATTTGAAAAGCACAGTATTCGGGTTTTGGCATGTCCTTTACATGTTGTAGCAGTGAATTCACCATGTGATACGTCTGCTGTTTGTCGTGCTTCTCTGGTAATCTGTCTATTAAATGTTTGATCTGGTTAATTTCTGCTCCACTGATGAACTTTTGCATCTCGAATTGACGCTTGATGTACAGCTCTAGCTTCTTGCAAATCATGTCAGGTGTTGTCGGTAGTAGCTGGATGAGATCGCGTCTGCGTCTAAGCGGCATCGATGGATTGATTGCATCTGATCTATTGGAAGTAGGTTGCTTTTGTGATTGTGCTGATTGTGTACGTCTATATTGTGCTTGTTTCCGTCTCAATTCACCTAGAGAGCTCTTTTTCACTTCAATTTGGGCTCGAGCTTGGCTTATTCTGGATTCTACAAATACCCTGTCAGTGTACTGCCCCTGATATCGATGCAGAGCGTTCACATTACCAAGGCTTTGTATATCGATTATTTTCTGCTCATTTCTCTTTTTACATTCATAAAGCTTTGACTTGTGGTCCATCGTTTTTTAAAGTCTGAAAAGGGAGAAAGAAAGCAATGCGTTGATGGACAAGAAAACCTTTTTAGTCTTGCTTTCGTTTCACAAAATCTCCGCGCCATGAACATGATGATTACTGTTGGAATGCAATGTGTGCTCATGGTAATGAATTTATTTGAATGACTGGTATTGTAAAAGTATCTTTTCTGTAGGGCCAGTGGTATCGTAGAACAGAAAGGTCATGAAGTGGGATTTTCTGGCTTCGATTTACTAACAGCAGATTTCAACGTGCTGGATATTTGACCAGCCATGTGGGGCGGTAACTGAGCTATCGCTTGTGGCAATAATTGAGCAATGGAAGGTGGCAATGGGTATTTGGTGGGGTCTAGTAGATGCTGGCGTATCGCGTCTTGTAATTGAGATTGAACAACAGCGGAAGGAGAGGGAGACATTGGTGATGTGCTATGAGATGTGGGACTAGAGGAAGGCTTGCATGGGAGATCAGGCACTTGCACTGTTGCTCGCTCTGCTTTTACAGCCACCAATTCCTCCTTGGCATGCTCTTCTTCTTTTACCTGCACAAGATCGCTATCGGACTCTTGCGCTTCTTTTTTGTCCACATTTGCGTTAAATTCATCTTCAAGACCATCATCATCTTCGTCCTCCTCCTCCGTCTGGTGTTCAGCCTCCAATCTCATGCGTTTGTGTGGTAGAGTAGGCGACACTGTATCTTTGGATGCTGAATTTGATCTCTTTAATTTCTTGTAGATTCCTTGTCTAAACTGAGCCTCTGCAACTGCATCGATAGTCCAGAACGCACCTTTACCAGGCTCAGAATCTCTTCGTGGCACCTTGATAAATGCTTTGTTGAGAGAAAGATTATGGCGTATTGAATTCTAAGCAGGAAACAGTAAGCCAAAGCAGTACCATCAGAGTAAATCCTACGGCCTTACCTGCCATCCATTGGATGCCATTTGGTAATACGGGTAATGGGTCGCAATAAAAGTGTAAATGCCATGCAGTGTCATTTTCTTGTTTTTGTCTGAGCTGATGGCTTGGGCAATCAAAGATGCATAAGAGTAAGGTGGCTTGCTATCTTTTGATACGTATTGTGTAATGTCGTCTGCTGGAGACATGGAGTTGGCCCAGCAATCCTCTTTGGGTGACGACAATTGAATAGAGGGTCTCTTTCTCTTGACTTGATGTAGTAGGCGTTTCTTTTCCAACTGCTGTGGTGCTGATATATAGCCAGAGCTTTCGTTCTGTGGAGCTTCTTCTACATCTATGCGTGGCAGTAGAAAGACAAACGACAGGTCACCTATCTGGATCTTTGTTCTACTCGTGGTGCGAGTCAGTGGCGTTGTCTTGGCAGTACAATGGATAGCAAGCTCACCTGTTTTCCAACGGCACAGTAGTCCCCTTTTCAACAAACTGCTCATTGACGAAAGCGCCATTCTTGCCAAATATCATCAATTCAAAGCGCTGCGTTGAGAAATTGTAAAACAAGCGAGCATGCTGTCTTGATACAGACTTGATGTTTCCCAGCGGAATATCCACACTGTCAGGCTTCTTGACCTTTCTGCCCAACGTTACCTGAAGAGTGCGAATGTAGTAGCAGAAATCATCGCTTTCAAGCTTTGCATAGGCCTGAACAGGAGCTGACGATTCCGATGTTTGTTTGTTATCAATGGCTGGTCCCTTTTTTGTTGTTTCAAAAGTGGCCATTCTCCCTGTTTATGTTTTTAGCAAAGAGATAAAGAAGAAACATAAATAGAAAATCCTTCTTGTGTCTTCAAAAAGATATACGGGATCACTTCAGAAAACTGCTTGTGTTTGGGACAGCTGCTTCAAGCTGCTATTTTTGAAAGCCAGGTTGTTTTGCATTTCATGTAAATTTTTTCACTTTCTTCAATAACAACGCGAAGTACTACACACATGGACGAACCGCAAGCGAAACGTGTTCGATTAAGCTCTCCTGAAAAGTCAGTGACAGAAGTTGCAGCCAGCAAAACTGATTCGACAGATCTTTATTTGGACACGATTGATAGACACATGTTGGATTTCGACTTTGAAAAGGTCTGCTCAGTCTCTTTATCACAAATCAATGTGTATGCCTGCTTGACCTGTGGCAAATACTACCAAGGTCGTGGAAAGTCTTCGCATGCCTACTTTCACAGCATGGATAAAGACCACCATGTATTTATCAACTTACAAACATTGAAGGTGTATGTGCTTCCAGATGGATACGAGGTCGACAATGCTTCATTGAATGACATTAAGGTAAGTAGAAGCACAGGATTTGAAGGGCATGCATACTAAAGGTGTCAACATGTAGTATGTATTGAACCCCATTCTGACCAAGGCGCAAGTGCACCAGCTAGATACAACGCTCAAAATGTCGTACGACTTGAACAATAAGAAATACCTGCCTGGATTCATCGGTCTAAACAACGTCAAAGCAAATGATTATGTCAATGTTGTCATTCAAGCGTTGGCTCATATTCCTTCCATCAGAGACTACTTTATACTCGAGGATTTTGAAAAGAAGGGCTCATCTCAACTTGGTATGTTGTATGTTTGGGCAAAAACAAGAGCAATCAAGAACTGACATGGACATTACATTAGTGTGTAGATTCAGTGCTTTAATCAGAAAGATGTGGAATCCAAAGGCATTCAAGGGACAAGTGAGTCCTCACGAGCTTTTGCAGGAAATCTCCAATGCCAGTCAGAAAAAGTTCAAATTGACAGAGCAGAGCAATGCCATTGATTTTTTGTCCTGGTTCTTGAATACGCTCCACAAAGATTTAGGAGGAACTAGAAAGAAGAACAGCAGTAAGTATCGGCCACCATCTTTAGATGCCAGATTGGATCTAATAACTCGAATTCTGCTAGGCATCATTTACAAGAAATTCCAGGGCGAAGTTAGAGTGGAATCTCAAGATTTTGGATCTGCTGGAGCACCTACTGAGAAAGAGGCATTGCTATTATTCGACGAAGCCAAAGAGATCAAATCCGCAACCTCACCTTTCCTGTTTTTAGCTCTCGATCTGCCCCCAGCACCCTTATATCAAGATGAAAAGGACAAGGAAATTGTGCCTCAAGTGCCATTAACGACTATTCTCGCCAAATTTGATGGCCACAAGGTGCAAGAAGTAGCAAATCAAATGAAAAGATACAGCATCACTCGTTTACCACAATTCCTCATTTTCCACATTAAACGATTCAACAAAAACAGCTGGACCAGCGAGAAGAATCCAACCATTGTCAATTTTCCCATCAAAAACTTGGATGTATCTAATTTCACAACAGATCCAGATGCTGAAAAACTAGGAGATCATTATGATTTGTTGGCCAACATTTGTCATGAAGGTAAACCTGATGCAGGCAAAGGAACATACAAGGTTCATGTGCGTCATCGAGGTACGGGTCAATGGTATCAAATTCAAGATTTGATTGTAGAGGAAATCATGCCGCAAATGATTTTTATGTCGGAAAGTTACATCCAGGTAAAACAAATCAAGTCTATCGTGTTACACTGTGTATATTAACCATCGAGATAGATCTGGGAGAGAAAAAAGAATACAACAAAAGCATAAAATGTGAATAAAGGATATCTCTAAAGTCGCTTTTTGAGAAATTCATCTGTTAAGCTGTCAGCCTCACGAATATCGAAATCCTAATGAATTGTCATGAGGATCAATGGCGCATAAAAAAAAAAAACATCCAACATGATATCCTTACTCTCATGATATCAATCTTTTCTTGGAGGAATGTCTTGGCTGATGCGTACTATCGGTTGCAAGTGTGTCAAGTAACCAATCCCACGCTAATCAATGTGTAGCACTTACAAGCATATTAATCTCGGCCTTGGCTGTAGATGGGGACCAGTAAATGAACACAAGAGGAAAGTTGGTTCTTCCATCCCCATGCTTCAACTAGGCACACAGTCGTTTTTAATCACCTTAAGCTTGTATCTTAAGCATCTTTCCCTCACTTACCTCGTAACTCAAAATGATGAAGCGAGGCGTATTCTCCGGTAATTCTATAAGTTCACGTCAACAAATCGGACTCGATAGACATTACAGATAACAAATACCTTCTACCAAATCCTCCAATGTAATATCATCATACACCTCATCCTCAACAATCTTCAAAGTCTTGCGATCAATTTGCACTATTGTCCACATCAATGTACCTCTCTCGTTTGCAAGCCATTTCAGAAACACTTACAAACAAAAGCTGCGTTTCCACTCTCATATTTAGCAAAACGAAAATCCTTGATCTTTTGCACCAAGTCGGCATCAATTTCGCAGGTGGATGTGGCACTCTATCGGACCAAAATAATGATTAGGCGACAAGAGCTCTCTTTGCTTCTACGGTCTAAAGTACCATCGTATGTGATCAACTATTTAGTAATGGAAAGAACTTTGGGGTTTTTTTTATTAGTAAAATTCAAGGTTTTTAAACCAAACTGATTTCGCGGAAGTTGAAACAATGATACTGACCATGGTTAAGTACAGCCTATTCACTTCGATTTCGTGAATGCAAGTTGAATTCGTAAAACCTGACATCATAAGCCGGATCGTGCGCTGCTCACTGTGTTTTTGTAGTGTCAGGCTTTATTGTCATCCTCTTGTCTGCATGCTTGGATTCAATATATGCTTTTCTAGTACAGATGCGTTTTTCATCCCTCAGTCGTTTTTTACTGATGATTCCTTTCTTCGGCATGAGTAAATAATATGACGATCAGCATTCTCTGATATGTAAGTAAAGCTACCAGTATTTGTGCAATCACAGTTTCGTGTTTTGTGATGGAAAGCAGTTGAATTAACGGCTGATTCAATATTGATTTTGCTGTGGTTAATGGAGGTGCATCCTTTCTCTATTGTTAGAGCTGCAGTACCATACATTCCTCCATAGACTTCTCCTAACTTCATGACTAAGATACATTCACTGTATAGGGATCAGGGCTTTAATTATCAAAAAGACTTTGAAGATATCTTACTGAACACCTGCAATAACGGTTATATGTTTGAGACAATATCAGTAATTTGCATCTCACTACACCCATAAAACACTGCTGTGCTGAAATATGATATGGTCTCACATTTCATTCATTAATTTAACAATATTTAGTAATAAGCACGTATAACAACCTTCCTAAAATCAATTAAACAAGTCTATAGCACATATCTGGTTTGATGTGTAAGTATTCCCTTTTTCCTCAAACAATTCCTCATGCCATTGAACACAACACGAGTATCAATTGACATTTCCTAATTAGAAAAGTGCAGTAAAATTTTCGGATTCCGATTTCGAAGTTTTGTTTGATTTGAACCCCCGCTCTTGTCCTCTAAACGATGGTGCAACTGAAATTTGCGTAGGTAGCATGGTTGTTGAGAAAAGGGAGATTTTAGAAAATAGTTCATTTTGAATAGATGCTGCTAGTAAAACTTTTTAAATTACTATATGAATGTGTGATGTACGTGTAGTGAAAGTTGTAGAAGAAACGTTTTTTGACTAGGGCATGCTTGATGTGTGGTTATTGAAGGTGATGCCAATGAGTAATGACAGAAAATGTTCCAAATGATCGATTTTCAAAAGGCCATATCTCTGAATTTTACTAAATAAACGAGAGATTCAAACTTAATAACTTCTGTTTCTTTTTCAATTTTCTATACGATGGTATGGTTATTATAGATAAATAAAAAAAAACTAAATATCCCCTGCTTGTAGCTCATAAAATATATGATTTTGAACAAATCTATGAAGAGAACGTATATCTGGTACTCGAAACCCTTATATTATAATGAATATAACGTAGAGCTACCGAATGGTCTTTGTTTTGTGCGAATCAAGGGAGTATTTGTCGAGATATGGTCAAAAAAGGGTATCATGCTAAATCATGGATTTTTCTTCAAAATCTACGTGTGATAGCAAGCAAAAAAATTGGGTGACCTTTTTTTGGTCAGGGCAATATTGCCAATATTTCATGATAGAGTTATGCCAGAGCTTCAAGCAATAGCTCATTCGATAGGAAATTTTTTGGTCTACAATGTTTAGTAATGTTTAATAAAATGTTTTGATGACAGATACTGATTAATCTTTAGGAAACAGTCAAAAGATTGCAAAAACAATCGTGCCAAGTATCAGGTGAATAATGTATACCAGAGACTTGATATGGGTACCATTGTATTCTCCTTTGGATTCTCTACAAGTTTCATATAAGTTTGAGGGGGTGGTTACTATTAAGAAACGCGTAATTTGAAGGTCGATAGATTTCGGAATCCTCTGGGTCATCATTCAGAACAATAGAAATTGAAGCTCCGTTTAGTCTTGGCATGTGTACACGACACATTATGAATTTGACCGAGCATTTTAAAAATCAGAGCGTACGAAAAGGGCCATATTAACTTGCTGGTTTCAAGTTATCAATAGATACTTGACATGATGGAGAATCTTGTTGTCAAGAAGTGTTAAGCACAAAGAATAAATGGATTATGATTTGTAATAACTTATAAAAAATGTTTGATATCGCAAAAACAAAAAAAAAGACTTATTTGAATAAGATCAGACTTAAAAACTAAAGATTTACTGATGAAGACAAGAGTTATATTTATCCTAAATTCTGGATGCCAAAGTAGCAATTTATCTTGTACAACGCTTATCACATCGTGTGAACCTCAGCATCTAGATAGCTGAGATTTACTTATTATCATAGCTTGTCCATTTTTTTGCACAACACAGACATATCTACCTATCAAGAACACCTTAATCTTTATAGACATTTGTAGTCTTTTTGGCACAACAGGAGGTTCAAAATGAAAATAACAATGTTTTGATAAAATACGCCAGGGCAACCGGTAGCGCGAGCGACCGTTTCGCAGGGTGACACCAAAGCGAAGTAAAGGCGGAGAACCATCCTAAGCGTAAACACTCGTATATATTTCAGAGGTAGAACCCAACGACAACAACAACGCAATTGCAACAATTGCAAAAAAAATTGCTGTAAAAATCTATATATTTGCATCTGACATACCTGTCGTGCCTAAATTTAGGTTTAAGCCAGATTTGAAGAAAGCGACTAAAAGGCGTCAGCGTATACTACTCGAAGATTCTGGAAACTGATAGCAGGCATTGATCTAATTATCAGTTGCTATATCAAGTACTATATCTACTCGAAAGTTCCATTGATTAAGTAATTATCGATAGTAGAAATAGTATAAATATAAGTTGTAAATGCAATCAATAAACAGTATCTTCAAACATAATCTCAATCTAATAGTTACACTCTAAGTTATTTGTTAACTCCTACCATTGCATCTATCTATCAAGACGACATACCAACTAATGGTTCTGTGGCGTAGTTGGTTATCGCGTCGCCTTTACACGGCGAAGGTCTTCGGTTCGAACCCGGATAGAATCATTTTTTGCCACCTCAATGAGGGTAAACAATTAACCGATCATATTGAACGAAGGTGTCGAGATGTGAGATAAAATGGTCGTATTACCTTTTGAACAGCTTTAATGTATATACTTGTTGTACATGCACAGTAAATGTGAGCCTTTGGTACACTTTTTTTGAATGTTAATTTAAATGTGATGATGTTGGTGTCGATTGATTTGATGTCAAGACTGAGATGCCCATCAGAAAGCAAGCCTCGAGTTTAAAAGATGTTTTCTATTTTTGCCTTCAGTGTCTCCTGTGGTTCTACTTTAAGGGTACAATTTTAGAGGTTCTTCTCAATTATCTAAATGTGATCAGCAAGTTCCACTCTTGGGCAAATCTGTAATTGACTGTGAAGTATAACTTTTACTTGAAAAACTTTATCGCAAATAACTTTATCAGCAAAACTGTCGTAAAAAAAAGTGATTCTTTTATTGAAATATGTTACAAAATTTACTAATATTACAGTAATGGTATAGATATGATTGATTGAATTTCAGAGTTTTGATAGTAGACCAGGTTAAGCAGTCTTTTCAAAACCACGGACAATGTCCTCGAGAGAGCGACCCTTGGTTTCAGGAACCTTAAAGTAGGTAAAGACGAAGGCAAGAGCGGCAACACCAGCAAAGATAGCGAATGAGTAGCCCTTGATGCCATCAAAGATCAGAGGGAAACATTGACCAATCAAAAAGTTCATGGCCCAGTTGACAGCAGTGGCAATGGCACCAACAGCAGAGGAAGCATAGACAGGTGTCAGCTCAGAGGTCATCATCCAAGGAATGGGTCCAACACCAATGGCAAAGGCAACTACATAACCAAAGACAGAGACAATCAAGAGAGCACCCAGGTTGTAGACATAGCCAATGATCAAGAGAACAGAGAAAATACAAGCACCAACTTCAGCAATCATGAGCAAAGGACGACGACCCATACGATCAATCAAAATCAAAGACAAGATGGTAGAAGCAAAGTTGACGACTGTGGTGACAATGGCCATGTACTTGGACATTTCAGCATTGAAAGCCATGTTGAAGATGGTGGTAGAGTAGTACATGACAGCGTTCATGCCAATCAATTGTTGAGTAACGTGGAGAGCAATGACAGTCAGAGCAATGCGGCGGATAAGAGGATCAGTAAAGATTTGAATCATGTTTATAGGAGAGCGAGCACCTTCATCTTGAGTAATAACACCCTCTTCGATTTGATCATCAAATGACTTTTTGTCTTCAATAGAAGCAGCATCAGCACCAACAATAGCCTTGGCAGCAGCAGTGCCCAATTGACCTTCAACCATACCGTAGAATTCCTTGTCAATGTTGGAGTTGGGACGAAGTCTTTGGAGGTTTGCTCTGGCTTCTTCAATACGGTTGATAGAGACAAGATAGCGAGGAGATTCGACACAGCCGGCCATCAGGAAGAATTGAGCAATAGCAGGGATCGCAACAATAGCATAGTTGATTCTCCAGAGAGGCACACTAGCAAGAGGAAGGCCGATAACAGAAGCAAGCAAGATACCAATCACAATAGCAAATTGGTTACAGGTACCCATGGTACCACGAGCCTTGATAGTAGAGACTTCACCGACATAAGTAGGAGTAGACAGAGAGCCAAGACCACAAGAAAGACCACAGAAAATACGACCGATAATGAACATGGCAGGATTGACAGCGACACCGATCAACAGGGCACCAATGATCCAGCCAATGTTGTTAAAGATGATGGTCTTTTTGCGGCCAAATTTAGTCTGAATAGCACCGCCAAAGAGACCGCCGATCAAACCACCCACACAGAAGGAGGCAACAGCGAAACCCCAGAGAGCATTGTTCATGGGAAGACAATCAGGGAAGGCTTTACTAGCCACATGAGCAGCACCATTTTCACAGGCATGAGTCACTTCACCAGGCACATTGGCAGAACCAATAACCCAGCCGTTACTAAAGGAGCCGAGACAAGAAATGATTACACAGTATACCATGTAACCTGGCATTTTGAGTTCAGTAGAATCCATTATAGTAGTAGTAGTAGTAGTAGCAGTAGTAGTAGTAGTAGTAGTAGTAGTAATAGTACGAATTTAGAAGGATGAATGTATTGAAATGTCAAAGAGAGAGAGAGACAGAGAGAGAGACTTGTTTGTTGTATAAAATCGATGAAATGATATTGAATAATGAAGAGTGGAAAGGGCCATATATCGGTTCCTTATATACATGATTTTCATAATGCAATTGAAGTTTTCTAATAATGTGGACCCTTCATTTCTCCAGGAAGTTTCTTATTTTCCATCCACATCTTTGAAACAGCGATGACACGATGTTTTGCTTCAATGTTTCAAACTACTATGGTGTTTTTATTTGATTGAAATCTACTCTACGGACATTTCTGAAAAACAGAAAAATTCAACATGATGCTCGGTGATGCAACTTATATACTTAGAATCTCAATGCTTCGACGCATAAGAACATCATATGCCGTATAGCTCTTTAACAATTACTTAGCAAATGAATGATGCCTATTTTCGGAAGGCATAAAACTTTTCTCATTGGAAGGATTTCATAGCTCGAGTGAAAAATCAGGCAATCATACGCTACGTTCAGGCACGCTATACAAGAAAAATTCATTGGCTTGAGTGTTTATGGTATGTTTATTGAGAAATCAAGGAGTAATTCCACATACACCTTGGACACAGGTATCGAGACAATCATCACTATGGTTACAGCAGGCACCTGTTGCACCGCCTCCGTTTCTTTGTCCACTGTAACCAGAGACGCATGCGACACCATTAGTAAATGAAGGGATGTAAGTAACTGTGGTAATACTGACAGTCAAGCCACTGTTAGTAGTGCTGGAGGCAACATTTGCAGCTATAGAAACAGGGACTTCACCAACAGGCAGCGCGGCAGGGGTAGCATTACCGCAAATATACTCTTTGTACACAGATGTCTTCTCAGCCAAGACACAATTGAGAACTTCTTCAGAATCCAGCACAGTGAGATAGTGCAATACTCGGTTGTTTCCGTGAAGAGACACTTTCTCGACTCCATCGCAGCCATGAAAACCTGATTTCTTTCCATAGATGATAGAGTTTTTATCTTGAAATGGGTTTGTGTTGACGCGGCATTTGATCTCGCTCGAGTCCACTCCGTTGAATTCAATCTTTGTCAGCTCTGCCCAGAATGTGCCGTCTTTTCTTGGTGCGTATTTCTCTCTCACTGTCCAATAAGCCTCGGTGTGATGAACCAAGAGAAGTAAAGCTACTGCTGATAACATGAGATAGGCGTTTGCAAACATTTTAAACTAGTAAACCAAAAAGAACAACGCAATAAGATTGCAACTTGAGCGTATTCATATTTAAACATTCCATATGTTACTGGATTTGGGTGGCTAAATAGACGCATATCTTTCCATTTGAACCAAACAATGGGCTTCAGCATTGACAACAAACAAATAGAGAAGGCATCGAGTGATAGTCGGTATCCATATAATCAACTCTGAAAGCTAGTATCAGGTTTGAATGCTGCGAGAACTAGCAGTATGAACAAATAAAGCATAAAAGATGGATCAACTAATATCATACACGTAATACATTGATGCAAGCCATGCTACTACGTGATGGCTGGCTCATTTTAATGAGATTAATAGGAAGCAAGTGATCGATTATCTACTAAAGAAAATCCTTGTATTTATAGTATCATACCAGACTATAATATGTCAATCAAAGGGTTTGGGCTTATAATGAAACTGATCTACCAACTCACTGCTACCGTATTTGCACAAGCAACGATGCACTCTAGTCAATGTTTGAGTAGATATTTTAATAAATGCGTATTCAATTGGGATCAATCCGAGTATTTGCATGTACAAGCCAAGCGGCGCAATCGGAATTCAGGTCTTCACTATAGATTCCACGGAAAGCTAGAAACTTTTTACGATCAAGTAATGAAGTGTGGAGTACAATTGGGAGATCGAATGATTTACATCAACTGCCTCCATTTTCCCCACCAATCATCCATTGCGCCCTTAATCTGAGCTGACCATTTGAACCTTCCAAACCAAGAAAAGCGCGTTGAAGATCGCCTGATACAGAATCATGTACAATGTTGCATTTTGACAGCTGCATGTGGTGTTGATGTATACATATTACAGTTAAACGACTCGATTTCGCCATATATGCAAAGCAAGATTCACAAAACATTCTTTTTTTCTGTAACTACAGGTTTTGCAATAATTGTTTGCTCAGGACACACCATGGATGTTCTGAAACATATGCAAAATCGTATGTTTGGCTTTTAAGACAAACATGGAAAATAAGAAAAACTGGTTTTCCTGCGATTGAAGGGTCCACATTATTAGAAAACTTCAATTGCATTATGAAAATCATGTATATAAGGAACCGATATATGGCCCTTTCCACTCTTCATTATTCAATATCATTTCATCGATTTTATACAACAAACAAGTCTCTCTCTCTGTCTCTCTCTCTCTTTGACATTTCAATACATTCATCCTTCTAAATTCGTACTATTACTACTACTACTACTACTACTACTACTACTGCTACTACTACTACTACTACTATAATGGATTCTACTGAACTCAAAATGCCAGGTTACATGGTATACTGTGTAATCATTTCTTGTCTCGGCTCCTTTAGTAACGGCTGGGTTATTGGTTCTGCCAATGTGCCTGGTGAAGTGACTCATGCCTGTGAAAATGGTGCTGCTCATGTGGCTAGTAAAGCCTTCCCTGATTGTCTTCCCATGAACAATGCTCTCTGGGGTTTCGCTGTTGCCTCCTTCTGTGTGGGTGGTTTGATCGGCGGTCTCTTTGGCGGTGCTATTCAGACTAAATTTGGCCGCAAAAAGACCATCATCTTTAACAACATTGGCTGGATCATTGGTGCCCTGTTGATCGGTGTCGCTGTCAATCCTGCCATGTTCATTATCGGTCGTATTTTCTGTGGTCTTTCTTGTGGTCTTGGCTCTCTGTCTACTCCTACTTATGTCGGTGAAGTCTCTACTATCAAGGCTCGTGGTACCATGGGTACCTGTAACCAATTTGCTATTGTGATTGGTATCTTGCTTGCTTCTGTTATCGGCCTTCCTCTTGCTAGTGTGCCTCTCTGGAGAATCAACTATGCTATTGTTGCGATCCCTGCTATTGCTCAATTCTTCCTGATGGCCGGCTGTGTCGAATCTCCTCGCTATCTTGTCTCTATCAACCGTATTGAAGAAGCCAGAGCAAACCTCCAAAGACTTCGTCCCAACTCCAACATTGACAAGGAATTCTACGGTATGGTTGAAGGTCAATTGGGCACTGCTGCTGCCAAGGCTATTGTTGGTGCTGATGCTGCTTCTATTGAAGACAAAAAGTCATTTGATGATCAAATCGAAGAGGGTGTTATTACTCAAGATGAAGGTGCTCGCTCTCCTATAAACATGATTCAAATCTTTACTGATCCTCTTATCCGCCGCATTGCTCTGACTGTCATTGCTCTCCACGTTACTCAACAATTGATTGGCATGAACGCTGTCATGTACTACTCTACCACCATCTTCAACATGGCTTTCAATGCTGAAATGTCCAAGTACATGGCCATTGTCACCACAGTCGTCAACTTTGCTTCTACCATCTTGTCTTTGATTTTGATTGATCGTATGGGTCGTCGTCCTTTGCTCATGATTGCTGAAGTTGGTGCTTGTATTTTCTCTGTTCTCTTGATCATTGGCTATGTCTACAACCTGGGTGCTCTCTTGATTGTCTCTGTCTTTGGTTATGTAGTTGCCTTTGCCATTGGTGTTGGACCCATTCCTTGGATGATGACCTCTGAGCTGACACCTGTCTATGCTTCCTCTGCTGTTGGTGCCATTGCCACTGCTGTCAACTGGGCCATGAACTTTTTGATTGGTCAATGTTTCCCTCTGATCTTTGATGGCATCAAGGGCTACTCATTCGCTATCTTTGCTGGTGTTGCCGCTCTTGCCTTCGTCTTTACCTACTTTAAGGTTCCTGAAACCAAGGGTCGCTCTCTCGAGGACATTGTCCGTGGTTTTGAAAAGACCGCATAATCAGAGATGTCACTTGCTACTCTCTACTTGTACTTTTAGCTTCTATTAAATCCATAAATACCCCTTTCAATAAATAAATCAACAATTTTTCCATTAAATTTAATAATGTACAAAAGCAAGTTTATTGATGCATGTCTAAAAAAAAGTGGTCTAAAAAGCGATTTGATGCAAGCCATTAACTAACGAGTCAACGACGTCTGGTTGATATTGTTGTTGATAGGGTTGATGACGATACGAATGTTGATAGTGTTGTTGTTGTTGCTGCTGCTGTTGAGGATGGTCGGGCTCAATGTCCATCGGTTCAGCAGTACTGTCCTCCTCCTTTTCCACCTGCACCTCCTCTCTTCTGCTTTTTCCTATTAAAGAATACGGCCAAATCGCACGTCTGACAGCACTATATGAAGCGACCAGTAACTGCAAGAAGAATCAGCACAAATGCCAAATATCCTGTATCAAAGCTGGGTAACTTACACTGCAGTAAACAACAAGAACAGCCACTTCCATGGTTCGATTCGCATCCATTGCAATCAATGCAAATAGCGCCCATCGTAACAAGATCAACACTTTTTGTACATTCTAACACACACAGCCATCAATCACTGACACACACGCACACATTCGAGCAAACTCTACCTTGTAAACGCTGTAATTCTTCAGCTTGTCCGCAGCTTCTTCTATCAGCAAATGGTGCCAGTTTCTGAGAACAAAGGACAGACTTGTCATCAACACCAAAATGATCACATGTTGATAGCTCATGTCCCAATAGCAAGACTCGTCCGTTCTTGAAAACACACATCGCACAGGATCGAATAAGGTGGTACTTGTGTCAGAGAGATAGTCCATCCATTCTTGTAGTATGTCAGGCTGGTGTAATTGCAGCACCTTACTGGAAACGTTGAAATGTGTGTTCTGTGGGTGGTATACAATGCCTACCACAATCATTAGCCATGCCCAAAACGCTGGTGACGGGAGCGAGACTACTTACAAAAAACGCCAAAGAGAATGGTCCAAGCATGAACCAGCAACCATGCACATCCTCTCAGTCTGTGTGCATGTCGTGGGGGTCTAGCGAGTGTCTGAGGCTTTGCGCTTTCGATCAAAGAAGCAGTGAAGCGCATTCTTTTCATGTATTCTCTTTGCTCTTCATTCAGTTTTGAGATTTTTTGCTGGCATTCGTTGCATAGCTTGTAGCGTTGATGCAGCTTGGCCTTGTATTCATCGACACTATTGAATTTGATCTGGTAAGTGGGGTCCTAGATGTATTGTTCAGTCGTCTTTTCGCAAGAAGAACAGGCATTCAGCAGCTTACTGATTCATCTGGGATGTAGTCTGCCAAGTAGCGATAGATGATTTCTTGATTGGCAACACAGTCAGAACACAGTGTTTTAGATGAGTTCTTGCGAATGGAGCTTGGGGTTCTTTCAATGGAGGGTATGTCTGTAAAGAGCTGTCAGTGATCGTGCGTGTTAAAAGTGTGCTGAATGTCACAACATACGTCGAGTGCTGGATGCTTCAAACACTGTGGGATCAGCAATCTCTCCTTTCTATACATGTGTGAGTGAGTGCGATTGGATCCAGTAGCGCTTGTGCACGAATTACCTCGTCTCTGATATTCGTGCTCTCACACAAGTTGCAATACCAATGTTTGACTGTATTCTTGGATCCTGGAAGCAAATAGGAATCCTGACAGCAATACCAGCAATTCACTTTCTGCGGCGAGACTCCAAATCCAAGTGTGGTCAAGATCTGCTGTGTTAGAGAGGGCTTCTTGTTGGTGATATGGCGATTCATCCAGCGTAGAATTGAAAAAGAAAGCGAAAGAAGAACAACAGGTGCTTTTAGAGCTCCAACGACTCAATTAAATCTCAAACAAAAAAAAGACATGGTGGTGGGTGTACTACCAGTGGATGATCATGCTATAAAAACAGAAAAGAACAATAGCTCATGTATTTTATTAAGGGGTATTTCCTTCCTTCATCAGATAACGCATCAACTCGGACACCAATTTAACATTAATACTGTTGCCCAGTGTTCTGTATTTTTGCTTGATGGTGCTGGTGTCTGGAAATGAGAATTCTTGAGGAAAGCCCATTAGATTAGAGACCTCTCTTGGACTAAAGTATCTCAGTTTCAAGGTACGTAGCAGCTCTAGCTGCTTGTCCTCGTCCACGCCCTTGAATGTCATTGCTTTGGAAAAGACGCCTGCAGTCTATCATTGTGTGGAGAGATGGCTGTGAGTCGGGATCCCTTGTGGTTTGGCAGTACCTATACTTACATCCACATCTTGGTTCATCTGCAGAATAGACCCTGTCCCCTGAGCATAGTGAAAGTAACCCTTGGTGAAGCAACAGCTGCGATGTCCATCTGGCTTCACAATGTCAAACACATGGCTGTTCTTGGCCAGCACCTTATCAGGCACCAAATACTGCTCATACTGGCTATCGTGCTCCAAGTATTTTGATAGTGGATCCACAGGAGTGACAGATTCATCGACCAGTTTCTCCTCGTCCGTGATGCCTCGTGTATCGATAAATTCAGTCGACATGTGTGTTGACAGTGGAATGTAGCCAATGATGGTGCCTGTCACAGGCTTTGCAAATGTCAATGGCTTTAGTTTGGCTAATAAATAGTATCTCATTCGAGAGTTGGGGATGCCCAGCTGTAGAGGTGTTAGGAGGAATTCCTGAAATGTGTAGTCGCAGTGGGTCAGCTTGTCAACAAGCATGTCTCTAGAGTCAGATTCCTGTTGTCGTGCCACTTTAGTTTGGGATAGACTTAAGCTAGCACAGTATCATTACCTCGAATCCCTTGACGTTTTCCACCAAGATATACTTTGGCTTGTGCTCCATTTCTCCCAGTACGTTGAGCAGATGCAAAAAGCTCTTGGCACGAGCATCCACACTGCCTTGTTGAAGGCCGATACGAGTGTAAGGTTGACAAGGAGGCGACATGGTCCAGATATCAGCAGCGAGGGCGTCGTAATGCTTTGCTGACAGTGTTTCTATCAAATTTTGTCCCACTGTTTTGGGATCAAAGTTGTGTCTGTAGATCTAATATGGTTATATCAGTTGTCAGCAACTGGAGAGTCGCGCCCGCGAATGATAAATCCCTTACTTCGTTGGCTACCGTGTTGATATCAAATGCCTTGACAATCTCCACATCCCAATCAGCCAGCTTGGCAGCATAATGCTAAGAAATATGAGTTGCTGTCGCCACATGTGATGCAAAATCAGCCCGTACCATGCCTCCAATACCAGAGTAAAATTCCAACTGACGCAATGGTGCCATGGTTATAGTGTGCAATCCACAAAAGAAGAAGGTATTATCTGTGTCACATATTGACAGGCCTGCCACCTCCTTTCAATTGTGGCTTTTCCCGACCATCGTGGATCACAAAACCCCGTGGCCCCAGTTCGATCTGGTACATGCAATTAGCTCAGCAAGGCTATTGTATGAGCTTCATAACTTGTTGAATCTAATCGACTCTTGACTTTTTGTCTATACAGGATACTGGAGCATGTTAGATGGCATCCAAGTAACCCAATCAGAGCCTTGATCTTCTACCATACTCGACCACACAGACGCTGTCATTTTGCATGACATGGCGGACTCTTGTTTTGTGATCTAGTCATAATTGCAACGTGAGAGAGTGAGAGAGCGAGCGAGAGAGCTGTCAATGCAATTTCCCTCGCAATTTATTTTTCCGCAGATAGCAATGACAGAAACGACCCTTTCATATAAATGCCTTTCACAATCGGTTCTATGGCTGAAGAACAATGGAACTTTTCGTCGTCTCAATGGCTTGGACTCATGATAACAGGAGCAGCAGCAGCAGCAGTGTCCTTTATATCCAATGGCTGTGTGCTGATATTGCATGCATTCATGACCTGGTATCGTCCAGTCGTCGTCAATCGATTATCACTGCGCATGATTGTTGTTTCCGTCGTATTCAACATGGTGTATTGCGCATGCCAACTCGTCACCGACGATATCTCTAATCAATCCAGCGCATGTCGAGCCATTGCCTATGTGATGATTGCGGCAGATACCATGGCTTGCATGTGTCTGGCCATGATCGGCTTGAATCTGGTCATGATATTCGTGCTCAAGGTGTCACGATCCATCAAGATTGAGATCCTGTACTATCTGATTGTGCTGGCATCCGGCGTCACTGTGTGTCTGGTACCAATCTACCTGGGTTCACCCAAAGGTCCCAAAGACAAACAAGAAAAAGCGTCGTGCTGGTAAGCATCTTTGGTAATGGAGTGTGTTGAATCTGACGTCTTTCTCCAGGTATCACTATTACTTTAACGGTCGCATCCATAACATATTCAACTGGGTAAGCATATGATACACACGACAGCGACTTGAAGCGACCAACACAGCTCTTAGATGTGGTACTATGCTTGGCTGCTCTTTTCTTCTGTATTCGCAGCTCTCTGTGCTGCCATCTCGATTCGGTTTGTGGTCAAGAAGCAAGAGAACTTTAACGGTGCACTCGACATGTTTACCAAGCGGAACCAAAAAGACCTGCACACCATGGCCGTCATCAAGCGATACGCCGCAGACAACACGGACGTATTCCAGAAAATCGCCAGGCGATGTATCTGCTATCCCATAGGTAAAACAAGAATTGACATATTTAGAAAGAAAGCGTGTCTCTCATGTGTATTTTCTCCTTCTCCTTCTCCCCAACTACACTTTATCTAGTACCATTGATATCCAAGTCGTGGGGTGTTGGCATTGAGATTGCAGCTACTCAACAGGCCCCTGTCCCGTACGCAATTTATGTCATTGACCGTGCCTTTTCCTGCTTACTAGGTATTTCTCGTCTGTGTCATACAACAGCAAATGCTAATATAACGTATGGCTGAATGACTTAGGGTTCATGATAAGTTGCATTTATTTCACAGACCCTGCCATCAGAGCAGTGGTCAAAGAGTCCATTCATAAACTCAAGCAGCGCTATGTGTACGACTATTTCAGCATCAAATACCTGCCAGGAAAAGATCCAGATGTCCAAGCTGCATCACAATACCCCAAGATACTCAAAATTGTGCCTGTTACTGATGATATAGACCGCACACCGGAATACGTACAAGAGGTGAGAAATCGATACTTTAGTCAGGACTTGGAGGTACACAGACAGGAAGACGATACAGTACGCATAGAGGGGTTCATGCTGGATCCGCTGGATCACCACACTATTGACCCCACCCAGTTCCACTCAAGACCGCCATCGCACAAGCCAGATGTGCCTACCATCACCATTCAAACAGCACACCACACATCCGACAGGGAGACGTCTCCAGATGAACGACAGTACAGTGTATTGAATGCGACATCTGTCAATGGCAATACATACACGCCGAATGAAGAGGCTGATGTCACCGATTCCAAGCGTCGACACTCCACAACCAGAGGAAAGACAATCCCCATGCACCGAGTCGACAATACGATTGATTTAGGCGTCAATATGAACCGAAAGGGCCAATACAGCAACCACCAGCACAGGTATCTAAAGTACACAGAAAAGGTAGAGACACTTGTGCCATACAAGTTTCCTTTCATGGCAAGAATGATACATTGGGTGCTTGTCAACCTATTCAGAGTCAAGGAAGCAAAAGCACATCGTCATGACTGGAACGACGATGACAGCAATGATGATGATTTCTGTGTAAAGTCAAGTAGACATCAAGATGGCCCAAGCAGAATGTTCCGCGATTATACAGAAAGCTCGGATCCAGAGTCGCCCAAGCAGGTGCGCAGAAATGACTCTATCATTTTCTCTCCAGACTTTGAATTGAAGGGTGTTCCGCCCTTGCCCAAAAGACCGCCACTCTACACGCAGCAGCGCGATACGGGCTCCACATCGTCCATGAATGCAAGCAGATCACAAGCAGAGGGCTCATCAACAACCGATATGACAAGAAGGAGATCGATGTCTGACATGCTATTCCCTCGCAGCGGAAGTGTTACAAGGTACACTAAAAGTCTGAAAGAAAGAAGCGAATCTCCCAAGTTTCCATTGCGAAGAGCGTCATCTATCAGTGTTGCGACTTTGCAGCGAAATCGAGCCAACAAGAAGCCAATGAAACCTGAAAGCATACAAACATTGCCACCACTAAGCAATATTGATCCAGAACAAAGCGCAACATCCAACAGCAGCAGCAAACCAAGCACCGGCCTCAGTAAAATGCTGACTCGAGGGAGATCCATGTCATTCAGCTGGAGTCGATTGACCAACGTCAAGGGAAAGTACGCCTTGTCTGGATCTCCACTGAACCTAGAGAAGCCACTGAAAGCGACCAAATATGCAGACAGTACGTGCAGTGCAACCAACCAGAGCCGTCAGGATGTATCAAGTGTTGGTGACGGTGGTGGTGGTGGTGCTGGCCAAACACAATCAAGAGCCATGGGCGACGCCCCTCATCAAGACCCCATCCCCATGGTGGACATGGATGTGGATCATCATAGCATCGATATACCTGAAGAACCTGAACTCTCATGCTACCCAAAAGAGCTATCGCCTCGACCTCGTTCTCAATACAAAAAACCGCGTACCATCTCCAAATCGCTCATGCAAGAAAGACGAGAATCCACTGCCTCCGTCTCGCCCAATAGCAGCCATGTCATGACTAAAGCTGCTAACAGACTCAGTAAGCGAAAGCAGCAGAATCGACGCAGTTCTATCATTTCAGACAAGGAGCAATCCTTGTATTTGAACGAGCTGTTTTATGGTGCCACATCTGCCTATCAGCAAATACGGGATTTAGAGAAGGTTACGCTCAAGCACGATTCCATGCAGTCAGAGCTGTCTCGCTTTGAATCCGACAAGAAATCACCAGACATCAAGCGCATCTCTGACTTGTCCATGGATCAGCAGGAAGGGTTTGCTCAAGGCCACACTTCCATCGAGTTCATTTCCAACTGGCAGGAAAGCAATATCAATGACGACTCGAACCGCATCATGGACATTTCTGAGCCATGGGATTTACGACAACAACTCAAGCAGCAATTTGAGTTAGCAGACGATATTGCACACATGTAAAAAATAATAATAGTAATAATAATAGTAATAATAATAAAGTAGCTCTATTGATACAACTTATCCGTACAACCTATCGGCTTAACTACTAAAGAAGTGCGTCTTGTGCCTTTTGCATGGATTTGGCTGCCCTGTTCTCTGCATGACGAGCTAGATGCATATCTTTGGCATCATAAGCTTCTGAAATAGCAGGGAACACTTGACCAGAGTAACCTGTCCAAAGACCTGGAGCATACACAACATGTTTGTACCATTCGCGGTCCTTCATGCCCTCTGGGTCAATAAATCCTCGCTCAAACGAGGTCAATCTGTCATTCATCTTTTCTACGCGCTTGGCCCATTTCGCAGACATCTTTTGATCTTCGTCACCGCCAAACTTGCGAAGCTTCTTTTGGATCGATACCAGATTTGCCTCGAATGTAGAGGCGGCTTTGATGAGTGAGTTGACGGATTTCTTGAGCGTGGGGAAGGTGTGTGGCGAAGAGTGAATGTACAATTGATGCACGTATTTCTGTAGTTCATGCGCATAGTCCACAGGATGGATGGGGAGGATAAGATCGTCCGCTAAACGAAGTGCGAGTAAGCCCCAAATTTTAACCATGGTTTGATGGTAATGGAATTGGGGATCCCCGTACTTTTCCATCCAATGGAAGGAATCATACACACTGTGGTAGACGCCGTAGTCTCCATTGAAGGACATGTCAATACTAGCGACACCTAAATGATCCATAAAGGCCGTGAAATCAGAGCCAGAGCCCAACACGCCCACAGGTGGTTTGGCGGAAGGAATGCCAGTGGCATTGTTTCTTTCTCCCCATGCTTCATAGACTGATTTCTTGGTGAGAGGATCTTGCACCATGCTTGTCACTTCATACAGGAGCTGATTTAATGAGGGAGAGGCACCTATTTCAAAATAAGGTCCAGCTACAGCCACATCGCAATTAACATAGACGGCCGCTTCTTTTGCCAGCCATTCTTTATGATCTTCTACCCACTCTGTAGAGCCAATCAAACCAAACTCTTCAGCATCCCAAGAGGCAAGAATGATGGTACGTTTGGGTCTCCAACCAGTTTGTAACATTTGTCCAAGCACACGAGCAATTTCCAACTGAAACAACTCACACTATGAGTAAAAAAAAAAAAGCCAACATGCAACTTTTTGATCAACTTACAAGCGTGGCAGATCCAGAGGATGGATCTACAGCACCAAACACCCAAGCATCACGATGATTACCCAAGATAATGGATCGATGAGGCTCAACTGAACCTTCAATACGCCCAATGACATTCCAAATGGGCGTCACTTTGTAATCCACAATGTTCTCTAGTTCCACCATGCCTTCAGTAGGTCCACTGAAATAATCCACTTCTTCTAATCCACCCGCCCAATCAAACTCGCCAAACACGCCGCGACCTTCTGTTGCCTTTAGCAAAGGTAACGCATCCTTCCACGACAAGGGCAGGGAAGGAATTTGAGGCAAGACAACCGCATCTTCCATTTTGATACGAGTGGCATTTTCAGTGGCAGCATAACCTGGTGTGAGAGGATCGCCTGGGTAAAAGGGCAAGTACTGAACAGATCCACGTTGTGCAGAAGAAGGAGATCGCCAGGGTCCATCTGGGTACGATTCAGGTGGATTCAAGGTGGTGTCCTTGTCGATGGGTCCATCATCAATGGGGTCCGAGTAAATGAGCACCCCGACACAGCCATATTGTTCTGCTGCTCTTATCTTGAGTCCACGCATGGTCGTACCGTATCTCACGAGCGCAATGGTACCATTGACTTGTACACCTTGATCTACTAGAAATTGGAAATCCTCCAAGCGGCCGTAATTAGCATAAATCACAGGACCTTTTGCGGTGCCATTCTTTGAGAAACCTGTGCTCCACAATGTGAGCTATTTTTACCACGGTCATGTATATGTGTATCATCTTTACCATGAAATAAAGGGACGATATCGGGATGCTTGGTAGACTTATCCTCTTCCACTCGATCCTCCTTGAGCGATGCATTGTAACGAAGGTATTCAGGTCCAGATACAATGGCCAGACGGCGTGAAATGGGATAGTTGAGCAAAGGCCAGTAGGTCTCGATCTTGGCGTTAGGGATACCAAATTCATTGAACTTTTCACGTGTCCATTCTGCTTGTCGTTTGTCGGAAGCTGTGCCAGCAACGTGAGGTTCAGATGTGTAGTTTCTCAAATAGCTCTTGAGCCGTTTGGCGGATGGCAGATCAAGCATCATTTGTTCTGCTGCTGATAATTTTCTGGTAGGGAAGCCTATTGACTGAGCGATGAGACGATATGACGCCATCATGTCATAGACACCAACTCACCTCGAGGATTGTCCCAAGTCCCTACAGACAACAGAATTGCCATGGCCACCAACACGAATATACCTACAATCACAGTGATCTCGATACCCACTCGCAATGGACTCTTTCTAGGCGCCTCCAATGTCATGCGATGTCTGTTGATCAATGGCGCATGCTCTGATCCACTGCTTCCCCAATGCTGTATCCACCAATGCTTAAGTTTTGCAAATGGATTCGTATCTTTCAAAGCAGGAGAAGGTGCAACTGGTTCTGATGTGGACTGTTGAGCTGCTGCTGCTACTGCTGAGCCAGTGTCTGATTGTCTATCAGCATCTTCTCGAGGAATAGCTGAATACCCCTCAGTCGATGCCATGTTGGTGGAAAAATCACTTGAACGATGTATAAAAGAAAAGAAAAGAAAAGGCGGAAAATTTAGAGCAAAAACTGAGGTTTTATACTTTTCTCCAGATGGAACATGCCCGGGCGACTCGTTGTAGCAAATCTCTCTCGCTTGCATTAAATTTAATTTCATTGGATCATGATCTATTACTACTTTTAAAGCATACATTATCGTGGAAGTCTATCTTGATATCAACTTTCGTCTCCAGAGGATATGTCCATATCATCACTTTCGTTGTCATTACCCGCCTGCCTGCTGTAACTCATGTGTGTATTCAAAGAGTCCGCATTAGGGGTGGTTTGTATAGAAGGTTCCAAGCTAGGCGGTGGCAGTGGTGGTAGTGGTTCTGAGGTATAATACATTTGTTGATAGTACTGGTATTGATTGTAGTAGTATTCATCCCATTGCTGCTGAAGAGCTTGCGTCTGGCCAGACACATAGGATGTCGATTGGTCTACTGCTTCAAGTGCATGATACTCATTTTCGGTGTAAAGCCCAGGATAGTGGACAGAATACGTAGGCGCTGATTGCGATCTACCCTGCCGCCCTCCATCTTGTGTGTGTATTACGCAATCGCCATCATATACTTTGAGCAAAGGTGTCTCTGTAGTCAGTGAATGGCTAGTGTAAGATATGTATCCAGGAGGGTATCCATAGTATCGCATTCGACTATAATAGGGCGGTTCATCTTGTTCCAATGTCATACCTAAAGCGTCTTTCAGTTGTTGTGATAATCTACCCGCTTTCATTGCATCTCTCTCCCCATGTATAGATAAACGACCAGAGTGGCTATTGACCTTGGTATAGTTTATTGGTCGAGGGCATTTTCGGAAATGGTGTCCACGCTTGCCGCAGTTGTAGCACAGATACCTGTATCAATCAAGTGTTAACCACAGTGTGTTGAAAAGCCTGTATAGTCACTGACCCAGGAATGTCAAGAGGTGTATCGCTTCCTAAAGGCTGTATATCCAGCTTATCGTACTCGTAGAAACGCACATTAGAGAGCCCTGTAAATCGATGATGTTCGTCGTCAACGTAAAATTTGCCGTTATCGTAGATGACAGGCTGCACTTGATGAGGTTGACTTGTATCTACGTTATCGAGATCTTCCTCTATGAACCCAAGCGCATTCGTTTCGTAGAACCTTGCATTGTCCTTGAGCCCTACTCTGGTCAAATCACTGCTCCATCGGAACCGTTGATCCAAATCGCGTGGTACACAATATTCTACATAATCCAATGGATATGGCTTGAGTTGGGACGTCATACTGTAGACCAGTTTGAGAGATACAAGACCGTCTTTGGGTGCGTTTATAATGCTTTGCAAGACGCTATTTCCATACAGTATTGGGTTCTTGAGTATTTGATACAGCTGATCCAACACTTGTTGCCGTAACAAATGAGCAGTGGCCATGAATAAAAAAGAGAAGGAAGTAGTAGTGCTGTTCAGTAACTCAGCAACAGCGATTTATGTATTATAATCCCTGCACTGGGGTCCGGACAAGCACATCAAACCTATTTTTTTTTTCATCATCCACAATTTGATATCTTTTTTCTTCTTCTAATTTGAATTGTTTGAACCGAGAAAGGAGGTTCAGGTACTATTCCAAAGGGTAAAAGCATGTCTGTAAAGGATTTTAGGTACGATTTCTGGGGTTGGCGATGTAATTCTCGTTGACTGATACATTGATAGAGATGAAAAGGTGGAGATGAATAGCTTAAGCAACAATCTCACTGCAAGAGAGAGGCTGCTGCAATGTATGGTGGGATAAGCAAACCTGATTGAATACGCTGTTAATCACTTGTTTCATTAGCCAACAGAACCATCATTGCAGCTTCTTGTGCTGCTTGGATCTCTGTCTTGGCCGGCTTTCCTGTAAGTTTCTGTTATAGCATGTATAACATAGCGACACTCATCTCCACCCATCCAGTTTGACTCTGTCAAAACTCGAATGCAGACACACTATTATCCATCAATTTTGTCATGCGTCAAAATCACCTACGCCGAAGAAGGAGCAAGAGGCTTCTTTAGAGGAATGATGCCGCCACTCGTTACTGTGAGCATCATCAAATCAGTTTCTTTTTCAATCTATGAAGGCACCAAACGATCGCTGCTGCAAGACAATGGATACAAATACGACACATTATCTGATGTATTAAAAGTGTCATCGTTGAGTGGCGGTGTCAGTGGTGCATTCATCGCATTATTGAGTTGTCCGTTAGAACTCGTCAAGATTCAACGGCAATTGGAGCAAGTCATGTTGAAAGACCAGATAGAGGCAGGCCGAGTAGCAGCAAATCAAGTCGTTGAAGCATCATCATGGAAGGCTGTAAAGCAAATTGTACAACGCAAAGGTGTATTTGGTTTATGGAGTGGGGTAACTTGTCATTCGGGTAAATGATTAACTGCATATCCAATGACAAATCTCATTTTATTCACCATCATCTTTATTATTCACAGCAAGAGATGCTCTAGGTACAGGCATATACTTTGGAGGATATGAATCCATGAAGCGTATATTATCCAAAGATGGCTCAACGATGACAGCTGGACCACTGACTCATTTCATGTCGGGTGGATTTTGTGGAATCATGAGTTGGCTCATTGTTTTCCCTGTGGATGCCATCAAGACCAATTTACAAAAGGATATCATGATGCCGAAACCAAGATACAATGGGTTCATGGATTGTGCAATATCACTAGCAAAGAAGAATGGAATTAAGGGACTCTACAGAGGGCTGAATGTAACATTGCTCCGGGCATTCCCTATTCATTCTCTAAATTTCTTGGTTTATGAGCAGGTCCTCAAATCGATACCTCCATCATCATCATCGTGATAGACTTTTTTTTTTTTTATTTATTTAACTTATTCATATGAAATCGACATGTAAATAAATGGCATGCTGATGAAGCTTTCGTTGGCTCATCAATTGAACGTCTGACAAGAATGGCCAGTGTTTTCGCCATATACAGATACAGCTACCACAAGCAAGCATACTCATATCCGTATTCATGACACAGCCGCCAGTAAAACAAAAATTAAACACCCGCTCTGCTTGTGCTCCAGATTGGCCAGATTTGATCCAATTCGACTCAATCTCGACTAATTTGCTAGATTCGACTATGTAAGACATGCCAATTCGACTATCCGCCCTTAAGTTTTCTACAAGGCCTTTTCAAGGCGCATCTGACGGTACTAGCTACAAGAGATATTATGAATAAATTTATTGAGCAATTAATGAAAATGTGAATTGAAGATTCTGGCCAGAATGTTGAGATTTCACATACGACGACCTCGCAAACGAGGTTTCAGGAGCTACTTTGCATCAATAGAATCATTTTGCATCAATATATACTTTAGTAAAAGTCTTCATTTTTGAGGGGGAAAATGCGATCAATTGATTTCTTGATGTTTTCTATGAGGGATACCTCATGGTTTTGGGTCGATTTTCGATGATGTTTTTTTTAGGTCCCAAAAAAGTTGAGCAAACGTGCTAGTAAGTAAATGCAAGTTGAAAGTGATTGTGTGGTGCTACTCCAGCGGTCTAAAACGGCCTTTAACAGGAGAAATCACGACTTGAAGACGGGGATGACTAACGTATCAACAAATCGTCTCTAGATATTGACAGACTTGCAAACTTTCCGTATTGCACGTAATATAAATACAAGGTAATAAATGACGACAATGCAAGTTTTTGATTCCTAGTAAGTATGAATTCATCAATAGAGGCTTTCAGTTTGGGTTGTAGTAAAATTTAATTGATTTACATTACTGAAGGATAGTTGTATATATGTGAGGTCTTGAGAATGATTTTGAGCTTTACCAAAATCAATATGCATTCTATTCAAATTAAAAGCTGCACAAGCTGCAGAACTGCCCTTCTAAAGAATTTCAGCTCTCTATCGAAGATGTGATTCATGCTGTGTAAATAAAAGCTATAAAGCAAAAACATAACCAATTTTGACAGCTTTCAAGCCTTCATATCTTGACATGTAGGCCTTTCTGAGCCATCGGAATAACGTCAAACAGTTGTACTTGGGTAGCAGAAACTTCCTGACACATTTACTCAACTTTTAGGGGACCCAAAAAATATGACCCAAAATCGACCAAAAAGCATGAGGGGTACCTCATGGTTTTCTTCAAAAATCAAACGATCGCGTTTTTTTTACCTTGAAAATGAAGACTTTTACTATGGTATATCTTGAATCAAAATGTTTCCCTTGACCTAAAGTAACCTCCGAAGCTAATTTTATGAGGTTTTCATATGCAAAATCTGGCTATTTTTGCTAAAAACCTCATTTTAAACTCTATCAAATTGCTCAATGGCTTCATTCAAAACACATATTACAATTAGTACCATCGGAAGCGCCTTGAAAAGTACTCCAAGAATGTATTAGGAAGCATCCGATGGGCATTGCAATTTCATAGTCGAATATCGCAGAATAGATCAATCGAGTCGAAAAAAGCCAAAATCTGGCGAATCTTGAACGAAAAAAAAAAAAAGAAGCTGGGTTTGAATAATTTTTGGTGAACGTCGCTGCTGCTGGCTGACCCAAATGCCTTTCTGATGATGATGACAATGATAATTGGGGTTGTACGTTTTTTATTATGAGGCTTTTCGCCTATAATAATAGTAGCGTAAGTTTCAAAAGTCGAGCCCCATAGAGTGGTAGGATAAACGGTGGTTAATGTGTCAGACACGGAAGTGAGGCACATCAAGTAGTTTTCACGGTCAATTTCTCTGCCAGATCGCCTACTGAAGAATGCGACAGTTAGAGACCGTTCAACATAAGACTAATATCAACAGAGCAGCATAGAGATTAATGTTTTAAAATTTGTTTATTCACATGTTGAATGCCAGTTATTTTTTGGTTTTATGTGCACTACCAGCATATATATATCTTCACAAGAACATGTTGAAACGTTCATTTTTTACAATAAAAGTGGATGCAACTTCATTTATATTTATAGAAAGAATGAAGAGGCATCATATATTAATGATATACAAAAAGAAATGCAAGGTGGGGCCGCTTAGTAACGGTAATGATCGGGCTTGTAAGGACCTTCAACAGCAATACCGAGGTATTCAGATTGAACGGGAGAGAGTTCAGTGAGCTCAACATCGAGCTTACCCAAGTGAGAACGAGCAACTTCTTCATCCAACTTCTTGGGGAGGACATGGACACCAACGGTCCACTTCTCAGGTTCAGTCCACAAAGCAATTTGAGCCAAAACTTGGTTGGAGAAAGAGTTGGACATGACGAAAGAAGGATGACCAGTGGCACAACCCAAGTTGACAAGACGACCTTCAGCAAGGAGGATGACATGACGACCGTTCTTCATGGTGAAACGGTCAACTTGAGGCTTGATGTTGGTGACGGAAGCAGCGTTGGCCTTCAACCATGCGACATCGATTTCGATATCAAAATGACCAATGTTACAAACAATAGCATCATCCTTCATGTTTTCAAAGTGACGACCGACAATGATATCACGACAACCAGTGGTGGTGACAAAGATATGAGCTTCAGTGACAGCCTTCTCCATGGTGGTAACTTCATAACCTTCCATAGAGGCTTGGAGAGCATTGATGGGATCAACTTCGGTGACAATGACACGAGAACCGAAAGCACGGAGAGCAGCAGCACAACCCTTACCGACATCACCGTAACCAGCGACAACGGAAACCTTACCAGCAATCATGACATCGGTGGCACGCTTGATACCATCGACAAGAGATTCACGACAACCGTAGAGGTTATCGAACTTGGACTTGGTGACAGAGTCGTTGACGTTGATGGCAGGGAGCTTGAGCTCACCGTTCTTGAACATCTTGTACAAGTTGTGGACACCAGTGGTGGTTTCCTCAGAGAGACCCTTGATACCAGGAAGCAAGTGAGGGTACTTTTCGTGAACAATGTTGGTCAAATCACCACCATCATCCAAAATCATGTTAAGGGGTTGACCATCAGGGAACATGATGGTTTGTTCGATACACCAGATGAATTCTAATGTATGTCAGATATATGTACATGGTACTCACATTATCTGGTATAGACTTACCCTCATCAGTCTCACCCTTCCAGGCGTAGACGGGGACACCGGAAGCAGCGATGGCAGCGGCAGCATGGTCTTGAGTAGAGAAGATGTTACAGGAAGACCAGGTAACCTCAGCACCGAGAGCAATCAAGGTACGGATGAGGATAGCAGTTTGGATGGTCATGTGCAAACAACCAGCAATTCTGGCACCCTTGAGGGGTTGAGTGGGACCATACTTGCGGGTGATTTCCATCAAACCGGGCATTTCATTCTCGCTATAATGATTGTAGGTTAATAAAGCAGCTTTGTGGATCAGTCAACGAATGAGCACTTACGCGATCTCGATTTCCTGATTGATTCCAAATAAAATAAAAAAAAAAAAGACAAATGGGGGTTAATTATCAGCAATTCCAAGATCAATCCAACATGAGTGATGCAAGATTTACCTTCATACCGAAAGCGGCTATCAAATGTACATGGTTAATGGCAATGACAACGAATCATACAGACATGCACTTACCAAGGGAGATATCAGCGACCTTGTAGTTGTTAGTAGACATGATTTTGGATTAAAAAAAGAGGGTGGAAGCAAGAGTTTGCGCGTTCAAATGGTCCTTTTATTCAAAGATTTTTTTTTTTTTGGTTTGAAAAATTTTCCTCTCCTTCTTCCAATCATCAGAAAGGATCTGTAAGAAAGGCTGTCCCTGGCTCCGCTCAATTGGCTAGCTATTAAGCATCTTTTTGAGATCCCATCTATTTAACAGTGTAGCACATACACGTTTGTTACTGTTTGCATGCTGAAAGGTATACATATTACTCGTTTGAGTCTAGCCAGAATGCCTGCTCAATCAATGATGTATCCATGCTACATCATAAGCCATTGTAAATGGACTGGTTTTAAGCGTAATGATAGTATTTAGAAGCCGCCAACTAAACTTCACTTTCTCTGCTTCTTCTTTACATGTGTTTAACCTTAAACAGACAAAAAGGGAAAGTCCATGATACGCTGCATGTACATGGCAGCCACTGGCCGGGAGAAGTTAGGCTGTATCTATCTATACAAGGAGCCAAATTACTCGAGTCATTTCTGATCAAATCCAACATTTGCAATCTAGCATAAACTTCTGGGTGTCTCTCCCTTCCCCCCCCCCAGAACAGAGGCGGACAACTAAACCTTAATATGCGTTACAGAGCTGTAAAGGAGGAGATGGGAACGGGTAACCTTGCACAAGGCTTCATTTAAATTGCATTTATCGTGGTTGAATAAGACTGGATGGATAGTTTTTACTAGGAATGTCTCTTATGGTCTGTGCCTGGTTTTCATATGCTAAAGCTGATTACTGTTTGATTCGTTGGGGGTGTTTGTTCCTGATCCCTCCATCATTTTGATGAGTGAAAGACTGTCAATCTCATTGATAAATTACTGCTAGCGATCTCGAGATCGTAGTGTAGATTTCTTAGTTTGATGCACATATTTTCACGTTTTTTTTTTTACTTGGATTAGTGGGCGTAATGCTAAAGCGCTCATAACAACAGCTACATATGAAGAGAATGGCCTTGACTGCACTCTTTCTCAAAAAAAAAATAAGGGGTAATCAACACATTTAGCAATATTAGCTGGCAGTTGCTCGTACCAGATGCTTTTTAAAGTATTTAACCTTAGGATATACGTTGATTCTTCGTTAAAAGCGTTATTCCAAAAGGACCTCTGCCATTATAACTACTCTAGTATTTGCATTTTGTACGCCATGGCCATCTGACTGCAGCGGTGCAGTTGAATACTAGTGTTGAACTGTGTAGGTTTGAAGAAAGTCGCTCCCAGCAACGAACGCGTTTTGCGTCTTTGATCAAGTATAACCAAACTTATCCTGATACATTTTAATCACGGTCGCTTTGCGTTATACATGTCTGTTAAGGATTGATACGTGAACTCGAAAGACTCGCTTGATTCAATAATAGCAAGCGTAAGATAGATAATGACAGAGTAGTGTGAGCATGGTTTGGATTGTATGTTAGATCTGACTGAGCTTGACCAAGAGAAATAAGAGTGGTTAAGATGCATCTCTCTATCAAAATATCCAAATTGATCCATAGCAACAGTTAAATTACACAGTATTGCGCAAAGAGGGCTTGCTTGTCAGTTCAAATCGCTTGCTTGTCGTACAGATCAACCCGTAAGGCATCAAAAGTCGCTAATACATTGGGCTGATCTTGAATCCGGTGCACATGAGCCTCAATATTTCGTCATGCGCATGAAATTCGACAAAATAGATGGAGGCAAACAGCACTTCATTGATCAAGAAGCACAATACAATGCGTTCAACAGCAGGAAATCAAAAAAAATACGACCCAAGAACTTGGCAACTGTAGGAATTCCTCCACAGAGGATCTTTTCTATACATGGATTAACGTCAAAACGAGTCGAAAAATGATATATCCAGTAAGATTTAATCTGGATGATTTTCTTTTTTTCTCTCCCACTTGACTCCCCCCCTTTTGCAAATACTGCTTTTTCTTGTATATATTCATCCATGTATCTTCATAGACGGTGCTTCGTTTTGCTGCTTCTTCTATCCGAAATAAATGCTTGCGGGATGTATGCTTGGTATTGATTGTGTTTCAATGACAGAGTCGATTGATAAGCTGTTTTCTTTAGTGCCGTCCACAACGAGGTTACTTTTCGGTCCCTGGAACACTTTACACCTACAACAGCAGTGCAGCGGCTATACAAGGATGATTTGCTTGATTCCGCTAGCTATACACAAGCAGGATCGTTTTTTCCAGATTGGTATGTATAACTGCTCAACAAACCACATCAATTCACGAGCATGTACTCATTGATTTGCTGGCGTATAGGGGATACCAATGCTTGGGCAACAATCAGCAATCAGAAGATGGCAAGTGTGTGCAAAACAGCCAGATTGCATCGTTATTAATAGCCATGGTACGATTAGCTCATTGGCCATCATTCATAAAGACGGCTGTAAATTACATCCGAGAGGTGTATCCAGCAACGCAATTCCACACGGATACGCATGTAAAGGTAATCAAATCTAAACATCCGCTGGAAATGATTCATGCTTACGGAAATTAGGGGCTGATATCTTTTGTGTTTGCCATCATGTCTCATGGCATGGCCGATGTAAAATGGCATAGTTTAAGCGGCCTTCAAGATTACTTTATTGTTGCAATGGCGAAATCGGATTTTCATGGTAATGCCGAGGAGTCTCATATAGCCGCTGATGCAGGGGCAGAATTCACATTAAGGCATTCAAGCAAGCTGTCTTATTTGAATGAAACATGGAAGGTGCCAGTAAACGACATCATCGAAATATACAAGCGACTCTACGAACCCTCAGGGCAAAGAATACCCCTCGCATCACATATCCAGTATTGTATGGCGGCCGCGTTCGCTGCATCCAAAATAGACGTCGAGTTTGGCCAATTGATGTTTGGCTATTATGGCTCAAAAAGCCCATTTTTGATAGAGGAACTGTACGACTACTACAGGGGAGGTATGATTGCATGATGACTACTAACAAACATCAATGACTCTGACGAGTATTGCAACAGGCATTGAGGATTTATCTGGCAGTGTATCAGATTGTTATCCAGAACTCGTCAATGCATTTGAAAACGGCGCAAAGCATGATCATCCAGACACACTGTGTGCTAGCTACTTCTTCAGCGAGACAACAAAGCCAATATCGAAAAGGGCAAGATGCCTGAATCACGGCATTCAATCACCGTATCGCACTAACGGAAAGGACGCTACAAACAAGATTTACCAAGACTATGATGCTACGACAGGCGTGTTGACCCTCACTGTCAATAAAACAAAACAAATACGTATGGCGAAACATGATGTTACGTTTCCTCACATCACTACAACGGTTGTGTTACCCACATTGATCAACAACCACAACAAAAAGCATGCTGCTATTCAGCAGCAGTTCGGTCGCCCTGTGTTCGATTCAAATTCAGCTGCAAATGCGGACAAGGTGAAAAAAGGATCTTCATCAAATAGCCTCAACAAACACCAATGTCTATCACTTCACCAAGAACGAGAACCCATGTCCAAAATCACATTGACGATACCAATGTCATCTTCGAGAGTAGGGCATCAAATTGTCTCTGGCCATTTTAGGAGTAGCGACAGTAACGACGACCAAATGGACATTGCCATCTCTGCACCATTTTACTACAAGGATGGATTACAAATAGGGGCGGTGTTCGTGTTGGACAGCAATCTACAGCCTGCAAATATAGACACGGATATACGTAATGTATCTCACACAATCTTGCATGGTAACACCCATCATGGCCGATTTGGTTGGTCTATGGCGGTCTTAGATTTAAATAAGGATGGGATCGATGATTTAGCCATTGCAACACCGTTTAATGACAGAGTGGATGTCTATTTTGGACAAGTTCATACGGGGCTTTCAGAATCGTCGTGTGCCCAAATTCAGCTTCACTCCCAAGGATCACAAGGAACAGTTTTAGCGGGGATCGATGTGGATCAGGACGGCTTCAAAGACTTGGTGATTGGCTGCCCACTATGTCCTATTGGGAACCAACCACAGGTAGAGTTGCTGACACTCAAGAGAGAGACAGACAAGGTTCTAATAGTAGCACTTTCTCTAGGCTGGAAAAGTATCCATCTACCTCGGTCATGGAAATCAATTGACTCAACCCCATTTCGTGATTGAAAATCCAGATGTGAATGCATATGATCATTTTGGAGAATCCATCTTGATCATTCAAGACACGCTATTGATAAGCGCTCCTAGTTATTCCGTAGACCAAATGCAGCGTGTTGGAAGAGTTTATGCATTTGATACATCTACGTACAAATTGAAGTGGACTGTTACTGGCACCAAAGAATTTCAACAATATGGAAAGTAAGGCCCAAAAGACTAAAAAAAAAAAAAACAGTTTCACCTGAGATCAATTGAATGGAAAAAAAAACAAACTAACAAAAAAATGTTGATTCTATAGAGTATTAGCGACAAACGAAAGGCAGGACGTCCTAGCTATCTCGAGTCCATCGGAAGTAAGTTTGAACAAGTCCAAATATGATGTATAACCAACATTACCAATAGGAAACCAGGTCAAAATTACAAACATTTTGGCAAGGGGGAACTGTGCGACTATATGACTGGAATATCATGCAACAACAGATTCGAGATCATGTAAATCAAAAGAATGTTGTGCCGAATCTTGTTATGGAACAGGGAATGATGGGTCTGATAGAAGGTCGCACAAACGCAGGGCATTTAGGTCAATCGATTCTGATGGGAAAAGATGATGTGATTTGGATAGGTGAGCCAATGTCAGAACAAGGTTAGGCTTTGGAATGTATCAATGTGTTAAATACATGTGCTTACTCATATCTTGCTTTGATTTTTTTTTTTTTAGAGAACGGCCGAGTGTATCAATGGTGGTATAAGAAGACTCATGAACTAAAGTGTATTAGAAATAATGAGCATCTCTTAGTAAGTGTCAAGGAGCGGTGTTGGAAGCGGAGTGTTTTGTCGGAGCGTACCTGAAAAGAGCCGAGGTTTAAATCAACGATTTCATAGGCACGGTTTGGGTCTCAAATCGGCTCATTGGGTCCTGATGCCATTTGTATCACATCGCAGCGATATGGTCAAAACGCACGGTAGGGTGCACAAAATACAATAAGAAATGAGGTTGACACTAATAACGAAAATCTTTTTCGCCTCCACAGATATTCGGGTGCAGTAAATATTTTGACAAGACCAGAAAATGGAAAGGAGACTGATAAATTAACATGAGATAATCAGTTTGAAACATTCATATCGTCAATTCGTATTCATTGAACCTAGATCTTTTTTTTTTTTTTTTTTTTTTTCTTTTCTGCTGCTCATTTTCTTTTTAGCTTTGCCTGAGACAAAAAATTGTCTTAAGAAGGTGATTGAAAAATAAAATTTTTTAGTTTGTGCCCTGGACAAACACTGTGCGATTGCATGACGGTGTGTCATTTTGTCATTTAGGATAGAAAAAGAGGGAAAAACTATAATTAAAACGCTGTCCCAGTGAAAAAAAAAAAAATGGAATAAATTTATAGGAACCTGCGCCTTTCCCCTTTTTCTTTTTCGATTTATTACTTTTCTTCCTCACATACTCTTTCTCTTGACATTTGTTAATTGACAACAACGATAACCCCTTATTTGCAATTTAATTCATATTTAATCTATTCAAATTGACTTCCTTTCACCCATCAACTACCTCTTCATCAAGTGATTCATACAACATGCCACAGAAGAAACGAACACCAGGACGTAGATCTGAACCGAAATTGTTCAAATGTACAGGCTTTGGCAACTGCGACATGGTCTTTACCAGAAGTGAACATTTGGCTAGACATGCCAGAAAACATACAGGCGAGGTAACTATTTGTAAACATTAGATGAAATGATGATCACTGACGTCAATTGGCTTGTTTTTCCCTCCAGAAACCATTCAGATGTGTTGTGCCTAATTGTGATCGCATGTTTAGCAGATTTGATAATATGATGCAGCACACCCATACTCACAATCGTCCAAAGAAGAAGGACTCCTCTGACTCATCTGAAGGAAAGCTCTCTCCCATGTCGATTCCCGAAGATCATAGTATGATGCATGTGCCTTCTTTACCAAGTTCTCCTGCTACAAGCACTATTATGATGGAAAATCATCATCATTTGCTCAGCGATGAGGAAAAATTCGCATCATATTATCAAAATCAGCATCAACCAACATCTCCCGCTTCCGAGAAAGATTTCGTCAAGTACAAGCAGCAGCTCTACGGCTACTCACCTCAACCTTTCTCATCTTCAGAATCTACCAGTGCCTCATCTCAACAAAACCAGCGACAATGGAGTCCAATGTACTATAACAGCCCCACATCTCCACCTCACAACGCAAGTTTGATGAACGCACTTCCCCCTGCTCATCCTCCACCATCCAGTGTTACTTCCAATACAGTAGCACAAGCACCCAAACCCTTTTCTTCTGTTACATCTACTGAGTATTTCCATCACACCCAACATCAACATCAACCACGCAAAAACTCCATGCACAGTGAAACCACACCCACCATGTTGAAAAGACGTTTGTCCTACGTAGATCTTTCGACTCCTATTCAAGAATTAGGTCATACTTACAGCACGCCCTCCTCCACCTCATCCTACACAACATCAGATGAAGAGGCAGACGAAGACGTCGACACAGCAACAAAGCATACTAGCATGCCTTCCTATTTACAGTCCCGCTTTAAAGCTGATGGCATTGATATCACTCCTGATGAATTTGAAGCTCTGCAAGGCTTTGGCAAATTCTGCTCTGAACCTGTTGTAAGAGAGCCCATCTTGATGACTCGTATCACTACTTCGCCAACATGTTCAGTTTCATTTCCCATCAAATTACCACCTTTACGCAATGTTTCTCCCACTGCTGTCATCAGCAACTACACAACTTCTCAAATCAATGCTTTCCGCCAGCAAATCTCCACTGCTCATGAATCTTTCTCAAGAAATCGTACATAGGAAAAAAAAAAAAAAAAAAAAAAAGATCCAGATCATGAAGTTTATTTTCTTTTTTTTTTACAAGATAAGGACATTCTCCTGCCCTCCAACAAGTTACTATTATACAAAGCATTTTCATCTATACTATTATCATTTTAAACGCGCAACATTTCACGAATAACTATAGCTTTTAGTTCTGTACATTTTCACCCAAAAATAAAAACACCCTTGTATACAATTAGAATTTTATCCTTTGCATCATGAATCCTAGCTGCTTGATGTACACTGGTTTCTCATGCTGCCATGAACGCTTATATTTACAACACAAGAGATAGACTTGCTCCTCGATGGAAGCTTTGGAGTGAAAAAGGGCTGCGGTTGCGCCATGTCTTACAGGGAGATTGGAAATTCACAGAACAAAGCTTAATTCACAAAGCCCTGCTCTTGTACATCAAGGCGATGACAATCATAATGGTATTTCCATTTTCATGTCTGAACCTTAAATGGCTCAATAAGCGTATTACATGATTCATATGTCTGTGTATGTTTTCGCCCCGAAATACAACATGCAAATAGCCACAGTTTAATATGAAACCATTTAGATTGAAATGGATCAAAAAAGTTAGTTTATGATGTTTTAGGAAACACAGGTACATGAGGGCTCGAAATACGAAAAACTACCCAGCGAATGATTGTCATGATAGAATGTTTGTTCGTGTATTGTTCTTTGCAGACTTTTGCTCCTGCAAAGGACACTATACAATGTCAACATCTGCCGTACACCCAGGCTCAGCCTTTTTGATGCCGATCTTGATGAGAGAGATTCAAGACAAGAACACAAAATCATGCAATTCATTAACTTAGTTGTAAAATGCGTGTCCGTTAAGGAAATGAAACTTGGCCAGGTAGAAATCCGGACCATGCAGTCTAAACAGTGTTTTAAGAATAGATTTCTTAAAGGAAAAATTTAAAATCACATCCATCAGTGATAGCAAAACGGCTCGATGCTAAGCATAAATTACGCAACATACTCTTAAAGCCTAGTGCAAAGGATACAGATACCAGTTCTCCTATGTCCTATCTTTCTGGCTGGAGTTTTCTCTTCTTCTAACAAAATCCACAAATGACCGTGTTTGAAATGCACATGTCTAGTTTGTCAAGGGCATGAACAGGGTGAATGACTCTACAGATGTCAATTAAACTGCAGTAGGCAGCCTAGAGTTTCTCATTGTCGATTTTCACACATGAATGACATTGCAGGCATCATATGGACAAATGTAAACGTGCTTGGCATCTTCTATTTGACTCGCAGAAAAACTGCGATTGACAGACATTCAATGTTTTCATGCACATTGTGTTGGAGTAGAGATGTTGATGCTCAATTTGCCAAATGCATTGTTTACAATCTAGAATAGTACCACAACAGAAGCACAAAGTTGCCTTCTAATGTGAAACGATACATTTACATGAAATGTTTCACTGTCATTTGTCTGGAATATTCAATGAACGAAACCAGTTGCGGCTTATACCATCTCTATTTTGGCTGCCTTCCGAGCCTGTACCACATGCAAGCAGGCTATGTCAATGAGTAAGCTACAAGTTGTGCATTGCACAGCTAATCCAAAATAAGCATCAACCATTGCTAGAACATAGCATTGAGACTGGTGACAGCATAGGACGAAGAGCCTTCAATTTTACTTTTTCGATAAGGCTAGTATAGCGTTTTTTTTTTGGCCTTCAATCAGTGTCATTTATCTATATCAGGTACGTGAGCGGATTCAGAAGACGTAATTCTACTGTACTTGTAAAATCATGATTTCGTAACTGAAAAAACGGTGATACGAAATCGGCATGGCTGGCAAATTGGGAAATTGCAGCTACAAATTTGACATAAGTATACCAAGTCTGATTGGTGGTATCAGAGGTTTTACTTTTTCAAACTTGATTTTAATTCAGAGAGGACCCATGAACAGCAGGTCCCTTGTGTACCTGAATTGGAGATAGTAGTATGATGTTTATTGATGCAATGATGAAGGGTATATTGGATGGAAGAGTATATACATGAATGCATGGAAGATATACATATAGAATAAAAGTTGAAATCATGGTAATAAGGAAGATACAAGCTTGCTGTCTGGCATCATAAAGATGCTCTCATTTTGTCGATTGATCTCGAACCCTGCATCGAGTAACGATTGTATCATTTCATTTTTGTGCCTTGATTTATTCTTGGGATTCACCGAGTACTTTACACCGCGAAGAACACCATTGCAGTTGGGATTTGCGCCCTTCTTCAATAGTAGCTTGAGCGTGTCCAATTGATCATAAACAAGCGCCAATTCCAAGAGGACTCCATCTCCAATATCAAAGGTGCCTGTCAATCTGTAGAGATACTCGACAATGTCATTAAATCCTTGTCCACAGGCGTGTCTCAATGGCCAGTCATGGTTGCACCTTGGATCAATGCCGCCCTTTTCAATCAAGCACTTGACCATGTTTAAATCGTTGTTGTTGATGGCGTGTTGAATACAAACATTTTGATTAATGTCAGCATGCGCCCCAGCATCCAATAGCAACGCCACGATATCACTGAACCCTTTGTAACATGCATTTTGTATAGCAGCATCGTTGTAAGCATGCACATTGGCGCCGTCCAACAGGAATTCCACCAGCTCCGAGAATCCAAGCAGACAAGCATTCCTGAGATGGCGTTCACTATGACTATGCGCATTGACACTGTAAGCCTTCACCAAATGTCTAACCAGCTTGACTTGATTTTCTCGACAGGCTAATGCCAATACGCTGTCATGATATACATTGGCTCCAAATTCATTCACCAACATATCCACCACCCCCATGGAGCCCTTCATGGCTGCCAAATTGATCAAATGTGCTACATTGCAGTGTCCTACTTGTACTATCCGTCTACATAGATCCACTTGGTCTATTCCGCATGCTTCGATGAATAGCCAGTTATCGTCAGCAGTAGGATCACAATTCAGTCTTAACAGTTGATGAATAGTCGGTAGTGACACAATATGTCGCCGCATTGCTGTCTCGCCTAACACAGCCGTCGGACCATAACGATGCATTAAATAGTCGGCTCGTAGCATGGCTGATTGTCCCAGGCTCCAGAATTGTTTACAGACAATCGCTAATGTTGGGTTTTGGGCATAGACAAAGATACGATGAAGTAGCTCATTGGGTAGATCAAGTAATCGACATTTACCGCTGTACATTTCCCTTCCTGTGGAGATGCTGTTTACCGAGGTATTTGTTATCTTTGATGCTCGCCTTGTATTGAAGAGTTCATGCAGCTGTCCTTGATGTCTCTGCTGGTTCTTGGTGTATTTAAACATAAACGGTGGAAAAAAAGAAAGAGGTATGAAAGAAAAGAATTTTCAAATGCTAATCTTGCCAATAGCAAAGAATGAATAAGAGGTAATTGTGACGATGCAAAGAGAAAGACTCGAAACGAATCCAGATAGCCGGTTCTCCCGAGCCCAATTTATTACTAGTGATACCTGAATTCTACTGTTTCTCTTTGGTTCAATCTCTTACTTCAGCTCAAACATCATCAGTGTATATAAAATATGGCTGTATTCTCACAATCAAGGAACTGCTGCTTTATGGTTCCGCTGAAGACAGGTAGGCGATGCTCTTCAGGATGTTAAGTGATAGCACAGTGTTGAACAAGTCGAGAATTTAGGTGTCTATTTGATTACAACGTTCGGCCTAGTAAGTATCAGCAGTGGCAAACTTTTCACTCATCAATCAATCTAACATTTGCATAGCTCAACAAACTATCAGGATTCTACGGACTTATTTCGCTCGACTATAGCAATCCATTTGTAGTTTGTGTCCATGTGTACTCACTCTTGGCATTGTTTGTATTTGGGTTTGGACTCTACAGTATCAGCAAAGTAAACATTTACTCGACAGTAGTGAAAGGCATATATTCATTGATTGCAATAGGACAAGTACACCTTTATTCGATGGTTCACTCTATTTTACTGGATTGATTTCACTATTAGCACCATCACAACCATTGTCTTTAGTGTGCAATGGTTTGTTTATACCGATCATAGTTTACCAGATTTAGAGGACAATCCAGAGGAAAAGCAACAACACGATGATTCATTCAAGGCTGAGAGCATTGTCAGCATTGTTATCTTATGTCTCGTTCGACTTGTTCATGTAAGATATTCTTCAAATCCATGGGTGTGAGAATACTAAAATAGAAGCTTTTCTTAGCTTTATTTTGCCTATGTGATTACATGCTACTATGTATCCATGGGTAAAACTCATTATTCCAAGATGACAGCTGCGGTTGATGAAGAGCTGAATTTTGCTGGTTACGATGAAATGAACGAAGAGGACGATGATGATTTGGATGATGATTCAAGACCTTTGTCTGGTAGAACAAGACCACTTTGAGATGGTGGTTTAGTGTATCAGATGATGTCCTCCTTTTTCTATATACAACAACAACAGCCAAATAAAGACACACCGTCTATGGGCATTATATAAAGCAGAATACCTCATTGTTCATACTCTGTTGCCTACCAAACCCGTTCTGTTGAATTCAGATATACAGTCTTTTTATTACTTTTGCTTTGCTAATCACATATTGTTCAAATGTCTATGCAGCACAGTTAATAATCCATTGACAGTTGTGCATGTTTGGAAGGTTACCTCTTGTAGATACTCATCACATTGGCAACGAATGCCTCTAAATGAAAAATGTCCTTTCTTCCAATGTGCAAACGATGTTCCTGCGCAAAAAATGAGTACTACTTCTATCAGTTCTAAGCTTTACTTACATGGAAAGCAGCTTGCTGGATGATTTTGATCTTGACTGGTTCAGGCACTTTTTCCAATAAATAAAAGGTTAATCTCTTCAAGATAACGGAGGGCTGTATGCATTTAGTGATAATGTCATAAAGATGGGTACGAATCTGAAGCAACTTGTTGGCTGATTGTTCTTTGATGATGGCATCTGCCACGGAAGCGATCGCCTTTTCCCAATCCAAATCCTCTGGCTTGCTGATAGCGTGCAGATCAGGACTAACAATCAACAACAAGATGAGCTAAACACATCCACTATGGCTCCGTACGCACTTACTGTCGAACTGCTGTGCTCTCCAATGCTAATAATGCAGCACGCATGTTTCTCTCTGCATGCTCCGCGATATTCGCAGCCAATTCCTTTGGTAACGAGAATCCTTCCTTGTGAGCCACATCTTGCAATACACGCACAATTTCCGTAGTCTCTGGTCTTCCAACACGCATCAACAAGCAGCGAGATCGAACAGGTGCAATGATTTTACTGAGACTGTTGCAGCACAGAATGAGTCTCATGGAAGAGGTGTATTTTTCCATAGTACGACGAAGTGCTGCCTGAGCTTCTCTGGTCAATTCATCTGCCTGATCAATAATGACAACTAAATAAAACAGCACTGTAAGCATCTGTGTTTCTCTCTCTAGGCGAGCGTTGCCATTTTACCCTTGAATTGATGCTTGGCATTGGAGTCGATTTGTTGAGTTTGAGCAATGCCTTTGATAACGTCTTGAACGATAACACGATCATACATGCCCAAATCACTAAGCAAATCAGTCAGTATCAAGCGTTGTGTGTGGGAATGCTAGAGTAATACCTAGGATTCAGCTCCAAATGAAAGTTACTAGAGACAACAGTGAACAGCATTTTACGGTTGGAAGTGGTAACAAATTGACGCTGGTCTACTTTAAGCTATATATCAAAACAGTTAATCAGTGTATAACAGGGCATACACACCACATACCTTGTCGACTGAAGGGCCAAAGATCTCTCTCAAAACAGCAGTTAAACGAGTCTTTTTACCAGCACCAGAGGGGCCATAAAACAGCATGTGAGGGAAATTGTCAGAATCAGCCTATTGAACATGTGGATGAGTGTGTGTGTGTGTGTGTGTGTGTGCATACTCGTCATGGAAACAAGGTGTCTCACCAATTTCTTCAAGTGATTCGACAGATCTTTGTGGTATGAAAGTTGATCTAACGTCTTTGGCTTGTACTTGTCGGCCCAGAGACTCATGTCGTTTATATGTAGTGGATTGAAATGCAAAGAAAAAATTGCACCGCGTTTGAATCCAAAGCGCGTCTTTTAATGTCATTTTGCTTTATTCAAGTCACTGCCATCATTTGGATATCAGTGCAATTGCATTGACAAGTGATCCCTCAATTAGGTTCTCTGTCTGTCTCACGCTGAAGAATCGTTGCTGCGGTTTGTTATTCATTCGTTGAGACACACCAAGTGTTTGATGGTAATCAGCTCCATGCTAGAAGCAACCCTCCTTCAAAGCCGTCAGATGCGTCCATTGAGGCAACGCATTTATGCCAGCACATTCACGACCAGACATTGGATTTTCCTTCTAATCTGCTCTCCACAATGCCATGCTCCATCTTTACCATTTCCTGTCTCTAGTATTACTTTTGTGAAAAGCATAGGGCTAGCCATGTCTCTTCACTCTATATACTGTAAACCACTCAAAAAAAGTAGACAAGCCAATCATACCCTTTCAAAATTTTAAAGAATTGTGTGCCGTACAGAGTGAATAATACCACCGGCAAAGCCGGCGATGGGGAGGGGGTTTGGCGAGGGGGGAAGAACATAATGCGTCAAATTCAACACTTGATAGCATTGATTTATAGGGAGGTTTTACCGTAGCGAAGCAAAGGTGCAAAGCCACGGTAATAAGGCGTCTAATCCAACACTTGGTAACATTGATCTATATGAGGGCTTAATCGCAGCGAAGCACAGATGCAAACCTATGACAACTAAGCATCCAATCCAGCATTTGATAGCATTGATCTATACGAGGGCTTGATTGTAGCGAAGCGAATATGCAAAACCATAGTATCTAAGCAGCAACTTTGGGTATTCATCTCCATTATTCATAAGCTTATCAACAACATAGCGCACCAAAAGTTGCATGAACTAGCTTTACCAAAATCAATATGCCTCCTATTCGAATTAAAATTTGTTCAAGCTACAGAACTGTCTTTTCAGTGAATTGCAGCTGCCAAAGATGTAATTTATGCCGTGTAGATACACCCTCTAAAGCCATACATAACCAAATTTGACAGCTTTCAAGTCTTCATATCTTGACATGTAGACCTTTATGAGCCATCTGAATGACGCCAAACAATTGTACTTGAGTAATAGTAACTTCCTGACACCTTTGCTCAACTTTTTGGGGACCTAAAAAACATGGCCAAAAATCGGCCAAAAAGCATGAGGCACTCCTTATGGTTTTCATCGAAAAATCAAACGATCGCATTTTTCACCTTGAAAATGAAGACTTTTACTATGGTATATCTTGAATCAAAATGTTTCCCTTGACCCAAAGTAACCTCCGAAGCTAATTTTATGAGGTTTTCATATGCAAAATCTGGCTATTTTCGCTAAAAACCTCATTTCAAATTGTATTAAATTGCTCAATAAGCTCAGTCAAAATGCTTATTACAATTAGTACCATTGGAAGCGCCTTGAAAAGTACTCCAAGAATGTATTAGGAAGCGAAGGGTGATCATCACAATCTATATAGTCGAATACCATAAAGTAGATTAAAAAAGTCGAAAAAAAAACAATAACTGTCCAATCTTGAGCAGAAAAAATACACTGAGTTTGAATTAATTTTGGCGGAGGCATTGCTGCTGGCTGACCTAAATGCCTTTCTGTTGATGGCAATGATGATTGCGATGCTAATTAAATGGGGACTATGGGATTGAAAGGACAATTGATTAACGCAAATACATGAAGATGTCTTTTGCAATGAAAATATCTCAAAAAAGTCGCGCAGGGCGACACCGACATTGAGCGTAGCGAGACAGATCGGCTAGTACTGATTTACGGTAATCAACAGCTTCTCAAGTAAGGAATGCTCAGGTCAAATGCATATCATGTCAATCTCATGAAGCTTATGTCGAGCTCAAACTTGAATGCGCTGCCGATCGTATAGGGTCACAGGTAGGATATATCTTCAGCTAATGCCCTGATGGTAAGTAACGATATATCATCTCATTACGATACTATCATATCAGCAATCATAAGCGCTTGTATATCAACTCAGTTGCTAGCAAGAAGGATCGGCAGTGATTGTTGGATATGAGCAAAGAGAGGAGGCAATATGAAGAGGAAAAGACGCACGACGCACTCAGCAACCAAATGCGGAAATGGTTCTAGATCTGCCTAATCAGAAGCTCCTTTCAGAAGCAAGGTAACATTCCGTTTGATTACTGAATGCTCCCCAAATGATTTGCAAACAACATGGGAGTTGTCAGATACTCTATCTTGAGGAGGAAGCAATGTGGCCGTGCTGTTAGATTGTGAAAAGAAAGAGACAAAGATCAACGTTGACATTAACTGGAAAATTGACTGACAAAATGTCGCAATGAGGCATATTTGCTGAGCGAGACCCAATGTCAACTGTAGCATATACCATGATTGCAGGCGGAGATACCCTACACAAAGCAACAAGTGATACAGACACCCACGACAATTCTCCAGTTGCAGAAATGCCTTCTTTGATCAACAACTCTTCTCACATTTCTACTCCTTCTCTTTCCAATATATATATATATATATATACACACAAATGAGAACCTCGCTTATTTTGGCCTTTGCAATTTTATCAATACAGTCAGCATGGGCCATTGAAAAGAGAGATTACGATAAACGATCCTATTACACAATCCATACCCTTCAACCCAATGACAGAGCTTCAGCAGACTTGATAGCTCATGAGATGGGAGGCAGAATAGAAGGCCAAGTGGGCGAACTAAGCCATTACTATTGGTTGAGTATACCCAAAGGCAGCAAAGATGTGCTACAACATTATAAAAAGCATAAAAGAAATTTTGATACCATGGTGACGGATATCCAACCACAGATCCCAAATCGACGCTTATACAAACGAGCACCACCGCCTATCATTGAAAACAAGGGCGAAGAATACAAGTTGAATGGCGAGGCGATACCATTACCTTCACTAGATGACGCCAATGGATATCAGCTCATAAAAGAAGCGCTGTCCATACGAGATCCTGGATTTGATCGACAGTGGCATCTAGTAACGTATAAATTAAAATATGTGGATAACACATATATTAACTATTTGTGTCCTGCATAGATTAATAGAGATGAGCGCGGAAACGACGTGAATGTAACAGGCGTGTGGAGTCAAGGCATCACAGGCAAAGATGTTGTTGTGGCCATCTTGGACGATGGATTACAGATGGATCATCCTGATCTAAAGGAGAATTATGTAATTATCCATTGTGTGTCCATCCAGCGTATTTATGCTTATTCTGTTGCTTAGTTTGCTAAAGGCTCGTATGACTTTAACGACCATACAGAAGAGCCCAAACCTAGACTCAGTGATGACACTCATGGCACTCGCTGTGCTGGTGAAATTGCAGCTGTAAAGAATGATGTGTGTGGTATTGGTGTTGCCTATGATGCCAAGGTGGCGGGTATCCGTATTTTGTCAGGCGATATTACAGAAGCCGATGAGGCGGCTGCACTCAATTACGCTTACCAAGACAACTCCATCTATTCATGCAGTTGGGGTCCTGCTGATTCGGGCGAGGTTGCTGAGGCCCCTCAAGGCATTATTTTGGATGCCATCAAGAATGGTATCAAGAATGGTAGAAATGGTACTGGCTCTATCTTTGTATTTGCCTCTGGGAATGGTGGTGCTCATGATGATAACTGCAATTTTGACGGTTACACCAATAGCCTGTATACAATCACAGTGGGTGCCATTGATAAAGCAGGCAACCATCCCTACTACTCTGAAAGATGTGCAGCGCAACTTGTGGTAACGTATTCGAGCGGAAGCGGCGGCTATATTGTAAGTATTCCTTGTTACATGTTGGCTGAATTCCTCCTATTAACGCGGTTACCATAGTATACATCCGATGCAGGAGATAACCAGTGCTCTGATCGACACGGCGGTACGTCTGCAGCTGCTCCTTTGGCAGCAGGTGTGTTTGCTTTGGTTTTATCCGTGCGTCCTGATTTGACATGGCGTGATATGCAACATCTGTGTGTACAATCAGCTGTGCCAATATCGCTATTCGATGACGACTGGTCAAAGCTCCCCTCTGGTCGAATGTTCAACCACAAGTATGGTTATGGTGTTTTGGACGCCTATCGCATTGTCGAGTTAGCCAAAACCTTTGAATCCGTGCGTCCACAAACCAATCTGGAAGTTTTGTCTATCATTGATCCTGAAAATGAAAAACAAGATATTCCAGACTTGACACCACCAACATCATTCAATGGAACTATCGAGAAGGAGAAGGCATTTACAACTTCATTGACAATCACGCGAGATATGCTTGACGAGGTGGGTTTGAGCCGTTTAGAGCATGTCACAGCGACAGTGAATATCGAGCATGAAAGACGCGGTGATTTGGAAATACTGCTAGAAAGCCCACATGGTGTTATCAGTCAATTGGGATCACCACGCCAGTTTGATAAGAGCGATGCTGGCTTGAAGGATTGGACATTTATGACTGTAAAGCATTGGGAAGAGGATCCTGTTGGCGAATGGACTTTGCGCATCGTAGATGGAAAACATCCTGAATATAAGGGCCAATTCATCGACTGGAAGCTGACTTTGTGGGGTGAAGCGAGGGAAGGCTTTCAAGCGAAACCAAAGCAGAAGGCAGATGACGACAGTGATAAACCAAATATCGGTGTCGATGATTTTGAACAAGATCAGCAAGAAACAGATGGTTCAGATGAGCACCAGAACAACCAGTCATTTATAGATCAGCAAGACACAGTAAAGGATCCAAACAAAGCATACGTGATTTACGGCGTTGTCTCTGTTTTTATGATTGCTAGTGTTGCAAGTACAGCATTTATTGTCAAAAAGTACATGCTGAGCACAACGCAATTGAGTTACACTAGGCCCACTGAAGAAGATGCCTTTGAATTTGACAATTTGTTAAATGATTCAAACAATGATGAGGATGAGGATGAACAACTTGATTTTGACGATGATAGTGTAGACGCATTTCAAGTAGATGATGACAATAGCAGCAATAGTCGGGCGTAGCTACCTTACCGTAATAAAGAGCTATTTTCTACTGCATACAAGTGTATTTATGCCTCGGGTGGCTCACTATCTTGTCTTCACTTCGGTGAGAACCAATCTGCGCAGCGGCAGCTCGTGCTACTGATTGCTCTTGCGTATCTTATCAAAATACTGCTACTTTCATTTTGATCCTCCACTTACACATAAAAACCCTTATATTATCTGTAGATCTGATTATTATGTGATGCTCTACATCCATATACACGTAGCAATTTCATATACGAGCAAGTATCATATAGATATTATCCCTTTTTAATCAAGAGTGACCCTGATACAGCAAAATCTGAGCGCATTTGAGCTGCGTTTTCTTGCGTTCAAGGCCGTTTTAGATGGTCAGAATAGCACCAAACAATTGCTCTCATCTGGCAGTTACTTTCTGACATATTTGCTCAACTTTTTGGGGATCAAAAAAACGGCCAAAAAGCATGAGGTACTCCTCATGGTTTTCATCGAAAATCAAACGATCGCGTTTTTGACCTTGAAAATGAAGACTTTTACTATGGTGTGTATGAAATCAAAATTTGAATAATATAAGCACGATGCTCTAACCAATGTATGAAATCAAAATGTTTCTATCAATCTAATGTATCCCCTGAAATCATCTTTGTGGGACCTTAATATGGAAAATCTCGACTTTTTGGCCAGAAACCTCTTTTTATATTTTCTTAAATTACTCAATAAGTTTATTCAAAACATCTATCTTACTTAGTACCGTCGGATGCGCCTTGAAAAGCATTCCAAGTAAGCTTAAGGGAGTACAGGGTTATCATCACAATTTATATAGTCAAATCCTGCAAAATAGATCAAACAAGTCATTTTGAGCGGAAAAATGTTCGGCGATTAAACCGGATTTGGCGGCTGTTTGTTGCCTGAAATGCCGTACTCATAGAGATAATCAATGCTTAAAAAGGGAATTGCGAATTAAAAAGCACTACAGCTTAGCCTGAATACTCTCTTTTGCATATGTTGCGTATTTCTATATCCGAAAGACTTGACCGTTACAAACTACTCTTGCGAATGTGAATTTCGTTTGCCGAATGCATAATTGCCACCTATTCAATTGCGCATGCTGTTACAAAAGCTTGTAAAAGCTCATTTTAGCCATCAACAGTAAAAAGAAAGAAATTAAACTATGAATCACTGCTCTTGACTCTTTGTCTTATTGCCAGACCTGGAATCATCCGAGTATTAGGATACGCCTTGCTATACACTGCATGATTTGGATAACTTATTTAGACCCTAGGCCACCATCCAGCAAGTAATAAAAACCAAGTTCGGGAATAGGCCAGATGACCCTATAGTCTCGACTACAGTAACAGTGAATCATGCAGTGAGCATCATTTTTGTGGTTGTTGTATATATTTGTTGCGCTGCTCAAGCTTGGCATCGATCGAGGAAGCCCATCAAGCTTTTTTGAGCTGTTTCTCAATTGCTGCTTAGTCTTCGATGCCCTGAAAACGTAATCGATGTCTAGTAGATTTCAAAAGAACGATTTTACTTACACAATAAACACTCGATCGTCGGCTCTGAATCTAAAGTGTACACACAGATTTTGATGTGAACATTGTGGTCCTAATCTTGCATCAACCCTATGTAATCAAAGCCTATAACAAGGCTTCTAAACCACGCATAAAATGAGGTCAATATGATTAATCATTCTATTAAATGGCGAACTTTATAGTGTGTTTAATATTTTAAATCCAATAAAAGTCGACGTTGTGAGAACAGACATGAGGATTCTTGTAGTACACGGTCGTACATATGCCATCTGGCACAAGTAACACGGATACAAATTACACTTCTTTGGGATGTGGAACTCTTTTCTTTTCTCTTTTTTTCCCCAGTCATTTCAGTATTTCATACCGTTAGATGTCAGCAGCAACGCTCCACCAGAAATATGGTCCAAGCTTTAGTAATAAATGTAGCGAAAGATCCACATCTACAGCATCGATCGGGGAGGCAGCAACAACAGCAGCATTGGCAGATTATTGTACTCCATTAAAAGATAATACAAAAGTACTAGCTGAAGATAGCGATCTGAAATTACTAAATGAGATTAACTCTTTCTCAACCTCTAATGGTAATAACAGCAATTACGACCTTTCTTATTATTTTGGTCAATCAATGTCGACAAGCACTACAAAGACTACAACAAATTTGTCTGATAATTTCCCAAATGTCATTTACAAAAGAGGCCGATCACTCTCGATCGACAGCATAATTTCGGTTAATCATCAACAACAACAGCAACAGCAGGCAATGCCACTAACACAGCCATTTGTGATATTGAGTGATGAGAACAAGACTCAAATTTATAAAAAGAAAACCGATAAAAGCAACAAAAAGGCTTTCCAGTTTTTTGGGGAACAAGTAAAACTGGAGATATCAGCCAAAGAAATTAGAAGAGAAGGACCACGGGCATTACTACATTCCACTGTACCACTAGCATATTTTTTATATCACCTATTGAATAAATACAGCAGTGAAAATCTGGTAAATATAAACGTAGAGTAGCCAATGTACAGAAAGCTCATAAACTCGCATCTAGTTTTTCTATTTAGCTGTCGATAATTATGAGCATTTCAATTTCTCAAGCTACAGCGAGCGATATCAAGTTGCCAACAAGATTTACAAAACGTATCTTACCCGGAATTCAGACGTTGAGGTGAACTTGGAGGATAGAATTTACCGGCAAGTGACCAATGCACTAAGTAGCCAATACACGACTACTGGCAAAGAGTTTGAAGCAGCAAAGAGGCACGTATTCTCACTCTTGAACGTGAGTTATCAGCAATTCAGAACAAGTTCAGTTTGGGATATCATGGAGTCCAAATGCAGTAAGTCATGTATTTGCCAAACGTATTGTATGATAACTTATCAGACAACAAAATTATTCAGGTGATCTCAAGTCATACAACCGTAGTAGGTCGCAGGCACTAGTTGTCAATCTACTGTTATCGCAAATCAAATGGAGAAATCGAGACTCTGCCACATTCAAACTTGTACATTCATTTTGTCGCATTTACCTACCATTCGGATATGATCACCGGCTGTTAGAAGAACCAACATCAACCCCCACATCATCTAGTAGCATAACAAATAGAAGGAGCAGAAGCAAGAGCACGAGTAACAGTTCAGAGAGCAAAAAGAATGGTGGATTTATCACTAGCAAATTTGATATTTTCAAACTATCTCGTAAATAAATCATCCTTTGTGCCTGAATTTATATGTGCCCAAGACTTTCAAGGTGCTCATCCTGATAGGGGTTATTCTCGAATGCAATCAATATACTGCGTGGTATCGTCACTCAGTTATTGCCTCATTCACTACATGAGCTACTATTTTGTTCAATAAAGTATATAATGCTACCTTGTAGTTTGGATGTTTTGAACAAGCGTATCAATAATAATAAAAAAAGCCTGTGCTTTATTGAATTCGCATTACGTGTGGATAAGAAAGAAGGCTTAAGTAATTGGCCATTGAGAGGGATTAGTTATTAAAGAGTGATATAGGTAGATATAGAGTAAATATGATAAATATATGTATGTTAATAAAGTTTTACGTAGCAATTAATTAAAGGTTGTAAACATAGTTCTTGTCTGCCTTGTCTGTCAGGTTGAGGTATACATCGGTAGGCTCATCTGTTCTTTCGGCCGCACGCTTCTTGTTGATACGGGCCAAAATCAGACGAACGAGTAAAAGACACGCCATATTGAGAAGGTTAGCTCCAAAGAGACCCCACATCGTGGGTGTATAAGAAGGCTTGGTGCTATCGACAAGCATAAGAGGACCAGCAAAGTTACCAATGGTGTATGCCAGCATGTTAGCACCATTGTAGAAGATCTTCTTTGAATACCCAGATACAGTTGATCCAATGATGGAGATGAGCATGACATAACCTAGTCAGCTTTAATCAGTACACAGCTTCAATTAATGTTGATAGTGAAAACTTACTTCCAGTTTGAGCCCAAGTGAAATAATAGCCAACAAGCTTCACACCAGTGTTGGGTAACACAGCTAGCAGCAAACAGCCTAAAGCAGAGACAGTGTAGCAAATAAGGGCAGTGTAGATAATTTGCTTTGATCTGCGATTGATGTAGACGGCAATAGCAATATAAATGACAGTAAAAGCGCCACTAGGGATTTGCAAAAGAATGGATTCATAGGCATCAAAACCAAGGCCATGGACCAGCACGGTACTGTAAGTAACCAAACCACCGTTTTGAAGATTATGTGAAAGTGAAGTAATGAAAAGAAGCCATAAGCGAGGTTCTCGGAGGGCTTCCCAATATTGACTAACTTTGACCTTTTGCTTGCGCACAACAGCGTTATCCTGAGTACGCAATTTAGTAATCTCTTTCTCCTCCTCTGTCAATTGCAAGACCCAGGATTCAGGACTATCGATCAAGAAGATGACGGTAATGATACCAATTACAACAGTGATGGTGCCCCAAATAACATAGCCCCTTTAATGGAAGAGAAACGTTAATGTTGTTTGTCAAGGATACGTGAGTGCCGTGTTTTGCTTACCATTGCCATGCAGTAATTCCATTTCGTGTGCCCATTTTGGCGATACCAACAGCGGCAGCAGAGCCAACACAGCTGCCGAGGCCATTACTCAAATACAGGAAACCAAAACAAGCAGACTGCTCGCTACGGCGATACAATGTGTTGAATATCATGATTAATGCGGGATAGGTACCCGCTTCAAAGACGCCAAGAAGAACACGCAAAACCGCCAACTGAGCAAAGTTTTTACCAAAGGCAGTAGCAATAGTGATAGCGCCCCAAATAATTAAAAGAGTACCGAGATATTTGCCAATTGGAAACTTTTGAAGAAGGTACGTGTTGGGCAATTGCCATACAAAATAACCCAAGTAGAAAAGAGCACCCAACCAACTGTATTGATCCATTGTCATCTTTGTATCTTGAATGATACCTAAAACGGCAGCAACACTCAAGGCAGCTTTATCGACAAACTAGAGTACGGTCAGAATGCGTGTACTGAATAAAATCTTGAGAAATGTACCTGAAGGAAGATGATCAAACCGGCAAGTGGCAATAATCTTGTATTCAGCTTTCTAACCAAGCGTTTCTCTGCATCAGACTTGACAAACGAAACATTGGTTACTTCAATGCGATCATTTTGGCCTTTTTCCTCGAATGAAGAGGATGTTGTGCTGGATTTTTCTATTTTTTCACTCATTTTAAGTTTGAGCGTATCGCTAGAATAGGGAAGAAAAGGGGAAACATGTCAAAATGCACTGTATTTATATGGAGAAAAACTTGAGAGTTTGTTTCGCACGAAATATCAGTTTGTCATTATTTTTGTCTTGAGAATAAATCCAGAAAAATAAATAAAAATGTATATATGTGTAAAGCAATGAAAACAGGATTTCTGGTACGAGTTTGCATTCACAAAAAAAAAAACTGTCATTTTGTTTGAGGAAAAAACACACACGCACATCTTTCTCATGATTTGGTATATACATGGTCAGAGTTGCACAAGTTGAATGAAAATAATGCTTGATTTGGGAACTTATTGGCCTTCTTGATTTGTTCTCACCCGATTGCAAAAACTTGGATCAGAGTTACATGCCGTACTAGCACTACAAAGTGCTGGTGCATGCCAATAAATTTTGCAATGGTTATCAAACATACTGGGATGATGCGACATATACAAACGACTACGATATTTGACTCATTATAATCGCCTTAGAAACCCTTCATCTGATTGTTGCTGTGGAACATTGTACAGACTAACAATTCCATGAAAGAATGAAAGGAGGGATATGATATTTACTTGGTCATTTTCTTTCTGATACATGATTCACATACGCATTTAGCGCTATGAAAAGCATCATGATGCACACAGTATATAGATGCGAATGCATTACGCACCGCCATAGATAGCCACTACAGTAATATTAATCAAAGCGATGGTGTGCGCATTGACATTATCAGTAATGCCTTCTCGTACTAGGGAAACCTAATCCATTAAAAATATACTTGCTAAATTTACTAATGTCTTAGCAACCAACACTCTTTTCCTATTTAACACACATTAGATGGACACAGATTTGCTTTTATTCTTAATGTCTGTATACAACAATGTTATACTGGGCTTACAAGCTTTTAACGCAAATAATTACGATACAAGGCATCTTTGAAGCAAATGCTACTTCGACACTGCATATCGCCTCTCAGTATCCGTATACAATAAAAATGAGAAGAATGGTAGGAACCGAAATCCTAAAGCGCGGAATCATCGACTGTTGTACAATACTATGCTGTTTGCTGTTTGCATAAAACTCACAGCGTCTTGGCTGAAAGTGTTACACCATCTATTATATGGCTCAGTTGAACAAAACGCTAACAGGAACGTCCTTGATTTAGAGACGCCTTGCAATTCAAGTCAAGAAAAATGGCACCTAATGACTGGATCAGAATCCAACGCAAACTATTACTTGTGGAGCACATGATTGCATTGTTGCAAATATTTCCTAGTTGAGCAATTTCTCCATGGGTGTCTCGCCGATTCACTGCTCATTTGCCCTTTTGCAACCTTCTATTCTCGACATCTTGTGTTTAGTTATTGAATCATTTCAGTCAACATCATGAAACATATGAAAACGCATGTGTATTTATGAAAAAGGGGGGGGGGATTTAGTGTGGCATTTATTTTTTGTCGTATTACACACGCTTTATCAACATTAGCTGGAATACCGAATTGTACTACAGTTAGTGCAAATATCTGGGGTACATTCTTCCTATTTGGTTTCTTCTGTCCTCTTTCCTGTATTTTTCTCTTGCCCATTTTTTACAGCGTATCAATAATTGGTATTAATAATTCAGAATTTTCAAGACGGGTGCTATGATTTATAAATACATGACATGACTAAACGTTTATGGACGAGCTTCGTAACAATCAGTGACCCGTTGAGACGAATTGTCATAAAGCAACTACCAAAAGTAGCTCAATTGCAATCACTTGCCTCTGAAATACGAGATACTTACAGTAAACAGCATTAGTAACGGCATCTACTTGAGAGTTTATGGCATTAGCATGAGAAACCAGCGATACCCTAACTCAGTGGCTAACAAAAGATCGCTTAAAGCTCATTACTGCCGACATAGGAGCAAACTGTACAGTAGCATCCGTTTCTATTTGATACATTTGACTTGTTCTACATACACAGATGAAGCATGGCAGTACTACCATTATATTGTTGGTGAGTCACACAAAACAATACCAATTGATATAAGCTACTGAAGCCCCTGAAAACAACTTTATATCCAATTGATGCTTCGGTAAGCATTGCCAAGTTTTCTCCAACCGAAATCATAGGCTGTTCTCCTGCCATTACACCTCATAGAATTAAGAAACCTTTTCTTCCAGGTCAGATTGAGAGCAATGATGGCAGCGATGTATAACTCAAGTAGACTAGCAGCATTGAATGTTGCATTAATACCCAAGATGAAGTGCTTTATACTCAGTCTCTTAAGGAGTGTAGATTTGCTTAACCTTCAAATACATGCACATTACCAGGGGATCAAAATCTAATGAATAGAGAAGATGCTTGGTTGAGTAGTTGGCAGTTGTACAGCTTATAGCGTCGAAACACTGTTGTTTTTATAGCCTTTTTGACAACCAATGTAACCACTGAAAGTCCCTTTATACGTTTAACAACCCCTCAAAATGGGCATATAATCCCCATGATAAAATGCCTTCTTTAGTATCAACATAGGGCGTGAAAAAGCTGTTCTCCCTTCTTGGTAATGAGGTACGCGGCAGAGCTTAGAAGCTTTGCCAAGCCACAATAGAGCAGTATAAGGTATTCTCAACAAACAGTAGTTTCCAATATAATGTTTCCCAACATCGCATCCATCATTAGTCTATTACTTGTTGTAGTCACTTGTAATTAACAGGCTCTCTTATCAAGGTCATGGTTTAACATTGGCTTATGTTAAAAACTATCCGTTTCTGAACAATAACTACCCTTTCAGTCTAAAATCCTGTTACACTACCGTTTTTATCGCAAATCTTTGTCATAGGAGCATGCTACTTTCAAAGCGAATTTCAGTCCGAAATTCAAAGAGAAATCAAAAGAGAAATAAAAACCGAATAGAGAAAGGCCCTAGTCATCCGTCTGTTACAATTCCAATTGTTGACAAGTCATACTGCACTGTCTTGGAGATGCGATTCGAGTCATTGAAGACTGAAATGCGAGTGATTGACAGCTTAACGAATCAGGTACAAATTGACATTGCACTCTTTACGCAGTAAAAAACTTCTCTAGCATCATTTATGGATGAGCCCTCTAAAGAAACAAGACAATCACTCTTCAACATGTAATGAGTAACAGGTAAAGAGATATAAATAACTTGCCTATCAAAGTAGCTCAAAAAACTTTGTTGAGTTGGCACTTGTAGAGATAATAGAGATGAAAAGCTAATAATGTAAAGAGAAGACGATCCACGAAGAAGACGTAAACATTAGCATAAAAGGAAACAATGATTTCGACTTTGTAGATTTGTTATAAGCATTTAAACTACACCAAGCAAATGTCAGCTTAATTGCCATGCATAGTCATATCAGTGATAATAAAATGCTCTGATATTTACAAATGTGCCTCTTGTGTTAAAGATTTTGACTCGCTGCATCTTCTTGTTTTCGATTTTGGCGATGTTGCGGTGGATACATAGTAGGCTTTCTCGCAGTTACTTTGCTTGTCTTTGAACATTTGACGAAAGCTTGTCAATTACCAACGAACAACTTTATACATGTATCAGGCCTAAATAATTATTGACTCACGCTGTTTATGAATCGCAAGTTTTGTCGAGAAAGTCCTCATCTTTGAATACTTCGACCATATAGTAGCTGAACAGCCGACTATAGCTAGTCATGCTCTAGTTGATTTGTGATCTAGCCATTAATATCTTGGTCATTTCTGAATTGCATTGGGTTACGATCTTTGCATATAATCTACATAGCACCACTTACAATAATTATATTATAAGTTATAATACTGGTAGTTTATGGAAACATTGACCAAGAAGGCGCCTTCAGCCTGTAAATCAGCACATTTACGCACCAATTGGTACCTTGAACCCTCGTAGACATTGACTGGATACTGTACAAATCAAAATGGCTTGGGAATGCCCTCAATAAAACCCATCATATCTTCCGGTATAGTTTGAATACTTCGATGACATGCAATTCTTTGAATATTGAGAACAACAACGATGGTTATGAGCATTGGAGTTACATGCAATCTCCAAGCAAAAGATCTGATTGTTGGATTCTGAGGTTGAATAAACTTGATGTCACCCAGCTACATGGAAAGTCGCGTTGAATGCTGTCCACCACTGGCTGTATTGGGTTTATTTGATATCTTTCAAGACGAGATCCGAATGAGGGGTCTTTTCTTTTACACTTCCTTTGCCTTTTATATAACCCCAACATGCCACCCAATTCAGGTGTGAGACAAAGAAACAGCCTAAATGATATCAAATCACTTCGAGCTCAATACAGACAAGCATTGCCTTCCTTAACTGAACTATTTCCAGATTGGAGTCATAATGATTTGCTGTTTGTAATGGACGAATGCCAAGGCGATTTGGATCTTGCCATCACACGTATTTCAGAAGGCCATGCAAATCAATGGGGTCAAGTCAAGTCGAAGAAACCAAAGCCCAAGCCATCATCAGCACAGTTGAATCATAAAAAGTCAAATCATAAATCATCATCCAACAACACCACTCCAACATCAACAGCAAATGCTTTGGCCGATGGTAAAGGTAACAAAACGCCTTCGAACTCAATAGACAGCTTATTAACCATATTTGACATCATATTAGCGCTTGGAAATAACAGCAAATCCAAGAACAATGGAAAGCATCGTATGTCAATTATAAAGCATGCAACGATGCATAAACAACTCATCATTACGATATCAAATAGATAAATCAAAGAGAAATAACAGCAAAAAAGACAAGGTCGAAAAGGAAGTTGTGGAGAAAGAAGAGGATGAGGAGGAAAAAAAGCCTTCGTGGGCAAGCATTGCAAAAGGGCCAACAAAACCTGAAGTAATGGTTCAACCCATGGAGGATTCGCCTTCTGAGGCCCCACCCATCTTAACGGCACGAGAAGAAAAAAAGGTAGAAGTTGATAATACAATGGTCAAACAACTAGTAGATCATATTCAGGAGGAAGTAGTCGAGCAAGTATTGGAACAAATTACAGACAAAGCAATCGAACAGGCAGTGGATCAGTTGAATACACATGAGCCAGAAACTTTAGCAGCGATTGTTGAGGAAGAGCCTAACGCAGAGCCAGTGGTAATTGCAGAGCCAGTGGTACTTGCAGAGCCAGTGGTGGTATCAAATACAACTACTACTACTACTACTACTATCCGAAAGCCTACTATCAGACGATTGAAACAGACAGAGCCAGTGATTTTGCCCAACAATCAACAAGCAGACTTACCATCTGTCAATGTGCAATTTGGTAGTCTAAATTTAGCGAATGGAGAAGAGATGAGTAGAGATGAGAACGAAGAGGCCGTGGAAGAAACAGCCATTATCGAAAATATTGCCAAACAAGCACCGCAACCGCTGGAAGAGATTACTGTGGATGTAACACCTTCCCCATCACCAGCACCTACCATAGCACAAATTTCGGAGCAAGCTAAACCCAAAGAAACACCAATCGTAGCTACTGCTGCTACTGCTGCTACAAATACAACAACATCATCAGTAGTGTCTAATGGCTTGGCGTCTTTTCATAATATTGATAAGCCTCTTCCTGAACCATTCCATCCTCAACAACAACCTGCACACATTCAGCCACAGCAACAACAAGCTGTTCAGCCTCAACCTACCCAACCACATGTATATACCGAACCTTATTCCATGAATCCATATGCAACCTACGTTGCTAATATACATAATTCGGTCGCAGGATACTCTGGCGGTATACCGCCAGACTACTACAGTGCTGATCCCCAGAGAATGGTATGCATATAGATACAGGCTTACATTTCGATTCGAAAGATTGACATTGACCCATAATTAGGCTTATTATGACACTTCTTTTTATGGTCATTCTCCTCTAATGAATGGTGGTGCAAATGGACATTTATTTGCTCGTGATAGATACAATACATTACCACCACATCCACCAATGGAAATGATGAACCAAACACCTCCTCCTCCTCCTCCACATTTAGCACAGCAATATCCTCACCCACACTCTCATCCAGCACATCATGCTCCTCCTCCTCCACCACCCGTACCACAAGCTCAAAACCATGGATATTATCCATTATCCTACCAGCAACAACAGCAACAGCAACAAACACAACCTCCACCTCAACAGCCTTATGTAAATAAATCAATGTACAATGCTGCTATACCCATCAATAAATACGACTATAGTGCTTATGAAGACTATTATCATCAACAGCAACAGCTACAGCAACAACAACAACAACAACAACAAAATCACGACATAATGTACACTAGCAACAATCATCCAGCACCTTCTGCTCCTCGAGCTCACCCTCCATTCCAGCAACTGTACCAACCACAACAACCACAACCCCCTCGACAACCCTACTGGCATTAGGATTATTATTTGATTAGATATGGGGGTGGCAAGTTGCCGTCTTTTTATTCTGTCCGTATTAGCAATTATGCCCGGCTCTAGTCAATCATGCCGTCTTTCATATCTTCTTAACCTGCCACCTTTTTTAAAAAAAAATGGAATTGTTGTTATTGGAACATAGAATATAACACAATTTCAACTTTTTGAAAATCCTTCAGATTCCAATTCATAAATAATATATTAAATCATAACTTTTATCTGCATGGCAGTGCTTATCAGAGAGTAATCCTTAAATCTTGTACTCCTAAGCGGATGAAACTTTGTATGTGACATGTGTCATTTCAGCACGAATTCACTAGCTTTTCTACAATTCTCGATGCCTCGCAAAATTTGGATGCATTCAAGTCGTACTTTCTCGTGTTATAAGCCGTTTTAGACTGCCAAAATAGCGCCAAATCATTACTTTCTTCTAGCACTTACTTTCTAACACCTTTGTTCCATTATTTTGAGACCTAAAAAAACATGGCCAAAAATCGATCAAAAACCATGAGGGGCACCTCATGGTTTTCATCAGAAATCAAACAATCGCATTTTTCACCTTGAAAACGAAGACTTTTACTATGGTATATATTGAATCAAAATGTTTCTTTCACTTCAAAGCAGCTCCTGAAACTTTGTTTGCGAGACATTTGTACACAAAATCTCGACATTTTAACCAAAAACCTCAATTCGAATTTTCTGATGGTGCTCAATAATTTCAGTCAAAAACCTATTTGTGATCGCCACTATTAGATGCGCCTCGAAAAGTGCTCCAAAAAAGCATAAGGGGGGCATAAGATGATCATCACAATTTATATAGTCGAATCTTGCAAAATAGATCATTTGAGTCCAATTTAGCAAAATTTGGCCAATTTGGAACAAAAGTGTAGCAAGTGTTTAAATTGTTTCTTTGGCGGCTGTCAAGATTAACAGTGATACTCATACCATGAAGACAATCAATGTTTGTGAAGCCAATATGATAACGATTGAGAACTGATACGCACTGTAGCTTAGACTGGCTACTTTTTCGTTGTCTCTAACGTTCGCCTTTATACTTGGTGGATTTATTCGCTATATTTGGCCGTCCAGAAGGCAATTTACGTTGCGAAATGCAAAATTGCCCACCTTATTCAAGTTTCCATAATTTGAATGTGTGCCTTGTTAACATCTACGTGTTTATTTTATATATGTTTATTTAAAGCAACCTTAAACCATACACTAATGCTAGGCTTGCTTTAATTGTGTTCATTCACTTGATCATGGCGTAGAACGACGGGCATAGCGGCTCTTGCATTTTGTCTAACCGAAGGGGTTGATAAACCACCTTTCTCCATGACACCTGAGAACTGCATGTTTTTCAGTGGAGGAAGTCTCTTCAATTACATTCTATCCGATGTATCCAATTCATGCTCTGAATCCGATCAAGTGATTTAACTATTTTAGAGATCAAAGGTTGAGTTCACCCATTTTGCACCCAAAAAGAAAAAGGGGATTGGAGATAAAGGCTTTATGATGATATGCGGGCTCAATGAATAACCTGACATCGAGAGGTATGCTTTTCCAGAAAGTAATAATGGAATATATACCGCTCACAAATATAAATAATACATATCTTGAAATGACCATTGACATAGATTCAACGGTGGTATACGTACTGCCTATCTCACTCAGTTCTTACTTAGATTCACTAAAATTTGAATATGACAGTATGTTTTCTGAAGTAACCTATTCATTTTGTATTTTCTTAAAGAACACTCTGATCTACCGTACACCACTACTAGATTTATCTATGATATTGGCTCAGAACGTCTGTCATATACACAGCACAATACTGCCAGTAATCAGGTGTATCTACCTTTAACCCACACAAATGTTTCTGATATGCAAATCCAATCATCGCAAAAAGAGGGCTGATGTGGATGTTCTGAACTTGATTTCTTTACATACATAGTGATGTTACCTTTGCAAAGCCTTTCTACACCCCCTTTTTGTGGTTTTTGCCAGTTGAAGTTGCCCAAACGTTATCGTTTCATCACTCAATGTACCTCTTCTTGGTAGAGTTATCCGACATTTGCAGTCAGTAAAATCGTATCTAGTCTGAAATAAAAGTGCACATCAGATTTATATATATTGCAATCAAGTCCAGGCCCCTCTTTTTTATGTAATTTTTCCTACATGCGATGTCTTTGGCAGTAGTACTGTCGTTAGGGAGTAGCCCATTAGGAGATTTCAGATATGAGAAGCGAGAGTACACCAACAATAAAGTTTAATCCATATCTCTCTTTCTCAAGTCATACAAAAATCCAAATATAAAAAGGGCCATTTGGAGGGGCTAAATTTAGATTTCAAAAAATATCCTCTTTTTTTCCTCTTTCTATCACTTTATATATATATATATATATATGTTGATGCTCAAGGAAGAAATCTGGAGACCACTGCTAATTGCGCTGGTAGCAAGCATGACACAGGCATTCGGTATCTCATTGCAAAGAAAGTCGCATCTCGTCATCGATTCAACTATACCACTGTACAAAAGACCTATGTGGGTATCTGGTTTTCTGGTTTACACAATATCAAATTTAATAGGATCGACATGCACAATAGGCTATTTACCTATAGTGATACTGGCTCCCATCGGTGCCATTGGTCTTGTATTCAACGCTCTGTTTGCAAAGTGTATTCTGGGTGATCCGTTTACCAAGCGAACTGTTTTCGGCACTGGATTGATCGTTTTGGGGGCTGCACTCGTCGCTGGATTCGGTACTGTACCAGAGCCTCAACACACACTCAAGGACCTGATTGCTCTGTATAAGCGACCTTCATTCATTATTTACTTTTCGCTGGTGGAGGTGTTCACTTGTATTGGCTTGTTCTCGACTCATGTGATTGAATATTTGATGAAAGTAAGACCGAATCATTGGACACATCCCGATTTGAAAATGTGGTTGGGCATTAGTTACGGTGTGTTTGGAGCCAATATCAGCAGCCAAGCCATGTTGTTTGCCAAAAGCGGCTTGGAGCTGTTGATCTTGACAGTATTTCAGCACGACAATCAGTTCATCTATCCTCTGACTTGGGTAATCGTGTTTGCATTGGTTTTCACGGCTGTATTACAGGTAATCAAATTAACATGTGGGTTTTCCTAGTTTTATATTAACCATTTTCTGCAGTTGTATTATTTAAATCGTGGTGTTCAATTGTGTGATACCATCATTTTGGTGCCCCTCAACTTTTGCTCTTTCAACGTGTCCTGCTTGTTTAACGGCTTGGTGTATTACAATCAATGGGAGAGACTATTTTACTGGCAAGTATTGGCCGTGCTTTTCGGCATTGTGCTGTTGGTGTATGGCGTCTTGGTGATATCATTGCAGCCTTCATCTTCAACATCGACATCCAGCGATTCAAATTCGACGTTGAGCATCACACCATCTGACTATTCACAGCCTTTTCTCAAGACAGATTCACTAGATGAGGAGGATGGCATATGCGGAACGACGTGGTGGACTCGAATGAAGTTGATCTATAAAAAGTCAGATTATCAAAAACCACATACCAGTGAACCTGATGAGCACACAGGTTTATTAACCTCAATTTAAAACAAAAAAAAATACATATATACCAAATTGTACATAAACTCATATATCATACAATAAACGTTTACAAGACATTCAATCCAGAGAAGCAGTTTTAAGTAGTGTTGCATAGAAACTCATTGGGCGTGAAACATTCGTAGGTTGCAAGCTGGTTGAGTGCTGTAATATGCAAAATATGTTGATCTGATACCATGTGCGTGATACAAGGAACAGGATCATGGCAGAGGCCTGGTGCTAGGAGAAATTTTCAAGTATGGGACCAAACACCCTACTCGGACCATTCAATGCAAATAAACAAATTATTCAACTTTAATTAAATAGTTTTTACGTTCGAAAATATACAAGTAGAAATGATATCATGGATCGTTTGATTGAGTCTGTGTAACTACCGTAGTTGGGTGATATGATGAAATATATAATGTAAATATGTACATTTAATTAGCCATGATGACATTAGAAGATGATGGCAGTGGTGAAGGTGTTGTTGACCACCAATTTTCGGCATGTTGAGTGTATCTTTTGCTGTTTTCTGAATCGAGTGCCAAGGCATACATCAAGGTTTCCTGAGACCAGCTCATTTGAATAGTATCGTCTGCACAACATGTCAGAATACAAGGCCAAATGTCGGCTGTTAGGGAGAGTTTCCTTACCTTGTTCTTCATTAAGAGATGCAATCAGTGTATGCTTCTCTGGTGTTTCTTGGTAATTGCTCAGACAGCAATGCACTGTATTTGATCGTCGTGCAGTTGATGGATGTGTATGCTGATTTAATGATTTTTTGATGCGTCGTAATAATGGGCCAATGTTAGAGACAAAACTCGACGGTCTCTTTCGTTTGTAACTGCTTAGATTCAAGCTGATGGATGTGGATAGTGTTAGTTTGCTGAGCATCATTTTGAAAGAGTGATGTAAGAGAGAGAAATAAGAAGAAATTCAAGTATCCCTTGAGAAGTTGTTTGTTTATATATGGGTAAATAGACTTGTAGTCTAGAATTCAAGCCATTTATGATCTAAATCATTTTAATATCACACTTTAGACTCCTCTTCCTCTTCACTTGAGCTTGATCCTCTCTATGTTTGTACTATAAAAATAAGGATAGCAGGATAAAGACTAATCTACAACTAGCAACAGAAATAGACACTGAAATATGTAGGCACATTTTTTGAACAATTTAAACAATTAAATGTAATTTTAGATGGACTCTCAAGGAGCTTTTTCATCTCCCACTCCTTGAAGTCTGTATACTCAAATGTAATCGGATCTCCGGCTTTCATTTAGTCAGCATGTGGAGATATTTATATATTCATAGCAAATTCTACCATCATCAGTGGCGGGAGTTTGGAGCATCAAGACGATCAAGAGGTGTCAAGTCAGGGTCATACCACCCAATTAGCGCCATTATAAATAGATTTTGTAGGCCACCATTGCCGAATATCCTGCTGCACATGTCTGCGATATGCACTTGCGTAGAAGGTATATATTACGACAGCAAGAGTGGCCCTGATGTCAATGCCAATCTCGCATATCGTACAGCACATGGACAAGGCATAGCATACAAAATGCAATGCACACCCTCGCGGCCAAGTTTCTGATCCAGGTGCATGTAAGCCGTGTATCACGCAGAATCTGGATTTTCCCCACAATGCTAAAATCCCAAATCTTTTCAGTTATCAGTTTTTTATTATTAGAACAAGTGTTTACGCTTTGGATGGCTCTCTACCTTCGCTTTGCTTCGGTGAGAACCAACCTGCGCAGCAGCAGCTCGCGCTATCGATTGCCCTTGCGTATCTTGTCAAAATACTGCTACTTTCATGTTGACCCTCTACTTACACATAAAAACTCTTCATATTGTCTGTGGATCTGATTCTTATGTGATGACCTACATCCATATACGCGTAGCTATTTCATATACGGGTAAGCAGCATAGAGATATTATCCCTTTTTAGTCAAAAGTGTGTCTAATACAGCAAAATCTGGGTGCATTTGAGCTGCGTTTTCTCGCGTTCAAGATCGTTTTAGATCGTCAGAATAGCACCAAACAGTTGCTCTCATTTGGCACTTACTTCCTAATACTTTTGCTCAACTTTTTGGGGATCAAAAAAAACATGGACAAAAATTGACCCAAAAGCATGAGGGGTACCTCATGGTTTTGATCGAAAATCAAACGATTGCATTTTTTTACCTTGATAACGAAGACTTTTACTATGGTATGAATTGAATCAAAATGTTTCTCTCGATCCAAAGCAACCTCTGAAACCAATTTTACCAGGTCTTCATATGCAAAATTTCGACATTTTGACCAGAAACCTCTTTTCATATTTTCGCAAATTATTCAATAAGTTTATTCAAAACATATATCTTACTTGGCACCATTGGATGCGCCTTGAAAAGTACTCCAGGAAGGCTTAAGGAAGCATGGGGTGGTCATGATGTGTTACTTAGTCAAATCTGCTAGAATAGTTCAATCGAGTCGAAAAAGCTCCAGATTTGGCCAATCTGGAACAGACCGTGATTCTGGGCTTAAATTAATCTTGGCTGGTGGGCTGGTTAATCATATATGAGCCAGGCTTGACAGATGCCAGGCAACTCAGTTTCCATATTAGGGCTGTAAAAGTGTTGAGGGATTGAACATTTATTATAATATAAGTGGGTTCTTTACAAGCTTAGGCAACTATATTCTTAGAGTAATATTTTTTTAACATAAGGACTTTAAGGGATTATTTTGTTGGCTTAGCAGCTTTTCTAACATTTGATGCATTGCGATGATCACGAAAAAAGTATTTCGATCTTTTGATTTCCTTGATGGGAGAAGATTCTCTATTTGCATGATTGCCTACAATAAACGAATGTCTTGCGCTGTTGTCGGGTGTGCTTGTGCGGACGATAGCGTCTCGAAAACTGAAACCAGCATCAGAGGGGCCGTTAGTGTCAAGTACAGGAGACTGTCGTCGTGGTTGATTATTAGAGCTATTGCATTGCATTGGGCCCAAGTTACTCAGTAATTTAGAGCTGCATCGATGCGCAGGCTCTTTTTCTGAATTATCTACGATGTCGCTTTTACACTTTTTATCCAAAGAAGCTTTGTTTGCTTGAGATCCTGATCCAGGTACCGTATGCTCTTTAGTGCTTTTGTCATGGTTGTCATCATGGAGGTTTGCAGTAGGTGTATCGATTGAGCTACTCTTGGTGTGGGTGCGAACAGTAGACTGAGGTTTGTCTCCAGAGGCATTCTCGCTTAGCACATCCTTCAACAAATGTATACACAAGCGTAAATGAATAAACTACCTTGGTATCCATTAGTAAAAATGCACCTACCTTGAAGGCCGCCATATCATCGTCGCTACCGTATAGTAGCCATGAAGAGAAATCCTTGCCGTCGAGGTCGTCCTCAAACATGAAAGGTTTATCATTGCCAGACAGATCATGCTTTGAACTACCGAGTCTCTCATTGATGTGATCTTCGCTGTTGAAGGCACTGCCAGTGATTCTTTGTATCTCTTCTGATTCGATCAATTCAAGCTTGTTAAGTTGCACTTGGTGGTGGTGGAGGGGTACATCTTCACCCATGAGAAGCTGCTCGTGTCTGGCTTGTTCGGTCTCTTGCTCGCTGTTTCTTCCTCCTTCTAATGCACAAGCGTTGTGATCTATTACTGAACTGAATGTAGGCTGCTGGGCATTAAGTTGCATCACAACATTGACTAGAAATGCTTCATCGACTTGTCTGACTGATCTGCACAATGCTTGCACAAAACCAGAGCTGTAGCTGGAATCCACACTAGGAGGAATGGTTGTTTGAGGGTCGTTTGCCGATAACTGATTGTAAATGATGCATTCTCTGTACGGCTCTCCCGAGAAACTCGCATAAACAGGACACTCTTCGAGATCAGGATCCTGACTGATGCTCCAGTCGTTTGTCATGTACTCTTCATCGGTCGCATTGAGAAAGTATGCTTCTTCAGAAACGTTCATGTAGCCCTCGTCAAACTGATTCAAGTCAATGGAATCATCCACATCAGACTGAAGTGCATTGAGAGATCCATCTTGTTCAGAAGGGAGAGACATAATGTGAAATCTAGTGTATGAATATAAAAAGAAAAGGGGCGAAAAAGAAAAAAAAAAAAAAAAAAAAAAAAAAAAGAGCATCTCAAAATGCAATTATGTATGTAATTTTTTTAATGTGGTTTTTGTTCAATATTCATAATACAAAGGAGAGAAAAGAGAGAGTTAAAATCTATATACGTAAATCTTTTGGCGATAAAGCAGCTTATCGTCTTGGTCTAGGCTTGACCACGAATTGATTAGGTGTCTTTCTGGTCTTACCACCCTTTGCCAATACACCCCAAGGAGATCTAGGGTCTTTGTTACCCTTTGATTTACCTCTACCACCACCGTGAGGATGGTCGCAAGCATTCATAGCCATACCACGAACTGTGGGACGAATACCAAGCCATCTTGATCTACCAGCCTTACCAAGCATTTCATGCTGATGATCAGGGTTACTGACAGCACCAATAGTAGCACATGCATCCACAGGTACTAAACGAACTTCACCGCTGGACAAACGAACTTGAGCGTAACCAGTTTCTCCAGTTTGGATCAATTGAGCATAAGCACCAGCTGCTCTTGCCATGACTGCAGGTCCATTGCGCTTCAAACCAATGTTGTGCAAAATGGTGCCGACCGGAATCATCTTCAAAGGCATACAATTACCAGCATCCACTGCGACTGTACGAGTGATCACAGGATCCTCGGGGCTCTGCTCTTCTTGTTGTTGTTGTCTGTAAGATGTCACTTTGTCGCCAGCTTTGATGCCGTGAGGAGCGATGATGTAGCTCAGTTTTCCAGTAGTGTCATTCTTTAATAAGGCGATCCATGCAGTACGTCCAGGGTCATGTTCGAGTCGCATCACAGTTTGTGAGCCTGCTTCTTGACGGTGCCAATCCAACACACGAATACGTCTCTTGTGTCCTCCACCGCGGTGACGGATAGTGATGCGACCTGTGTTGTTACGACCACCAGAGCTGCGTTTAGCCACAGTCAAACTACGAACTGCTTTACCCTTGTAGAGATGATCACGAGGCACACGCTTCAACCAACGTTTACCAGGTGTTGTGGGCTTCTTTGTCTTGAATTGGCTAGAAGGTGAAGCGGAAGACTTGATGCTGTTCATGGCATTGCCTTGTGTATTGAAACCTGTCAAAAAGCTAGGACTTTCCACAGGGGGTTTGTTGCTGCTAGTGTAAGTGCGCATTTGACTGAAGCGAGAGATCAATGAAGCCATGCTGTTGTTGGTAGGTTGGTATACTTTTGCACCAAACACAGTAGGTGCCTTACTGGTGGCATGTTGCAAAACTCTTCCTAAACGAAACATTTACGCAAAAAAAAGGGTGTTGAAGAGAAGAGATGCTTCCAGTTTTGTCCTCCAATGTTCACCCCCCACTCTGTGTGTTTTTTAGACAGGCCCCTTCCCTTCAAAATGGTGTGAATACATTGCTCCAGACGGTCACTTACACAGTCACCAGCATTCATGAACAAAGTGAGCTGCAGTCCTTGACCTATCTATGGATCCAGCTAAAAAGAGGCATATTTGAGCCATTGTAGATGCTGGACAATATGATGAATGCCTGTCTATTTGAATTATTTGAAAGCAAAATGCGTAGAGTGGTGAAAATGCCATGAAGATTTTTCACAAATGTCAAAGAGATGTGTGATTGGAGCTCCTCCCTTATTTATACCACAATTGGTGCCTGACAGCTGGATTTCATGCGTTTGTAATCTACTAGACATGACGAGAATATGAGTTTAGATGACTTTCTTGATGTTGATTTGAGCAATAAACATTCGAGTCATCAGAGCGACCAAGCATACTTACTGGGCAAGGATTTCTTGCTAAGCAATTAGCAATCACTTGGAAATTTATATAAAAACTTGACAATGATAGCCTAATAGCTTAAGCCCACGTTTTCTTGGAATAGATATTTCGTGGAAACGAAATTCTTTCAGGTGCTGTCATGCAGCTTTTCATGTAAATGAAGCCCTTGAATACAATGATACCTCAAGATCAAGCTTAATACTCCCAAGTGCTTACATGTATGCGTCCAATACAATATCCAGTCTCTAGAGGAGATATCTGTAAAAAAAATATAAACGCTTAGTTTATTGATAATAAATGCTCTTGTATAAACCTTTGCTCTGAATCATTTCTATACGGGTACATTACCAATGCAGTCTACTGGAATTTTACTGTTTAACAGTTAGCCATCAAATGAGAACCTTTCCTGAACAGTCTGTAACGGTGGATCTGATTCCCTGCAACACTTCGTAAGTGTATCGACAGGGACAGTTGTTCAATGGCGTATGGAACACTTGCACTAACTCTTTTGACATGAAAATTAGCAAAACCCAGTGAGTATTGTATTCATTCGGGCAGAAAATTCTCGCGTTGGAAGCCGTTTCAGACCACCAGAATAGCGCCGAATAATTGCTTTTATCTAACGCTTATTTTCTTACATCCTTGCTCAGCTTTTTTGGGACCAAAAAATCATCATCAAAAATCGACCAAAAAGCATGAGGTACCCCTCATGGTTTTCATCAAAAATCAAACGATCACGTTTTTGACCCCAAAAATGAAGACTTTCATTAAGGTATTTATTAGATCAAAATGATGCTACCGATCCAAAGCAGCCCCTGAATTCACTTTGGTGAGGTTTTGGTATGCAAAATATCAACATATTCGCTAAAAATCTCATTTCACATTTACTGATTTTGCTCAATAAATTTATTCAAAACGCCTCTTATAATTAGCACCATTATATGCGCTTTGAAGAGCACTTCAAGAAAGCCTATGGAAGTACGGGATGATCATCACATCTTACAGAGTCGAATCTGACAAAATAGTTTAAACAAGTCGAAACTAAACGCGTTTTGACCAATCTGTGTTGAAAATGATAGTCGACATTTCAATTATTTTTGCCTGTCGAAAATGTTTCTCATAAAGATAAACGATAATTTATTCAAAAAGGGAGTCGCAAACAGAAGAGCACGATAGATTAGCCCTGACTACTTTTTTTCTGTTTGTGTTGCACATTTTTTACAAAAAAAAAAAACCGAGATTTAAGGGCCATGTATGAGAATTATACGAGATGCAAAATTGTCCAACGTAGTAATCAAAACTCCATTATTTCGAGCCTCTAATTCAATCTAAATATAATGGCAGTAATCATTGGTGCCATGTCGATTGCTCAATCATGAAGCGATATTGTACATGAAAATTGTAACGTAGCTAATCGAACCCGTATTGGTACATGATTCTAAATTGAGTGATTTATGCTAAAATCAGATATTAATAAACCATTGGTTGATTCGTCCTCTCTGCCCCATAAAAATCATTAATTTACTAAAACGATTTATTCGTCAATCAAAATTTCTTGCATCAAATGTGATCTATTGCGCTTAGTGCCGCGTACAAAAGCATCCTTTCTTCTAGGCAAAAAACCTCTTGGCTTCAATGGACTCAGTAGTTTTCGCCCTCTCATCATATTCAATTCGGCGGAAATCATTCGCAAGTGGTCTGGATTGGATCTCGTATCTCTTGTATAGGTGTTGGTATCTGGGTTAAATCTTGGTTGAGTGGTTGCTTCTGATCTTCTTTTTTGAGATATCTTTCTGGGTGGTATAGGCATAGGGATTAATTTGCTAGTGGCTCTTTTCTTTTTAGTAGACGACGACGAAGAGGATGCTGGTGCGGGTACAGGTGGTGGTGGTGTTGGAGGTGTTGGAGGTGATACAAATAGAGATCGTTTTAATTTAGCTAGTGTTTCTTTCCATAATTCATGATCCGTATTTGACAGGTGTGGAGGAGACGACGATACTGCATAAGACGCTGTAGTAGTGGAGGAAGTAAATGAGGATATCGAGTGTCGACGTAATAAATCTTTGTGTATTACAGAGCTTGACGACTTCCAGCTGGTGCCTAATACCTGATCATCCTCATCATCGCTTGCGCCATCGTACTCTTGTATTAACTCTAACGATAACTGTGCATCATCATGTAATTTTCGGCCTTCGCCTTGTTCTTCCTCTAATCCAAATCGCTCGCTCAAAGAGGGTGGTGGCATGTGTAGTGGCAACACCTCTGTAAAGAAGTCTCCAGATAGAAAATTTTTGAATGGTGATTGTACCTGTAATCACGTTAATTTTCCCATCACACTAAAATTTGGCCGAGTTGGACATACCAGCTCTTCCTCATCGGGTAAGGATTCTTTGCTGTCGACAACAATCCAATCCTCGACATGCGACATCCTTCTCATAGGTTTGGTTCTCTCTGACGAAGCAGTCGATGTTGCTTTTGACGTTGGTGGACTCTCTTTGTCTTTTTTGGTTTTTTTTTTCTTTTTCGATTTCATCATAGGGGGTATATCACCATACGGTTTCGCTGTAGTTTGTGCCAATTGTTTTATAATCTCTCGATACGACATTTCAGTCTCCAGCGGTTGTCCTGGAATGGTGATAGGTTTTGAAGGCAGCATCAGGGTTGTACTTGGCATTTATTAATGTTGCAATAAAACAGAACAAGGAGGTAAGGAAAGGGAGGGTTAGAGGCAAGAAGGGGTATTTGGTATATATATATATATATATATATATATAAAAAGAAAAGAAAAAGTTAAAAAGAGAAGAAAGAGAGAAAGAGAGGGAAATGTGGTAAGCCCATTGTGAACCCATTTTTACCCTTTTCGCCATTCACGATAACTGGTTCCGGCTGCCTGCCACGGGGTTACATCATTGCTTTTCACTTGTTCCTGGTCTGATGCAGTAGTAGAATTCGCTGCTGAAGGATGTGCTGCTGTTGCCAATTTCCTCTTTTCATGAGGTAGCAAGGCTTTGGATGAGGATGACCTGCCCTCATACGCATAAGCAAATGTTAAGGCAACCAATGCAAATCCAAAAATGTAACTTCTCTTTGTCCACAGATTAGTATTAATTGGCTTGTGATTGTAATTGTAGTTTTTGATTTCTAGTGCTTGCTGGTGTTTATTGTTTGTTAACATATCATAAGCAACTGTGATTTCTGTGAAATCCACCTTTTTATTTGCTGAAATATCTGGATGGTACGTCTTACAAAGTTGTAGGTAGCGTCTCCGGATTTCCTTTTGTGTCGTAAACCGGCCTACTCCTAGCACTTCGTATGGGCTTCTTTGTTGTTGTTCTTGTTGCATAGTGTACACCAAAACCCCACTGCAAAATACAAATGTGTTTATTTTTAAAAATGAGATGACCCCGCGCGCACTCGTGGTTTCGTATAGGATGGGGCACAGCATCCCAGTGCGACAAAGTCACTTTTTTCATCTGAGGGGGGGGGTATGTCCACGTGGAGGGCCAGTGTGCTACATGGGCACTCACATTCCATGTTTTGTACGCTGGGTTGTTGAGCGACTGCTTGGACTCTGCTAAATAAGTCGCAATGTGGTGCCTGACATCTATGATCGGGACGCCAATATAGGCTGATCTGCCTTGGAAGCATTGTATTGCACAATCTGCTGAATTGACATGCAATGCCAATGTATGATTTGCAAGTGGATGTGCAAGCATTTATTATTATAAGGTTTACAAAAAAAAGCATCAGTTGATGTGATTGATTAGGAAGTATGATGTAGTTGTGGAATAATAGTAATGGGGCTTTACAAGTTGGAAATGGGATAAATGTACAAATGATTTAAGCAATACATGCGCTATGTTGAGTGTGTATCTTTTCAAGTTCTTGGTCTTCATTTTGCTTGGCAAAGTCAGCCTTGTCGCTCTTGTCCAGATCAGAAACGTCAGCCAAGTCAGGGTTGTTCAAAATGTATAAATCAGGCATATGCTTTTGCTCAAATGACCTTCTCCATTTGGTGCCTTTCAGGTAGCAAGCAATAATGAAGCCTCCGTTGAGAATACCAATCACTGCCAAAATGGTAAACATAATGCCATTTCCTAAGCCGTCTACAGCAGCGCTCGAGAATACCGTGGTGATGGCAGCAAATATGCAACGAACACAGCTGTTGACACCAACTGCAGTTGCCGAATACCCTGATGTCGATCAAACAAATCAGTAAACAGACTGCTATTATCTAAATTGAAATGTTACCTGGTTTAGCATCCACGAGATACACACTTGTAGGTGTGAAAGCCCACATTTGACCCATTGCATCTACATGAATTAAGCAAAAAGAGTCAAAACATTGACTAGAAGCAGCCACATCGTATCCGACTTACAGATGAACAAACCAATAAGAGGAGCATAGACACCTACTTGCTTCTCTGTAGTCCAACCATAAATCAAATAACCTGCAGGCATAAGAAAAAACGATGGCACTGCAGCTTGCAACCGCATTTCAGAAATGACCTTTTTGCCATCTGCATTCTTTTTGGCGAGTTGCTTCAAGACATAATCCGAATGACGTCCACTGACAATGGATCCAATCATGAATCCAGCGCCCAGGGACAGATAGCACAGGCCTGTCTGCCACTCAGTGTAACCGTAGATCTGCTTGAATGTCTGAGTGATGGTAGGATTCAAAATGTACAGACTGGCAAAGATGACACTGTTGAATAGCATTAAAAGGATGACGTTGGGGTCGTACAACATGGTGACCATTGGACGGAAACTGTGGTAGAGTGTTGTCAAAAGGGAGGAAGATGCGAATTTGGACTTGACTTGAACGGTAGTGCTGGTAGAAGACAAGCTATCGTCCATTGGCTTTTCTGGTGAAGGCCGCTGCTTTCTCATTGTCTCTGGTAAGAAGAATGCTGTGAAAATGAGCAAAACACCACACAAGATGGCAGTAAAGTAAAACGTGGATCTCCAGCCCAGGTATTGACACAGGAAGCCGCCAATAGTAGGACCTATACGTGCAAAAGGGTGAGTTGCTCAGAACAGATCAACGAAATCGAGATGAAGACTTACCAATGACAGGACCTAGTAAAGGACCCCTACAAAAATACTACGTAAGTCAATGCTATCAGCGTGGTGCTACAGTTACCTACGTGTAAAATACGCCATACGCTTTGCCTCTAGATTCAACAGGGATCATATCTGCAATAACACCAGCGCCCAGCGTCAAACCAGCATTGGAACCAAAAGATTGCAAAGCACGGAATACAACCAACATGCCAATATTTGAAGAATTAGCGCCGATAACAGAGCTGACTACACTGATGATGCCACTATAGATGTACATTGGTTTTCTGCCATACGTATCACTCAAAGCGGCCCAAACCAACGGCTGTATATCATCAAGTTAACACAGATGCACACAAGTGTCGTGAGCAAAAACCTACCGATATACCCATGAACACTACGAAAGCCGAGATTGTGCCATTGACAGCAGACGTTGTTGTATGCAGATCCTGCACTACAGCCAAGATACCAGGCATGTACATCATAGAGGACATTGGTCCAGCAATTCCACTGAGGGCTACCAGCAAAATGATGACATTCTTTCGCCTTTCGGAATACAGGTTGGGATCATCTGAAGCATAGATGTCTCCCATGATGAAATGATACCAAGATGCGAGTCCATTGCTCTTTTGGCTACTACTGTTGTGTGTGGTATTCGTTGAGTCTGCTGCACCATCTTTGCAGGTAATGACAGTATCCCCTGCAGCAGCATCGGTATTCCTTGATGCATACATTTGATGCGTCATTGTATTGACAGTAGCATCGTTTTCTTCAATGATCTCTGCTGTAGGCAGATCAATAGAATGCTTCATTTGAAAGATATGTGATGGTATGAAAACACGCTATTAGAAAGGAAGGAGATCGAGAACCTTTTGCTATTTATATGGCTTTCTGTTCATGACATTGGATCTGGTAATTCTTTAGCGGAGACAATCGGATTGGTCCGTAGATACAAACCGTATTTCTTTGCTGTTCAATATCCTACACAGCGGATCATGACTCATCAGAGCTCCATAGCTGCTAGTGATGCGTATCATCCGAGTGATCTGCAGGCACAATAAATACATTTTAAGCCAGTTTTGCGTATGCCATCATTTATTAGCTGTAGAAATCAAATGCTCGATCCATATCTTCGCTGTAAGAGACATATTCGCTGTCCAGGCAGGGTAAAGTATGTCCCACGCAACAAGGTTCTGTGTATACAGAGGCATGCAGTCTCCGGTCGATCGGATCAACAGAGCAACCCAACCAACCGGACATTTTACAGGCTTCATCAACTCTACAACAATAGGCATCTATGCTGATCCAGATCAAGTAACCAAACGATAAGCCAGATCCAGCTTCTCAAGGCCAGACAGAGGCAATGCTATCCGTTGGGACAAGACTACTGATGTATCTCACTAAAAGGAGTGCCGAGAAGATGCAACAGGGCTTTCAGGAATATCTCACGGAAAATTTCTTGATTTAGATCCAGAACCTAATTGTCAGACATAGCACCATTTTATAATTTGGTAACCTTGTAAAAGCAGGGAAAAAAAAAAACCAAAAAGAAGGGCATAAGATGAAAGTCATAAGAACATCATTCTATGATGCTATTCTTATTCTTAAACTTATCGCCACTTAATAATAGTTTTAGCTCTCTTTGGTATTGCATACATTCATAGAGACTTGACTTGATTTGCGTGAAAGATACGCATTGTGAAAGGACAATCTCTTGTCGCGCTATCTAGCATGCAGTTTGTATGATTCAATGCCCGTGTTGCAAACGAATTGAGTAAGAGTACGTGTGTTTGTTTTGATTACTTTTTAATCAAATCAGGTGTGTAGGGTAGGCTTGCGATACAGAGATGTTCTGTGTGACTTGAAGCGCACTGTATTTTCGATTTCTAGACGATTGCATCTGCTTTGTTTGGACAAGAGGCGACGAGTAATGCAAATGACGCTGTTATCCGTAGTTCCGGAGAAACATTTGTCACAACTTTAAACTTGATGGCATTCATGCAACAAAGCCATTCAATACGACCCCAAACTTGTCGAAACAGCTCAGGAGAGGGTACGAAAGTAAAAGTACGGTACGGACAGCTATATCGAGTTGGAGAATCCTCAGTAGTCAGATTCAGAAACGATCAACGTTTTATTATACAAAAACAATATAATCTATTAAACTATTTTACATGGCATCGCTTATCAAGGCAAACACATTTCTATAAATATCCAACATGGCCTTGCATCTTTCTCTCTCTGAAGCCACCGCTGGATCTTCCTTCAACAGCTCATCGAAAAGATCCTCGCGATACAAAGACGAGACCAGTCGATTCTGGACATTCTCCTTGGTAAAATTGACCAATAAATGCATGATGGCTTTAGGAACCAAGTCCTGGATGGATTTACGGATAATGTTGAAATACGATGTGATCAAGTAACCTGTAGTTAGGCGTGTTAGCACAATGAAGAGCGCTACGCTGGCACACTTACGGATAAGTTCCACCTCTTTGTCATCTCTTTCTGTCGTCTTGATCTTGAGGTCGCCTTCCAATTCTGAAGAGAGCGCGTCCATGCTTTTTGAAAAGTGCTGCTCTACATTCTCGTTTACAGATAACAGTGGCGATAGTCCAGCAGCTGGTTTGGTGATAATATTACCACTGCTATTGCCGAAAAAGAGGTTCAAAAACGAGTCTTTGGGTGGTGTTGAAGTAGATGTGGTTGATGAAATGGAGGTGATTGACATGGATCGAGAGGATTTTCTATGATGCGTCTCTGCTACATTTGGACCGAGTATCATCTGTTGACGAGCTTGCCTCTTTTTCTCTGCCTTTTCCTCCTCTTTGTGTCGCTTTTGCATTTCTAGCATGGCGCCTGATGCGCCTGGAAAGTCGGGATGGTTTGTATTGATGTAAGAGCATTCTACAGCGATCAGGCTTTGAATGTATTCGGACGATGGGCTCAATCTTTCCTGCAGCAAATCGGACACTACTTCAACAAGCTTGGTGTGTAGCTTGGGAAATCGAGTGATTTCCTTGTTGCCGCAAGTGTGACATATCTTGGACAGTTCTTCATAAGCCAGGTCCACACATCGTAAGCTAGGTGCTTCCAAGAGCTTGATTTGAGGTCGCACTAGCAAATCAAAGGCAATTTCAGGCACAAATAATGAACAGCGCGGTCCCTTTGAGTTTCTGATGGCCGTGCGAATATCGTCATCTGTCAAATTGGTGCAAGGATAGATACTGTCAAGTGCATGTCCAAAGATGGAGTTGAATATGAAATAGATGCGTGCGCCTCCAGACAGCTCCTTTGTCGAGATGGAGGAGGATGTACCGTCAATGGAGGACACAAATTCAGATGAGTACATGGTCAGCAATTTCAGGATGAGCGATCCCTGATGAATGGACATAAATAGTTAGATTTCTTTTCAGCTTGGTTTGACAGGTTGCAAGCTTACACGATGCACTGATCCAGTAAAGGCAGGATCGCCGTATTGTGATAATTCATGCTGTGTTTGACCTATCAGCGAGCTTGTCTTTGAGCGAAGATCTGGCAGTTTCTCTCGAATGTGATTGACGAGAATCTGATGTAGCTGTTTGCTCAAATACACGGATCCACATCGCTGCGATATGCTTCTGTACGCAGGATGGCTTTGAAAGAACAGCCTTTCTGATTGAATTGCATCTTGCATTGATTTGCTGGTGATGATATCTTGTTGGCTCCGATTCACTACACCAACAAACCCCATTTTCAATGGAAAAGACTTGCCTGTCAGCACATCCAAGGCGTTTGTACCCGTGTCCATCAGATCTAACTTTGTCAATACACCCATCGTTCTCTTTCCTGCTGGATCTACTTGTTTAGCAAGCTTCAAACTATCGGAGTTGGCTAAATCAGCGTTTGCAGGGGTCACCGCTAGAATAATGCTAAAAAAAAGAGAGAGAGAGAGAGAGAGGTTGGCCACACTTGCCCATAAGACGCACTTTTCACATTTCTACCTATTCACTTTGGAGATATAGTCGAGCACCAACTTTCTAATTTGGACATCAATGTCTTGTGGTTGATCCCCTACACAAAGTAATTGATGTGTTGAATACAAGGAATAGCTGTATTAAAGTGTCATGTGGAAGAATACCTATTGGAAACTACATCGCTGGGTCAACGACCAATCTCAACCAGCGTGTGCTAATTCAAGGCTTACCTTTGTGAGTCCCGGTAAATCGATCAATGTCAGGTTGAGCACGTTCTTGGAGTAGATTTTGAGATGGATAGGTGATCTTGAAATGCCCTTGTTGTTTCCAGCAATACGGTCAGTCTCATTCACAATCTCTTGTCGCACTTGATTAAAGTCGTATATCTTTTGATTTGGCAGATGCAAAAATTCAGCGTAATCGTCTTGCTCGCCATTTCTGATAGTAACAAGCTGTAATACGAGTGGTCTTCTGGTGACAATGCCACTGCCTCGAGGCAGGAAATCGCGTTGAACAATGTGCTCCAAGACGGATGATTTTCCAGAGCTCTGCTCGCCCACAGTGATGATTTGAGGCAAATCTAAGCTCTCGTTGCCTCCAATGGTAATGAATGCATCCTGGATTTTGTTAATTAGCTCGATGCTCGTATCTGACATTTTGTTTGTGCAAAGGAAAAAAGAAGAGAAATCCTCTATTTCACGATTTAAGACCTTTTATATATTTCTGAATTTGAATCATAAAGGTGGGCAATGATGAAATGTACATCCCACACAACACATCCATAAAATGTGCTGGTAGCGAAAGACACTGAATTCAAGGCAACTAGGCAAAGTGTCGTCTGCATCAGATCAAGCACTTGCACCATCTTTATTATGATCACCACTCAGCAACCTGTGGAACTCTGAATGCGACTGATCCATTTCAAACAACATTTGTCTAGCCTGTTCCTCTGTAATCTCATCACTGGCCTTCATGGAATGCAGTGTAATAAGCCATTGACGCACCTTTTGCTTACCCTCAAAATCTGCTGATAGTCCAGGCACATTGTTCAGTGATTGGATCAAATCTGCTAGAATGGGATGTAGCTCATCGACTGCATATCTGTTTAATCGCAGCGTATCCATCAGTGTGATGAAATGGAGCACGCTCTCTGCAATGTATTTGGCTGATTTGGCAACGTCCTTTGTGTTGTCCCCAATAGCATGTTCGTATGTTGCGGGCACTCCAATCTTGAACCGATTGACTGCTGCAGGACAGGACAGCTATCGGGCAACATGAGTTATCTACCATCTTATGATCAGTGCTATGCTGTACTCACCTTGTAGTCGTTCATGAATGTCTCCAAATTATCAACCGAATCAGATAGGAAGTTCATGGTCGTCTTGTACTTTGCAATCAGGTTGGCACATTGAGGTGTGTATTCATCCGCTGTGATAGAGTCTCGAATAAATGCCTTCTCCAGGTGCTCCATCAAGACGATGATGGAATACAAGTCGGCCATGTTGTCGTACTTATCTCTCTCCTTGTTGTTTGTGAATAGCTTGACTTCCTAATTACAGCCGTTCAGTGCCTCTCTTATGCTACCCTATACACATATATCGCAATTACCTCGTCCATATTGAGGTCTAGCAATGCACTTTACATATGAGTCATCTTGCCGTCCGTGATATCCTCGACACTTACTTGCTAGATTGCTGCGATAGCTGGGAGCATACTGTGGCACTTGTGCGTTGGTTGGTGAATCCATGTTGGTAGTAAAAAGAAGAAAAGATGCTAGAACACGTTATCAGGCAGCCGAGATGATATTAATGGTGCTGGCATTACAGATATCATTGGTCAGTTACTCAACGGTCATGAAAAAGAAACTCCTCCCCTGTATCCTTAAAACCCACATCAACCCTCACAAACCTTTTTTTTCTTGCTCCATCTCGTAGCACACTTTATTGAAATATACCATGAATAGACCTTTGGGTAGCATGGGAGGCCAGCAAAACAGCGGCATGTCTCTCCAAGAACAACAGACTATTAAAATGATGCAAGGCGCAATGGAATCATGCGTTGCCAAGACTGCCATGTCTGGTGTAGCAGGTAAAAAAGGAGCATCAGCTTGCAGTCGTATATCCACTGACATGTGTCTCCTAGGTTTTGGTATGGGTGCAGCATTTGGTCTTTTCATGTCCTCATTTGAGTATGCTGGTCCAACAATGAACGAAGAAATGGTGAAACAGACAACAAAGCAGCAAATCAAGCATGCATTCAAAGATATGGGCACCAGATCATTATCCATGGCAAAGAATTTCGGCATGGTGGGCATGATTTACTCTGGATCTGAATGTTGTATTGAATCAGTAAGTCTACAGGAATCGAGAGCCATCATTGTCATGGTTTTGCTGATGCTTCAATCAATACAGTATCGTGCCAAAAACGACTTGACAAACAGTGTGGCAGCAGGTGCTTTCACAGGCGGTTTATTGGCTGCGAAAGCAGGTCCTCAGGCTATGGCACTGGGTGCTGGTGGTTTTGCTTTGTTTTCATTAGCCATTGATTGGTATATGCGTCGTGATTAATTGTGTAAAGTATAATAGAATATTTAGATGTTGTAAATAAAGAAATTAGGGTTTATTTTAGCCTCTATTGAGCTCTTGACAGACGGCTAGGATGGCTTTTGCTACAGTCTCGAAATCAGACTCGTCATTGTAGACTTGTGCGCTCAGACGAGTGTACCACATGGCATTATGCTTGTAGACAGGCGCCATGCAATTATGCTCATACAGCAACTTGTCAATGAAAATGCCAATGATTTCCGCATCCGAGAGCTTGACATCTGTGAGTGGAATCTCGACATTGACCATGGCTATCTGACCAGAATTAGCCATCACCTTGGTGCCTAGAATTTTAGCTGCAATTTCTCCTCCCTTGGCAGCCAAATCATGACAATATGTCATGATAGCGTCCTCCCCTCCTATCGATTTTCTAAATTCCACCGCTAACAGAATGCATCTATGAGAAAATAGCTCATCCAGGGCAACATCTTACTTTAGATCATTACCTGCTTCAACACACATAAAGTTGGAGAAATCTGTTGTACCTGGCCAAGCAAATTCATCTTGGAATGATACTGATTTATCGGCTGGGTCACTGTGGTCTGCGTAGGCTGAATTGATGATGGCAGGGTGAATCAGACGCTGATTTCTAAAAGGCACATATAGCACAGCACATCCTCTGGGCGCATAGAGCCATTTGTGGCAATTGGTGATGAAGAAATCAGGGTCTACTTGATGCAAATCCAATGGAATCTGCCCTATAGCGTGTGCACCGTCCACCAAGCTAAGAATGTTGTGTTCACGCACCAGTTTAACAGCTGACTCAAATGGAAATCGCACCGCTGGCACAGAGGAAATGGCGTCCATAAAACAGAGCTTGATTTTACCATCGCCTTTACTATTCTCACGCTCAATCGTCTCTTGGATCTTTGTTAGCACCTCATTGTCATCCAAGGGGTACGTCAATTCAATGCGGATAAGCTTGAGCTTTTCCGAGTTTTTGATGAACTTGATGGTACTTTCCACAGAGTTGTAAGCTGTACTAAACTGTACGTGAAATTGAGTATCGTGATGAACATTTGTGTGATATGATACATACATAAATGACTTTATCGCCTGCTTCCAAAGGCAGACTTCGAGCTACTGTATTGATGCCAGTCATGGAATTAAATACGAAAACTAGTTCTTGAGGGTCGACATGAACAAGATCTGCCACCACTTGCTTGTTCCGTTCAATTACTGGAAACATCTCACGTCGTAACCAACGATCAGGGTTGACTTCGGCTTTGAGACGAAGATCCTCCAGAACTGGCAATAGCACTCTAGGGATAGAGCCATAAGAGCCGTGATTCAACGGAGTGTATTGAGGCTCTAACAGGAATTGAGAGCGAAGGCTTCTGCCAAATTTGGTGGCTCCTTGAGTCATGATGATAAATGTTGAGAAAAAGAGTAAAAGTGCCACCAATACCATTTAGATTGAAACCCCCTTTTTAGCTTGAGCTTGTGATGGATTTTATAAAAAAAAAAAAAAAAAAAGCCTGTGAAATGAAAGAAATAGAGATTTACCTTCTCTACTTCTTAAAGCACTTTTTGAGACACTCATATTGTAATTTGAATGTATTTATATAAATTAAAATGCATTTCAAAAAGAAATAAAAGGACAAATAAAAACAAAGGCGCTGCTAATTTATGCAAAATATTACTGAATTCTCAAATGGATATATTGTTCGAGGTTTTACTGAATACATGCTTGTTTGTACGTTTTCAATATCGAATAGTAGATAGTGAATTTTTCATAATAGCATATGCTACTACCGTATACATAGTTGCTCTGCCACGAGAAACATGTTTATAAGCAACCTACGAGTTCGGACCTGGCTCTCTACGATAATTTACGTCTGTATCAATGAGAAACTCTCATCATGGATGGACAGCATACAATTATTGCCTCTTAATACTCCAGACTATGCAAAACACAGCAAAACCTCGGCGTCTTTGAGTCGTGATTTCTCGCGTTAAAAGCCGTTTTAGACCTCCAGAATAGCACCACACAATCGCTCTCAACTAGCATTCACTTACCAACGCATTCACGCAACTTTTTTAAGACCTAAAAAAAAATCATCGAAAATCGACCCAAAACCATGAGGCACCCCTCATGGAGAACAATAAAAAATCAATTGATCGTGTTTTTCACCTCAAAAATGAAGACTTTTACTAAGGTATACATATCAATTCAAAATTTTTTTTTTGTATTTAAATGTGTTTTTTATTTATATTATAGACAGTAAGGTGCCATAAGGGTCTTACATGTCTAAGAAAGAAGAAATTAACTTGGAATGATCTTCCAGAAAAGAGGAGAAAACAGCCCGAGTGATCCAAGATTTACCATCAATTGTGCAGCCCCAATGATGTTGCCAGATAGATGAGAAGGCAGCGCCGAGAAGTTCCAAGATGGAAATGTCCAGAGGATTGTTGTCCTGGCCGTGAAGGGTGGTCAACCCAATCCAGATGGCCTCGTCCGTAGGGAACAGATCAGCAAGACCAAGGTGAGAGACAAACTCATACCAGAAGAGGGACTTCATACTGCAGCCAATGACCATATGGTATTCATCTTCAGTTGCTTCATGACACATCTTACACAGTGGGGAAGGATACTTCACACGGTTCATGGAGTGCAGGCGAACCTGCACCGAGAGATGTCCATGCAGCAAACGCCACCACGGTGTAAATGCCTTGGGCGGGAGACAGAGAGACCAGAAATCACGCCAGAGGTGAGGAGGAAGCAGGAGATGTGGTGGGCGATAGCCAGGAGGATGGGCTGGGCGACGCAACATGTCAAATGACGGATGCCAGGAACGGCGTAACGCCCCGAGAGTGATCTTGTCCACTGTAGCTTTTGAGCGAGGGCCAGTGGTGATGAACCAATGCGAAAAGCTAGCCGTGGGTGGAGAGGGGGTAGTGGAACTCTCCAGCAGTGCGGTTCGCTCTGGAGCGGTGAAGGCCATGACGGACCTGAGAGGAGCAGGGACAGCCCAAACAGGAGGACCCTCGATGGGGCACAAGGCATTGAACAGATGTTGCAATGCAGCAGTATCACGGGGACGCACGCAAACCAAGATGTGGGAGTTGGGGAGCACGCTCAAGAGGCTGGCAATCAAGGCATGAGGTGGCAGTTTGTCACTGTTCCTAGTCAAAGGCAAAGTCGCTGTGGGAGACAGGGAGCATACTTGTAACCAGGGCAGATCTAGGAGCCACCAAGACGGCCACTCAGGAGTGAGAGTCAAGGGAGGCAAACGAGTGAGTAGACGAGCCAGATGCTCCAAGTGAGGGCATTTCCGCACACGCGGCCAGCAGGTACGTGGGTATAGCAGCAAAGGCAGCACCGTAGCATGACCTGAGTATACATGGAATGTATACATCAGCCAGGGAGTGAGGAAATCCGCTGGGGATCTGGGACGAAGCAGACGCTTGACATATATGAGATGCAAGGCGAGATGTTGCTTCTTGATGTCAACCAGACCAATACCTCCATGCTTCCTAGGAAGGCAGAGAGAATCCCAAGCCACAGTAGGCCAAAACGAGACGATGTACTGGCGTACCACGCGCTGTATCTCCTCCAGCCACTTGTCAGGAACCACAACCACACGCAGGAGATGCCACAAGCGAGACAGCAGAAGGGAATTCGCCACTAAACCCTTTCCACGAATGGATAGCTGCCGCTTGGTGAGCAGATTGCAATGACGTTGAATCTTCACGGTAATGGAATTCAGGAAATGCTGCAACTGCTCCTCTGTATGATACAGAGGGTAACCTAGATACCTCACAGAGCCAACTGACGAGCTGTCGTACCACTCAATGTTAGACGTTTCCGTCACTCGCTTCCAATCAGCATGAGCCTCGCCTGACAGCGACAACAGCACGGTTTTCTCCAAATTGACCTTGGCGTTGGACGCTTTGCCATAGAGCGACAAAAGAGACAGCAGCACAGGCCATTCCGCCGTAGAAGTCAGGAAGACTTCCAGATCATCGGCATAGCTCAACAGCTTCACCCGTGGAGGGGTCGCCGGAGCGCGTAGGAGATCATGGTCGCCTTGGACCGGCACGAGAGAGGAGGCACGAGAGATACGCCCTGCGAGAGGAGCACGGACAGCGGTAGACATTAAGACGCCTTGAAGAGAAGGGCAGGCCAAGATGGTTCTAAGAAACGGCTCGAAAGCCAGATTGAACAGCAAAGGGGACAACGGATCACCCTGTCGTAAACCACGTTGTTGATCGATGGGGGCGCCCAACCACCCATTGATTGACAAGGAGATACGAGTACCAAAGAACAGACTTGACACACTGGATACCAACGATGCCGGGAAGCCAAACTGACGAAGAACCATCGCCAGATATGTCGGATTGACCCGATCATAGGCTTTCTCTTGATCCAAGAGTACGGCGACATTGGGATCCTGAGGAGCTGCATCACGGAGGTTGGTCATCAGCGTCTGGTTCAACCACGCATTGTCCGAGATGAGCCGGTGAGGCATAAAGCCTGTTTGGTACGGCGTAATCAATCGGGAGAGGACACGTTTGAACCGGTTGGCTAACATCTTGGTGAACAGCTTAGCATCGCTATTGATCATCGAGAGAGGTCGCCAGTTCTTGAGGAGCTCTGGATCGCCCTTCTTGAACAGCAGTACCATCCTCGTTTCTTTCCAAGAGTCAGGGAAGACACCACGCAGCGCATCAGTCAGCACTTGCTGCAAGAGAAGCAGAACAGCAGGGAACTTCGCCGCCAAATAGCGATACACCTCAAACGGAAGGCCATCCAAACCAGGAGACTTGTTCTTGGGTGCATGGTCCAGTAACAGCAAGACAGAGTCTGTGGAGGGTGGTTCAATCAGCCGGTCTGCCTCAGCTTCTTGTAGCTTCGCATCAGCAGGGATATTGTCAAAGAGAGAGTTGACGGCAGCCAAATCAATGTCTTCAGGTGTGTAGAGATCTTGATAGAAAGTACGAGCTTCTTGGAGAATGTCGCCCATGTCTGTCAGCTTCTCTCCAGTGCCAGCCTTTTTCAAGGACTGGATGGTTTGTTGCGCCTCACGATCCTTGATCACATTGAAAAAGTATTTGTTGTTTTGCTCTCCCATTTCCAGCCAACGAGTAGCCGAACGCAGCATAGCTTGACGAGTGTCATCTTGAATCCGTTGCTCAATCAGTTGCTCCAGTCTTTTGATCCTTGCCGACTCCTCCGGGGTCCCAAGTAGCTGTTCCCGTTCACGTTGGAGGTGGGAGACTCGAGCTTTGAAGCGAGCCTTCTGGCCTTTGGTGAACTGTTTGGCACAGTACTTGATGATCGACTTGAGAGATTCCCACTTCTCCTGAGCAGAGACACCCATATCAGCCACATCTGTCGTATAATAGTCAGACGCCAAAAACATATCCACGGTTTTATCCAAAAGGGCTTGGAATTCACGGTTCTCAAGCAAGTACGGATTCAAACGCCAGCTGCCAGGACCCAACTGGACGCCAGAGGTGACCAGATCGATTGTGAGGAGGCTGTGATCGGTCCACTCAGGTGGAATGTGGTGAGTCTGAGTGTTGATGATACGAGTCGCCATAGGAGGAGGAGCAAAGACATAGTCAATGGTGGTGCCAGCTTTAGGGAGAGTCATTGTGCCTTTTGGAAAACAGTTGAAAAAATGAGTGTTCAGCCATTCAACAAAAGGTTGGACTCTAGGGAGACGAGCTTCGACCGCATCATGTAAATGGATATTGAAATCCCCAAGCAAGATCCACTGGGAGTCAAGCATATCAGACCAGAAGGGCATGGACATCAGCTCCTCCAGGAAAGCATAGCGATGGGCTCTGTGCACGGGCATGTACACATTAGCTATCTGGCATATGGTGTGATTAGCGTCCTTAATAGTGGCGGTGATGCAGCGTTCGTCACGAGAGATGGTGGCATCCGCGAGCTCCAAGCCTTGCTTCAGACACACTATTGCACAATGCTTCGAGACGACAAAGGAAGACCGAGGAAACATAAAAGAGAAAGCACGCACATTATCATCAGTGAGGTGGGCCTGCTGACGGTAATGAGAGACCTCCTGCAGACAGAGAATATCTAGCTGGAGGGTTTTGGAGCGCAGAAAGGAAGTGAATTCCTTCTGTATAGATTTTGAGGAACCCTTAAAGATGCTCCGGGCATTAAGGGTACCTATGCGCAATGATTGTTGTATCATTATGCCCTATGGGCGACATGATACACTTGAGGCTGCGACATAGACGTCGAGCTCATAGAATGACGGCGGAGAGAGGGCACATCAGTCTGGAAATCATTGGGAGAGGAGACATTGTCAGCAGATAACTTGGGATCCAAATGCATATGGAAGGACGAAGCTAACGGAGCATGCTTAGAAGCATCGCTACCGTTGGGAGAACGCTGGAGGGTCTGGGGATCTACCTCCATCACATCCGGAGACTGGTCCCAGGTTTGGCTGTCATTTGCGGAAAACAAGGTACTGATCTGGCTACTTGTGAGCTCGGTCGTTTTGCCGGCTAGCTTGTCTGTGGTGGTGGGCTGAGATGGCAGTTGCTGCGCGAGAATATCATTGATCGCAGGGGATGCTCTATGGCCCTTCTCTTTTTCGTTAACTTTATCAATTGGAGTGACTGAGTAGGAATCAGTGTGATCCCTTTGGCTCGACTCATATTCAGCGATTGCTTCGTCAAAAGGCTTCTCTTCCTCTCGACAGAACTTAACAGTGTGTCCCAACTTGTGACATTTGAAACATTTGCGTTTAGCTAGGATAGGACAAGCAGCGCGAATGTGTCCACTCTGACGGCAGAAATGGCAAACTGGTGGTGCTCCTCTGTATGTCGCTGGCACATAGACATCCCAGGCGGAAAGGTAAAGCATGCGACTCAAAGGCTGTACGTCGTAGGAGTGACCTTCCGCGTCAGTGTGCTTGACCGAAGTGTCGATCAGGAAGCTGACATGACCCTCAAAGAAGCCATCAACAGTGTACTTCTTGATTTGGTATAGCTTACCATAGTATTTCAGCGAGCGTTGCAAGTCCTCCAGAAAAGTGGTCATGTTTGGCATGCGGACAATAGTCATTTGCACATGGGTGAGTTTGCCCTCGCTGTTGTCCTTGACAGCAGTAGCTTTGTATACCACATCGCCATGAGTGATGCCATTGTTGATGGCTCGTTTGGCATCCTCAGGGGAGTCAAATTTAGCTTCCACCAAGAGATCTCCAGTTGACTTCTGGTGATACAGACTAAGGGGGCGAAACTGGACATTAGCAGCTATTTGTTCCTGAATGAGGCGATACGCTGTTGTACGATGCACAAAAAGTTTGTTTGGAAAGGTAAACAAAACCGATCCCGGTGTCAAAGCTTGCTGCAGGATGGCAGTAGCTTTACGAGTGAGCACCTCGGCCTTCAGATCTTCGTGTTCGAACATAACTTCAGGAATTAGTTTAAAATGGTCATCTTTAGCTCGCTGTTGTGGAGCATTGATGACCTTCTTGGAGAGGCCTCGAGAGAGGACCGTGACCCAAGAGAGGTCAGTGGTGGTAGCCATGAGGATGGGTAGTGGAACGCTGGTGGTTATAAGGTTGTAGATGTGATTTAAGCAGTGGCGTAATTTTCACCTTAGGGGTAGTGATGGTTACGCGAAAGAGCTTTATATCAATTCAAAATGTTTCTCTCGATCCGAAGCAACCCCTGAGACATTGCTCGTGAAACCTTTATATGTAGAATCTTGACAATTTGATGAAAACCCTTATTTCATGTTTTGTAAAATTACCCAAAAAGCTTGCTCATAACAACTATATGTATTAGCACCATTGGATGCGCCTAGAAAAAACACTCTAGGAAAGCATAAGGTCGTATGGGATGATCACCACAATTTATATAGTCGAATTTCGCAAAGTCTGTCGATCGAGTCAATTTTAATCAAAACTAAACCAATCTTGAACAGAGACTGAACTGAGTTTAAGGTGGGGTTTGTTGCTGGCCAAAGCCAATGTCTCTTGTATTATGAAGACGAGCGTTCATGCTTCAGATGGCTCTCTACCTTCGCTTTGGTGAGAACCAACCTGAGCAGCAGCAGTCCGCGCTACTGATCTTCCTTGCGTATCTTGTCAAAACACTACTGCTTTCATGTTGACCCTCTACTTACACATGAAAATCCCTCAAATTATCTGTAGATCTGATCCTTATGTGATGCTCTACATCCATATACGCATAGCTACTTCATATATGGGCAAGCAGCGTACTGGTATTTCCCCTTTTTATTCCTTAGTGTGCCTAATACAGCAAAACCTGAGTGCATTTGAGCTACGTTTTCTCGCGGTCAAGACCGTTTTAGATTGTCAGAATAGCACCAAACAGTTGCTCTCATCTGGCAGTTTCTTTCTGACACCTTTGCTCAACTTTTTAGGGACCAAAAAAAAACATGGCCAAAATTCGACCAAAAAGCATGAGGTACCCCTCATGGTTTTGATCGAAAATCAAACGATCGCATTTTTTGCCTTGATAATAAAGACTTTTACTATGGTATGGGTTGAATCAAAATGTTTCTCTCGATCCAAAGCAACTCCTAAAGTCATCTTTGTGGGACTTTGATATGTAAAATTTCGACATTTTGGCCAGAAACCTCTTTTCATGTTTTCGTAAGTTATTCAATAAGTTTATTCAAGACATCTATCTTACTTGGTACCATTGGATGCGCCTTGAAAAGCACTGCAGGAAAGCTTAAAGGAGCATAGGATGATCATCATATTTTACTTAGTCGAATCTGCAAAAATAATTCGATCGAGTCGAAAAGTACCAAAATTTGGCTCATCTAGAGTAGACTAAGGGTCTGAGGTGGAATTTATTTTGGCGACTGGCTGGCAAACTCAGTGCCATTTCTATCATGAAGGCAATACAGTAATAGATGCTTTTGAAGCGTATGGAAAGTAAGTGAAAAATTACATAGCACTATCGCTAACTATGTTATTTTTCTTGCATTCTATATTTAATAGATGCAGTCTATCAAAATACTTGTTAGATCAACTTCTTTCCTTTTCGAGGCTTTGAAAGTGTTTAGGGACAATAATTTTATTATTTTATGAAATACAATGCCTGCGAAGCTAATTAGAAGGGGGAGTGCGTGTTCGAGACGCACCAGAGCTTGACCTAACCTCTTTATTTTGCTTCCTGTACTTACTTTTATTTTTAGTAGACTTAATCGTTGCAAACTTCTCACCTGAATGTAAATCCTAGTATTTACATTTGCTAATCGAGTATGCGAAACACATCTGGCTAAATTATACTGTGCTGTTATGTATCGTCGGATACGTATTGTGCAGCATTTCATATATTTCATGGATCCTCGGTTCACTAAGCCGTTTTTTATTTATATTCCTTTTCAGGGCAATTTCTAGCGACAGGTTTATTTTTAACATTGAGAAGGGTGATATCGATGCGTGGGGCATATACGCAAAAAAAGGCACAGTTCTCTTGTAAGACGGCTTGTATTTCACACGTGGCTTTTTCATTTGTGCCAAGTATATCCAGGCTAAAGGTCCTGTTTACGAAGAAAGAGTTGTTTATGTGTACAACAAGGAAAGCTACTTTCATTTCATTTCATACAACCCGCGCATGCATGTGCAAAGCAACATTGTTGCGGATGAAAAGGACTACCTTTGTCTAAAAACACACATCTTGTTCATAAAGGCATGAGAGAATGCACCCAAAAGAATATATCATTCAATCAGGATATTAGTCTTGATAAGAATACCTCTGTTGTAAAACCTTTGGCTGTATTACACATGATAGCTTTGTTGTTGTTGTTTTGATGATCTTCTGGTTGCTGCAGTTTTCTTATCAAAACAAGAAATCCGCATAAACAAGCAAGATCCAAGATGATGATCTTACTTTGATACTATATAAATACATGCGCATTTGTTGGATGTTTATTGCGTCTTTTATTTTATCAAACTTGGTTCTCTTCACATGAAAGCTGTTATCCTGCTAGTGCTGCTCACAACGTTTTTGGTGTTGACACAAGCTGGGCAAACATATTCATCCTCTGTCAACCTACAATTGCAACGTCCACGTCAGTTCTTGATGGACGTCTACACTCGGCCAAACAGAAAGGGGTTAGTGCAACATATGAGATTAGAGCCAGGAGCAGGTATTCTAAGACTGTAAAAACGTATCTATTCACAGGTATTAACAAATTCTACGCAGCTTTTACACGGCCCTGTTGGAACTTGCAGTCAAGACATGTTGGATCTGTAACGTTAAATGATCCATTTGTCAAAGTTTCATTCTATAGGGTAACGTACCTCACAGCATCAAATCCTCGATGCATATTACTAACGGATTATTGACCTGTTTACATATAGGCAGCTGATTGCAATGGATTCGCAATTAACACTTTCCACGGTTCTGAAACCCTCCCTGGAGGTGGCAAATACACCTCAATTATCAAGGCAAAGTCAGTTTCTATAACAAGAATAAGGCCCATTTTATTACAGGACACGGACCGATTCTATGAAGCTTCTGTGTAGTACACATTGATTTTGCAAGCATCAAATCAAAATTATATTAATAAACAATCTTTGAAGCAACACTTCACTATACATTAAATAACACGATAGGGCTTTAGTATAGAATTTGATTATTCAAAATTCGAATTAGCAGACATTGCTGAACACTATGTCATCGATGGTCCTCTTGGACTCTTGGTATGTAAAACAAATATGAATTTAAAGTTGCAGTGAAATTTTATTGCAGGTGGCCATTGATGTGTAACTTTTGATGGCAAAAGCATGCTTTTTGATGCGTTATGTAGACATTTTATTTTGAAATGTTTCTTAAACTGTCTTTATTCAATGCCGCCTTTCGCATTCTAAGGGAGCAGCGCCTCTATGACATACTTTCATATGCGCTAAGGGTACTGCTGTTGTAGCTCCAGTGCTTTTATCATTGCATTGCTTTTTTATCAATCAACCATCTTTATTCAGGGATCTGTAGAAACCAGGAGTATTTCTTAGCTAAGCATTCAGAAAACAGAGCTTTTGTAGCTGTGCCACCAATACAAACGTTTGGAACGCTTGTTTATTATTTAGGGACCACAGCAAGACGATCAGTAGAAATATATACGCTATCTTTTGTATCAAATAGACTGTATGATGTAGCCTGATACAACCTATCCTTTGTAGTTTTAATTAATGCTTTTGAATGTATCCATCAAGAGGAGCAAGACAATAAAATCTTGAAATGGCAACCAGCCAAAGCAGCAACTGATGTCTAGTAATCACATGCATCTTTTACTGCTTCTTCAAAACCGAGATTGTGTTTTAATTAAAGGAGAGCTTATATATATATATATATATATATATATATCGCATCTCCTGAACAGGAGTGGCCTCATGAATGAGTGTACATAAAGATAAAGATCTTCAATGAAAATGTAATTTAGCAGGAGACTTGAAGGCGATGATTCTCCCTAACTTGAGTTTCTGGAAAAACGTGAATAACTGTATCAAGACAGATATTGGGAGAGATGGTTGATTTGATATAAATACGTGTCCATTTTACAACAAATCCCACATCTTTCATTCATATCTCTTTCATTCATAATATACATTCCTTTTCAACGATAAAAATGAAGGTAAGTAGCCTCATATGGCTTGATACATGGATATAGAGCATTAACTAAAAGCACTCTAGTTTTCTCTCCTTTCTGCCATCTTTGTCGGTCTTGCTGCCACCTTTGTTCTCGCTGAGGACGAGCCCCATTATTTCTTTTTCCCTAATGAAGGTGCTGAATTTTCTGTCACTGACCAAATCACATTTGCCATGAATGGAATCACCAACGATGCCGATGAAACCATTATCGCCAAATTATTCAATGCTGAGGATGACAGCGAAGTCAAACAAATTGGATCCTACACCGGTGATACTATCGTTCGCCCTGATGATGACGATGAATGGACTTTCACCTGGGTCATTGATGTTGAACCTGGAACTTATTATGTTCGTCTCTATGAGCAAGATGCCGACGGTCAAATTGATGATGACGACGAGTGGGATAATGAAATCATCAGTTATGATTTCCGTATCAGAGATTACTCTTCCAAGAGAAAGAGGGCCGCTTTGAAACGTTCTCAGAACATGAAAAAGAGAGCTGCCGCAAATGCTTTAAAAAAGGCCAGCTTGTAAAACAACTCATTCTAACACATGCTTCATTATTATACATCTTGTAGCGGCCTACGAGCGTTCATTTGCTATCGCTCACAGTTTAAACCATCTAGTTTTTCTTTTACATTAGCTTATCTTCCATTACATTCGTTAAAATAATAAACCATCTATTATTTGTTACCTCTCTAATTCAGTATGGATCGTTTTTGGTGGATCAATCAACGTACGTGTTCCTGGTCGCATTTGACTCTCATACATCGATCCATCGCCAATCCAATCAACAACAAAAATAAGACTAACGACCATTATGTCTTTCGGGTGAAGTTATATGTAGTTATTCAGTGCTTCGTAGTCAAAGTGCTTGCCAGCATTAGCATAAAGTGTGTTTGTGCCTTGAAATGCGGTACAAATCCCGCCCTCGAAATCCTCTGGAGTCACAGATGGATTGCAACAAATGAAGCTTCACTTTAATTTGAGAGCAACGTGTCTTTTCCTACACATAAATCTTATACAATGGTCCAAAATAATACAGTTGACCTTCATGCCTATGCCATCCCTCTTTTACACGCTGCTAAATACCCCTCCTCTGATGTTTGTGGTGTTTTGTTGGGTCAACATACTTCAGATGGATTACTAGTCAAGACAGCTATACCATTTTTCCACCACTGGACAACTGTAACTCCAATGCTTGAGATTGCTTTAAAGCAGGTACATAAAAGAGGCTCCAGATTGGCAAGCGTCATGTTAACATGTGTTCAACTTAGACGGATCTTTATGCCAAGAAGAATGATTTAAGCATTCTCGGTTGGTATCATGGCAACGCTCGTAACGATGACACCGTGCTGCCAGAGAGAGCCATCAAAGTGACAGAAACTATCAAGAGAAATAACCAAGATAAGGCCATCATCTTTTTAATCAACAACAAGCAATTCACACACTTGGAAGAAGATGAATCTGCCATCACAGTAAGCTGTCCTATGGTGATGTTTAGAGTGTTTGTATACTAATCGTTCATATAATGAATAGCCATTTGTGCATGTAGACAATCAATGGAGAAAGATCAAAGAACCCTTCACTAGCAACAACACAGAAGCTAAATTGAACGAGAAAGATACCTATTCCAAAGTTCGCGGCTTGTTCAGCAGCAGTGCTTACAATAGAATTCATGATTTCGATGAGCATGTAGATGACGTTTCATTAAATTGGTTAGAAACAAGCAAGATGGCTTTATAAATAAATAATATAGTGGTTTTTAAACAAATTTCTTATCATTGCGTTCTACACGCAGTTTCCAGTAGAGATAAGCAGCGATACCAAACAGGAATTGAGCAACAAATGCGTAGAATATGTATTTGAGCAAGCTGGACATGGTGCCTTTGGTCTCTGCTGAATGGATATTGACTTCATTCATCTTTTTTTGCATCATATTGGATTGAGAAAGTAAGCGTTTCTACAGTGATTCGAGATGCAAATCTGTGAGTACCATGCTCTTTTAATATTCATCAAGTCGACTTACATCCAGTACAGCTAGGGACGCCTCCAATCTTGCGATGGCTGTTTGAATATCCTCCATTTTGCGATTTTGTTCCAGCGTTAATCTGTCGAATTGGTCGGCTGTCTTTTTTGATTCAGATCGCACTTGATCTGTGATGCGAGATAGATCACTAAAAATTGCGACTCTGTCAACAAAAGGTGCCACTTGTAGACTGCTACTATATGACTTACATGTTGCTGCTACTACTGCTGCCCTTACCACTGTCTCCACTACCGCCGCCCGTAGCCAAACTGCGAAGATCTATCTTTTCATATTGACCCGTAATGGCATCATCTGGACTTGGAGCTCCCAAGGCTTCAATCTGTAACTGCACAATTTGAATGTGCTCAATGGCTCTTCTCTGCGTATCATAGATGGCAGCCTAATTCGCAATGTTAGCACAGCTGCTCCACATTACTCACACACACACACACACACCATCAGCTTACCAAGCTAACAGCAGTTTCTCCCTGGAAATCATCAGCATTTGCCTGATCTCTGAGTTTTCTCATTTGGAATTCTGCTTCCTCAATCTTCTTTTTCTGTTCCTCATCTATACCAGTAAACTCCTCTCCTCTCTTCTTCTTTTCCTCTTCCAATGGACGCTTTGGGTGCTACACGAGATGTGTGTCAGTATGTAAATTTTCAGTGTGCGATTCTAAAATCTTACCTCTAACTTTTGAGGAGGATTCAACTGTTTTGTCTCGAAAGAATAAATGTCATGGTCATCTACAATGGTAAATCAATTTAATTAGTACATTTAAGTGTATACAAATAAAGCTGTTACAAACCAGCAGGTGTGTGTGACGCAGCCTAAAGATCAACATGATGAACGTGTCAGAATTTAATCTAAACGAGAGAGTAAACGCTTTGTAACTTACAGATACGCCAAAGTAATAGCCTGTGGGCAGTTTGATGCCTGACTTTTGAACACAAATACGGTAATCTTTGGCGCCAGATCCATTGTCCATAGAAACCTAAACAAATTTTCAATTAAGGAAGATCAGCAGCATGTATAAAAGGGCACACAAAGGAGGCCCAAGGGGGGGGGGGACGGGAGCAGCGAAAAGCCAAAACAAACAAAAAGACACTTACGCTAAGTGTATTGTCCTTGTAAGACACCTTGAGGTACGCTGGTGATTCTGTGTTTCTGTAACTGATGGAGCAAGAACCCAGCATGTGTTTCGTGGGATCCGTGCCAGCAGCAAATGCCATGGTTCCATCGTTCAACAAGACCATGGTGCTTGGCTTATGCGTCTATTCAACAGGGTCAGCTTGACGTCAATTGGATTCTCTCTGGTACCCTACCACTGGATTAGCAGAATCAAGCCAGACACTCAGTCCATCCCACTGATCTTTGGAGCCAAACACAGGGCCTGTTTCCTCTCTGTCCTTGGTATACCAAAATGCTAAACCACGTCCACCGTGCATGTTATTCCCTGTCACCTTGAATGCAATCTCTACCTCCCAGGCTTCATAAGGATTTGGGATTTCAGACCAGATGAAGCCCTTTGTGTTTGGCACAGAAGGAGACAAACGGATGAAATCATCGGATTTGAATACGTCTACAAGAATGTTGGTTGTCTGCTATGCTACATGTAGAACAGCAGCATACTTACCACCGCCCATTGACCAGAATGGAACAGTGCCATTGTAGTAAAAGTTCTTTTTGAATGAGAGCTTGTAGTCGAATTTGGATGTTGGAGCAAATGGCAAGTTTTCTTCTGCTACGATGGGGTCGACTTTGTTGCTTCCCCAGAGACCAGCAGAGCAGGTTTCCAGCAGTAGTAATGACGATACAGCTATGATGCCAAAGATCTTCATTATAATCAAGAGAACACGTAAACAGAGATTGTAATTTGGAGGAAAGAAAGAGGAAACTTAGGGGGGGGTGAAATTGCGATGAGTGTATAGATAAATTTACTTTTTTTTTTTTTTTTTTTTACTACTAAAACTTTAATTTTGTAAAGCAGCGATACAACAGCTGCCAGCATGAGAACAAAGTCCTATTAGATAAAAAGTGTGGTGCATCTAAGACATGAAAGCCGCCTCACCAAGAAGCGTTTTACATTAATAAACATGGGCTATCAAAGCTCGGCATTGTTTATTGAGAGGGAATATGCTTTTTTATACGACCAAGACGACGTTGAATTATCACCAGAAGAGGGGGTGGGGCTCTGGTCAAACAAATGCACTGGTGTTTACAATGTCGATGATGTTGATTGTTCCTGATCTTCCTGCTGCTGCTGCTCTTTGCTCTTCTTCAGAGCTTCTTTTCTATCATTTTCTTCTTGCTCAGCAAGAGATAATCGTATTGCCTCCATCACCATCCAGTCCTCCAAGTCCATATTTACATCTCTCATATTGTTCAAATGTTGATGATACTCGGTTGCTGCGGCTGATGATGCGGATCTACCTGGTCTTGTCAACAGCGATGTGACACCTGCGGCTCTCAGCAGGTTGTTATGGCGAGATCCACCACTGCCAGCATTGGAAGCAGAGTTTCTTCTAGAGACAGCTCGTGCGGGAGTTGGTGCAGGTGTTGTTGTTTTGTCCCAATTAGGTCTGATGTGATCTACACCATGGTTGATAAAATGGCCCATTTCACCTCTTCTAAACACTTACCAATCAATACAACGTCAGGGTTCTTGTGGCCTACACTTTCACGACGGGGTCCATCTGATCCTCCTACACCAGATGTTGTATGTCGAGTGCCTGTCATTGTGCTGTGCGAACCACTTCGAGAGCGAGCCTGAAACCTCTCGCTCCACGTGGGCGGTTCATACAAAATGCCGTAATTCTCCTCCATACAAAAGGGACATGTAGCAGGCACTGAGGGTGTTTCGATAGGGCGATGGATCTGAACAAAGCATTCGGTGCAAATAGGCTGATCACAGCAGCGAGAGTAGTTGATATTTGCAGGATAATACTTAAAAGCGACAACATGAGATAACAAAGCTCATTGTGGACAGCAAGCAGCCACTTACCAGGAAACAAATGGGACATTCAACAGCATCATTGTACAGCATTTTCTCTCTTTGTTTCATCTTTTCAAGGTATGCCTTCTTTCGCTCGACATAAGGGTCATAAGAAGCGTCTCTTTGCGAAGCACTGCGAGGTCTGTTTTTTGGTTTGCTGTCTGCTGCGGCTGGTACTGGTGCTGGAGCTGATACTGATAGTGAGGATGTTGTTGCGTTTGGGTTTGTGATGGATGAGGAGGTGGATATGGTGGACAAAGATGAGGATGATTGTGGTATAGGCAAGTTGGGAGATAGCGTTGCTACTGTCACTGTCTCTGGAGCATCTGGTAAACCTACATACCTGTGTAAGTGTCAAGATGTCATGGCAAACTGCAATGGAGTGTACCTTTGTAGAACGGAGCTATCTTTCTCTGTACAATGAGCTTCTGTAAAATACGAGGGTCGTAATCTTGCTCTGTGGTTGGATACAGGCCGTTTGGAAACACAGCACCAAGGTCAACCAGGTCTTCAATCTTTTGTTGCGGCATACGACCAGGCTTTGCGTTTTTGCTGCTGCTACCAGACTGCTTAGACGCGTTAGCACCCATTGTATATATAAATGATAGGATGGTGTTGTAGAAATGGAAAAAGAAAAAAAGGAAAAAAAAAAGAAGAAAAAGCCCTGTTGGTTGTTTCCCACCCCTCTTCAAGCATTGGTTTATTAATTTTCAAACGGTAAAATGTACAAAGCGCCCTAAACCTAAATGATGCATTTGAACGGGACACACATTCAAACTCATTGCTGCCCGCCTCTTCTCTATCATGGAAGGGATATGTAGTTATCGATATCTAAGCTGTGCTGGTAGCGGACGATATAGGTTGCACGTCAATAATGGCATTGGCAGGTGCATGGCCTTGATTCTCGGTTAAAGCACCATCCAAAACGTAAGTGTATGGGCCTAGCTTTCGATGCTCGTTCATTTCGTATGCAATGACTAATTGACATCCTATGCAATTAATTCAGTTACTGTAGCACTCACATCAACGTCATGGCATCTTACTGGGACAGTGATATCTGAATTGCTTCTCATATCCATCGCGTCTAGATCCACAAGAGGATTAAAAAAAAAACAGACATTTTAGAGTTACAGACTACAACATTACTTCATGGATCAAACCTTTTCAGCAGCACACATTCACCTGCTTCAGCTGTTAGTTTGTATGTGCGTCTGGCATTGGAAACAATGATGGCATTGTCTGTTCTGCGTCGAGGTAGTTGTCGAAGATCCGCATCAATCACCAGTGCAAATTCTGAGCAGAGACAGTAATAGACATGCAGTGATTTTGGCTGATCCTCTGGTTTTGTGGCATGATCTGAAGAAGAGACGACTGACGAAGATACAATTTTAGGCATAATGCAAAATGGGGAAAGACGGATACACGGCTTGTTTGAACACAAAAAAGTCTTTCGTATGTCTGAAGCTGTGACTCTGAGCCATTGGGCCAATGTGAGCACCATGATATCATGAATACAACAAGAAAAACCATGCCTCTCCGATTAAACCTATTACAAGCACAATGGCAATTTTTTACGTCATTTGCGCCTCTTTTTGCCCTGATCAGAAATCAATAAAAGACCCAAGTTTCAGTTCATTTTGATTTTACTACGTTTTCTCTCATTTTACATTTTACAACATGGATATCACACCAAAGCAGCTACACTATTTCAAACGAGAGCTGATTACTGAGCAGTTGATTCACGAGATCAACACACTGATCAAGAGTCCTGATATTGCGTCTATCATTGATAAGGAGGACAGCGAGGCATCGCCGTTTCTTCGCTACATCTTTCAGAACATGATTATTGAGTTTCCATTGCTCAAACACACCTGCGGCGAGGATTTCTGGCCCAAGTGCAAGGTGTTCCTGAACGAATTCAACAAGGTGAATCTGGATTCCTACTATACGCCTCGCAGCAGCGACTCCACCAAGCAACGAAAGATGATCCAGCACAAGATCCAGAAATCGCTGGTGTTTGCATTCTGCGCCAGTATCAAGACATTGCAGGGCCAAGAAGAGAGCATTCGTGTCAACCCGCAGGAGACATCCGCAACTACCACAGCGCCATTATCGCCCGTATCAGCAGCTGCTGCAGCTGCTGCCGCAGAGCAGAACGACATGTTTCGAGTGAATATCGTTACAGTACGTCAAATCAAGGAGAAGAAGACATTGCGAGAAGTTTCACATGCCGAATTCTTGATCGAAACCTGGTTTCCACATCAAACGGAACCTATTTACGTGGGTCGCCGCCATGGAGAATTTAGGCGTCTTCGAGATCAGCTCAAGCATCACTTCAAGAACATGGATATACCTCCTGCTCCATCCAAATCAACAAACACAGCACATCAGCAAGGCTTTCGTGAGAATGATAGACTCCTATTGCGTGCCTTTCTGTACCATTTGACGGGCGATCCTTGTAGCACCTCCATGCCTTCCAAGCACCAACAGCAGATCCAGAAGAGTCACATACTCCGCAAGTTCTTAACAGACTCACCCATCCTATTCACTGTGGAGGAAGAGAAGGATACACTATTGAGAGAGGCAGCTGACAAGCGCCGTCTCGATGAGCAGCAACAGTTTCAAAAGGAATTGGACAAACGAGTGCTAGAACTGAATGAAACGTTGGAAGATCTAAAGAAGGATATACTGCAGCCGGGCGGTTTAACTGGTGTATTTGACATAATCAAAAAGACGCCGCAAATGAAAGATCTGCCAGAGTCTCTCAAGAAAGCATTTGAATGGGGCCGCATTAAGTAAGTAAACTTGTGATACAGAGTAGTTTAGTAAAAGGCTGATTATTCTCTCTACTCTCCTGATAGCTTTGCATTTGCTTTGCATCGGCAGTTCTTAACATCAGATACAGCTACTGAGAATCTGAACAACCTGCGCCGAACGCATGGTCTCATGCCCTATCGCACAATGTCTGTTATTCTTCGATTTTCCAATCCCATGTCCATGGTGAAGAGCATCATGGATCTGTTCTTGGCTCAGCCGTTTGGCGGAAGAAGTTTGTTTCAGAGGTATATAATTCAAGCAACTGGGCTCGACGTTTTATGATCCATCTTACCAATCAATCCACACTTACAGGATTATCATCTCCAATATGAACGAAGAGTCAAAAGTTTTTGAAAAGGATATCAAAATTTTGGAAGAAAAGATTCAAGACAAGGTGCTATGTCAGAAAGTGTATAATGCTGTTAGAACACCGTTGCCCGAAAACTCCAACTTTAGAGGTATGTGTCTCTCTTTACCCAGGCTCGCAATGTCGATTTTTTAATCCGCAATGACATTAGATTACGATACGCGAACCATGGAGATATTGGCGTTGCTTGGCAACGATGAAATCAAGCCATTACTGTCTGCAGAGCAAATTACAATGCTTGCTACATTTGACCAAACACACGAGACCAAAAAGCTAGTCAAGCATATTGCTCAATTGTGGGAACTGTACGCACGTCAGTATGAGCAAGAACTTATGATGAATTTGGTATTCCAAGGTGTCACTGGTGAACTATTAAAAGAATTTATATCCGTCTTTTATCAACCCTTGGCACAAGTATACAAGGCTGCTGATATCAGTACTACCATACGTCACGTTGCCTCTTTCTTGGATGATTTACTGCAAGTCATTGACGAGTTGCCAGCAGATCTGGGTGTTACTGATACTATCCAGCTATTTATTGATCTTGTGCAACGCCATGAACAACATTTCTACGAATTTGTCCATAATGTGCATAGTCAAGAGGCATCGAAAGTATTTGACGAATTGGTTCAATACCTGGATAAACTATTTACGTTTGTGGCGCAAGGCATTCCTGGCAAAATCGACATTTGGCACAGCGTGGAAAAGGCGGTTAGCAAGGAGGAACTGCCGACCTTAGAACAAGAAATTGACGCTATCTGTCAATATCGATATCAGCAAAAGATGTATCATTTTGAAAGACAACGCAGAAAGTTGATGATTCATCACCATGGCAGCGGCATCCATACTGGCACCATCGAAGGATTGGCTAAAATCGCAGCTGATGCAGACCAAGAACGTCAAAATGACATATTCCAGTATATTTCCCAGCGAAAAGAACTCGTGGGCGTCATGGGTGATTTTGAAGAATTCCAATACGAGGACGATGCTCTCCACTGTTCAAGCATCAGCAGTAGTAGCGATGACGATGATATAGACGATGGCCAATCGAGTGGTTCTTCGCTAGCATCAAGAAGAAGTAGCAAGAGCAGCTCAAGTCAAATATCCCATGTTGGCATTGAAAAGCCAGTGTTGAAACTGATACCCAGAATTGTACCTTACTTTGTACAAGACGTAGTAGAAATGATGAGGAAGAGCAACCAAAATATTAACTGTATCTAATTTTTTTTATTCATATCTTATAAACAATTTCATTCATCAAGAAACTACCATCCTTGAGTTCCAGACTTGTTTGCGCCACGGATCAATAAACTTCGTAAAACTTCCCATCTCTTTTCGCATACATCTGCACTGTGTTTACCACGCAATTTTGCTTCAGCTTCTTTCCATCGACATCCGCTTAATCTTGTCAATACATGAGCCATGAGTATCTTGTCGTCATCCATTGTCCATGTTTCATAACCCCGAATGAATTCATGTTCTTGTTTTGGTGAGATGGATGGTTCGCTGACAGGTGGAGACAGTATTGATCTGGTATCGTTAGTTGCTTTTATTTGTTTATCATTGCAGTTCGAATCACGTGGTGGTGTAGGAGGTCTCCACTTTTCTTGCTCCTCATGTTTCACGAATACCTAATAAGAAGCGTTAATATATACATTACAATTATTGCAAATAATATATATATATATATACACTCTTCTCTGGCTGTTGTGCTTTACTCAAAACGTAGGCTATTAAATCCTTGGCTGAAGGTCTTCTGGCTCTGATCTTTGCCTTCAAAGGAGAGTCAGTTGGTAAGGATGTAGACTACACATGTATATGAATAAGTTGAAATACAAAGTGATGATACAAGACTAGAATACTTTACAGCAATATCAGTGCTCTCCTCATCGTCGCTATCAATCAAATTTCCCTCTCCATCATATTCTAGAAAAGGTTTGGATTTTTCTATCCATTGATAACAAGATGTTTAGCTATCGGTTACTGTACATGCAATGCTATCCAAACCTTTTGGTGTTAGGCCTCTGGGTAAAGTAGGTGATCCTGTCTTTTTGAAATTGAGGATAGTACGACGAACGCTTGGTTGATTGATTTTACACATGCGTGCAATTTGTCTTTCATTTGCTCCTGCTTGATATGCGCCAATGATGAGCCATCGTTTCGCATCTCTCTCATCTTGACTTGCCGTTGATGCTGTTAACGATTTTGCTGGTGATTTGACTCTTTTGTACGGCATGCTTTGATGTTTGTTGCTAAAAGGAAAAAGAAGAAAGAAGGTGAAAGGGGAATAAAGGAGAGAAATGTTCTGTTAGCCGACTGAAAAATTTCCACAACGCATGACGTATTGAGCCAATAGCGTTGAGATTTTGGAGCATTGCATTAAATGTAAAACGGGCCTGGTACCTGATGTCGCTCATGTCTATAACCTGATAATGAGCCATCATGTACATTTGATTTTCTCATGCTGGATTGAACAAATTTTTTGACATTCTTGAATGTAAATATTGGATCTGATTGATGCAATTTAATTCATCTTTGGCTTTGACCATTGGTTCTCTATTGTGATTATCAAAAGTGGTAGTGAGTTTCTTTATGCAAACGTTATTTCGTGAAAACATCACATGGGTATAGTAATTTCGTTTTCTATAATTTTACGAGCCTTTTGACACTTTGGGTGGTTTCCCGACTTACGGCTTCGCTTCGGTAAAAATCAACCTACGTTCAGACGGCGAGCGCTGCTGTGGGCCTTTGGCTAATATTGCAAAATTAATATAGCTAAAATACCAGAAGAATCTTGATTGCTGATTGATGTAAAATCACTAATCATATGAATGTTTATGCTTTGGATGGTTCTCTACCTTCGCTTTGCTTTGGTGAGAACCAACCTGCGCAGCAGCAGCTCATGCTACTGATTGCTATTGCGTATCTTATCAAAATACGACTACTTTCATGTTGACCCTCTACTTGCACATGAAAATCCCTCAAATTATCTGTAGATCTGATCCTTATGTGATGCTCTACATCCATATACGCATAGCTACTTCATATACGGGCAAGCAGCGTACTGGTATTTCCCCTTTTTATTCCTTAGTGTGCCTAATACAGCAAAACCTGAGTGCATTTGAGCTACGTTTTCTCGCGGTCAAGACCGTTTTAGATTGTCAGAATAGCACCAAACAGTTGCTCTCGTCTGGCAGTTTCTTTCTGACACCTTTGCTCAACTTTTTAGGGACCAAAAAAAAAACATGGCCAAAATTCGACCAAAAAGCATGAGGTACCCCTCATGGTTTTGATCGAAAATCAAACGATCGCATTTTTTGCCTTGATAATAAAGACTTTTACTATGGTATGAATTGAATCAAAATGTTTCTCTCGATCCAAAGCAACTCCTAAAGTCATCTTTGTGGGACTTTGATATGTAAAAATTCGACATTTTGGCCAGAAACCTCTTTTCATGTTTTCGTAAATTATTCAATAAGTTTATTCAAAACATCTATCTTACTTGGTACCATTGGATGCGCCTTGAAAAGCACTGCAGGAAAGCTTAAAGGAGCATAGGATGATCATCATATTTTACTTAGTCGAATCTGCAAAAATAATTCGATCGAGTCGAAAAGTACCAGAATTTGGCTAATCTAGAAACAGACTATGAGTCTGGGTTTTAATTGAGTTTGGCTGGTGGAGCTGGTTAATCATATATGAGCCATGCCTGACAAATGCCTTGAAACTCATATTAGGGTTGTAAACGTGTCTAGGGACTGAACATTTATTCTATATCTCAACTTTATTTATTCAAAGCAGTTATATTGGAGTTTTGACAATCCTCGCTTACTGTGTGATGTGCTCGCTTCGCTTGTACGGATTGCAACGTTGGCGTTGCTATGATGGTGTAATCAGTTAGTACGGTTGCACAGCCAAGGGTGCCTTAGTTCTGCTCATCAGAAATATATCTAAGATTTGAGTTAGTAAACAACAATGGTGGCACTAAAGCTTCTTTATGACAACTTGACTCATTGATTGTCTGCTGTGCGGATAAGTAAACTTATCAATGAACAAGATCTCATTATTAAAAGCGCATATAAAATAGCAGTTTCGTCGTTTAATTACTGATTAGATTTATAATTTACGACAATATGCTCCCATACCTTTTGCTCTTAACTCCTTTTCTTATCGTTGCAATCAAGCAATTTTCAAACGTCAAGATACTTGTCAAGATTTCAGAGCGTAATTTGTAAAGTTGCATTCAAATTACTATCATCTAACAAAGAGTTCATAGAATTCCGTTATAAAATGTTGACACGATTGATACACGGTATGTACAATTTAGAAACTCTTATATCTGTAGTACTAACATTGATCTTGCTTTGTTTTGACAATATCAAATCCAATAGATAATTTCTCGTTTATGAAGAGTAGAGAAATCCCAATTGACGAGGTAAATTTTAGAAAATTTTCTGTATCCAAATCAATCAATTGATGTTTGTATTTAGGTCAACAAATTGGAAACGGAGCAATCTGTATCCAATGTAGATCAGTTTACACCGCCTGCTGTTGACTCTCTTCTGCAAAGACTGGAAATTCTAGAAGACATACTCTGTAGCAGCCAAAAGTCTCTCACTGAATCTCAAGCAATTGCAAAGATCAATGACCTTGTGGAAGCATCAAAAAATATGGAATTGACGCTCTCAAATTTGCAGGAAAAATACATTGATTTACATGCTAAACAGAGCAACTACAAAACAACCATAACCAACATAAACCGCGTAAAGAAAAACCAGCAGCTTCTTGGATCGAGGTTGGATTTGTTGGAAAACAAGAGAGAACAAGATGACGGTTATGGTAATAGTGCTGCTGAGCAGTTTTTGGAATCTCGGATCAAACTTTTGGAAGAAGCTTTATTCAGTGTGCAAGCCTTTGAACCCAACGCACAGTTGATAAAAGAGATGAAGGATTTATCCGAAAAGAACAAGGCTGCAGAAGTCAAAAACAAGTTCTTGCAAAAGAAACTGGCCGATACTCATGCAAATCAAGTGGTTCTTCGTGTAGATTTGGACAATTTGGACCGCAGAACCGCAAGTATCCGAGAAGATTTGGATAGCATGAACAATACAGTTGCAACAAAAATTTTGGCTTTGAAAGAAAAGAATGTCTCTATTGCTTCTAACAAAAAAAATGACAACCAAGAACAAAATAGCATGAATAACACAACATCACCTACACAATCATCTGAACATTAGCTTATAAACTTTTCTTTGACACATTTCAAAAATAAACACGCTTTTTGTATCTAATACATATTTACTAATGCGATGTATAAAATGTAACATCTTGCTCTTGGTCCCCTTTTTATGAGCTTCCAACAGCATCAATTACCTCCACAATCATGGTACAGCATTTGGCAACAGCAGCCAGAATTATTAATTCTCCGCTTATTTTCATTTCGCTCGAAATAGAAATAATTTGTTCAATTTTCGACTTGTATGAAGTATTTTTAAGATTCGACTATATAAATCGTGATGATCATCCTAACCACCTTAAACTCTAGGTTTCGCACCTTATTAGTAGTAGATTTCTTTCCCAACTTAGTTCAAAAATTTCTTATTCCCCTTCATTGCAGACATTGGGTCCACCAACAGTCTTTTCTTTCCCTCAGTATGACATTTTAAGGACTTTAAATAAAACCTGGAGCTCGTCTCCCCTACAAAAAAAAACCCCCACCTTAAGCTTTCTTGTAGTACTTTTCAAGACCTATCTAATGGTACTAATTATAAAAGGTGTTTTAAATAAATTTATTGAGCAATATTAGAAAATATGAAATAAGGTTTTTGCAAAAAAAAAAGTTGATATTTTGTATATATAAGTCTCGCAAAAGTGGTTTCAGGGGTTGCCCTAGATCGATAGAAACACTTTGATTCAATATATACCATAGTAGAAGCCTTCATTTTTGAGGTCGAAAACACGATCGTTTGTTTTTCGTTGAAAACCATGAGGTATCCCTCATGGTTTTGGGTCGAATTTTGGCGATCCCAAAAAAGTTGAGCAAAAGTATCAGCAAGCCATTGCTAGCTCAGAGCAATTGTGTGGTGCTATCCTAACGGTCTAAAACAGCTTCTAACGCGAGAAACTACGGCCTAAATATACCCAGATTTCGCTGTATTTTGCATTCTCGTGGGTAGTAAAAGGCAATTTAAGTATGCTATCTGCCCTTATATGAATGCTTTTACTTGATGCAAACGTGTAACATAATGGAATAACAGTCAGATTCATGATTACAAGTCGATAATGGAGAAATCTACGTCGTGAAATGAAAAAAGTCAAAATGTGAGACTTCAATACGCATTAAAAAGATACTAGGATTTATTGAAGTTTTTGTTTGATGAAATAAAAAAGTCCTTCCTTAAGGAAAGAATAAAATAAAATAGAGGTAATAGTACAAAAGGTAATTATAGTAATATAATTAAGAATAAGTTTACAAGGGGATGGAAGAATTGATTAATTTTAAGCTGAAGACTTTTCCTCATAGTCGTATTCAACTTCTTGATTTTGCTTCTCGTCATGACGACCAATGGCATCATCTGCAACATCAGTAGCATCATTTTTACCGTGACAATAATAGAACAGTGGAGCACAGATACCCATAGCAATAGAGATACCAGCATACATCCACTTGAGCTTGGGGTTATAGGCAACAGAGACAAGAGCGAAACCAAGAACGGAACCAAGACAGTTCATGAACAAAAACAAGGCCATGACCAAAGACTTCATCTTCTCAGGAGCCTTCTTGTAAGCATATTCAAGGCCAGTGATAGAAGCAAAAATTTCTGAAATACCAATCAAGATATAAGCAGGGACAATGTAACCAGCAGACACGTCGTTCTTGTTGGTACCACTTGGGTTGTCATAGTATGGACCAGTGCTGTAGATGAGAGCTTGAATGCCTGCAGCGTAGGCCATAGCAAGAGAAGCAAAGATAAAACCGCAGGTGATACGCATGATGGGACGGAAAGGAATACCAATTCTACGGAGGCCAGGATAAACAAATTTATCCATGAGAGGAATGAAGAGGACGAGAGTCAAAGGATTGATGTTTTGCATGATATCATTGGGGACATTGCCAGTTTGCATAGTAGCAGCCATGGAAACCATGTTGCTAGTCATTTGGGAGTAGCAAAGCCAGTAGATGGGATACCAACAAAAGACAAGACAGGCCCTGAAAGTACGCTTCAATTCATCAATAAAGACATCATCCCAAGTAGCCTTGGCAGCAAGTTCAGGGTGGGAAACGGCCAAATTACTGGGCTTACAGCCCTCAAGGCCGTTCTTGAAAGAGAGCTTGATGATCTTGAAGACTTCCACAAAGATGGAGCCACGGGGAGGATTGCGAACGTAGAATTTTTTACCCAAAAGCACAACGCAAATACATGGAATGAAAACGAGGGTAGGCAAAAGAAAAGCAGCCCAGAAACCAACTTGTTGTTCGATTACGATGGTGGTGATGGCGATAAGACTACCGACATTGATACCTAGAATAGTGATTGATGCTCGGTTAATAAACACGTTTATGCCCTTCTTTTTGAGATATACATACCCCAATAAAAGTAATTGAAGAGCTTTTGGTATGTAGCTTGAGGAGAGACGATAACACGAGTTTCAGAGCCGGAGGCAGCAACAACAGTTTGGCCGTGAGCAGGCATATCACCTTCATCAGCAGTGTATTTGGAGGAGGTCTTGTGTTTGATGGTTCTAATGAAAGGCTTGGTGTTCTTGTATTGTTCAGCAACGAGGGGAGACACATTGGCCTTAATACCGCCAGCAGCAAGACCAATAACAATGATGGCGACAATGAAACCAGGAAAAGTAGCACCAGCTGAAATGGCAGCAGGCATGGCAGTCAATGTCAAGATGAGCAAACCGAGGAAGTAAAGACCAGAAAAGACAAGAATGGTCTTGTATTTGCCCCAGTATTGATCAGCAACGATAGCGCCGATGATAGGAGTAACATAACACCAGAACTGGAAGAAGGTATTCAATGCAGTAGCCGTTTGTTGACCTCTACCCATAGCACCAGGCAATTCAGCGGGATCTACCGAGGATGGGTCAATTATTGGCTCACATTCAACATCTAAACCAACCTACATGATCCAGGGTCAGGATTTTGGATATAGTTTTGGAATGGACCTGTTAAGCCATAGAATGTGAATCTCTCACAGAATTCAATAAGGATGACGAGGTAAGCAGCTTTAGGAATATGATCAGCGACTTCTCTCAAATGCTTGTAATCTTCGTCGGTGGGCTCAACGAGGATTTCGCCAGTTTCGGACACCTCAAAACCACCTTCATGTTCTTGCACGACGACTTCTTGCTTTTCTTTTTCACTCATAGACGAAGTATAGTAAAATATAGCTGAAAAAAAGGTGATAAATCGAGAAATGCATGCTGCTTTATATACACGGATCAGAAAACTGTTTATTTCGGAGTTACCTTGATAAGATGAATGGAAAAGGTGAATTCATGTTTTTCTATTGTCAAACCCTCCTCGTACGCTTCCTCAAGTTCTATTTTCCATTTAAGAGCAAGAAAATTCCATGGTCGTTGAACGGGTAGCCGTGTGTGGTAAAATTGTAAATGAATCCTGGGAATTCTTCTTTCTATCTATCATCTTTTGCAATGACGGAGCAGATGAAGATTGCAAGATTGAAGTTTTTGATCTCTTCAGTGTATCAACTTTAAAATAGCACTGCGGATCAAATAGCTCAAATTACATTGCAAGAAAACCATGCACAGCACACAGCACAGTGGCCAGTTTAATTTACCAAGAAATCATCTGAAAATGTCGTAGTACAGTTGTAACCATATAATCTTAGATTTGAGTGCCCTTAAAATCAAATCTTTGGTATTGATGGTGCACGAAATGCACTTGTATTACAAGCAATACCTCGTTTTGTACTGAATCTTGAATAAAAATTCTAGCTATTTATTTGATTGAAAAAGGAAAGAAAGCACAAATAGAGTAAGTGCAACGCCTAGAGAATATGCATCTCTCTCTCTCTCTCTGGCGCAATGCATTCATCTAAATGCATTGCAGCTCGGAGTCAAGGGCGATATGAATTTATTTAAAACTATATCGCAGCTATACAATGCAATGTGATGTGATGCGATGCAATAAGGCACAATATCTTCTTTTTAGCTTTTCGCGCTGTTGTTGAGCTGGTTTTCTTGTCAAGTTTCACCAGCAAACTCATTTTTTTCTCGACGTTCCAAACCAAATATAATATAAAGGGCATCAAGGAAAGAAGGGAAGGAATGATCCACCAATGAACGATAAGAAAATCTCATATCACTGATGATACAAAGCTGATCATTTCATTACATGAAAAGAAATCATAATTTGTAACATTAGTTCGGGATTTGGCCGTCTTGAAAGCCTCATACGCGTTTAGCTCATCACATTTAGCGCATCGTGAAATCTTTCAACAGAAATCGGTTGTTTAATGAAAACAGTATGCGATGACAAATTAGATTGCTTGAAAAGTTAATGTTTCCTTGTGACAGATGAACTATTTATTATTACTAAATACTACAACTGCCTTATTGGCATGGGTCACGCTCCATGTATACAAGAATAGCTGCACCGATTAAATGGAGAGAAATCGGAGAAACCCCTTAGAGGATCAAAGATACACAAACACACATGATTTTTACCACGAACCCTCGCTTTGAGGATGCCAATTTTCTCACATTCAAAGATTCACGACTTGCGATTCTAACATCCCACATCAGGGAATGGTTACAATAATACAGGCTCTTGCGCTCTTCTTTTCAAGCTACAAATCATACTTTTTTTTTCTTTCCATTTTCTGATTCATGTTTCAAATTTTAAGAAACCTTACGATGATTACATGAAAATATTGATTTTTTTTATTAAAAAACTGCATACGATGAAGCATCAAACTATGTATAAAGGTATATATTACAAAAAAACAGATTAGATTATGTATGATAAGAAATAGATGTCTAAACAGCAGGCTTGAATTCAGCTTCATATTCAGCGAAAACTTCGGCCTTCTCAGCTTCTTGATCATGATCACCTCTGATACCAATTGCATCTTCAGCAACATCCGACTTATCGTTCTTTCCATGGCAGTAGTAGAAGAGAGGAGCACAAACAAACATAGCAATGGCAATACCAGCGTACATCCATTTGAGCTTAGGATCAACAGCAACAGAAACGAGTGCAAAACCAAGAATGGATCCGAAGCAGTTGGTAAGCAAGAAAAGAGCCATTACCAAGGACTTCATCTTTTCAGGAGCCTTTCTGTAAGCGTATTCAAGACCAGTGATGGAAGCGAAAATTTCAGAGATGGCAACCAAAACATAGGCAGGGACGATCAGACCAGCAGATACATCATTTTTGCCATGGCCAGTAGGATGGTCGTAGTAGGGACCTTGCATGTAAATGTAAGCTTGGATACCGGAAGCATAGGCCATGGCAAAAGAAGCAAACAAGAAACCGGTGGTGATACGAGCCATAGGACGGAAGTTGATGTTCATACGACGAAGGGCAGGGTAGAAAACTCTGTCCATGATGGGAATAAGAATGACGAGAGCTAAGGGATTGATGTTTTGCATGATATCATTGGGGACATTGCCAGTTTGCATAGTAGCAGCCATGGAAACCATGTTGTTTGTCATTTGAGAGTAACAGAGCCAGTAGATGGGATACCAACAAAAGACGACACAGGCCCGGAAGGTACGCTTCAATTCATCAACGAAAATGTCATCCCAGGTAGCCTTAGCAGCAATCTCAGGATGCTCGCTTCTCAATACAGAAGGCTTACATCCCTCAAAACCGTACTTGAAAGAGAGGCGAATGACCTTGAAAGCTTCAAAGAAGATGGAACCACGAGGAGGGTTTCTCACATAATACTTCTTACCAGCGAGAACGATCAAGATACCAGGAATGAAAACAAGAGTGGGCAAAAGGAAAGCAGGCCAGAAACCAACGTTTTTCTCCAAGATAACGGTGGTAATGGAAGCCAAGGAACCGCAATTGATACCTAATGAAAGCAGACACGTCTCGGTTAGTAAAACTTTTTCTCGATTCCTGTTGTTCTAAAATAGTTGCATACCCCAATAAAAATAATTGAAAAGTTTTTGATATGTTGCTTGAGGAGAGACAATGACGCGAGTTTCAGCACCATCATGAGCAGCGGCAGTAGCATTATGAGTAGGCAGATCACCCTCATCAGCAGTATATTTGGAGGATTTCTTGGGAACTAATGTCTTGACATACGGTGTTGTGTTTTTATATTGCTCAGCAACCAAAGGAGACACATTGGACTTGATACCGCCAGTAGCAAAACCAATGATAATGATTGCAACGATGAAACCAGGGAAAGTGGCACCAGAGGCGATGGCAGCTGGAATGGATGTCAAGGTCAAGATGACCAAGCCAACGAAATAGATACATGCAAAGATGAGGATAGTCTTGTACTTGCCCCAGTATTGATCAGCGACAACGGCGCCAATGATGGGAGTGATATAGCACCAGAATTGGAAGAAGGTAGTCAAAGCAGTGGCAGTTTGTTGTCCCTTGCCCATGGCACCGGGCAATTCTGCAGGGTCTATGAGATGACAATGGTATGAGTTTGAATGAACGTGAGAATATGAACGTGAGAAAAAACACTGAAAACTTACAGGATGGAGGGTTAGGGTTCTGGATATAATTCTGGAAGGGACCGGTCAGACCTAAAAAAAAAAAAATTGACAGAAGGTCAACATCTGCAGTAATTGCATGTATATATACATAGTATCTTACCATAGTAGGTGAATCTTTCACAAAATTCGACAAGGATAACAAGGTAGGCGGCCTTGGGGATGTCATCAGCAACTTCTCTCAAGTTTTTCCAATCCTCTGCGGTGGGTTCAGGGCGAATCTCGCCATATTCATCCACTTGATAGCTTTGTTCTTCATGCTCTTTTACGATAACATCATGTTTAGAGTCTTTATGGTCTTCCATGACATTATCACTCATTGCAAGGATATTCTTTAGAAAAATAGAAGAGAGGAAAGAAGAAAATATTCCTTTAAACACAAACATTATCGATTTATATATCCAAATCACAGTAAATTCGATTGAGTTTCGGATGTTTAACATCATTGAACGAGACAAATTTCCTCCTCTCTCCAATGCTTATTTAAAAATAGAAAGTTCTTCGTTTCCTGGGTCATTTCCTTTTTATAATTACTAAATGTGGTAAAAATCGACATTGGTAGGTCATGGAGATGATGGAGGATATATTATTATACGAGATTTCCTTCTTCAGAGTTTGCACTGACGCGTTGATGTCTCTTGCGGTCCACATTCTCATAGAAAGCAATTACCTTGTCATTCGCCTTAACAACCTCTTTTGAGAAATTAAACACCTGCAGATTTTCCATGCTTCTCACTCGAGACAATGCAACGTAAGCGTGACCAAAATCAAAGCTGTTTTTCAGATCAATTCGCAGGTAATCGATTGTTTGTCCTTGAGATTTGTGAATTGAGAGCGCCCAAGCTAGAATCAATGGAATTTGCACTCTTGTTGCTACTGCGTAGCCTATTTTTCATAAAGTGAATGAGTAATCATAATACAAGACATAGATAAATTCAGCCCTAGTTTTACCGTGCGAGTCAAATGTAAAGCTATACTGGGTTATCATCAACTTTTCACCGTTTGTGAATGTCACCACAGGATACAATTTCTTCTGCTCATCCTCTTTGAATCCTGAAACGACACCTCTGGATCCGTTGACTAATGTCGATGTCAAATTCTTGGTTAGCATGACTTGGGCATCTACTTTGAGTGTAATCTCTTCAGGCGCTATACAATGTTTTAGAAGCCCTGGTTGGCCAGAGTCTGTTGATTTGTATGTGATGGGCTCTCCGCTCAAAGCTGTCAGTTTTCCGTAATTCGCCGCATCCAGTTCTTTTCTAAGGGGGTATCTTGAAAAAAAAAATCATTCTTATGGTTCCATTTAACCATGAAAGTGGACTTACAATTCGGTTGGTTCGATGCCATGATGGATTGTCAGTGGTCGCTGCAGTCTTTGGAGCTCCATTAACGTCTTGTCCGAAACCACACCTCGTTTTAATTCGTTCAGGATGTCCGTAAAATCTGCAATTGTTTCAGACGCAGTTTGTTAGCGATCTTCGGGTCTGATAAGTAGAGTTATTGAGCCCAAACTCACGTTGATCTGTCTGTCTGAAGGCTTTTGTCAGAGTCATTGTCTCTTGGACAGCTCCATCCCAGCATTCGGCTTCAAATGCGTATTTTATAAAGCGGCTATTTCGATTGATGGGCGGCAGCTGATAGAAATCTCCACACAATACTAATTGCATTCCCCCAAATGGGGCCAAGCTGTCCCTCAACGCTTGCGCAATTTGACTGATTTTGTCAAATAGCCTGGCATCAATCATGGATATTTCATCTATAACAAGCGCTTTGAGTGAGTTGATTTTGCTGTAAGTTCTCCCTTGCTTTCGAAGCATTTTGGTGTAATGGTCAACACTTTTGTCCCCCAGACCTATGCCGAATTCACTGTGTAGCGTAACTCCTCCAATATGACATGCTGCAAGACCTGTAGATGCCGTTACTGCAATTTGGTTTGCCCCATACTTGGATTGAAGCCCTTTGATGATGGCTCTCAGCACAACCGACTTTCCTGTACCAGCTGTTCCTGTTAGGTAAATACTTTTCCCCAAACGAACAACGCTATCGTAGATGGCTAGTTGTTCGTTTGATAGAGATTTCGTCAAATCAGGATTGTGCGGGCTGTTGGAGTTTTGGATACTGTCACTTGACTTTTTGACCCAATTCCCTTCAATTGGTGGTGCTTGGATAATACGACTCGACGAAGGCATAGACGCAATGCCTGGTATAGGAAAGACGGCTGACGATGAATGGGCTTGAGATGATTGAATTATAGTTTGCTGATTAATTTGAGCATAGCGGTTTTGTTGAGCAGGATGATTGTGCTGAGCAGAATGATTATATTGAGCATTGTGGTTGTCTAGAGCATTGTGGTTGTCTAGAGCGTCATGGTTGTGTTGAGCAGAGCGATTGTATAAACCAGGAGGATTTTGAACCGGCAATATTCTTCGAGCCTTTTGTGAGGGGGTAATAGTGTATTGATCTGCGCAGATCTTTGAATATGTATCTGGCTGCATTTGCGCACTCGGCAGAGGCATATTCGAATCACATACTTGAGGAGCACGCATTACCTTGGCAGGTGCCTGAGAATGGCTGCTGTTGCTGGCGGGGCTCTTTCTTTTGGCAGGTATCGCTGAGGGCAGTGTATTCGTAATTCTTTTGCCCAACATGGCATTCAATCCCGAGATGGGCGAAGAAGCATTGATGGTAAGTCCATGCAGTCCAGCAGCAGGATGATAATAAGTGTTTTCGTCTATAGAATAGCCTTGCTCGTCCTCTTGTTCTTGTAAGGTTTTAGTCATGACCATAAAAGAGTTGTGATATAGCGATCGAACAGCTCGAGCTTTGATTTTGTTGCATGTCCGCCCAGACATGAGGTCGCGACAAGGCCGCACTTTCGTGAGACGCGTACATTTGACGGTCCTCGTTGCTCGTCCTGCAAGGTGCGACCAAAATTCAGGTATCTGATGCCATCCAGAATTGCAGTAACATAGTTCGCAATTGATGGTGGAATGAAATAACCTAGCTGATGTAGTAGAGCATATCGAAGCAAATCAGTTTATTATAAATTCAATAAATTTGCAAGTTTGACACTGACTACAGGAACCTCATCCGCTTCTTCATTATGGTGATGGTGATCAAGCTCCTGCGGATGACGGGGTAAATTGAGGCCATAGGAATTGGCGTGCTGGTGGCTGCCGCTTGTTGGATCCTCTGTATTGCTCTCTTCTTCCTCGCTACTGGTCTCATCCTCATCGGATTCATCGTCTGATTCTGCAAGTATGATTCCAGCCTGAGGACCTCGATGCAATCTGGCATGAATTTCAATTTTTTCCAACGGGATGGGTTGACTGTACTCGGCACTATCGGGTCTGCTGTCGTTTTTGTGAGCAATGTAAATGAGATAGCTCTCGACTACCCATGGAAAGCTCATGTATCTCTGCAGTGTTTTGCTGTAAACCATGTCGCTCTTGATTTCAGATGGATGATACGTGACATAGTACCAAGCTGCTGCTTTTGCCTCAATTTCAACCGATTGATCCTTCGTATCGGCTCTGGGCGGCTGTCCATTGTCAACTGCATCGCTGGCCCATTGTGAATCAAAAATTCTTTTCCAATATCCTCTGAAGCGGATATAAGCAGCCTTGATGCGCTCCAAGAATTGAGGGCGGTATTGTTCATTGAGGTACTTTGGCCATTCAATGATATGGCCTGATATGAATTCAATTTCTGTCTTGACTGAATACTGGCCAAGCAAGATGCGCAAGCTGTGGTCGTACCTGGCTTTCATCTTGCGTGCCTCGATAATGTATTTGTACATGTCTTCCACATACAATCGGGTGTCATAATAGCAGTGGCTGTTGGAGAGCGGCCTTTCGTACATGCTTTTGGTGGTGCGATAGAGGGATCCCAATGGTGTGGATGATGTGTATGTTTTGAGAGGCCGCTGTCTCATGAAGTCTGGGTATGGGTATTGCATGAGATCATACTTGATGGTGGCGTACATGCCAGTTTTAGCAAAATCTAGTAGGAGAATTATTACACATGTATGACACGCTTTGCTAAACACTATTACCCAAAGCTCTCGACATTTGCAGAGACATATAAATGCAATCGCCGTTAAAAACACCGTCCTTGTGTCGATCTGCTACGGCGATAAATGCTTCATGCAGCTTTCTGGACATGTCTCTAGCTATATAAGTAGTGAAGAACTTGGCGGCTTCTCTGAACGAGATTTTCTTGGATTGATGAGGCGTCATTACAGTTTGATAGCTTCGTGCGGCCACATTGCATTTGGCAGGTAAAAGACGCGTATCCCAAATGACACTGTATATTGCACTATAAGAAGACATGCTGCATATGTTGAACACTAGAAGCCTTACTTGAAATTGTCTTCATCTGGGTCATCATTCGAGCACAAACTAGGGAGATCACAGTGGTCAATGGACGAAAAGATCAAAACATTAGTATAGTGTCTCAGCTGGGAGTAGTTGATGGCAGCCATGACACGCACATCACCAGGAAAGCAGGAGGAGTCTCTGTAGATAACAACAGGGCCCTCAATGACTTTTCTGTTGGCCGCTAAACCTGATGGATCCGTGATTTGTAAAAAGACTTCGCCTGGCTTCAATGTCCCTGTCTCGTCCATGGCAGCAAACACCCTGACACCTTGATGAACATAGAGTTGGCATTGCTGAAGATACCTGAGAACATGGTTCTGATAGCTAGAAACGAGATTGGTTATGAACGGATCATGCCTGTCTTGGAACTTGCAGTCAAGGATCTGTCTGAAATGGTCCATGCGTCCATTTGAGTAGTGCACATCCATCATATCCATGTTGGGGTACTTTTCACAATAGTCCATGTTCTCATCCAGCAACTGATGAAAGATGTAGTTCTCGACACCAAGAGATGACAGCAGCAAAATAGACTTTTCGTTCAGATAGAGCTTGTTGGGCTTGGAATACTTGATAACCTCCAGCGAGAGCTGTGTGCTTTCAAAGTGAATCTGGCTTGATCTCAGTTGAATTCTGCGTTTGGTCAGAAAGTTGGACAACAGGAGAATGCCTCTGGCACCGTTAAGATTAAACTTGATCACGGAGGGCGTGTAATCCAACTCGAGCTGCTTGGCTACTTCTCTGGCAATCTGTGGCGACATTTTGCCGCATTCCGTAGTAAAAATGTGTTGGTTATATATGTAGTCCTCCACTTCCTCAATGTATTCTCCTCTGATCTGTACATGCATCAACCGAGGCGTCAATGACTATATTACTGTTAATCCACATGCTATCTCGTGATACAGAGAGCTTTACTTACCTGTCCTGAACAATTGATAAAGGTCGATATAAACTTGATTTCTGAAAAATCGCCCAGCCAAGCCATGATCTGGCTTCGACTCACTTGGGGTGTTGATGCAAAAAACCAGCAGCCATGTGCCCGCAGGTCCTGCATGCTGGTGCCCAGAAACTTGTAGGTTCTCCCTGCAATTCTCAATCCACGACGCAGGATGTTGTAGATGCGATCAAACAGCTTTGCGTTTTGCGATGTCTCCTCGTCTTCTTGAGGCGCCACCAGGCTCAAATCTTCGTCTGTGAACTGCAAATACAAGAATCGATCTGTGTGCTCTTTAAAGTGATACTGCAAGTGGGTCATTGGTTCCACAGTGGGTTGCATTGGATACACGGACGTGGGTGTCACCAACACACGTCTCGTCCAGGCACAGTCGTCGGGTATTGGTATTTGAAAGCCAATTTGGTCTTTGCATAATCTGTAAATATACTTAATAACCGTGTCAGGATTGTACACGCGCTGTTGTGGTGCTGACAACAGTGTCAAGAAGACGCAGCTCACTTGGGGTGGCAGTTCTCGCATTTTTTCGAAAAAGTCCAGATCCACATTATACTCCCGTAGTATCTTGAGTCGAAAAGCGTGCTCCATCATATACTGGACCTCAAATGCCATGTCTGCAATTTGTCGCTCAAAGTCGATTGTTTTGGTAGATGACCTGACAAGGATCTGCTCGGTCAAACGCTGTTGATGCCCACCCACGGCTTGTCTCAGCTTGTACTCGATGGCTTCATGCGTCACATTGCTGGGCGAGAGTGATGCTGGATCCTTCTTGCTGCTCAACGGGATGTCAAACTGCAAGCGGTACACGGTCCACATGCCGAGCTTTATGTTGTGATCTGGGTATTGTCCACCAGGCAAAATAGGCCCTTTGTTCTGACTCGCACCTTTAGCTGCCTTTTGACGGATCATATCTTGAGAGAATTCGTCCAACGGGATGTCTGTCACCCTCTCCCAATCTGATAAATAATATGTGTCGCCAAGTTCCTCCATTGGCTTCTTTGATTTCCAGACGTAGGCAGGGTATTTACCACTTAAAGTAAGTGATGTCTTGTTGTCGTATCTCTGCAATATAACATTGTCTCGCAGATTGTCATCGTACATAATGCGCAATCGATAGTAGCCATCCACATGCTGGAAGAATATATCAATGTACTGATCGTTCAAGTTGAGGTCGAAAGCAACGTACTGATCAGTTGACCACTCTTCAATGAATAAGCGTGGAGTCTCCAGTCCACCAAGCGACAGTTTGTTGGCGGGTATTGCTCTACTGAAATCAGCAATGTATTCTGCTATGGGCAATGGCTGCACGACAATCAGTCGATCAAGGATGTAGATCTGTTGAGTAAAGAGGTACTCGGATGGCTGTGAGCTGTAATAAACGGGCCATGTTAGCTAGAGCGTAACATGCATCAGCTTGCTTACTTGTATATAATGGCTGCTTTGCTCAGTTGTCCCAATTTGATTTCAAGCTGTATGATAGTGCCAAATGCACCGAGGACTCGCCACAATGTGTCTCTGTCAGTCTGAGGACTTAGATTGGATATCAAATAGCAGAAAGCATCCTCCTCTAGTGATGTTTATGGGTATACTGCATCGCTATTCTTGTATCTGTGCTTACCAAAGTTTGAAGTGGATGATAGTGACATTTTACAACAGAGAACAAGAGGAAAAGTGATAACATGCTTTCGGCGTTCTGCATGTTTATATACTTTTTGTGCTTTCCAGTCACAGGCCATCAAGGTGGATCAGGTTGTTTCAAGGAACACTTGTTTATCCAATGTCAAGACCATATGCTTGGCTTCATGCTTTATCAGTGTTGTTGATTAGTTTCATTGAAGTATCTTCAAATAGCCAGAATACGCACATGATACCTCCCTACTTTGATCCACCTGGATCCATCATGTTATTTGATCTGCTTGAAGAGCGAGAGAGAAGGAACAATCAAATGTCGGCTATTCAACATGAGCTCATATCTAATGGATTTTGACATTTCGCATTCATGAGCATTTCTTTCCTCTCCTTTCATCCTCATAACATGCCCAGAGAAAATTGCCGCTGCGGCCTGCCTCCATCCTGCTTAGAAGTAAAGGCGCCGGGAGAGAATAGAGGCCGTTGGTATTGGAAGGTAAAAACCAGGCACAAAAAGATGGCCAATTTATCACATACTCACTATTCACAGTGTTCAACAGGTACCTGCCGATATTTCAAATGGGACAATTCAGCCATGCCCTTCATTCGGCATCCAACAGAAGCTTATGCTGCTGCCAATACACTAGGCAGTCTTTCAAGACGTCCAGCCTCAATTCCATACTACTACAGAACGCCCAGCAAAGAAATCACACTAACACGTACCACTGTCAAAGTCGTGTTTAGTTTGGTCTCTGCAGACTGCATCACTATCAAGGCTCAAAAAAACCTGACAATTGATCCACTCATCAAAAAGATCAATGGCGTGCAATGGGACGAACATCGTCAATTGTGGACTATTCCAACGTCCATGCGGATCTACAACGATGCCATGCGATCGCTGCCAACAGATCTGCCCAACATCCATCTCGACATTGAGCCCATTCCAAAGTCCTTGATTGAGCTGTTGCACCCAGACGAAGCAGCAGATGACCCTGATATTATAAACGAACCAGAGCTCAAGTGGACTGAATTCGTGGAATCACCCATGCGATCTCGACTCAATACATTCCAGCGAGAAGCGGTACGATTAGGCGTAGAGAGAAGAGGACGTATTCTGATGGGAAACGAGCATGGTGTGGGTATGAAGGAACAAGCACTTGCACTAGCTAATGTCTATGAGAACGAAGGCCCTGTGCTACTGACATGTCCTGGTATCTTATGCAGCACGTGGAAGGAGGAAATTCAGAATTTCTTGGATTTGGAGGACGACGAAGTGTGCATTCTGGATAATGTGCTGAACGGGCTGTTTAGAGAAAATCCATTGGTGATGAAGCGAAAGAGAGTGACGCCTACGCCAACAAAGAAGAGATCAACAACACGAGTGAGACAGCCCTACCAAAAAAGAATGAAGATGCGCATGGAGAACCCAGACTATGAGAACAGCTCATCAGACGACGAACAGGAAGCCGAAGGTGTGGGCAACAGCGACGTGTACGAGATCTTGAACAGAAAACCTGTGAAATACTACATTGCAAGCCATAAAAAGGTCTCCAACAACAAGACCAAGATTGCAGATCAGCGGTTTAAGGTTATGATTTGTGATGCTGGCCATTATCTGAAATCTAAAGACGTGAGTATGTGTGCGCCTTGTGTGGTTAGCAGTAGTCTCATACGCCAACTGTAGCAAAATTTACCCAAGAATCTGTGTGCGCTATTAAAGAGGACCCCAAGAGCGATTATTCTATCCGATACAGCCATCTTCTCATTGCCCATTGACCTCTACATGCTGATTGACAGCATTGACGAGAAGCTGCACAAGGATGTGGAGGCCTACACGCAGCGCTATTGCAATCCCAAAAGCACGGTGTTTGGTTGGACAGTCAATGGTCGATCCAATGTGGAGGAATTCAACTTTTTCATGAATAGAAAGATTTGGTATTGTCCCAGAGCCGTTGATATGAAGTCTGAATACAGAGATGCCATTCGAGACAAGATTGTCGCCACTATCAAACCGCAAGCAAAGCGCGAATTCCATGTACATTTCCTGGCATTGCAATCTGGAGAACATGAGTTTGACGACTATGTCAAGGAACACAACTTGGTAAGTCCCGATTGCATGATGATGTGGATGCCTGTGTATTGACGGATGATACTCTAAAGCTCAAATTGACAAACGACGCCAAAAAAGACGCCATTTACGATTTTATGGAATATGTGTTTTTCACTTATAAACGGCCCAAGATTGCGATAGCTTATTTTGACGACACTACCTTGCTCCATATCAAGGAATCCATGGCAAAGAAAAAGGTAAGTTGAGGAGTAGGGCTCTGATTATCAAAAGGACATTCACTCAGCTTTTCTGCGGTGCTAGATGAAATATGTTGAATTTAACAATATTCAAGATTTAAGTGACAACGTGGACAGATACAATGCAAGTCGTACAGAGCAATTTGTGTTTGTGAATATGAAATTGGATGATCTCAACATTTGCCTAAGTGCAGTGGATATCGTCGTGATGATTGATTTGCCCACAACCAGAGAAAAGTTGCAAGATGTCGAGTCGTATTTCCAGGTACGAGCATGCATTATGGTATATGATGTGAGACTCATGCTTATATCCTTCTAGTTTGCTGATAGAAAGACACCACTGATCATCAAATACTTGATTGCTCCAGAAACACTCGGTAATTATAGAGCTAATCATGAAAAAACAGCTTATTGATCACATTTGCATAGACACCTATCTGTGGCCAGCTATCATGCCAGAAGACCAAACAGCCCTACAGTACAATATGTATGCAACTGATGATGACAAGTATGAGGCAGAAGATATTTGGGATGCCTCTCTTGATGGTAATGATTTGCAAGAGTTGATAAAAGTGGAGGCATTGGCTATTCCTGTTGATAGTAGCAAGGCGGAGAAGGCTATGAAAGAGGAGGCCATGAAAGGCGAAGCCGTAAAGGCGAAACCGTAAAAGAGGAGGCCAAGGCTATCTCGCTGGATTCACCATCACCACCTCCCACGTTGGCCGTTCTCTGTGATTAAGCATATTCTTCACTCGGAGCGTTGAAGTATGGTGCTGGGTGCGAAGAAGATAGTTCACATCAAGCAATTATATTTGATGATTAAGTTTGTAATATTTCTAGTATATCATCATAACATAATAAATTTATGGTCCCTAGACACTTTCAAAGCCTCAAAAAGAAAAAAAGCTGATCTAAAAGCTATTTTGATACACTGGCGTTATTAAATATAGAATAAAAGGAGAATAGCATGACTAGAAACAATGCTATTCAATTTGCCACCTACTTTCCATACGCATCAAAAGCATCTATTACTGTATTGCCTTCATGATGGAAAGGGCACTGAATTTGCCAGCCAGCCCCGCCAGCTGCCAAAATTAATTCCGACTCAGACATTTAGTCTACTTCAAATTGGACAAATTCTTATGAATTTTCGATTTGATCAAATTTTGATGATACTGGACTCGATCGATGGCTTCCTCCGCTAAAAAACAGAGTGATAACAGTGATCCACCCACACAAGGTGGCTCAATGGATTCTAGCCATAATCCAAGCAATCAACTATTTACTTACCAATCCTTTACCGATGCTCTCAAGGAACAGAAGAGACACAACTTTGAAGTTGTGCCGGATGTGGATAACAACACATTCAAACCTCTGAACACCTACTCAACATTCATTGAAGCTAAAGAACGCAATTCTATCGTCATCGACTGTGCTCAGTTCTTGGGCATGGAGTTCAAGGACACGACTCTCCTCAAGGTACTGCGAGAACAGTTTCCCAAATGCTTAGGTCTCAAGCCTAGGATCATTGGCAAAAACAGGAAGAAGGCCATTGAACTTGGGTTCTCAACTGAAAACCTCTGTCGCGACGCTCTCTTGAAGGAGTTCAAGGTCAATGGAAAAGTCATTGAAGTCAACAAGACTCTGAATCACACTGCAAACGTAATCAACATTGGTATCTCTGAGATCCCACTCATGGAAGAGGATGAATTGAAACCAGCCTTGATCAAGACATTTGAAAGATATGGCGATATCTTGAACATTGGTATCTCAAAGAGTGGAGACTCTGACTGGTTCACTGGAAGAGGATTTGCTACTCTTAATCGGGATAAATTAAAGGAGTCCACTTATGCAAACACCCTAACCCCTCAAGTTGAATTGGAAGGTTTCCCAGGCGCCCATCTGCACTTGGTATGGTCCCAGATGAAGCCTATCTGCACCGACTGCCACACGGACGAGCACGTTAGACTTGACTGCCCCAAGAGAAGAAGAAGACTCTGTCACCGTTGCAAGAGTCCTAACCACTTGATTGCGAAATGTCCTGTGGCCCCATGGAACAACAAATCAACGGAGAATAGCAATGAAACCAAATCAAGCAAGTCTACCCCTGGATCCAATGAGAATGAATTCCAGTTGGTGTCACGAAGAAATTCCAGCAGTAGAGAAGTCAACCTGCTTGATCTTGTGAAACAAGGTCAGCCACAACAACCAGCATCCCAAAACCAATTTGAAATATTAAATCACGAAGTGGAAATGGGAGAGGTCGAAGAGGTCGAAGAGTCCCAAGGAAATGAAGAAAACGACACTGAAAAGTCCACTTCACTAGACAAAGGTGTCAAAATGTCTCGCTCCTCAAGTGAACTAGCCAACAAGAAGCCGTTCAATGTTACCCCATCTGTCACACAATCTACTCCTCGCCTCGCCACCAGAAGTAACCAAACTTTGAAGCTCACTGACGTTGACAAGCTCACTCCATCGAAATCCAAGAGAAATCTGGATGATGCTATATCCCCAAATGGTCAACAGGAAACTGTCCCATTTTCAAAAAAAAAGAATACAAAAAAGAATGAATCAAGCACCAACGAAGCAGCCGGTTCTTCCAATACCTCTGGTAGCGGAAAGCCACCGCTAAATAAGTTGGATTAGAACTTGAGCCAGAAAAAAAAAAAGAAAAAAAAAAAAAGAAAAAAAATAATAATAATATATATAGAAAAAAAATGAATAATAATACTAAACACCTAAACATCAAAGTAGGATCTCTTAACTGTAGAAACCTACATTTGAACACCAACCAACACACTACTGACACCTTTATTGGCCTGCTGAAAGACAAGAAATTAAATATACTACTGTGCCAAGAAACCAACATCCCTTCTCACTCTTTTGAAGAAGTAACAGACAACATGAAGATCAAATTCAACTACCACCAAGCAATATGGACCCAACATTGTGCCATAATCAATTTCAACAACTCACTTAACCTGGAAAAAATCAAAGAATCTAACGATGGTAGAATGATCCTGGCAAAACTCTCCATAGCCGACAACTCCATTCCACCAGTATACATTTTGAATCTGTACGCTCGCTCAGGTATATTTGCTGAAGAAACCTCACAACGCAATCAATTCTACAAGAGAACAGTAGAGATGTTGCTAACAATGCCTGAAATTATCCCTGACCTGATAATGGCGGGCGACTTTAACTATAGCTTTGACAGCTCATCAAACCACGCTACTAGGCGCATAGCAAAACCGAAACATCTCATCAACTTTGTAAAGGGGTATATGAATGACTGTATTAACACAAAAGGTGAAAAGTATACCTATACCTGTATTCAAAAGCGGCGAGAACGAGTTACCCTATCCACAATCGACTACATCTTTGCTGGCACCAACACTCACAAAAAGATGCACGACGGGGACGTGGAATTCTTCAGCGATGTATACACCGACCACGCTCTAATTACGATTACACTGACAGTGGAAATGAGCAACAATGGAAAAGGCATATGGAGAGCAAACCCACATCTGGCTAAAAACAAGAGATTCACCAAGAAGCTATCAAAGGAAATCAACAACTATGTACAACACAAGCTGGACCCGGATCTTTCTGCACAAGTCAAATGGGATTTAATCAAGAACATGGCCAAGAAAGTTACAACAAATTTCTGCCGCCATCACAACCAATGGAGAGAGACTAAATTGAAACAACTGAACAGTGAAAGGAACAGAATACTCCGACTCTATGGAAAAGAACCCCTAACTTTGAAGGCACTACTACCACCTATACACCAGGAGATCAGCAAAATCCAAGAAGAAAAGTACAACATTAGCAAATTGAGAGCAGGCAAGCGCTGGATGGAGCAGAATGAAAACTCGCCAGCATACATCAAGAAGACCATTGACAGGCGACTAGAAACGAAGACAATGCCCATGCTGAAGCACCCAACTACTGTAACAGAGTGCACTGACACCAAGTCGAAACTGGATGCCGTCCATACCTTCTATTCCAAATTGTATAGCCCTGAACGGATCGATATAAATAGCATGGAAGGCATACTGAACCACATTACTGTATTTATTTCCCAGGAGGAAAGCGATCAGATCATTGATGACATTCCGTTTGCAGAGATATTCGAGGGATCCCGTAGGAGCCCCAAGTCTAGTAGTCCAGGTTTGGATGGACTTCCATACGAGATCTTACATGTCATAGCAAGTCAACCGATATGCCAAAGAATTATCACCCAAGTATATAACGACGCAATCAAGCTCGGTATATTCCCAAAGTCGTGGCAACAGGCTTGCGTAGTATTACTGCCCAAGAAAGGCGACTTATCTGATCTCAGCAATTGGCGACCTATTACACTGATCAATACAGATTGTAAAGTCTTCACGCGGATCATGAACTCACGAATCACGACAGTGGCAAGCAGACTCATAAACAAAGTACAGACCGGGTTCATGCAAGATAGATACATTGGTGACCAAGGAATGGCCCTACGAGTGATGATGGACAATGCCAAGACAGCAAAGGGAAATAACAAGGACGAATTTGAAGAATATGTGGGAGTCATGTTGGATAACAACAAAGCCTACGACCGAGTGCACCCACACTACCTGGCTCAGGTACTCCAGAAGTTTGGATTCCCAATGGAGTTCATTAGATGTATAGAAAACCTGTTTTTTGGCAACGAGATTTTCATCAACATGAACGGATTTCTAACCAAACCAGTCAAACAGAAGAGAGGATTGCGACAAGGAGACTCTATTTCACCAATCTTGTTCAACTTTGCAATAGAGCCCTTCATACTGTCAATCATCAACAGTCAAGACATATCTGGATACTCAATACAACCAACCAAGCCAGCACCACAGAGGACAATTCAGCTCAACACCCCACCACCTACAAAGATCATGGCCTATGCGGACGATATTCTCATCTTTGTCAAATCAAGAACGGAATACATGGCAATGGAGGAATGCATCAAGACGTATGGTAAGGCATCAAACTCAAAGATCAACTATGACAAGTCATTGGCGTTTCCCCTACATGGTGGCAGAATGGAAGGGTATTTCGGTACAAGACTGAAAACTTACACTCAACAGCGAATGAAATGGTTCGACTACAGTAGCCCAGAGTACATCAAATACCTAGGGTATCCAATATACTATACAATACAACAACGGGATTGTTTCATTGCAGACTTAACCGCCAAGATCAAAGCGCAAGTAGAATTCCTCAAGCCCAGGAAAATATCAATGTACGGTAAAGCTAATGTCGCTAACACAATTATCCTGTCCAAACTGTGGCATGTCCTCAGGCTGACACCTCTACCGAAAGCAACCATCAACAAGCTCAACTCCATCATATATCAATACATAGTGGATGAGAAGAGACTGCAAATCAAAAAAGATGTGTACTACCTACCCAAGGACCAAGGAGGACTAGGTTTGCTACATGTAGGCGCCCAACAACAAACCCTGCAAATGAGGTATATCACAGCACTACTATACCACGACCAGCACAAAACAATCCCGCAGTACCTATACCAATTGATGTCACATACGCTACAAATGGAGACGAACCTGCCTTACATTGATACCATACTGATATTTAAAGAAGCAAGAAGCTACAAGAACAACCTAAAAGATGGGGCCATGAAACTGATTATTGAAACAATGAATAGTCTTCTTGCAAACTGCCGACCAGACTTTACCAATACACCCATCAATATCAACACTTGTTTAACTTTACCACTGACCACTATATACAAGGACTGGGAAGACTTGGAAACTACTGACTACCTCAGGAACCCTACAGCCAAGAGAAGCCTAGTGCAGGATTTTTTCAAGCCAAATCTTAATTACACAGCTCTCGAATACAAGACAAGACAAGAATGCAAATCACCGCAGATACTGTACAAGCTCAAAAGAGACCACAACAACAACCAGTTACACCTTCAAGATTTCTTCAGCAACCTGCTTCATCCAAACAACTCAACTCCCAACAACCAGGAAGAGGCAGCAAGTCTAATCCAACATTTTGAGCACGATAGCAACATCATTTGGCTCTGCAAGAACAAAATAATCAGACAACTGCTCCTCAAACAACTGCCTATACAACTGCCAAAAGATCACAACAAAAACATCAACCCCAAGCAATGGAAAGCATTCTACAGATCACATATGCACCAGTCACCTCGAAATTTATGGCTCAAGATCATATACAACAAAGTCCCCTGCAGAAGTTTCCTATACCAAAGTCAAATCAAAGATATAGAAAACAACAGATGCATACAATGTAACGAAGTAGAAGATGCCAGACACCTTCTCATGGAATGCGGAAACAAACACGACGTCTGGGAGTCCGTCTTTAAAGAACACCTAAGCTACCCAACCACAATCAACACTCACCGCATATACAAAGACATGCAGAACCTGACATTATCAAGATACTACATTTACAACCTGGACCTCAAGATCAACATCTTCGACCTTTTTGCCACCATAATCCGAATAATCTGGACCCACCATTTCTTCGTACACTACCGTGGTACCCCTTTTGAGCCCCAAACAGTTGTTAGCAATATCAACAGAGAACTGGATAAGCTGTCCAAAATGGATAGTATTGATTTATAAGACCTCATAAGATACAATATGGCAAGTCACTTTACCTAGTATACACTTGATCCATTTATACAATGATTTTATTAACTATTTATTCATAACTACTTAATAAAACTTTCATTCCATACAAAAAAAAAAAAAAATTTTCGATTTGATTGAACTATTTTGCTAGACTCGATTATAAAATGGTGTTGATCAACCCATACTCCCTAATGCATCTTTGGAGTACTTTTTAAGGCGCTTTCAATGGTACCAAGTAATATAGATGTTTTGAATAAACTTATTGAGCAATTTATGAAAATATGAAAAGCGGTTTATGGCTAAAAAGTCGAGATTTTACATATCAAAATCCCACAAAAATAAGTTCAAGAGTTACGCTAGGTCGATAGAAACATTTTGATTCAATACATACCATAGTAAAAGTCTTCATTATCAAGGTCAAAAACGCGATTGTTTGGTTTTCGAAGAAAACCATGAAGGATACCTCATGCTTTTTGGTCGAATTTTGGCCATGTTTTTTTGGTCCCCAAAAAAGTTGAGCAAAGGTGTCAGGAAGTAACCGCCAGATGGGAGCGATTGTTTGATGCTATTCTGACGATCGAAAACGGCCTTGAACGCGAGAAATCGCAGTTCAAATGCACTCAAATTTTGCTGTATTAGGCACACTAAGGAATAAAAAGTGCTAATATCTGTATGACACTTGCCCGTATATGAAATAGCTACGTGTTATTGATGTAGAGCATTACATAAGAATCAGATCCACAGATAATATGAGGGATTTTCATATGTAAGTGGAGAGTCAAAATGAAAGTACAGTGTTTTGACAAGATACGCAAAGGCAACCAATAGCGCAAGCTGCTGCTGCGCAGATTGGTTTTCACCGAAGCGAAGCAAAGGTAGGGAGCCACCTGAAGCGTAAACACTCGTACACAATAATGTTATTCATAAATTTTGCTTCAAGCTACTTGTACCATTTTAATGCGCAATCTGTTTATTATAAACTCCAATGCGCGTACAAACAAATTGGGGCAACGAGCTGGGTTGTTTACGCGATGTTAAAATTAAAACGACCGTGGAACTTTTGTAGAAATACAATATCTTTCATCATGTCAAATTCAGAAGGTTTGGCTGTTGTATCAACCTAAAGTAGCACTGCATTATTCATCCATTGAACCTCTTAGATGAACTCCAAGCAGAGATATTAAAGGAGCAAGGCTCTGTCATCCAGACACACAGCAAAGTGTCGGCTCCAGGACGCAAAGTAAACCCACTTTTATCAACTGATGTAGAAGAGCACTCTGGATTGCGGATCAAGTAGGCCTATCTCCATTGAATATTGAATACTTTGCTAATTGCATACAGTAGAAGACGTATCGTATCAACATCCAAGTGCAAAACTGGCCTTCAGAATGTAGAATTCGTCCCTATTCAAAACGTAGAGCATCGCACCAAGCAGTACTTTTCAATTCATGTTGGAGTCAAGCCCTCTAAGGATTGGGGCACAATTGGTGTTGTTGATAAGTGCGTTGCTCTATCAGATTTCAGCGTTACTCGCATAACAGACATGCGAGGCTCATTTTTAAACCTCTACATCACCGGCAAAGCATTCGCTCAGAATCAAAATCACATTGGAATGGGCTCCATCATTGCCATTAAGAGGCCCTTTCTACTAAAGCCCACAGAAACACACCATTCCATTGGATTACATGTCGATCAGTTGCAGCAAATGTGGGTAATAGGTCAGAGCATGGATCTAGCCCAGTGTAGTAGTTATGTGAGAAAGGATGTTCGATGCACAGAATGGACCGATATGTAAGGCCTTGAATCGCAGTGTGCCTGAAGGATGAGCATTGACATTTGCGATAGTCGATCTGGTGATTATTGTGATAAGCATCTGGAACGAGTGTGTAATTTTTCCAAAAACGGCCGAATGGAGTTAGCAGGAGGGTGAGTAGCTGGTTATTATCTACTTGGCAATGCTGATACTGAATCATGCACAGGGATAGTGGATTTGATATTCGATGGGCAACCCAAAAACGACAATCCGATGGATCTATACTGTATGAATCCAAGAGAGAAAGAAGAGTGGATCCCATGTTAAAACTGTTCTCCAGCACGTCCAAATCCGGCAAGGACAGGGAAGCGTACTATCTCAAAGGCAAGGGACTTGTCGCTGTGGATGGTACCCTGATCCAGAAGACAGCACCGCCTAAAAGGGAACCCACAGCAGCAGAAAAACAAGAATTAACGTACTCTTATTAAATTTCCTAAGTCCTGTTCGATTTCTAACATGTAGAATTTGTAGGGAATTTTTAAAGGGTAGAAGAGATCCCGGTGCTGAAATGATCCGAAAAATCAAAGGCATCAAGGAGGACTCACCGAGTAAGAACAGCTAAAAGTTTATATGTTGTATGTGTGTTTGTTGACCCCATGTGTACCTTTTTTCATTTCCTTCAGGAACTGTGCTCTCTAAAGAGGCATTGGATAAGATGGGCATTGGCATCAAATCGCTAACAAAGGAAGAGGAACAAGCTAAGGTAAGACACTGTTATCAGGCATGATTTTAATTGCTAAGTTTCGGTTGATTAGAAACGCTCATTTGAGGCTCTTAGTAAAGCCAGTGACAAAGACGACGATGGCAGCCAAAAGAAGCCTCGCTATGTGTATCTCTAAGTTTAGTCGGTCCACACCTTAATATATAAATTCCACAACATGTCCTTGTATTTATACACAAACATTCTCTATGTGATATTTCATTTCTTCTCATTTCTCTCTCTCTCTCTCTCTCTCTCTCTCTTCTTGTTCATCTTCTTGAAATCCCACTCCACCCCTCCCACTCCTTCACATTATGTTTTTGACTCGATCAAAAACGAGTTCTGCAATAAATGAAGAGCAACATGTAGATACCAACACATACCCCACCATTCCTCTTGATATGCTCGCAACTATTGAAAACGCTGTGCCTGACATGGATTCAGCTTTAAGCCAGATTTTACCTGATCATGCTAAGCATTTAATGCTCAATATGATTTCTACCTGGATTATTTCCTCTCGCATTACACTGAATAATAACATTGCCACTGACAACAAGCTGCAATACCGATCAAACAGTAATAAAACTACACTTCGTTCTTGGGCCACTCGTTCATTCTCATTGAAACCAAAACCAATAGTAGCACCTATGCAACTACCCGAAATTCCCGATAAGATCCAAGAGCAACAGGCACCGTCTTCATCACCACCTTCCTTGGCAAATTCCTCAAAATCCACGCTTTCCAGTTATGAAGAGGAAGACGATGATTCCTTGTATACACCAAGGATCGACCATGCGGCAGGCGCTCCAACATCTGCTACTGCCTCCAAGCATCCATGCTCTCAGTTACCAGTGTCGCTCAAAAGTATGATCGACCTACTAGATACCCCACCTTTAATACCAGATACCAGCACCTTATCTTTGATTGAAGAGTCGCTAACACCTTTGACATCTGCCTTCTTTGAGGGCCAAGACCATTTAGCGACAAGCCCGTCTTCAGCTGTTGTTGGCGAGAGCAACAACACAATTGAAACGGCATCCGACATTCGCCACAGTAACAGCATTGTTGCGACGTTTGCATCCTCTAAAGACGCCAAGTCAATTGGAAGCAGTATTTCGACTATATTCACTCAACTGGGTAACTCTGTGAAGAAGGCTTTCAAAAAGAAAGCACAATCATCGTCCATCAGTCAGCTCAAAAAGACATTTTCTGTCCAGCATCATTTGTCTCTGAACAGGGAAGGAAACTCATCATTTACACCATCCAAGGAGAAAGTAAGTCTGTTGTAAATCATGCCAGGTGCAGTTATTGACTTGTTTTGCTAGGCAGTACGTCGCTCATTCTCATCACTGGCTTCAGCAACGTTGGATCAGAATAATCAGGCAAAAGAATCGGCTTCCATTTCATCGCCTTTTGTGAAAAAAGAGCATGTATTTAACAGCAACAATAGTGAAGCAGCAAACAGTTTGACAACCATCAGCTCTCGCAATACTGACGACATTCAGTTCATGCCATCGCATGAAAGTTTCAATCGTGCTATCAACTCGTCGTACTGGGATGGCGATTCAACGCAATCACAGCAATTCGATAAGCTGTTGGACGACATCTGGGAAAGATCGCAAGAATATCGAGATTACTTTGCTACTCAGGAAAACGAACTGCTATCAAAAAGAGCATCAAAGCAAACATATGCGTGTCTTGACTACAAACACGAAGTATGGTCGCCTTCCATGGACGATACTATGAAGGGGTCAACAGCTGTTGTGCGTGCAAGCCAAACTGAGGGCAACATGAACAGTATTCAAGAGAGCATTCCCTATGTGTGTGTGGGTAGACAACAGGCAAACCAACGAACCAGTCATATTCCTAGACCAGTCAATAAGAAATTGCTGTTGGACATTGAAGATGTCAAGACGTACAAAAAGTCGACCTCTGTGTACTCCAGTATCAAGGATTACGATATAGAATGGCAGCGATCGTTCCATGAAGAGCAAAAGAGCAGGGATAAAGTAGCCAACACATTAAAGAGGTAAGCATGCAGCCAAGACATGGTGGTATATTGCGCTCACATTATGAATATTGAAGTGTTTCGTGGGCTTTTTACTGCATCATCAAACGAAATCATACTCTGCATGAATTTGAATGTGATGTGATTTTCGATGAAAATGAATCCAATATGGAGGATTTCGAACCCTACAGCCAAGATGAACCTTTGACAGAGTGGAACGACGTGTATGATCAACTGGCCTATGTATTTGATTGTGGCGAGGTAAGCATATGTCAGGCATCGATATGCCCTAAAGTTATTAAAAACACAATGTACACCAGCTGACGGCCGAGCATGCCATCATCACTCTGATCTACGTGAAACGAATGTTGGAACTATCAAATCAAAGATTGTGGGATTTCAGCTGGAGAATGATCATCATGTCAGCACTACTGACCGCTGTTAAAGTGTGGGATGATTGCGCTATTTTCAATGCTGATTTTGCCATGATCTTTCCTGAATTGAGCTTGGACGTCATGTAAGTAACACTCTCGCTTACAGCCATGCCAATACTCATCTTTCTATAAAACTTATAGTAACAATATTGAGCGCGTATTTCTGACGTATTTGCAATGGGATGTGTCTGTCAGTTGCTCTGAATTCGCAAAGACATACTTTCATCTTCGCGACATTGAGCACATGATGGAGCAGTGGTAGACACTTTTTTTATTGTCAACATTTCAGTCATTATATATATGTGGAGAAATGATTCCAAATAGAATAAAATGTAAAAAGAGAAACTCAATGGTGAACCAGACTGGCTGGTATTACCAAGCTGATCTATAGTGCTTTTCAAGCGTAATTCTCTTCTGTCTACTGCTCACAACAGCTTAATTATGGTCGCCTGCTGCTTGCAAAAATTTAATCTCAGATTAGGTTTTTTTTTTTTTTTTTCAATCGATTAGATTAATTTTCGACCTGTTTGATCTATTCTGCAAGATTCGACTATATGAATTGTGCTGATTCTCTTGTACTTTCTTAAGCTTTCTTGAAGTACTTTTCAAGGCGCTTTTAATGGTGCTAATTTTCAAAGGTGTTTTGAACAAGCTTATTGAGCAATGTTTGGAAATAAGAAATGACGTTTTCAGCCAAAATGTAGAGATTTTGTATATCAAGGCCTCACAAAGGTAGTTTCATTGAAAACCATGAGGTATCCCTCATGCTTTTGATGTGGTTTAAGTCGAATTTTGACGACCCCAAAAAAGTTGAGCAAACGTATCAGCAAGTCATTGCTAGCTCACAGCAATTGTGTGGTGCTATTTTGGTGGCCTAAAACAGCTTCTAACGCGAGAAATTACGGTTTAAATATGCCCAGATTTCGCGGTATTTTGTGTTCTTTTGAGTAGTAAAAGATAGGGCCAGTATACTGTCTGCTTGTATACGAATCGCTTTCAATAAAACAGACGCAAAGTATCATAAAAGACAGATTTACAGCTGAAAACAACTTTAACGGGATACTGATAGGTCAAGAAGTCTATCTTGGTAGGATATTTGACGAAGCTTACAGTTTGGTGATGAGATGGATGAAGGCGAGCCACAGTCGCGTGGGTTGGCTCTCAGTAAAGTCAAGCAAAATGTAGAAAGCATCCCAAAGTGCATAGGAACTCGCGAATCAATATTGCATTCATGGCTTTCAGCCAATTTTAACAGTGCATCAAGTGGTGCCATGTATGCCTGCCAGGGATTGCGCATCTTTCTGAAAATGTATTTGAAGCGGCATCAGTAAATTGGTCCAGTGATGTTCCCGCTGCAGGAAAAAAGTAGGAATGAATCATGTCCCGTAGAGATCAAATGCAGGCAATTCTTGCTAACAAAAAGGGTAAATCGAAGACAGGGACACATCCTAATAAGCTTGAACGTATTTGCCTCATCAGAGACACGGCGCATATGGACTTGCGAGCATCCATATCGAAAAGCAGATTGTTTTCCATTTCGAGCGGTAAATATTTTATCAGGAGTCGAAAATGTATCTCACCAATGACTCAGAATCAAGAAAAGCTATTCTGCTCTAACACACATATCCACTATGCGGTGCGCATGTGGATCTTGTCGCCAATACTCTAGCATGATTCCAAAGTTTTGACTGCTTTGAAAGGATCTAGTGAACTGTATGCGATTTTAAATAAGGCACAAGCACCAAAATCCCCACGGTTTTTTCCAGTGATTTGAAGGAAATCAACTCAGCGATTAAGATTCCCTTTGTAAGGGCCGTGTAACCAGTATAGAGAACAGTGGATTATCAATGGGCTTTAGGATAAACAGTATAGAAAACTTGACGAAACTGATCTCAATCTTGCCAAGGATGGGAGCTAAAAGAGACAAATCAAGAAAGATCGCAGTACAGGGCAAGTCAGGGCTGCGCAATGTCCCTTTGACGTTGATTCCGAACTCAAATGTTGAACCCCATGTTCAAGAAAAGTAAACGGATAAAAAAGAAAAAAGAAATGCGCAGGATCCAATTCACTCCAAATGCAATTGAAGACACTCCAGCTCCTTTTCTGTTTGTGAAATCATTTAAGAATATTCAAACAGGGATAACATTAAGGATTCCATCTTTAAAAGGTAAATTGTAACAAAGAAATGAGATTTGCTAGCATATTCTAGCACAAAGTTACAAGATGAGATTGGTTGCCTTTAAGATCCCCGCCTGTCTTTTAGTGCAAATGAATTGAACCTTTCGAGAATCGAAAGAATCGGGACGAATGAGAAAGAATATTTAGACTGTCTCTTTAAGCCCAACCCCGGCAAAAGTTTTTCGTAAGGTACCTGGCATATAAAGCACCCTTCAGATTTCTGCCCTTTTTACATCTTTTTTTTTTTTTCCTTTCTCCACCTTTTTCTTCATTCGAAATTATACAAATGTACAACTTGTCAAAGGTTGCTCACCAACGTCTTTTCCCTACCTTGGCCCGTAATGTAAGTTGCGAATCAATTCGATTTCACGAGATTTGACATGCGAGATAATGGATCAAACTAACCTGCATTTGCATTTATAGACCGGTGTCCTCTCCACCGCTTCTCGTGCTTACAGCCAAGCTGTGAATGGCCCTGTTATTGGTATCGATTTGGGTACTACCAACTCTTGTGTTTCCGTCATGGAAGGCAAGAATCCCAGAGTCATTGAAAATGCTGAAGGTGCTCGTACCACTCCCTCCATTGTTGCATTCACCAAGGATGGCGAATTATTAGTTGGTCAAGCTGCTAAGCGTCAGGTAAATACAATGAGCAATTGGGAAAGGGAATGGGATCGGTCGAGGCGATCCGTTGCTTTTCCGATGGGCATTTCGATTATGAGTCATCTAGGGCACTGGCATTAATCTGACATATTTTTCTATTTCAGGCTGTCGTCAACTCTCAAAACACCGTCTATGCTACCAAGCGTTTAATTGGTCGTCAATTCAAGGATCCCGCAGTTCAAGCTGATATCCCTGCCGTCTCTTACAAGATTGTCGCTCACAGCAACGGTGATGCTTGGGTCGAAGCCAACGGTAAGAAGTACTCTCCTTCTCAAATGGGTGCCTTCGTTTTGGGTAAGATGAAGGAAACTGCTGAAGGTTATCTCAGCAAGAAGGTCAAGCACGCTGTTATCACTGTCCCTGCTTACTTCAACGATGCTCAACGTCAAGCTACCAAGGATGCTGGTAAGATTGCTGGTCTCGATGTTATGCGTGTTATCAACGAGCCTACTGCCGCTGCTTTGGCCTATGGTCTCGATAAGACTGGTGATTCTACCATTGCTGTTTATGATTTGGGAGGTGGTACCTTTGATATCTCCATTCTCGAAATCCAAAACGGTGTCTTCGAAGTAAAGTCTACCAACGGTGATACTGCTCTCGGTGGTGAAGATTTCGACTCTCATCTCGTCCGTCATGTTGTCAAGGAGTTTAAGGACGAGTCCGGCATTGATCTCTCTACTGACCGTATGGCCATTCAACGTATTCGTGAAGCTTGTGAGAAGGCCAAGATTGAATTGTCTTCCACTGTCCAAACCGACATCAACTTGCCTTACATCACTGCTGATGCCTCTGGCCCCAAGCACATCAACTCCAAGTTGACTCGTGCCAAGTATGAGACCCTCGTTGGTGACCTCATTCACCGTACTATCTCCCCCTGTGAGAAGGCCATGAAGGATGCCGGTATTGCCAACAAGGATGTTCACGATGTTATTTTGGTTGGTGGTATGTCTCGTATGCCCAAGGTTGTTGAGACCGTCAAGTCTGTCTTTGGTAGAGAACCCTCCAAGTCCGTCAACCCTGATGAGGCTGTCGCCATTGGTGCTGCTATCCAAGGTGGTGTCCTCGCTGGTTCCGTCACTGACATCTTGTTGCTCGATGTCACTCCTCTCTCTTTGGGTATTGAAACCCTCGGTGGTGTCTTCACTCGCTTGATCAACCGTAACACTACTATTCCTACCAAGAAGTCTCAAGTCTTCTCTACTGCCGCTGACGGTCAAACTCAAGTTTCCGTTCGTGTCTTCCAAGGTGAACGTGAACTCTGTCGCGACAACAAGCTTTTGGGTGACTTCAACTTGACTGGTATTCCTCCTGCTCCCAAGGGTGTTCCTCAAATTCAAGTTGAATTTGATATTGATGCTGATGGTATTGTCAACGTCAGTGCCAAGGATAAGGCCACTAACCGTGATCAATCCATGACCATTGCTGCCTCTTCTGGCTTGAGCAATGATGAAATTGAGAACATGATCCAACAAGCTGAGGCCAATGCTGAGGCTGATAAGGCTCGTCGTGATACTATTGAAATGGCTAACCGTGCTGACTCTGTCATGAGTGAAACCGAGAAGGCTATGGATGACTTCAAGGAGCAACTCGATAGCGCTGAGGCTGATAAGCTCAAGGAAAAGATTACTGCTCTCCGTGGTGAAGCTTTGAAGGCTCAATCTGGTGATGCTGCTGTCAACCCTGAAGACCTCAAGGCCAAGATTGACGACCTCCAATCTAGCTCTTTGAAGCTCTTTGAGATGGTCTACAAGAACCGCGCCAGCCAAAACGAAGGTGCTGCACCTGAGAACAACAACAACGGTGGTGCCAACCCTCAATAAATTACCATCAACTAATTCCCTTATTACCTTTACAACACACAAACACAACATTACCTGTAAACACTTTTCTTCCACCCTCCTCCAACAAACCCACTTATCTGTAGATTATTTATAGGATGATTTCTTATTAAAAAAATATATTGTAGACACTTTTTTCATACTCTAAAACGTTTGACCCTTTTTTGACATTTTGCTGCATTATTTACGTCAATGAGTAATGACAAGAGTTGATGCTTAATTTGGTCAGCTTTTTTCTTGCCAAGGCCAACAAATGATTGGTGAAATGGAGTGGTCGAAAAACCATTTAAGCGCACTGATGTCTAAAGAAGTGACGCTGATAAAAATAGACGATACAAATGCCGTTCATTTCTCGGAACTGTTTCAGTGTAATTGTACTAAATCATTATATTAATGGTGAGGTATAGACGGATGCCATCAATGACGTTTTTTTATACTACAAAATGTCTGCAACGCAGTTTTTCGAGAAGATTACATCAATAATGCTAAATAAATCCATAACGTAGGGTCAAAAACGATGATGTAACATGGAAAATTGCCTAGATTGGCATATTTCGTTCGAAAGGTCTGGAATTCAACACTGCAAAACCATTGGACTCATGCTGATATTTTATGCTTTTTTGTATGGTACGGCGGAAAATGCAGCAATTGCATAGCAACCAATGTGCTGTAGCTTTTACAATAGCAGCAATTATTTATTTAGCTATCAATGGCCTCAGTCTCTCGCTAAAAAGTAAAATCAAGCTACGGAATCATGGAGCAGACAAAGTTTAAAAGAACAGGCGGAGATGAGGTTGGAAACGGTTGAATTCTCGAAAGAGTGCTTAAACTATGCGTTTGTATTGGTTACGAGTCAGTAAGCAATAGTAAAAAAAATCTTGCATCTGTATAAAAAGCAAACGATTTCAACAGTTTGCCATGATCCCCCCCCCCTTTAATTTAATTTACTATTATGTCCTTTACTTCAAAATTTACAGAGAGATTTGATATTGATCCATCTCAATCCATGATGTTAGATCTATCAACCACACCACACTCAGATTCATTAGCATCTGTCTACTCTACACCTTCCCTGACGCTGTCAGACCCCGTCTTGACCGATCAATCAACTACGGCCACTAGTCGTCCCATTGCGATTCCCAAAAAGAACAACATCAAGAATAGAAGCATGTCCACCTCGCCTCAACAAGAACATTGCCCAAGTCCCAAAGATCATGCAGGCTCCAAATTCAAGCATTTCCTGAGCACCTTGTCCAGAAAACGGGATAGATCCTCTGTGTCATCCTCCTCGTTATCCAGAGCCATCTCGACCAAATATTAGATATCTTATACCATTTTATTCAAGCAACTTTTCTTTCACTCTCACTGTATATTACAAATCTCTACTGTAAATCTCCTTGTATATTACTATCTGTTAAATACTAATACTTATTAAAGCTCGTGTATTATTCTTTTGTATTTTTCTTGTCTCGCTTTGCATTACAAAGATGAAGAGGTCATCTCGCTTCTTAGAAAAGGTTATTTCTTCTACGCAGAATCTAGTAATAGATGACACATGTGCTACACCGAGAATGTCGTCAATTCTACGTTCTAGCTCGAGTCCATGAGAGCAAATGTTGCGTGAAGTTTGACTAACATTGACAGTAGAGCATTGACAAATTACGATGCTCTCAGCGCATCGAAGCCGAACCGTGAAGAGACAATGTGATAGTTAGGAGCCATCTTGTGATATCTATTGATTGCATACTACAACATCATTCTAATACAAGTAGTGGCGCCAGTGAACAAGCTCAATCATGAACTTGATAATTTAGTGTGTTGCATTTTCATTATTAAGATGTTGCAAGACAATGCCTATCAGTGACACTATAGTAAACCATCCTAAGTAAAGAAAGTGAGAGTTTGCTGTAGGCAACGTTCTCACTTAAGCAGTAAATTATGTGAGCATTATACGACAAAGGGTAATGAACAAGTAGCCTTTTCCATGCACAAAACTAGAAATCCATTATCACTGATGTTTGGAGTCACAACACGTGCGGTACCTCCTATTACCATATTCTCCTCGAGCCTGTAACTAATGATGAATTAAGCTTTTTCACTCTTGTTTATTTTCATGTCTATTGTAACACTATTCGTTGATACCTCTGACGAGAAGGTCAGTTCTGAGAGACGCTTTGATAAGAGTTTGACCATCTCTCAGCTCAAGGTAAGGAAAAGTATCATCAAATCTGCTTTCTTACTTGACAATTTCCATGACAAACTAGTACAAGCTTGAGCCTATCACTGGTATTCCCTACTCTACACAAAAGATCGATCTCTTTCAAGGCAACAACCTTCAAGGATCACTGGACGATGACAACAAAATGTTGGGAGCGTACCCTGTCGAGGACTATATGAGAATCCATATTACGGATACGAACCCACATCGTGTCAGAAACCAATACACAGATGTTTCACTCGTCGAAAAGTTTGAGTTGACAGAGGATGAATACGAGAAGAGAACAGGTGGGTTGACACACTTGGTATGATAGAGTATGGCGTGAGGCTAACGTATGCTCAAAAGACACGGTCAGAGCTTTCAAAGAACGTAACAAATTAGGTAGATTTTCGGCTGAAGCCGCTGCCAAAGAAGAAGCCATCGAAACAGCATATGAAAACGCAGCTAAACAGATCAAGGTCGGTGATCGATGCGAGGTTTTAGGAGACGATTACACTGCGCAGCGACTTGGCACTGTCAGATTTGTGGGAGAAACAAAGTTTCAGCCAGGATTATGGGTTGGCATTCAGTACGATGAGCCATTAGGCAAGAATGATGGTAGCGTGCAAGGGGAAAGATACTTTGAGTGTCCTCCAAAGTATGGTGGTTTCGTGCGTCCTACAAAAGTGAATGTTGGTGATTTCCCTGAGGAGGAGCTGCTTCTAACAGACGATGAGCTTGAAGAGATGTAGAATGTATACGTGCACTTGATTTTGAAAATAAAGCTCGACCCCATTTTGCATCGAACAGCATATTTCCTGGTTAAAAGAATCGATGACTGATCTTGCAAGCAACGGCTCGACGTACCTGATACGCATAATGGCCAAAGGTGCATTTACTATTGAATAGCACTGCGTTTCAAAAAGCTGTGAGCCGGATCAGTGTGGTAGAGGACAGCAATTCCTCATACACCAAAGCCGAATCTCACTGTACAACATCCCAGCCTTTATCGACAACACCGTGCCCAGAAGCTTCATTTATTAGGCTGAAAGGCTGCCTCCTGTATGTTTTACTTAAAAGACTTTGATGCTCTGGAGATTGAAATAGCAATGTGAATTGAGCAATGTGTATTGTACATCAAACCAAATTCATGCTGTCAAATTGCTCTGGCAGTCACTGTCGTATTACGATAAAAACTTTTCATTAGATGTTTGGACACCTTTGCTTCCTCTTGGATCGATTCTTTATAGCTACTATGTCTGATGAATTAAAGGTACTGAGAGAAAGTGAATTGATAGCAGCGCTAGTGCTAACATGAGTGAATTGAAATGACATTAGCCTGTTGAAAACACTATGACCACAGCTAATGAAGAAGAGCGAGAATCATTTCATGGGGACGTCATTAGAAGAAGGTATAAATGCATTCAGATTTCTACTCAAGTCAATCTTAATCTCTATTCGAATAGATCAGTGGTTTCAGAAGATGAAGATGAAGAATTAGATGAATTTGGAAGAGTGAAACGTCGCAGAGAAAAATTCAAGAGAGAGAGATCTGAAGAGGATGATGTGGATCGAGATGAGCGCTCTGAAAGTGATCGTGGCAGAAGAGAGGATAGATACCAGCATAGACGCCATCACCGCAGACCTTCTTCTGGCTCGCGTTCACCAAGACGTTCATACCGTCGTCGACACTCAGACTCTGACAGCGACTATGAACACCATCGCAGTGACAGTAGACATCGACACCGCCGCAGTGATAGCTACCGAGGCTATAGGGGTCATCAACACCATGGCAATAGAGGTGGCGCGGATGTAAGTGAGCGTTTTTAGCACTTTGAAAAGAATATTAAATCAGTATCCTTTTTGTAGCTCTACTCTGAGGCAGCACAATATATCGATACTGAATTTTATCCTACCAAAGTTTATATCGGTGATCTCGAAAGTGTTGATGAGAGTCAAATCGAATCTGTATTTTCTCGTTTTGGGCCTTTACAAAGCGTCAAACTTGTGGAGGGGAAGGAGTAAGATGAATTGCAACAAGAATATTTTTCTTTGCTAATCAGTTTTTCATGGTAGTTATGGATTCATTACATTTGAGAAGAAAGAGGCTGCATTATCTGCTATCCAAAGTATGCATGGTGCATTGTTGGGAGCCAGACATATCAAAGGTAAGTTTATGAATTGACAAGGTAGCATGCTTTGCTGAATTGGGTATAATGTGTAGTAAATCGTGCCAAAATTCCTGAGAGAAACAAGGTTGGATTTGGCAATGTACCTTGGCAAGATGAGGATGGCTTGATGGCAAAGGAAGCATCATTTGACAGCTATGTTAGAAGAAGCTCATCCACTATAAGAATGGGTTTAGATGACTCAAGTCACCCTTTATTGGACCCTGCGGCTGCTGCTATACCTCGCCGAGTATTAACAAGTTATGATGATCTCTAACCAAATTTATAACCTATTACTATTCAATTGTATTTTTCCTGTAAATTCATGTATACTTCAATCTCGTAATTATTTAATAAAAGCTTTAAACATTTTTACATTAATAGGCTCCACACAATTACATAATGGCCATTCAATGACCATTGTGAATTGCACAAATTTTCAAAGTAGTAGGCTAACTTTGAGCAGTAATGAGCTTCATATAAGAACCTCTTGATTAAGAGCATTTACGAGTAATAGGTCGACAGATAAGGTGTTATTGACAACACCAGGCCACGGGAGCATCTTCTATGCGGTCCTCAAGTCTATAAAATAAACTTAGGGCTTGGTATAACTAATAGCAAGGCATGAAAAGAAATTTGTATGCGCCACTACAGCAAAAGTTAGCTTTGAGCAATCGTTTTTCTCCTACGAGGACCTGGATGTACAAAATGGTTTTTGATTTTGAGGTTTTCAATTTTTGGACGATCGAAAATCGGTTTTCTAAATATTGATGCTAGAGCCTTGAGACTAGCATGTTCCTATACCAGTTTTTTGCCCTCTAAACGATGGTGCAATTGAAATTTGCGTAGGTAGCATGGTTGTTGAGAAAAGGGAGGTTTTAGAAAATAGTTAATTTTGAATAGATGCTGCTAGTAAATTTTTTTAAATTACTATATGAATGTGAGATGTACGTGTAATGAAAGTTGTAGAGGGTACATTTTTTGGCTAGGGCATGTTATGTCAAAATACAATGTAAAATTGAATCTGCCAAAGAATTACACTTTTATTGAGAATGCATCCTTGGGATGCATTCATATACTTTTCATTATGCTAGAGTTTATAGCATGATGGTTGTAATGAAATAGCCACCCAAACGCAACTTGATTGAAAACCGAAATTCATCAAATAGCACTCATTCAAATTCATGCTATTTGGATCTATTAGTAAAAGCGCTCAAATGTACATCAACAACCATTTAAACATACCAAAGTAACGATACACAATTTTTTCGCATATCGTGTGAATGAATCACTCCTGATCACAGTGTATTCAATCACACCCATGATGGTCGTAATAAGAGATGAAATCTTTATCCAAATAAAATCAAATCAATAACAAGCATATTCAAATATGACAACTATGCCCTGCTGCCATAGTTGCACAATATCCCAGATAAAGGATTCCATACTTCAATAACAAACATCACACTTTAAACCATCAAGGTTACATTAAATCATGCTATGACGATAGCTCGCCCAAACCCATCAAGACTACTCAAATCGATCCTTATGGCCAGTGCTCTTGCATTGATTACCACTTTAAATCAAACGTCGTCAACAACATTTGCCAGATATCGCAATAGCAGAACCTATTGCTCTCTGTCATCACTAATTCTACAAGCTAGTTGCAAATGTATAAATACCCTTCTTCTTATTTTACTCAATTCCAGAATCTTCAGTTCATTTTATACACAAATAAAATACAGTTGATTTCTATTGTATTTTACTATTGCTTTATTTTTTTTGTGAAATCTATTAAAACCTGATTTCACTGCACTCACGAAATATATGATTTTGAGCAAATTTATGAAGGAACGTACACCTGGTACTTTAAACCCTTATATTAAAATGGATATAACGTAGAGCTATCGAATCGCCTTTGCTTTGTGCGAATCTAGTGAGTATTTGTCGAGATATGGTCAAAAAAGGGTATCATGCAAAATCGCAGATTTTTGTTCAAAATCTACGTATGATAGCAAGCAAAAAATCTGGTGACGATTTTTTGGTCAGGACAAGATTGTCAATATTTCATGATAGAGTCATGTCAGAGCTTTAAGCAATACCTCATTCGATAGGAATTTTTTGGTCTACAATGTTTAGTAATGCTTAGCAAAATGTTTTGATGACAAATACTGATTAATCTTTAGAAAACAGTTAAAAAACCGCAAAAACAATCGTACCAAATCTCTAGTGAACAATGTACACCAGAGACTGGATATGGGCACCATTGTGTTCTCCTTTGAATTCTCTACAAGTTTCATATAAGTTTGAAGGAACGGTTACTATCAGGAAACGCGCATTTTTAAGGTCGATAGATTTCCGAATCCTATGAATCCTCATTCAGAACAATAGATATTAAATCTCCGTTGAGCTTCCGCATGTGTACACCAGGCAAGTATGCATTTGACCAAGCATTTTAAAAACCGGAGCGTACGAAAAGGGCCATATTAACTTGCTGGTTTCAAGTTAACAATAGATACTTGACATATTGGAGAATCTTGCTTTTAAGGCTAGACAGCTATAGCTTATCTTGTTCAGTTATAGTAAATCTTCCAACTTAGCATATGAATTAATATTCCGCTACCTAATAATGATTGCCTCTTCAATGTCGTTCATCGCTCTTCTAGAGAAAACAACCCGTATATTATATGCGGCGAGTACTACTGATCAATAAAAAAAATTCCACTCTTTTCATTGTTTGTTGTTGCGTCGAGGTAGCTGTTTGCTGATATGGTGTAAATCAGTTGATGTATGATTTATCAGAAATAAATTATTTATAAAAAAAAAGAGTATGAAATTAATCAGGTAAAGAATATCGTTTATTACATTGAAAATAAGAGGGTTTATATACTATTTGAATTGAAGGATTTGATGTGAGGATAAGGTATTAGATGGGTTGATTTGGGTGATAGGATAATAGATCCAATCTATTATCCTGAACATGCCATGATATGGATCGTAACTGAATCCTGTTTCATGTCAAAGTTTATGATCTGATGTGATCGGTGCTTGAACTGCTTGTTTCTACGCATTTGGAGATCCGGTTTAGAAATGATACATCAATGTATATACAACAATAATAATGATGCAAAATTATATATATATATATATATAATAGCGCTGATTTCGGATTGAGTGAATTAAAGGTAGTATATACTACAGTATATGTATTTACTATGATAATACTTAGTTTGTGTAGAATACGCCTATCACGTTCTGCACTTTAAAGCTTCTTTCAGGTAACTCATTTTGCTATATAAACTACTACATAAATATAACACTAGATTGATGAGAAAATTGTTTAACTGCAAAACAAACTCCAGGTACAGCACAAAGTGTCAAGAAGAAGAGGTTTATACTACATAGAAATAGATCATATATAATAGATGGCACTATTAGCATGGATGACGCTATTACCTCAAGCTTTGCTTGCATTTAAGGTAGGCTAAGAGCATGTGCCACATACAGTACACGCTATGGATCTATAAAATATAAAACTAATGCTTCAGATGTGTAATTAGTGATCTGAACCACCAGACATAAGCCAAGATAACACTAGTTACGGATACATTACGTACCGCAGACTTGTACTTTAAGAGCTATGCTCTAAGCAAACCGTATATTTAGATGCATATCATGCTTGAATTGAACAATCCGCGATACTGTATAGCACTGAGGAAAATATGCAAAATCGCTGTAATATCTCTGTTCACAGTGTTTAGATGTAATTCCTTAAAATGACTACAGGCTTTCCTATTTATGAGTGCTTTTTTCTCGTAATGAGGTGATAAAAAACTTTGGTACGTTGGCAGTATATGGCCTGAAAAGCAGCTACATTCTACAATCATGCAATCGTATATTGTTCTTTGCTTGAGCAGTGCAGTAAATACGAGCGTATTAAGCAATTATCTACTAAAAAATATGTTTTCTGTTATACAATGTGTATCTCCATAGTGGTGTTACGTATTTAACCCGCTATTAGGTTTACAAAATACGAACTATTATGATCTGTATTGCTACAACTTTGTGGTATTTTTTGAAAATGTTCTTTGACCGTCAGTCCCAAGTAATGCATAAACCGTATATTCAGCGAACGAATACCTATAACCGTTGCTACACCTAACATTTAGCTATTTCATGAAGGATAGTACGCATAATCTCTGACGGATTCGAACTCTCGTTCATCAATATCTGAACATTCCCCAGACTCTTCAACTCTTAATATTGTTACACCGACGAAAATATACCAACTATCATACAATTTTATTACAGTAGTATATTCGAATAATTTAACTACCACGATAGGTAGTGTAAGAATAAGGACTGATCAGCAAGGGAATATGATAGTGTTGTTCAGGGTTGGCCAACTCAAAGACAATCTATAAAAAATAGCATGTCAAAACCTTGGACGCTTTGCTTCTTCCTGCCAAAAACACCATATACTTACTTGGACATAGGGGTAGAAACATTCTTGACCAATCTTGGAAAAGAAAGCCTTGGTTTCAAAGGTAACACGGTAGATACCTTTCTCGGCCTTATAGCCTTCAGGCAACAAGGTAGGGCAACGACCATCACTGTTGGTTTGACTATTCAAAAAGCATGAATATCCCATCATGCTCTGTCCAACATCATTAGAAAACTTACGAAGTAGAGAGAGTAGCAAAGGCACCAGATTGATCCAACTTTTCGATCTTTACATCGATATTTTGGCCAGGAGTACCCAAAGAAGCGATGAGAACGTGGCAAGTGATAGGGCTCTTGTGTGCTGACATTGTAGGCTAATGAAGACCTGTGGTTAGATACATCAAGATCATTATTTATGCTGAATAGATCATATACCTTTAAGTGATCTTTGACAGTTTCAAGACGAGAAGAAGCAACAGACATGATAAAGAGAAAAAGAGAAAAGAAACAATATAATAGGTATAATTTTCCAATCTTTTATAGTTGGCAATCCTTGACCAAGCGAACCTGAAATCACCGCACATGACCTATCAAAAACATTGTCCTCTCTAGAGGCCCATCCAACAATTCTAAATTACAATGACATTCACTTTCAATAAGTATCAGTTTTTTTATTTCTATCTGTTTGCCATCTCCTAACAAGCATAATTTTGTGTTTCCTCGACCAATATATGTGAAAAAAAAAAGAAAAATAAAGAGAGATAAGCATGAGACGGGATTGTAAGCCCAAAACGGTTGTTGTGTATATATATCAATCTTTCGAATTAATGGTGGTGGGCAGCAGCATCATTCTAGAGAATTCAAGCCGTCAGTAAACCACGCATGCTGAACATTCACTATGAATCACTTACGACAACAGGAGGAAGATTACGCTCCCACTTGGTACCCTCGGGACCCATAGGCACTACAAATTTGAAAGGTGGATATATTAGTAAGCGTCCAGAATCTGTTCATGTCGTTCAGCTTTACATTTGTAGGGATCAGGATGAGCCCAATCTTGAAGTTCTTTCTCTGCTTTCTGGACAAGAGCTTGAATTTCCTTGGGGCTGGTTACATGCTTATTTTGCTCAAATTGAGCTCTGATTTGAAGAGCTTTTTGTCTCCATAAATCACGTTGAATATACCAATCGAGCGAAAGCTTCAATGAGCGCTTATAGAGTGATTGAACATGCAAACGATGAGCAACTGCAGATGGAGTAGACATGATTTTTGAGATGTTGTTATTATAAGAAAGGGCTAAAGAACAAAAAACACAAAAACAAAACAATCCAAGCTCTTGTTTTCGCTCCCGCTTGAGGGGTGTGGGGCTCGCCTTCTCTCATCCACTACATCAATCTATCTCAGTGCCTATGATGACGTACGTGCCATGATTGGACATTCATATTGAATGAGTAGAAATGTCAAATCTGGAGAAAATCCAAATGCTCAAGACTCTCCTTCCTGAATCTCTTACTACTAAATTGCTCTTCTCTGGGCGCCCCCCCACTACTTAGTGTATTTGCTATATTCCGTTGACCTTACCCCAAACGATAATGTACTGGATCCATCTAGCGTATAGTTTATTCACTTTTGTCTCAGCAGGAAGGGTATAATCGACATTGACCAAACGTTACATATCAAGGAGATTCATCCGAGTCGTACCTTGCATAACGGAATGTATGTGGTTGCGTGCCGTCGTCTTCATCATCGTCTTGAGGCTGCTGCTGCTGCTGGTCATACATGGGGTTGTGGAAATCATCGTTGTCAGTTGGGAGATGGGATGCTGAAAGATCCGTCTCATCAAGCCCATCATCGTCAACCACCTCTTCCTCCATAGGCTCTTCTTCATCTTCGTCTTTGTCTCCATTGACGTTGGTCATCTTCGAGGGTAGGATAGGCTGGCCACGGATCAAGATGGGAATACCCACCTGGATGTCATTCAACCTTTTTGCTTCCATTTTATCCTCCAGATACGCTATCTCCAGCGCCTTGTCTTGGACAGTTTGCTTTTCAGTGTACCAATGCGAGCTTTTTCCTACAGGCGTCAGTGTCGGATACATGATAAAGAATGGATGAGAACAGAGAAGAGCGGATGCACTTGCCAATGGAGCTACTAGTAGTGCTGATTGTGTGACGTTTTAAACATGAAGGTTGCAATCCTACGAGAATTTAGACAGTGGGGTTTTTTTTAGTTGATTGTTAAAGTGAAGATGTTGCCCAAACAAAGCAAAAAAGTACAGGAAGAAGAAGAGGATGCTGTCTATGAAGTCGAGGAAATTGTTGGTCACCGACGCTCTGCAAAGAATCAAGTAAATTTCGCGTGTAAATCTTAATGCGAAAAAAGGAATTCTGACTGTATTGCCTTTGGTAGAGTATGGTTGAATACCTCATCAAATGGAAAGACTATGCTCCTGAATATAACACCTGGGAAAAAGAACGCAATGTGTAATTTGGATACATGCCTACGTTTATTGCTGTACGCTGACCCTTGCTCTATCTCTCTCTTTCCCTCGCTAGCTATTCTAAAGGCCTGATCAGCAACTACTGGTCTACTCAGCCATACACTCTTACTGCATTCAAAAAAAAACTTCATGAAACAGACTCTACTATACCAAAGAAGCGTCCAGCTGCACCGCCGGCAACAAAGGTCGACCGAAAGAAGGTAGCTCAAGAGATTAGGTCTTCCCAAATTTCCACTGCACCTCCTTCTGGACTTGTCTGGTCTGATGTCGAAGCCATCGTTAATGTATTCCATAGTGAACCTGCTACCTTCTTTGCTGAAGTCAAGTGGAAGAATGGACAGCGAAACACCTATATTCCCACCAGAATCATCAAGAAGTACTGTCCTCAACAAGTAAGTGTAATAGCAATTGACGTTGGTTTTACTAGCAACTCATGTTTTGCCGTTAGCTCATTGCCTTTTACGAGAGTCAAATCGAGTTTTACCTACCTCCTTGATTGCGCGTTTGATAGCGGTGTTCATTTGTTTCGTTCAGAAGCTTAGCTTATTTTTCATTTCTTAGTATAAACATACAAAACCTCCATCATATCATCAACAAATACGATAATGCAAACCATTCAAATCTTTGTTAATCTTGGCAGCATTTGGCGATTTAATCATCCTCTTTCTGGGCAGCATTATTCAGGCCACACACGCCTTTTCAATTTTGTGATCCATCAAAAACGTTTTTCGGGTTTTTTTTGTGATACTATTATGCATTTAAGCACGACAGCCGCTCAAGCAAGCTGCTTACCATCAACTACATATTTCCTTGATTTCCTATGATCCGAAATAAAAAAAAAAAAAAAAAAAAAAAAATACCAGGTCTTTAAACAGATAGATTTTTGCCCATGATGTGCGTATCAAGACGTTAGGAGCCTAGTAAGAAACGAACTTTGCAAGCATACTCATAGCTATGATCAGTATTTCAGCTCTTAATTTCCCATGCATGTACACTATCAACTTGTCTGTATCAGATGCGTATAGTTTAAAACGATAAATCAAATATTTTAATCAAGGATAAGAAATTACATGCAAAAAAAAGTATAAAATGGGGATGTGAGTGTGAGAGGGCAGTCTGTTGCACGACGGTCAACAAAGAGAATAATAAGTCTAATAGCAAAATAAAAAGAGTGAAATGTAAATGAAGCTTAGTCGAAAACAATCTTGGTGGCCTTCTTGACTTCTCCTCCAGTATCCTTGTAAAAGGCACCATAGGCACTGTGAGTCTTCTTCTTGACAGTAGTACCGAAAGCCATCAATTCTTCAGGGACTTGCATGTTGGCTTGCTTCAAAACATTGATCAATTCGCCTGAATGCGACTTGTCTTCGGGGGTGAAGAAAGTGTAAGCAGTACCCTTCTTACCACCACGACCAGTACGACCAATACGATGGACATAAGCCTCGATAGTGAGAGGGAAAGTAAGGTTGATCACGTACTCCACATCAGGGATATCGAGGCCACGAGCAGCAACATCAGTAGCAATCATCAAGGGAAAAGAACCATCCTTAAAGGAGCTCAAAGCTTCAGTACGTTGCTGTTGGTTCTTATCACCATGAATACCGACAACCTTGTAACCGTGGTACTCCAGAGATCTCTCTACACGAATGGCTTCCTTCTTGTAAAGTGCGAATATCAACACACGGTTCGTACGAGATTTGTGAACCTTCTTTAGTAAATCCAGTAAATGACGCTCTTTGTCTCTGGGGTTGTCAATGACTTTGACAATTTGTTGCACATTCTGAGAGGCGGCAAGATCAGGTGAACCGATAGTAACACGCATAGGATTGTTCAAGAAATCACTGGCAAGCTTACGGATGCTCTCGGGCCATGTAGCAGAGAACATGAGTGTTTGGCGATCCTTGGGAGAATAGCTCATGATGGAACGGATATCGTTCTCAAAACCGTCATCCAACATACGATCAGCTTCATCCAACACCATGAAAGAAACATCGGTCAAATCACAGGTACCTTCATTAATAAGATCAATCAAACGACCGGGAGTAGCAACAACGATATCAACACCTCTTTGGAAAGCTCTGCGTTGAGGCTGCTTGTCCACACCACCATAGACACAGATGGAAGTGACACCCACAGCCTTACCAGCAGCTTCAGCTTGTTCAGCACTTTGCATAGCCAGTTCACGAGTAGGGGACACAACCAACATGGAAGGCTTACCGCTCTTCTTACCCTTCTTCAATTTGGCAGCAATATGCACTAAACCAGGGATAGTGAAAGCAAGTGTCTTACCAGAGCCAGTCTCGGCAATACCAATGATATCACGGCCAGAGAGTGTAATGGGCCATGTAGCAGCTTGAATAGGTGTGGGGTTGGAGAAGTTCTTGACGACTTCCAAAATGTTATCAGGAAGACCAGCTTGCTTGAATTCTAGGATAGGACGAAGCTTGAGATCGCCAGTGACCTCAATAGTGTGCTTCTTGTAAAATTCGTCAATCGTGCTTTGAGGAAGAGCAGTGAGTTCGTCGTCTTGTTGATATTTGTATGATGCAAGGATTTCGACGTTCTTTTTGATGGCCTTCTTGGGTTCAACAGCAGCGGGAGCAGCAGTGTTGACATCCATCTTTTCTTCAACAGGCTTGGCCTCCTTCTTCTTGTCTTTCTTGTCCTTCTTCTTGTCCTTTTTCTCCTTCTTGCTCTTTTTGCTGACGGCAACGTCCTCGTCTCTCTTTCTCTTCTCAACCTAAGAGATGTTTTGTTACTGTCAGTTCGAATTGACCTCAGTATAGATTATTACCTTTTCAATCTTTGCAGGTGACATGTTTGTGTTTAGTTACAGGAAAAAGCAGCATTAGATCAAATACATTGAAAACCTTTCAAATTGACAGAAAAAAAGTGACTGATTACCTTTCCCATCTCATGTACGCCACCAACAGATTGCAAGTAAAATGTGCGGTTAGTGATTTGCAGACTGCAAATGCGACTAGAGTCAATTACAGGTTTACCTGAAATTCACCTAATATGCCAGCAGACGAGAACAAGAAGCATCAATTAGAAGACATTCTATCAGATAATGTGTCTATCATGGATACAGAGGATTTGTCATTTGAAGCAAACCCAGCAGTAGTGGATGAACAAGTCAAAGAGGGCTTCTGTGTGGAATGCAAAGACCAAGCTGCAGATACTTTTTGTGTTCAATGCAATGAGCCTTTTTGCGAGGTTTGCTATGGTAAATTTATGCAGGTTTATTGCCGAGAAACCATGATTTACGGTGCTTTTTTTTTTGTAGGCATGATTCATAGAACTGGCAAGCGCAAATTGCACACGAGCAGAGAATATTCGACATCGACTCAAGCGACACTCGATAAAACAGATGGAGATCAAGACAACGAGACACTCGTGGATCACGACCATGTGAGTTGATCATGTACAAACGATTGCTTGTGTATCTAATACATATTCAAGCAGGCCAAAATCGACGAGAAGGTAGTAGAGCCTCTCTCTGAGAAATCCAAGCAAGCAAAATTCAGAGAAATCATGGAGAACCGAGCCAAGTTCATCCCACTGCGACTCAAGTTGGAAGAGAGAAAATACCTGAGAATGTAAGGCAGAGATCGTTCGATTTTTGGAACAGCAGCAATGGATACTGATAGTATTGTTTGCAGGCTGGAGGCAGCGCTGAATGTGACGGAATACACGGAAAAGATTGACAATGAAAGCAGCACTGGAAAAGCAAAGCGTGTCGTCAATCAAATCAAGGAACTGTGTGCCATTCTAACAGGCATTGTGCTTGGATGTGATTACAAGCGCGGTCAGGAGCTTTTTGCAGAGAGAAGTTATGAGGAGAATGAGGAGTTTTTCCAGACCATCTTTGAGATTGGACGTAGACACAAGATCATGAACCCTGAGAAAATGAGAAGTGCTTACGGTAAATTAATGTATCTCTTGTCTGTAAGTACCTCATGCATTGTATTGCTACAAGATGGCTTATATAGTTGAGACGTTTATAGGATTCCATGATCCCTGAGGTCAAGGAAATGCTTGGATTCGATTGTGTTGTGCCTATCCAGACTGTATACACTTTTTTGGAGGAGAGAGACTGCCTGGGTGTTTTGCATGAAGAGATTGTATTGCTGGCTACCATGGAGATCATGCCTGATAGAAAGACAAGACCCCAGATTCAAGCAGAGATCAAGCGCAAAGAGAGAAGCATTGAGCAACTGAGTCGAAAGTATCAGTCCAAGTACATTTCTGCTGATGAGATCCGTCATTGTTTGTACAGTATTGGTGATAACAATGCTTATTTGAGAGCAAATCGGTATGTTGTCTATCAGGACTGTCTCGGCTTGGTTACTGACGCTGTTCTACCACTTTTTGTAGTGATCCTTGCGAAAAGATGATCAAATATCTCGAGAAATACTTTAGCCCTGACGATGGCGATGATTCCGAGTACTCTCTGTCCATTGCATCTGGATCTCAAGGCCATCGTCTGAGCCACGATCACGAAACACAGTACATTTATGTGAATCAAACACTGCAGCTGTGGAAAGAAATTTTGAACGACATGTTTAAGCTGTGGACATTGGCCGATCAAGACATGCTGTCGACCTCAAATCCTTATACCTTATCGCAAACTGGCCAAGGTGTGCATCGTGTTCAACCCTGTCCTGCTGTGTCGCGAGAGATGCATCGTACGTTATTCAAGGCACAAAAGAAGGCAGGTACCTGGATTGGTAGTAGTGTGATTCATTTGGGCGACAAAAATGTGCCAAATGCACTGATGTTTATTGACAAGGTAAGCAAGTTGTATGTGTCACGCTTAGCAAGCTACTCACATGCTTCATCTCTTTAGTATAATCAAGTCGCTCGTATCTTGAGCCCTATATGTATTACCATTAATATCTTGGATGACTTGGCAAAAGATGAGGGTATTTGCCAGTTTATCGAAAACAAGTTTGAAAGTCTGGATCTCTGCAGAAAGACCATCCTGAGTAAGTTGATTCATAGACTGACATGGAGCGGTTTGACTGACTCGGAATGTGTCACTAGCTGATTTTTTCCGCTTTGCATTTGACGGATCTGGCGCTGATAATTTCTACGATGCGGGTAGTTGTATTGATGGTAGACTAACGTCTGCGTGGAATTGTGAGTTGCTCATTAGGATTGATGTGTCTGTTGGATCTAATCTCTATTTATGTGTATAGGGTGTTCGCAAATCGAGCAAAAGCCATATTTCCCAGTGTTTTTATTAGCAGGATTCGCTGGTTTTGATGGCGGTGGATGGTAAAGAATAAATAAAAGTTCTCCCATAGACAGAGTTAGACATTAAACACCACGGATTGCGCGTACATGAGTTCAATTGTAGTCATCATTTCCATGGAACACATTTGATTCCACGGATCAGCTATGTATAGACGGCAGATTTGGCAGCATTGCCAAGTAACTGACTGATGCTCTATCAAGAAGCAAAAGGATCAGCTTCAAACCAGCAGCCCGGATAGTAATCTACACAGGCACAAGCTGCGCCAAGATATGGTTGCTATGGTGTACCTTACATATGCATCAAGCTAAATGTAGGAAATATTTCTCGAATAGGCTACAGTGCTTGTTTGATCAGCGTTACACTGTATATTGCACCCTTGAATACAAGAAACCGCAGTTTATCTGTTGTTTACGATAATGAGCTGCTGCGGATATTTTTCACAAGTCGTTTGATCGTTTTTATGGAAAGAATTACTAAATGAGGATGAGAATCGTATTTCGTGCAACCCGACCTATTTGAATAAATAGCAAGTGATGGAGTCCAAGCGAGGAAAGAATGCTCCGTTTTATCTCTTTTTCTTTTTTTTTTTTCTAATCGATTGAGAAATTGAGTCTGTTGTGCATCTATGGTAATAATGAACTCCACAGTGCACATTACCTCCTGCATGTATACTTATGTTCAATTCTGTTTCAGGAACAACACGAAACACACGGCAATGTCTATTATTACAGGTAAAGAAAATCAAGGCACCAATCTCTTACAGGATGGCATGCTGAAATCAGGGCATTTAGACTTGCATACGCACTATCGCCGTTAGTGGTGACAGGATTAAGCGTCCTGTTTCTGTCTTGCAAACGATATGGCTCCAAGTATGCCGCATTCACTGAAATAGAGTCGATTACAATCTCGCTGCAGAAAAGGAAGATTGCATTGATGCTGCTTACAGGCATCCAGACAGCGAGTTGGCTGTATCAATTCATTCAGTACGCATTAGCATCGCAACATCACAATTTGACAAATTCCTTATCTTTGGTGTCACTGTTTATCACCTGGGTAATGTGTTGTTTTTTTTAGCGTTTTAGACGAAGGCGTGTGCGTTTTAACAATCCATCATCTCTAGTTGACACTGTTTGTCTTGTCGTGTACATCACCACGATTGAATCACTACAAGGAGCGTGCCTACAATTACGTCTTTACCTTTGTGTTTTGTTATTTATCTCTGGATTCCGTATACCGCTTATTATCAACAGACAACGTACAACGTAGCAGCCTCATCTACTGTGCCATCAGTTTTGTCTTGTTTGCCATTGCAGGTACCACACAACAACCCTATCACCCTAGAGATTTGCAAGCTGCCAGCTATGAAAATTTAGAGATCAAGGATGGTACAGTGTATCGCAATGTAAGTTTGTGTTCCCCTGTATGACCCTATTTGTGTGTGTGTGTGTGTGTGTTCTGATCTGGTATCACAATAGAACCTTGTCCTAAGTCCAGAAGCCACAGCCAGTATTTTTTCATGGTCTGCTTTCCAATGGGTACGTTGGAGAAATGCGGTCGAGTAATATAAGATACTAACAGCAGGATGGTCATTAGATGAACCCTTTGGTCGTCTTTGGTTTTCACAATGTGGTCACTCGCGAAAACATCTACGCCATGACCTTTCAGCACTTGTCTCGCACCACCTACGCTGATTTCGTAGACACAAAGCTATTCATGGCTCGTGCAAGAGTACTGGGCCGTATCTACAGAGCCAACAAGAGCACCATTTGGTTCCAATTCATCTTTGCCATGGCTGCCTGTGGTGTCGCTTACCTTAGTCCTTACTTTCAGCAGAAATTCCTAGAGTACATTGAGCTGTACGAGGAAAGATCACCCATTCAAACTGCCTACCTATACGTCTTGGGCTTGTTTTTGGTTGGCATCGTCAAGCTCTTGTGCAATTCAGTTCAATTGTGGATGGGCCGTCGTTGGAACATTCGTACATTGATCATGTTGGATTCAGAAATTTTTGCAAAGACTTTGAAGCGTAAGGACATGTCTGGAAAGCTCTCTAAAGCAGCTGAGGCAGCAGAAGAGGAGGCTGACGGAAAGAAAGACTCCAAAAAGAAGGACGCTAAAAAGAAGGACGCCAAGGAGGAAGAGGAAGAGACCTTTAGTAACGTGGGCAAGATTACCAACTTGATGAGTGTGGATGCTGATAAGCTGTCTGATGTGCCTAGTTATATCTTTGTATGTATATATCAATGAGGTGTAACGCTTTATACTAACCTCACTGTCTCTAGATGATGTACACTGCTCCTGTCGATATCACCATTGCCATCATCTACTTGTACAGTTTGCTGGGTAGCGCAGCACTGGTCGGTCTCGTTGTCATGATCTTGTGCTTCCCCATCACTGGCATTTTGACCAAGAAGATGTCTTCTAGCTACACTGCACTCACTACAGCCAAAGATCGCCGCAATGACCTGGTTAATGAGCTCTTGCAAGGTATCCGTATGATCAAATACTTTGCTTGGGAGGACAATTGGAAGGAAAAGGTCTACGAAGCCCGTCGTGACGAGATCAAAAAGTTGATTCGCACCATTGTGATTGATGTCTTGGTCAATCTTATCTTTTTGGCTGTGCCTGTCCTGGTTACAGCAACTTCCTTCATCTGGTACACCAAGGTTGCTGGTAACGAACTTACTGCCAGTGTTGCCTTTGTCAGTATCACGTTATTCGAAATGCTGCGTGGACCACTCATCTTTATCCCAGAGACCATCAATACCTGTACAGAAGCTTATGTCAGTTTGAACCGTATTGCCAACTACTTGGAGGAACCTGAAGTTGAGGAAAATGTGAACAAAGATCCTGTTGATTGCCCTGAAAACGTCGATCCTCAGATTGTATTGGCTCGTGTTGGCTTTGAGCAATCTGTATTCCAATGGCACATTGAAAAGGAGGTACCAAGGGCGGCTCCTAAGGCTGCTACTGCTGCTTCTCCTGCCACTACACCTCGATCAGACGAAGAACAGCATCTGATCTCTGCTAGCTCTACCTCCTCTACCCTGAGTGTTGCTGCTGCTCGTCTCAGTCGTCGTACCTTCCAATTGAACGTGCCCAAGTTTAACTTTCCCATTGGAAAATTGAGTTTGGTATGTGGCCCTACTGGCAGTGGTAAATCCAGTTTCCTCAATGCCTTGCTGGGTGAGATGGATATCATCTCTGGTCGTGTCTATTTGCCCTCCAAGGTCGTCCTCGCCAATGAGAATGTGTCCAAGATTGACGCCAACTACGAGAATTTGTATTTAGACAAGGTTGCCTACGTGGCGCAACAACCGTTCTTGAGACACGCCTCTATCCGCGACAACATTTTGTTTGGTCTTCCCTTTGACGCTGCTCGCTACAAAAAAACGCTGTATCAGTGTGCTTTGATCAAGGATCTCACCATCTTGCCTGACGGAGACCGCACTGAAATTGGTGAAAAGGGTATCTCGCTCTCTGGTGGCCAAAAGCAGCGCGTCTCTTTGGCTCGTGCTGTCTATTCCAATGCTAAAACGGTCCTTTTGGATGATTGTCTCAGCGCAGTGGATGCGCATACTTCCAAGCATATCTACAGAAAGTGCTTTATGGGCGATCTTTTGCTGGGCCGTACTGTGATTTTGGTGACACATCAAGTCAGACTCTGTCTGCCTGGTGCTAGTTTCTTTGTCAAGATTGAAAATGGCCATGTCTTGGGCTGTGATTCTGTTGACAACTTGAAGGCCAGTGGCGAACTACAAAAGTTGCTAGGTGCTGACGAATCCAAGGAGGAACAAGCTGAAGAAGACGAGGAAGAAATTGAGGACCTTGTAGACGATGATAATGCAGATGCGGATGTGGACCTCGACAATAAAAAGGAAGCTGCTAAGCTCGTCCAAGAAGAAACTTCGGAAAAGGGCCAAGTCAAGCTCAAGGTCTATGTCAAATACTTGGCTGCCTGTGGTGGCTGGTTCTTTTGGATCGCTTTACTTTGTTCCTATGTGTTTGCTCGCTTCCTGACCTTTGGTGAAAACTGGTGGCTAAGAATCTGGGCCGCGTCTTACGAGACACATGCACCTGCGAATGCTACTCTCTCTGCACTCTCTGCTGCTTCCCCTGTGATCGCCAGCAACAAGGCGCCTATGATCCAAGGCGTGTTCGATACGATGGGCGCTGCTATTCAAAAGCAAAACATGTTTAGAACGTGGGTATTTGAAGAAAAAGCACCTGTGAATGTGGACTACTACATTGGTGTCTACATTGCCATCTGTACCACCTATATCATCTTTGATGCCTGCAGAAACATGCTGATTTACTGGGGCTCCATTCGTGGTGCTCGCACTTTGTTTGACTCGTTGCTCGATCGCATCATCCATGCTCCTATGCGCTTCTTTGATACAACGCCCGTGGGCCGTATCCTGAACAGATTTGGCAAGGATGTGTCTACCATTGATATGCAAATCGCTCGTTCTGCTAGTTTCCTGATTGAATGTGTCACTGGTGTCATTGCCTCTACTGTGGTCATCTCCATCATCACGCCTCAGTTCTTTATCGTGGCTGTTGCTATCAGTTGCTTGTACTTTGTCATTGGTTTGTTCTACCTGCGCATCTCTCGTGAATTGAAGCGTCTCAATTCTGTCAGCCGTTCTCCCATCTACTCTCACTTTACTGAATCTTTGATTGGCGTTACTACTATCAGGGCGTACGGTGTTGAGGAGCAATTCATGCGCACTGTCTATGAAAAGATTGATGCCTTTGTTGCACCCTTCTATTTCCTGTGGATGAGTAATCGCTGGCTCTACTGTCGCATTGAATTTACTGGTGCGTTTGTCACCTTCTTTACTGGTATCTTTTTGATCTTGAATATTGATCATATCGACGCTGGTATGGCTGGTATCTCCTTGTTCTATGCTCGTAGTTTCTTGGAGTATATTTACTGGTTCATTCGTCAATACACTACTGTGGAGATGAACCTCAACTCTGTTGAGCGTGTCCAAGAATACCTTGAATTGGATCAGGAGCCTCCTGCTACCATTGAGGGTCATAAGCCTCCTGCTGCCTGGCCAACCACTGCTGCTATCGAAGTCAAGGATTTAGTCATTCGCTATGCTCCTGAACTCGACCCTGTCTTGCATGGCATTTCGTTCTCTACCAGGGCACATGAAAAGATTGGTATTGTAGGTCGCACAGGCTCTGGCAAGAGTACCATGGCATTGAGTTTCTTCCGTTTCTTGGAAGCTAGTAATGGCTCCATTTCCATTGACGGCATTGATATCTCCACAATCGGTATCCAAGATTTACGTTCTCAAATCACCATCATTCCTCAAGATGCCGTCCTGTTCTCTGGTACTATCCGTTCTAACATTGATCCCTTTGAAGAGCATTCAGATGAGGCCGTTTGGGAATCCTTGGAACGTGCTCATCTCTCCAAGGCTTCTGATAGACTGCGAAAGGTGCAAGGCTATGGCTCTGGCGATGTGACACCCAAGAGTGCTACAAGTACCCATACCGTCGACGATGATGAACAGCGCATCTCTCCTATTACTAGTCTAAATCAACAAGTCAGTGATGGTGGCAGCAACTTTTCTCAAGGTCAGCGTCAACTATTGTGCTTGGCTCGTGCTCTGCTCAAGAACAGTAAACTGATCATCATGGATGAAGCTACTGCTAGTGTGGATTTCGATACAGATACCAAGATCCAAACCACCATTCGTGAGGAGTTCACCAACTCTACTTTGCTGTGTATTGCCCATCGTCTTCGTACCGTCATTGATTATGATCGCATCTTGGTCCTTGATCAAGGTCATGTAGCAGAATACGATACACCTTACAACTTGATTGCCAAGAACACGGGTACTGGTATCTTTAAATCCATGTGTGAAAAGTCTGGTGAATATGAGATTTTGCTCAAGATGGCTACTGAATCTGATGCAAACAACAAACACGATGAAGCAGAAGAGAGACCTGACAATCATGCAACTATCTATTAAATATCTATCTACAATCTTATTTACTTTCCACCATACCACTATTTTTTTTTAAAATCATTATATCGCAATAAACAATCTGATTTACATCATTTCAATGTTCTGCTTGTAGCCTTTTGTCAGAAAGAGAAAAGAAAATAATAATAGTTATTGATTTACATCATAAGAGAGGGGGGGGGGGGAATAAATAATAGTTTTATATATATATACATGATGAATACGAATCTTAGCATTTAATAGGACTTTACTGAGCTTACAGATTCACGTCTTTGAGCTCTGTCATAGCCAAATCGAGATGGCTGTTGATGCTGCTTTTGGATGAATTTGGATGCTTTGCTGGTATCCTTTTTGCTTTTAGCAAAGGCGGGTACCGTTGCAAACTCATGTCTAGACTTGTCGGCAAATTTGTCCCAAATAAAGATAGTAAGCACCTTGATGACATCGATAATGAAAAAGGTACCGAGCGAGATGGCTATGATGATCATACCACGAGCCCAGCCTATGCTGGTAATGTTGGGATCTGCTCCAAAGGCACCGTATACAGATAACACTAATGCAATGACTTGTGTACCCAGTACGATAGCAGTAAACACAAGCGATGGCATACTAGTCCACCAGAAAGAGTTTGTACGAGTTGAGAAGATGACGAAATGAGGGGCTGATGATGATATGGCGTTAGTACCAAGCCTCTTGCGCTATCACGACACAAGTAACTTACCAGAAGAGATATGAAGATACATGATGGAAGAGAGTTCTCCAGGAGTAGCATGCAATACATCACGGAAGATGTAAAAGTGTGCAAAAGAGAATCCTGACAAGACAATTGCGAGAACACAAGAAAGCACAAGCAGCAGACGAAGACGCCACATATTGGGTGAGTGGGAGATGCTAACGCTGTCAACTGCCATGATCAATGTGGCTGCATCGTTCAGCAACGAAATCAAGATGAGGAATACAGGTGGCATCTTCCAGTCTTCAGCGAGTGTGATGACAAAGAAGAAGATGAGAAAGTGAATGGTCGATGTGATGCGGTACAGGGCGTAGGACTGAAGACGTTGGAAGATGATTCTTGATACTTTGATACCATCGATGATAGCAGACAAACCTGGCGCCAGTAAGACAATGTCGGATGCTGAGCGAGCTGCATCAGTCGCTCCTGCTACAGCAATACCCACATTGGCCTTTTTCAATGCTGGTGCATCGTTGACACCATCACCCGTCATGGCAACAAAGTAGCCTCTTTCTTGTAGCAGTTCCACCACTCTGTATTTGTGCTCTAAAATGTAATAGTGTTAATGGCGCTAGTCTATGTATCGATTCCTTCGCGCTAGATACTCACCAGGAACCACGCGGGAGAAACCATCAGAAAACAAGACAGCATCCGACAGCTCTTGCTCTGATTTTGTAGGATCCACAAGCTCGTCTACGTCCAAAATGTTCTTTCCCATGCCTAATCTCCCAGCCACTTCTTTGGCAATAACACCTTGATCACCGGTAATCATCTTGACAGTAATACCGTATTGGTTGCATTCAGCCAAAGTCTCTGCAGAGTCGTCTCTGGGAGGATCAATCAAACTAAGCAAGCCCACCAACTCCCATTGATCCATGCCTTTCACAGTTCTTGCGACGCCCAAGGAGCGGAGTCCTCGAGCAGCAAAAGCTTCCACTGTTTCCTCAGCCTGCTTGTTACCACCCACCAGGCTCAGAATCACTTGAGGAGCACCTTTGGCTACACGAAATTTGGAATCCGTTGCTAGTTCCTGCACAGTAGCCTCAGCGGTCTTGTCGGAGGGATTAAAGGGCTTGAAAGATACCACCTTGTAACCTTGTACAGAGTGGCTGCCATCGTTGTTCACTTGCGGATGGTGCTTTTCAGCGGCTGTGCGTACAGCGAATTCAATCGGATCATCTGTGGCTACTTCGGCAGCCAAGTAAGAGTAGAGCAAAATGTCGTTTTTATCGTAAGAGCCAGACAAGTAGGGCTTGTCAAATGTGAGTTCGTTTTTGGTGAGTGTGCCTGTTTTATCGCTGCAAAGAATGGACACAGATGCGAATTCCTCAACAGCAGTTAATCTCTTGACAATCACTTGTTTCTTGGCTAGCTGTTTAGCGCCGATGGCCATGGTGACAGACATGACGGTAGGTAAGCCGACCGGAATACTAGTGCAGCGTGTTAGACGTCGCATAAATTACTGCTTCCAGCCTTCAACTTACGCTGCAATTGTCAATACCACCATCTGGTTCAATGCCGATAACACTTGGCCCTGTGTCACTGCGCCAGTAGCCACCTTCTCCTCCAACAGTTCATGGATGAAGATGATGAGCACGAGCAGCACCGAGATGATGATGAGAAAGTTACCAATGTAGTTTATCACCTTTTGGAATCTTCCAGATCCTGTTGTCACCGAGATCAAACTAGCGGTCTTTCCGATAAACGTATCAGGTCCAGTGCGAACGACAATGGCTTGCTGTTGACCTTGTTTGACGACACAGGATGAAAATACAACGCTTCCGGGCTTCTTTTTTGATGGTAAAGATTCGCCTGTCAATGAACTTTGGTCGATCTGAATGTCTGTCTCAATGGCTTCACCTGATGCGCCAATGCCTAGTAAACGAGCATCTGCTGGTACAATATCACCCAATCTCAGCACAATGATATCACCCACCACAATGTCCGCAGAATTCACTTCAATCAATCGACCATTTCTCCAGCATTTACAACGCAATGCAAGGCTGTTCTTGAGTGATGCAATGGATGATTCTGCGCGTGCTTCTTCGACGTAACCAATGACTGCATTGATGATCAGCATGCCAGCAATGATTCCAAAATCAAGCCAATCTGAGGTAACCGCTGTCAATATCAGCGATAGTATCATCAAATATGAAATGGCGCCAGTAACTAGGTAGACATGAATCATAAGTAATGCTGGTTTTTTTTTTTTTTTTTTTTTTTTTTCAGGGGCGAAACAGTCAATGGACAACTTACAAAACGATAGAAAATGCAGTAATTTGTTCCTCTTCTTTTCGGCCAACTCATTTCTACCAAATCGTTGCATTCTCTCATGCACCTGATCGTCTGTTAATCCAAATGTCGGTTGTGTTTGAAGATACGGCTCCAAATGAGCAGGCACATCATCAATGATATTTTGCTGTGGTTTCTCATTTGATGATTTGTTGATGGTGTTGGTTAAAGGCACGACCTCTTCCAGATCATTTGCATATTGATTTGTGATATCTTCTGGCTCGTTTGTGAGCTTTCTAAATCCCATTTTTGAAAAAATTGATAAAGAACAAAAGGGACCAAAGAAAAGAAAAGAGAGAGAGAGAGCAAGAGAGGCTAAAAATAACAACATCCAAATAGGCTAATTAAATCAAATAGCCTTATTGGCTTATGTGACTCGAACGAGGCTCATATCAACCCATCAATTATTTTGGCCTTCCATAATGGTCATTGAATGTGGCTGAATGAGTTTGTATTGCAAATACGCACATCTGGAGATGATTTCATTGTGTTTGGTTATCTACCTATCCGTTTCATTTCAGCATCTTATCAAGCATATAGAAGCTGAACTTTGTGAAAATAAAAACTATCACATAAAGGCAATATAAGTCATTCAGACAACACTATAGTACTATTCACTTTGTAATTTCTTTCGTATTAGTTTTACTGTACTATCACATTAAGCATGGCGTATCAGAATCGCCTGCCGCCAAAATCGGTTGTATTTCCGACAAATTGCTTCGACCAAGATTGGCCAAATGTGGTCGATTTTAAATCGATTTAAGCTATTTTGCAAGATTCGACTAGGTAACATGTGATAATTATGCAATGCTTCCTTAAACTTTCTTTGAGTACTTTTCAAGACAAATCCAATGATGCTAACTATGAGAGATGTTTTGTACAAACTTATTGAGCAATATTTGAAAATATGAAATGAGGTTTCTCCCTAAAATGTTGAGATTTTGCATATTAAGTTTTCACAAAAGTGTTTCTAGGGGTTAGTTTGAAGTGATACAATCATTTTGATTCAATACATGCCATAGTAAAAGTCTTCGTTTTTGGGGTCAAAAACGTAATCGTTCGATTATTGATAAAAACCATGAGGTGTCCCTCATGGTTTTGCTGTGGTTTTTGGTCGAATTTTGACGATCCCAAAAAAAAATGGAGCAAAGGTAACAGCAAGCAAGTACTATATCAGAGAAACTGTTTGGTGCTATTCCGGCGGTCTGAAACAGCCTTTAAAGCGAGAAAACATGCCTAATTTTCACTGTGTTTCGCATGATTTCGAGTAGTGAGAGGTAACGCCAGCAAGCTGTATACCAATATATGAGTTGTTCTCAATAATTTAGACGGGGAGCATCACGGAAAAGCTGGATCCACAGTTACAGGTCGTTTACAGAAGAGTTTTACACGATTAAAGAGGCTTAGTACTTAAAATTCCAGTATACATCAGCAAAATCGTGAATTTATGAGTAAGGTATTCAGGGTATAGCAATTGATGAGCATTTCAAACGGTTGGTTGGTTGGAATACTTTGATATAGTAGGCGAGTATCTGATTCTGATAAGTTGCAGCCGGCATTTGGTTAGCCCAAGATGAATAAGCGTTAAATCAAGCTGCAGTTGTCTTTCTTCCCGCTCTTCATAATCTCAACAAAGCCCTTTCGTTCTCTTGATCAAATGATCCTTCATCCATTGTTTATCAAGACACACTAAAATGCGCTGCACGCTTATTCTTCTTGAAAAAGAAGATGGAGCTGTCAGAAACACTGTTAGCATATAGATTGGGGTATTTCATCCGGAATCAAATAAGTAAGTAAAGAACATTGCTTCCACAGCCTGTATTTGAGAGCGCTCGACCGAGCCTTGCTCGATCATGACCAACTTTGTTCAATGATGCTCTTGAAACCGATCAAGCGCATTGTAAAGTCTTGATGTATTCAGCTCCATCATGATGAATACAGAACTGATTGGCTTCAAGCAATTGCGGTGTCTTGATATCTCGATGGTATCTTGTGATGAAATCCTCTGTTTTTGTATTTCCTTGTTGAAGAATGTATTTTTGCTTATCGCTAACAAAAGCAACAAAGGAAACGTCAGACAGGCACCAGTGAACAATAAAATACTTTGGTTGCAGTGGTAAATTGTTTAAAGTAATGTTGGCATTTATAACGCTTCTGTTGCTAATGTAAATACAGCATTTCCACAAAGACCAAAGAGAGAAGGTTTCTGGGGCCAGTTCTGAACAAGTGTGCAACAAAAGAGCATGTACGGTACTGCAGTTTTATCAAAGGCGAAATGAAAGAGGTATAAGCATTTGAATTACGCTCATTCAAGAATCAGCATTAAATACATAAGGACGCTCTTAAAGGAAGTACTATATGTATGTATTCTCCACATCAAGCGTCTTTTTTGTAACTAATGCATGCTTTATATATGTAAAAAGTAGAATATGGTAAACTGTACAATATTTAAAATGATTAGACTCTCCCTTTATCAACATAATCCTTGAATTGGAATGAGGTGTCTGTGCTGAGGAAGTCATGCGCTAATAAATCAGTAGCTGTTGGTCGTTTCAGTGGATCGCTATAGATAAAGTTTGTTAGTACTTGACTAGTGAATCGATCAAGCGACTTACATGACGAAGCACTGCCGCAGGAAATCCTTTGCACATTCAGATATATTTTCGGGTATAGTGGGTGTATTTAGTCTACCAAGCTTTACAAGAGACATTAGACACGCATGAATCACATTTAACGGCAAGCACTTACATTGTACAAGGCAGCAATTTGACTCAAGGCAATCCATGGCCTCTGTCCTGTCAGCATTTCAATCATAGTGCACCCTAGACTCCAGATATCCACTTTGGCGCTATAGGGTTCGTTTTTCACCACTTCAGGAGCCATCCAATAGATAGAGCCACGTAGCGACATTCTTGAGTTTTGATCGTATACCTCATCGTAGTCGTTCTTTTTCGATAAGCCAAAATCAGAAATCTTGCATACGCCATCCACCTCCACCAAGATGTTGGCAGCCTTGATATCCTGTAATGAAACAAGGTCAGTGATACAGTCTCCAGTTGGTCCTTGCTTGAAAACTCACTCTATGCAATATGTGCCTTGAATGGAGATAGGCCAGACCCGAGCATATTTGTCTAGTGAAATATTTTGTCAGGGCTTCGTCAAATGCACCATGCAGTGCCAATCGACTCGCTACGCTTCCACCAGAGACATACTCCAAAAAGATATTGATGACACCCTCTGCATTGTCCTGACCATAGCCAAGATACTGCACAATGTTCTCATGGTCTAGATCTCGCAAAGTCATGATTTCTTGATATAGGGCTTCCACCATATCATGCTGCTCTTCATTGAGTAGATCAGATGCGGTCTTTGGGATTTCTACCTGTTTCACAGCAATCACTTCACCGGTGCCCACATTAAAGGCCAAGTACACTCGTCCAAAGGAGCCTTTGCCAATCAATTTACCTCGAATCCACTGCATTGTATCATCAGTGCCTTCGTCTTTGATGTTACTCTGACCATGCGAGAGACGCATATGCTCACTGACGGATGGCAAGCGCGCCATGACGTTCTGACTACGGTTCTTGAGCTCCACCACACGCTGGCCCCATACTTTGGTGCTCTTGCGACGTACCATCTTGTTGTTCTTGTACTTTCGACTGGCTTCACGTGCGACTAATCGGATGGATTTGGTGTGTCGTTTGATGGGCTCGACTACAACCTCTTTATCCAAATCTTTGCTATCAAAGAATTGCTCCATGTGTTGAAAGACAACTTCTGCAGGAGGTCTCTCTCCCCAAAACACGACTCCACTCGTTTTTTTAAGGGGAGGTGTAGGTAATGGCTTATTTACTGCTGGTGGTTTCCTAGAGGAATGGATCGGCATTTGGCCTAGATCATTGGATATACCATGATGGCTAACGATCGTGTGGTTAGTAGTATGAGGTGTTACAGCCCATAACTGCTGCTGCTGCTGCTGCTGCTGTTGCTGCTGCTGTTGCTGCTGCTGTTGCTGTTGCTGTTGCAGAGGAAGTTGCGGAAGCTGTTGTTGCTGGGTAGGAGGCACAGCCCATAAACTGGCACCATTGTTGTTGCTGTGACGATTACTGGTTTCTATCATCTTTTCCATCTCGGGTTCAGAGCGACGCCATAATGCTTGTGCTGTGGGTAGTACAATAAATGGCTCACTGCCTGTCCTACATTTCTCCATTTGTGGTGGATCGGATAATTGGATACCAACAGGTTGTGGCTGCTGGTATTGCTGTTGCTGTTGCTGGTGTTGCTGAGGGGGCATGGGTCTTCTGGCTGCTTTTCGACATAGTGGTTTGAATGTAGGCGATCCTTTATTGCCTGTGCTGGAAGGACTACATGACAGAGAGACGAATGAGCAACAGAGCTTCTTTTTAATCTGCACTGTGCTTACCTTTGATTTGAGGGTATATCTGTAGGTGATTTGCCTAACTCTGGTGTGGATAGCGTGAATACGAAATCGTTAAAGGCTTGAGTATGTACAACGACGGGTTTTACTAAAATGCGCTGTGAAGCCGAGCGATCAGCAATTGAGCATAGATACATGAGCTCTTGTGGGTCCATTGGCCTCTCTGATAACAAAGGAGACATTTTAGTATTTGTTTTGGTCAAGATAGCAATGATGCTATTACCTGGATCAGCGCCATTTTCATGAAAGTATTGATACTGATCACAATCACCACTGAATTGCATGCGTCTCAGGATATGTTGTTTGATGGCTACTGGGTCTCTCATGTTGGTCACATTGAGACTGTACCAAGTCTCTTTATCGCCAGTGATCTGAATGCGTTGATCTGTCGGTTTCTTGAGCTGTGGTGACTGATATTCGTGGGTATACGATGATGGTGAGGGCTTCTTATGATTGGAGGATGGTGATGAGGAATGCCAGTTTGAATAAGTAGCCCAAAACTTTGTAATCTTGTCTGGTGTGGATGACACACGTGCAGGTATAGCTGGCGATGTGCGCCTACCTCGGTCATCATCGCCCGATTCATGCCGTGCAGAACGCGGACTTGAAGATGCTGAGTTTTGCTGTGGTGGGTGTTGTTGTGGATGGTTAAAATGGGTAGGCTGAATCACAGTAGTGGTTTGCATTTGATTTAATGGAGCAGCATGTGATCTGAATGTGTTTTTAATCTTGTGGAAAGCAGCTTTGGGCGAATACGAAGATCTGGTCGGTGAGCTGCTGTTGTATTTCTTCGAGAAGGGTGCAATCAAATGGTCAGAAGAAGGCGAAGCTGAAGGCGAAGGTGAGGAAGAACCAGCAGAGTAATGAGATAAATAGCCAATGCCGCTATCTCTGGTAGTTATATGCTCTGCAATGGCACTTGGTGGACTATGAGATGTTCGAGTATTTTTAGCTCTGTCTCCCCCTTTTCCATCTTGTTCTCCTAATCTCGTATATTCATGTAAATTTGTATTAATTGAAATCTATACAAAAAGGTTAATTATTAGCATGTAGGAGTTTCTCATTCAAACACACAAGTCTAGATTACATTACATTGGCGGGTGTGCTCGGTGTGTGCTTTTGCTGTTGCCCAGGCGTTGTAGGGAGTAATGATCTGATCTCACTTAAAAGTCTCCGTCTTTCATAATAAGTTGTCATGGTCCTAAACTGATTATTTAGTGGGTAAATTCATGCTAGATGCTACCTGGCAGATTGTTTTAGTTTAATACCTTGGTAAATACTCGACTAGTTCAGCTAGAGTGATTTGAAAGAATTTTTCTCGACAGATCCCATGCTCTACATGAAATGATGGGTATTTAGTAGCATTTCAAATGTGTGTGTATGCTCTGTATTTACTTTCAAACGTGGACGCGAACTGGCCCCAACCCTTCTCTTCCAGCCATTGTGTCACTTTTTCCTGATTCCATGTATCCACCGTCGCATCTCCCAAAAGTGTCCGAATGTCGTCTTCCGTCGGTGGGTCTACCATGTCGTGTGAATCCAAAGCTTAGAAAATAGTGTAAAGAAGAGAAAAAAGATGGTAGATGTTTACAGAGAGAAAGAAAAAAAAAAGAACGAATGAATACTTGTTTTCGATGTGGTTTTGTTTAGGGTTGACACAATAGAAGCAAGAAGGAGTTTAAATGGCTGCCTTGTTGTTGATGTTGTAGTCGTTGCTTTGGAAGGAAAAAGAGGAAAGAAAAAGACTATGTAATTATGTGATAAGAGAGAAAGAAAAAGAAGGGATTAAGGGATGTAATTTAGGGAGAGCATTTTTATTATGGTGAGTGTAACACTTTTTTATGTAATATTAATCCGTTTCAAGTGTAATGTGGTAAGGTAATAGATCAAACAAATACTGCTTCTACGAAATAATGCCATCTTTCATCATCACATCAATCAATTCTTGCAATGGCTGAATTTCCTTCTTCTCTAATAGATCAAACTCTTTGGCGAACGATATAAAATGTGCAAACAGCGAGTTCAAATGAGGTTCCTCATGTAAAGACAGGATCTTGTCGTAATGGTGGTGGTATATATGAGCGAATAATCGAAACAACTGCCCGAAAATGCGTCGAACGAGTTGAGGAAATTCTCGTGGAAAATCTCGGCCTGCTTTTGTGGGGAATAGTGTCTCGTCTCCCATCATATTTTGTATGCTGGATGCCATGTAATCAATGTATTGCGGTGCTGAAAGCTTGATCTTTTTGGAGGACGCATCAACCCAGGTATATTCAACCCTGTGCATGTCCATTTAATACCACACATCCTATACCGTTGCCATAACTAACTCACCCTGGCCCAGCAGACATGGAGGGGCACATCTGTGGCGTACAAAAATCAGTAATTGAGCCGTAAAACATGTTGATATGATTGAAGAATTCAAACGCTATAACAGAATGTAAGCATTTACTACACCAAATCAATAAATTACTCACTGTTGAACGCAAGCCATTCATCTATATCAATGTATTTTGGTAATTCAGTGATTGTTTTAAAGTTGCCCTTGACCAACATATGAGTTACGTATGGATTGGTCAGAAATAATGGCTTCGTATCAGCATTCGGAAAGGCGGTTGACCCTTTTGATTTCGATAATTTGTTCTTTTTTCCACCTAAACTGTTCTACTATTTAATACAGCTCAACTACTGCAGCCTGCACGGGTTTTTACCTAAAGTTTAGAAAACTCATCCTGTTATTTTTCGGGTTACAAAAGGGGGTATATGTGAAGAGAGAAAAAAGAAAGTGTATTGCTCATCTCGTTTCCTATTCCATTTACCCCCTACTATAACTCAGCCGTTTTTCTTATTGGAGTGACCATGTGCTCACATTACCAAAGTTTATAGTGCAATCAAACAGGTAAATTAAAAAATCGATCTGATATTGCAAGCTTGGCAAAAAAAAAAAAAAAAAAAAAAAAAAAAAAAACTTATATTTGGTCCTTCTCGCGGTGCCATTTGGTTTTCTATGGACATCTTACTTGGCCAAATTTCACAACTTATGTTGTTTGATTTGCCAACAGAGGCGCATTCCATGATGAAGAGACACTATCTGCGTATTTTAAACTAACTAGCCGATCTATCTTGCTACGCTCGATGTCGGCGTCGCCCTGCGGGCTCTCAGCGAAGACATATTAAATCAGATATAATAAAATTTTGGAATATCAAGTAGTTTTTAAACAATCAATTATTACTAATAGAAAGGTTATATCAGAGTCAGGAGGAGGAGAGGAGATATCTCCCTCAGCATCCTTTTTGCTTACACTGATATCAAACAAAGCCTATTATTGGAACAATGCGAAAGAAAATTCAGGTTTGATGCAGCATTTGTAGATCATAATCGCCATTTTCTGATAATAGAATTGTCGTATCATTCGCTGCTGCTGATGCTCTTAATAAGATGACGACATAAAGCTGGTCCTAAGTAAAATACAGGACTTGTGTAAGATATACAGCGACTTTCTGGAGATTTTGTCATTTTAAAAGACACATTCATGAGGCAAAGCTCCCCAAAAAAAAGCATTTGCACTAATCAATTGTTATTTCAAGTCCATGATCCCCATTTAAATAGCATCGCAATCATCATTGTCATCAACAGAAAGGCATTTGGTGGGTCAGCCAACAGCAGAGCCCAATTTGATTCAAACCCAGACTGTTTTTTCTGTTCCAATATTGGCCAAATCTGTTCTTTCTTCGACTTGATTAAACTATTTTTTGAGATTCGACTATATACACTGTGGTTATCATCCGATGTTTCCTAATACATTCTTGAAGTACTTTTCAAGGCGCTTCCAATGGTACTAATTGTAATAGGTGTTTTGAATGAACTCTTTGAGCAATTCGATAAAATATAATATGTGGTTTCTAGCAAAAATAGCCAAATTTTGTATATGAAAGCCTCATAAAAGTGATTTCAGAAGTTGTTTTGGATCGAGAGAAGCAATTTGATCCAATACATACCATAGTAGAAGTCTTCATTTTCAAGGTGAAAAACGCAATCGTTTGATTTTCGATGAAAGCCATGAGGGGTACCTCATGCTTTTTGATCAATTTTTGGCCATGTTTTTTGGGTCTTCAGAAAGTTGAGCAAAGGTATCAGGATGTTACTAGTACTCAAATACAATTGCTTGGCGTTATTCCGGTGGCCCAGAAAAGTGTACATGTCAAGATATGAAGTCTTGAAAACTGTCCAATTTGGCTGTGTTTTGCTTTATAAGAGCTTTTATTTACACGGTGTGGATCACATCTTTGATAGCTGTAATTTACTGGAAGGGTAGTTCCATACCCCGTGCAATTTTTAATTCGAATAGGAGGAAAATTGATTTTGGTAAAGCTAATTCATGCAAATTTTGATGCGTTATGTTGTTGATAAGCTTATTAATAATGAAAATGAAAAACTGAATTTGTTGTGGGGCTGCACCTTCGCTTCGCTATGGTAAAACCGCCTCATAGGTCAAAATTGCCAAATATTGAATTAGACGCGTCATGTTCTTGATGGATGGGCTTAGCGCCTCCTCCAAACCCTCTCCCTAATGCCGGCTCTATGCATCTTGTACGGTACTCCATTTTTTAAATCTTTGAAAGGATTTGATTTGTTTGTCTACTTTTTTTTTAAAAAAGTGTTTTACAGTATATATATTAGACTAGCCGATCTATCTCGCTACGCTCGATGACGGCGTCGCCCTGCGGGCTTTGGCCGATTACAATAAAACTGATTAAATCAATAGTTATAAAGGGTAAAAAAAAATATATAGAGTAGTTATATTAGGTAGTATCTGAAAATAGAACTTCAGGATACACTACATTTTCTGTGTGTTTCATATTTTCGGGTAATAAAATGGTCATGCCATTGGCAGATGTTGCTCTTGACATGGCAACATAGAGTTGACCATGAGTAAATACGGGACTCCTGAGGTCCACGGCAACTTTCCTGAGAGATTGACCCTGCGACTTGTTGATGGTCATTGCGAAAGATACTTTAACCGGGAATTGCTTCCTGGTCAATATGAATGGCAATGTGCCAGGCAATGTAGACAAAGTAAAGCGAGGAATCAACTCGACTGCACCTGACCCTCCGAGGATTTTCACCTTGAGGACATACTGTCCAATTTGCTGAATGATCAGCCTTGTACCATTGCACAAACCTCTTTCAGGGTTGAGGTTTCTCAAGAGCATTACAGGAAGACCTACTTTCAACTCCAAAACTGCTGGCGGCAGCCCTGAAGGCGAAAGGGTTTGCAAATACTCTGAGGGATAGGCTTGGGTCTCAGTGTTGGTCAGATCAGATTGCACCGTGTCAGCAGAGTACAAAGTGACCTTTTCCCCAATCACGTTCTCCATCACCTTGCTGTTAATAGCATCAACGTTGACGTTCTTTGAACAGAGAATAGCTCTTTCCTTGAAGAAATCACTATTTTGCAGAGGACACTGCAGAACATGCTGAGGATAGATATCTTCAATGAACTGATCAAGATCAGTCATCTGCCTCAAAAAAGAGGGCAAAGCAATGCTGCCAATCATGGATGGTTCATACGACATTTTTCCTATCCAATCTGCAAATTGCCTATCTGTGTCATTGGAGTTGGCAAGTCTCATATTCTCAGTCAGGCTCAGCTTTTGTAATTTGGGCCATAATCTTGACGATTTCAGTGAGGCATTGACGATTTCAGGACGGCCACCTTGCCTAACAACAGGTGGAATTTGAGCAAAATCACCGCCAAGAACAACAGGAATACCACCAAAGGTAACTTCATCACCACGACTACAAATATCACGAAGTGTTCGATCAAAAGCTTCAAAGCAATATCGATGCTGCATTGGCACTTCATCCCAAATTATCAATGCTGTCTCTCGAATGAGATCAGCAAGGTCATCGTTCTTCTTGATCGCACACACAGACTGCTCGTGGATGTTGAGTGGAATGGCAAAGCGAGAGTGTGACGTACGCCCACCAGGAAGTAGCAAAGCAGCAATGCCAGAGGAGGCAACACAGAGAACAATTTTTCCTTGGCTTCTATAAAAGTGACAAAGAGTATTGTAAATGAAGGTTTTGCCAGTGCCAGCTGGACCTTGCAAAAAGAAATGTGAGCTGTTGGCGTTGCTGTTGATGGAGGAGGTGATGGTCTCAAATATGTGCTTCTGGGTAGCGTTCATTTGAGCATACTTTTGCTGATACGAAAAGGCTTCTTGATCTTGGAGATATGACATTTCATTGAGTATCAATGAATTGCGCTGTATGCCAGTCATTCTGCTTATCAAGCCATTCCAGTTGAAGAGAGGCAAAGGCAAATTGAACTGACCTAGAGATCTGTCTTGTGCACCAAGAGATGTTTGCAACAGATATAAGCCATAATCAAGACTTCGCGTTCCATGGTAAAATTCAGCGTCAGGTTGCACGCTGAGCAGCAGCGAATACCCTTTTTGCACGATTGCATGCTCAAGGTCATCACAGAAACTTTCACAGAATTGATCCCAAATCTGAACAGGCGATACCAATGAGTTGAACATGAGCGCAGAGACAAACATTGAACGCATTGCGTAGCCAGAGGCAAAGGTAGCAGCTTCTTCAAAGGCTCTGGTCCATTCTCCATCATCTTCGATCAAATGCAGCATCATACAGGCCTCACGAAAGGTGGCATACTCGTGATTATTGACAGTTCTCAGATGAGAAAACGACGTGGCTCCTCTGACAACTGTGAGCAGCAGACGCAGATAATACCTCTCGCCGGCAGCAGGGCTACAGTAGTACATGCGGCCGATAGACATGGTATCGGTTCGTCTTGCTTCCCACCTTTTTGGCTTCTTTTCTTTCCAAGTCATATGCTCTGGGAATTGCTGGTAAAGCAATGGTTGAAAACCAGGTTTGTTTTGATTCACGGCATTATAATGAAAGTAACCCATGAGCGTGGTATGACTCTCTCTCAGGACATTATCAATTCTTGATTGAGGCCAGGAAGGATCAAAATATACAGGCTGCTCATTTTCAAGATGAATAGCAAGTGTAGTGACAGGTGGGCTTTCCTCATGCATTGGGAACTCTTTCAACCTCCAGACGGCTTCACACGGGCTGATATAACGGCCATTCAGATATTTGGCACATTCATCATTCTGATACATTGCTGCAGTACCAGCTGTTGCGGTTGTTGTCGCGGTAGTCGTGGTTTTCAGAGTAGTCTGATCAGAACCTTTGTATATATACTTGTTGATGTATTTGATAGCCTGGACACTGGCGCATACTTCCACGTTGATATGAGCGTTGTATCTCTTTGATAGGAATGGATTATACGCTACCACCCATTCATTTGTCATATGAAAGTCGTGGTACACGTTCTGATCATCTTTGATGCGTATTACATGAGAGCGGCCATCCATTCTTCTACGATAGAGTGGATACCCATCATCAGGAACTATGGTTGCTGGCTGATAAGGCTTTGGGAACTTTTTTGAGCAGACGTCGTTACCGAAAGCATCCTTCACCATACAGGGAGATTTCTTGTTATAACCACCACATGGACCGT